ACCGGAGGGAAGGGATTTGGCGGCGGCCTTGGTGGTTTTGGACAGCAACAGCAACCGAAGGGAGGTTTCGCGCAGCCGGTTGATGATAAGGATGCTTGTGTCTACGACTCGTATCGCCACGGCATGGTCTTTTTCGACTTCGACGCTCGCTCGGTCTCGGTCGCGACGATGTACAAGTTCGGCGTCCTTCCTGCCATGCGCGATTGCTACCAACAGATTGAAAAAGCGGACAAACTAGAAAAACCAGGCCTGATCAACAGGTTCGTGCCGATCCCGGTGCCCCGGCTGCACTGCGTCGACATCGCACAGGCCGCCTCGCTCATGGACATGCTGTACAAAAGTGGGGACGACGCGGCGATGGAGTTCTTCAAGCAGCAGCTGCAGATGGTGGTCGAGGAGGTCAAAAACAAACACGGTGATCCGGGGGAGAGTGAGTGGCTCAATCAGGTGAACTGGCGCGGAACAGCAAGACCGGTCAACTGGAAGAAGTCCGCCCGGATGAGCAGTGGTGGAGGGAGCAGTGACGCGGCGACAGACACCGAGTTGGAGAAGATGCGGCTGAGAAATGAGATCTTGGAGAAACAAATTAAATTGCAGGAGGCACAGACCACAGGAAAAGGGCAACAGTTCTCCTTCTTTCCTTCCACGGACTTCGGCACCTCGGCCGGCTTCTTCGGATCAGCATCGGGGAAGAGAGACCGCAACTCTAATGGGAAAGGAGGTGATGACACCCACGAGAAGATGCGGCGCGCTACTTTCGCCGATAACAAGTACATCAATCCGCTACGACGCAACAGGGGTTACGTGTCCGACGATGAGGGTGATAACAATCAGAACAACATGGAGAAACTCAGCAAACACCCGGAGCGGTACAACATTGGAGAGAAAACGCCGCCCAGTCAATTCCAGTTGTACTGCCAGAAGTCGGCTGAAGAAATTGAAAACTTCGCGGAGGAGTTATTGCCGGCACAGGTGAATAGCATGTTCGAGGCGAAGTATGCGGAGATGTTTGGGAAGCAAAACCCCATCTCCTTCCGCGGTCTGCAACACTACACAAAGGCTTTCCGGGAGGAGCAGAACACGCTTGGCAACTTATTTCAGTGGCCGGCGACTGTGGATACCCTCGCGACGATTTTTAAGGAGGACGAGGAACAGATACAGGAGGAGATTAGCATCGGAGTCCTGGAGTTGCGCAACACCGCCGTCGAAACCCTGAAAGAGGAGTGGGTCGCCCTGTGCCAAGGCTTCTGGATAATCGGACAGATCCTGCCGTTGGAGAACTTGCAGGCAACCACTGAGATGATCATCAAGGAATTCCACGAGTGCGAGGGCATGCCGGTGACGAACGTGAAGTATTTTCATTCCGTGATCGAGTCCTACATCGGGAAGCTGGTGCCGGTGCAGATGTTTGTCGATGAGGATGGCAAGGATTTTTGTATTTCCATGGCGACGTCCTGGGTGGTGATCCTGCTGATCAACTTCATTCGCGAACAGAAGGAGAAGGTGGACAAGCAGCGCCACGAGAAGAATTTGGTGCGGGACCAGGGACGAGGTGGTGGTGGAAGCAGTTCGTCGGTGTTCAACCTTTACTGAGGGCACGTCAGCGGGGGGTTATCAATTCAGAAGTTTCTATGCAGGAAAGATTTTGAACGGGTTTATTTTTTATTTTCTACGAGCAACTTGCGGACTGACAGTATACGCTACAACTGGCGTACAAAACAACTATACAAAAACGACCACTATCATCTCGACTTCTACAACCTGCCAAAGTGCAGGAAACTTCTTCACGAACAACAAGCGGGCGACTTCTTTTATAATGATGATCGACGACTCACGGGTACTGTGCAGATTCCGGTATGGAAAATGCGACATCTTAAATTTTTTGGAAATTTTGAACGAACAGCTACAAACTACATCTCCATCTCTTGCACGGCTTTACGAGGTGCAGAACATCAAGGCGGGAGTTGGGAACTACACACTGAAGAGGATGGAAAACTACCAGAAGTGCTGCTATTGTAAAAAGACGAAGGACTGCGGATGTTGTGTTGAAATCCGGAGGGATAGGTGGGGAAAGGTGGACTGCAGACACACGAGGTGCAGGGATCAACTATTTCCGAGCTGGGCAGATCCACAGCGGCGAGGACAACAACAAGCAGCACAACGGCCCCCCTTTCGTTCTTTTTTGAAAGAGATCCGAAAACAGCTCTTTCAAATGGATGAGCAGCTCATGATGCAGATTTTAGAACTTAGTAATACTCGCTTCACCAATAGGCTACTGGAAAAAATTCGAATTTGCCGCATGATAGCGAGCACGAACGCAGAGGATGAAAGGGAGACGCGCGTGTTGTATCTTGCATGGCGGCCGGGAACGAGGAAAACTTACGTGGGGAGGACAACCAAGGCGAAACTAGACCGGGTGGAGTCACATTGGATGGCGGCAGCGGAAGAGGGGAGGAAGAACAAGCTCGTCGGCTTGTTCCACCGAGACGGCGTGCCGAACTGGATAGTAGTGAAACTCATGCACGCGCCGGTGAAGAAGGAGGCAATCTTAGCAGTGGGGGAGCGCATCTTGATCCAGTATTTCCATGCGACAAGCAACACCCAGGGGGCTGCTGTCCGCGAACACGAGAAGAGCAGGGCGGGGGTGGTGAAGACGTTCATCATCACACACCCGCGGCGGAAAGTTTTCAAGAGTACACGCACCTCTGGACACCCTTGCCGACAATTCGAGATATCCGACAAGGAGCCCGCGCGTGCTTTCGAAGCCATGGCGCAGTGGGACTTGCCGGATTTTGTAGATGAAGAAGCGCGGGTCATCCTGTCCATGTCTAAGAGGATTGGACTGTCTAACAGTATCAGCTCCTACCTACGGGCGAAGACGGCGCGAGAAGTTACACAGCTGCACAGCCACGCAAAACGCCTCCTCCCTACTGGCAAGTGCTACATTTTCCGCTCCAACCTTGACGCCACTGTTAGCGGCTCCAAGATCATCGTCACAACAATCCGCCTCCCAGAGACCACGCCGATGCTGCTCAACAACCTGCGCCGCATGTTTTCGCGCATGCTTACACACCAAGAGCTGAGGTGCGGCCCGGTGCGTGTCCTGCGGATTAAGAAATCCAGGGGAAAGAAGTTTTTGGACATGTTCGGCACGAAGCTGGCGGATTGGCACCGGGACACTGCGTACAGGATCAGGAACGACCTGCCGCTTCGCTGTTCTTGCCAGGAACTGAAGGAGCGGCATCCGTGGTTGCCTACGATCGACGGACATATTTGCTGTGAGCCTGTTTCGTCGGGCTTCACACTTGCAACACACCAGGGAAAAGTAGTAATCTGGACCAGGATTGCTACATTCGCGCCGACCCGAGGACAAGTCGCCACAGCAGTAGGAAGAGCCAGAAAACAATTCTCCAAACAGCCAGGCCTCATACCACTAGGAGGAGAGAAAGAGGATAAGGAGATAGCAACGAAGTCGATCGACTGGGAAAGGCGTAAGTCCTACTGCACGGAGGACGACGTGACGGACGTTGCTAAGCTTCTGGCGGCGCACTGCTACACAGGGGAGGTTGACAAGTCGCGGAGCGTCTTCTTCTGTTGTGACCGAATAGTCAGCCACTGCATGATCAACCACCTTCAGGGTGACTACGAGTTGATTCCAGGCTGGGGAGGTCTAGCGCAGTACGACACAGACGTGCAGGGAGGCTTCTTTTCGATTGCAAAGGAGAATAAAACCAAGGACCTCACGAACATCCGCTTCCGCAAGTTCCACCGCTGGCCGTTCTTGAAGATCATGCTGAAGAAGCGACTGTTTGACGAGGTGACTAGGGGGAGGAGTTTAAAGGTCACAGACTTGAAGGGCGGGGCAATAGCATTCCGACCGATATCGAGCTACTTCAAGCACATCTACGGCGGGCTTTTCTCCACAGTCGCGAGGGTCATCCGGCGGATCCTCGACGTCGACTACAAAAACTTCCTCTTCAGCACGCAGCAAGAGCTCATCGCGGAGTTTGAGCAGATAAACAAGTTCTGGCGTGACCTCCCACCAGAGGAGCGACAAAGACTGCAAATAGCAATACAGACTGCTGACGTCAAAGACTTCTTCACTAGGTGCTCAGTTGCTGACGCGATGCAGATTGTCGGCGAAAGAGTGCAACAGCTTAAGGGGTACGGGACGCAGTTTGTCGCGGTAGAAAAGAACACGCCCTACCTCCAAAGGGTCGAGGAGCACAGGCAGGAAAACTCCAAGCAGCGCGCTGGCAAGTTGTACCACAGGAAGATCAAAATGACGTCACTGATAGCACGCGCACGACCCAAACCGCGGAGGAATATCCAGTTCTTGAAGGACAAGCCGGACAACAAACACTTCTGGTACATCGATATTGATCTCGTCTTGCGGTGTCTCAAGCTTGACGCTACTTTTGCTATCTGCCGCTGCATGGGCCTGATCGCGCGACAGGTTGGGGGCGGGCCGATGGGGTCACCATTGATGGTCGAGGTGAGCTACGCGTTTGGGATAAATGCGGAGAGGGGTGGAACGATAGCCGCAACATACGGAGACCCACGCAGCCGCTACGGGAGGAGGGGCGTCCTGTGCCATAAACGCTACATCGACGACCTCACCCTCATCCGCTTGTTGTTGCGTGGTATCGAGCCGGGGAAATTGAAGGAGGAGTTTTATCGGGGGTGTAAGCTATCGGATACAACCGCGGAGGGACACGTAATTGGGATTAGATACTGGATTTCGGACAAAGGAATTTCTACGGAGGCACTTCCTTCGAAAGCGGAAATTCCAAAACAGTCATTTTTGTCGAGTAAAATGAGGAGGGGGATTGAGTACGGGCGTCTGTGTTACGAAGCGTCGCTTCGTATCAACGCAGAGGACCAAGAGAACAGCAGCGACGCAGAGACTGCGTCACCGGTATAAACTCCTCGCTCCGTCGCTACTCCGAAAATGCTACATAGAAGCCTTTGTAATGCACTTACGCGACGGCATGTTGAACCCCATCAGGATATTTAGTTAACGCAAGGCAATAGTGGTATAGTAAGTCTTTTATGGTTGTCGTTTTACTTTTCGAAGAGCAAGGAATCTTATTTATGGCGTTTCTAATCAGGCCTCGGAAAAAGAACAAACTTTTCCTCTTTCAGCATCACAGATTTTTAATCTGCATTGCTGCCCACACGCGCCACAGCAGCAAGCCACACTCTATTTCGCCTTTTATTTACCATGACAGATTGGTGAAACACGACTAAACGGGCACAAAAGTCAAGCTCTTTTTTATGTTCATGTGGAAAAATAATCTCTGTTTGTCAACTTTTGGCGTTCCGCATTACAAATCTGGTTTTTCCGTCTCTTTCGTCTTGCGTACAAAAACGAAAGCTCCTGATGCAACATTTCACTGTCCGAACAAGGCAGCCACAGGGTAAAAAAGCAGCAGTGGTAAATAAAAACCACGAGGAGGAGATCCAAGATCTTCATTCTTTTCGGTTTTTCAATCTATGTTCGAAGTACTGACACCAGGCGAGAATAGATACATGAGAGGTGGTAATGGGGAAAATGAAAACTGAGTGTGAGAAAAGGTGTAGAAATATCTTCGTTCGGTATTTTTACACTTGTTTATACGACAAACGAGGACCCACTATTTACAGCATAACAGAGGAGCAGCAGAATCGATTTTGCAACAGGCGGATCGACAGAAAACTGCTTTTAACCGACCATGATGAAGTCAAACGGTGGTAAGAAAAATTTGCTGCGGGCCGGCGCTGCGGTGGTTTCGAGCAGCAGCTACCGCACCGGCGGGGTGGTTTTTTCGCACGGACTGAAGATTGCTACTACTGCTGTACTACCAGACGAGGTTGAAGAAGATCCGGCTAATGTTGTCGTTGTGTCCACCAACGCGAAAAGTAGCGGCGTCAGCACTCCTGGAACTACCGGAGGAGATCATGCTGGTGAAAACAAGCAAAAACCGACTGCAGCAATAAATCAGCGTCGTGGCCGCGGCGGCGAAGGAGGTGGTGGTAGTGCAGCGGCAACGACGAGGACTTTGCTGAGTCGAGGGAAGATGAAGATGACCATATCACGAGGAAAAATCCCCCCTCCCCATATCAAAACGGAATTTCTGATGCTGGATTTGTGTACACAAATCAGGTTTGTATTGCAGAGAGGCACCGCGGCCAAATCCCCAGGCTAGGTAGGGGCGTATGGGTCTAGTTGTTCAGCATGGCAAACGGGTCACTTTTAGGGCCAACAGCATGACAAATCGCTTCCATAGTGGGGCGGAAGGTTCTGCCCTTGTCTTCTTGCAAAACAAATGTGATTTGCGACCTCAAATCAGCAACACAAATTTTCGGAAACATACCTTTTCGATATGGGGAGGGGGGATTTTTCCTCTCAATACCGGTACGGCCTTGATCATGCGTGCACCTGGCGACGTGCGAGAAGTGCTGGACGATTTTCGAATTATATGATGCGATGAATTACGCGAAAAAGTGAATGAAAGAAAAACGACGACCGCAGCTCCATACTAGTGTGAAAGAATGTCACCACAACTAGCATGAGCATGAGCACCCTACTTCAAGTTCTGACTCGAATCCTCTGCGACGATTTATGCAGTTCGTATATATCGTAGTCGTAGAGAGACGTAGTCGTGCCTCCTCCCCCGCGTGCGTGCTGTGGTCCTGTGATACCCAAGTTTAGTTTGCTATTCGTTCTTCGTGCACGAAGATTCTTATTGCATCCCTATGGATCATTCGTTGTCGTGTCGGCTCAGAAATGTATAGTACTGGAACACCAAGAACTCTTAAGAACTGGTTCTTTCCGTGATGCCTTCGCTCACGCCGTGCAAAACCTGGAGTCGTATTTATTTGTTTTATTCTCTTCGTCTTCGTTGCAATCTCTGTACGTGTTTTTCGTCCACCAAGCTGGTCCGGCCGCTGGACAACTCACGAACAAGACCTTTACTTATTGTGTAAGTACTTGATAGAGACTTGTTTCTAGTTCAACTTCAGTAGCGATGATTTGGTAAAATAAAGAATCAATCCAGGAACACCCCTTTTTTTTCTCGAAAAGAGTTAGGAAAACCTAGCCCTGCAGGCAATTCCAAGAAAGCTGTCCACAAACCGCTTTTCTTCACCTGTCCTCCGAACCAACAGTGCATTGCAAATCTAATCCTCAAGTACTTCCGCGGCTGTGAGAGAAAAAATGAAGAAAGCCGTTGTTTTCTCCGTTGTTTCCTCCGCCGCTGCAGCAGCAACGACGAGGACTCTGCTGAGTCGAGGGAAGATGAAGATGACCACCTCCACGACGGCCAGGAGTACAACTCGTGAAGATTATGCCGATATCAAATGCAAATAGGTCTGGGTCTGGGAAGTTGCGAGATTTGTCATGGTAGTCTGGCATGACTCTCAACTCTGTGATGTTGCGTCACCACAAAGAGCTCCTCTTGCCTGTCATGCAAAAACGCAGTTTCTCATGCAGAGTACGCAACTCAGAACCACGGAAAAGCTTGTCATGCTTGGCAGCGCATTACAGTGTGCTCACGATTCCATTCCTTGCGTCACAAGTTTCCAGACCCAGACAGATTTGCATTTGATAGCCGAGAAAAGGACCTCGCTGTTGGCGACCAAGAACTACAGGAGTGCGGCCGCGCGGGGGAAGAACTTCAAGGGGAAGAAGCAGGCCACCTCCGCCGTGGCGACCGATGTAGTTCTTGAAGCCGCATCGACGGATCGTCCGCTCGACCAAGACAATAAACCCCTGCTCGCGCGGTGGAACCGGAAAAACAAGATCGTTGGGAAGATGAAACAGCCAGAGGAAAAAGAACATCCGCCCCCGCCGCAGCAGGAGTTTCTGGAACAACAAGTTGGGCAGCAAGTTGGGTCAACTTCGGGCCGGCCACTACTCCCCGGTTCAGTTGTCCCGCCGGAAGGTGGTAAAGATCTTCCCACCGGTGAAGATCTCTCTTCTCTGCAAGAACATCCCCTCGTGTTCCTGTCTTCCGAAACCACGCCCCCCCGCCGCATGACGTGGGAACACTTGTTCAGTGATGGCGATGATATCAGCGGTTCGCCGAAGAAACTTTACCACGAAGAGTATTACCTGAAGGGCGGTAGTCCGGAGCTGAGCGTGGATTTGGACGAGGAGGAAGTCCAAGCGGTGCTTTATAACCCGCTCAGGTGTTACACTCTCAAACGTTACAATAGAGTCGGAGACTCGTGTTGCATGATGAGCATGACAGACTCGCAGAGCGTTCCACTTTCTGCAATAGAAATTTCGCCAGATTGTTGTAGTGGGGTTTGGGATTCCGGAACTTGTCATGCGCAATCCTATGAGAGTTGGCTAGATCATGCACTCTTGCATCACAGATTTCACTACTCTATTGTAACGTTTGAGATTGTAACAGCTGACGGCGTGATATGCTTTACGAGTACAGCCGTTCCCTCTGCCGTGCGATCGGAAAGAACAAACTCGTGGCGGACGATGCTGATTTATGCACTGAAAATTTGTAGTGGTAGTCTGCGTCTGGAAACTTGTAATGCACGGTTTGCTTAAAATAAGTAAATGATAATGAACGGTCTGTATCATGCACTGCGAACACGACCAAGCATAAGAAATATTTGCGCAGCTAAGTGTAGTTGCGCACACGATACCGCATGACAAAGTGCGTTTCTCCATGACAAGGAAAATACGGGCCTTTTCGTCCTGGACACGCATAATACAAGCTCTGCAGTCCTGTCAGACAAGCATGACAAACCTAGCAACCTTCCAGAGACCCAGACGTATTTCCATTTGATGAAATTACGAAAAACCCGAAAACGCCCACAGTTCGTCGTGGGAGCCCTGGCCGGAATGCACCAGCGAGTACATCTATCAAGAGGAAAAATCCCCCCTCCCCATACCGAAAAGGTATTTTTCCTAAAATTTGTGTTGCTGATTTGAGGTCACAAATCACATTTGTCTTGCAAGAAGACAAGGGCAGAAGCTTCCGCCCCATTATGGAAGCGATTTTTCATGCTGTTGTGCCTAAAGGGGAGCCGTTTGCCATGCTGAGCAACTAGACCCATACGCCCCTACCTAGCCTGGGGATCTGGCCGCAGTGCCTCTTTGCAATACAAACCTGATTTGTGTACACAGACCCAGCATCAGAAATTCCGTTTTGATATGGGGAGGGGGGATTTTCCCTTTCGATAACATCCGCCCGAAATTTTACCCGCAAGGGGCGGGTTACGGGTGGGACTTGGCGGAAGACGAAGGCAAAGACGTCGACCCAAAAAAAACCGCCGAGTGGAACAATTGGTTTTCCAAGGGAAAGATTTGCGAACCCGGCTGCCTCGAACCGGCGTTCAAAACTTCCGGCACTTCCGACCGGTTCCGCGTGGCCCAGACGACGACCACACAGGCGGCGCTGGTCAACGTGGTGCAAAATCTTTGCGTCCGGGCGGACTTTCGCCGCACGGCGTTCGCACAGGGACTGACAACGCGAGGAAAAATAAGTCCGGCGCTGGACGACTTGTATGCCGACGAGGTCTTCAATGGGCCTTACTTGGATCCCTTGCGCGGCCTCTCTAGTAGTTCCACCTCTGGTGCTCGCAAGATGTACGACTACTCTCTCCATTACGACACGCTGCACACCGCATGCAAGGCCGTGGCCGGGTGGTTGCCCGCTTTCGAGCTGCAAATGCGGATCGCGGGATACCTCCTCGGCGTCTGCGGTTCGCGTACTGACGCCGATTGCGAATCTCTGGAAAAACGGCGGCCCACGGCGTTCCCGCAGGAGGTGGGTCGGTACCACGCAGTGGATTTGGTTCGCCCCTCGACCGGTAGTTCGCCCCTCGAGGACCACGACATTAGGAAAAACCTAGACTGGTTCCCCAAAGGGCAGATTTGCCACCTCGCTAACACCGCTGCCGAAGCCGAAGCCATGTTGGTGCCGGACGTGGGGGCTGTGAAACCAGATCAGAAAGACCTCGCAAGAATGACGTTAGATTCCCTCGATTTTCTGAAGAAGCAAACCGGAGAGACGGCTTTCCCCAAGTGCGTCCCGGCTATTTCTTCGAGCTCGTTCCCGGGTCGCGCGGTCTTTCTCGGACAAAACGCAGAGCCGCTGGCGCCGAAATTGCACTTATTCGAGTTGCACTTCGTCTACACGAGGCTGCAAGAGTACTGCGAACTGGTAAGGCTGTTACCGAAAGACCAGGATTACACCGCCAGCAACGGTGCGGTTTTCGAGCAAGACGAGAAGCTAAAATACCTCAGCAAAATGGTTTTTGGGCTCGAAAAACCGGACTTCACGCTGGACTTCCGGTTCGCCGACCATGAACAGCGGAGAATTGGGTGTGAAATGCTGCGCTTTTGGGACACGCCGGACGCGGGTCTTGTCGGGGGAACGAAGACTGGACACTATCAAAATGAAAAATCCCCCCGCCCCATACTCAAACTAGAAATTTGTGGTCACAAATCAGCTTTGTCATGCTAGAAGGGAAAAGATGCGGACTGTAGTGCGGGTTGGCGTGGGAAAGCCTTGCATCTTCGGCATGACAGGGGGCAGCTGGAATGCGGAAACAGCGTGACCAATTGCCTGCAAACGAGGCCACAGCTGCGTCCCTTGGCGTTCTAGCATTACAAGTCGATTTGTGTACTCAAATACAGCATCACAAATTTCGTTTTCGATATGGGGAGGGGGGATTTTTCCTTTTGATAGACACGCCTGGCAGCCCAAGGGCTACGTGCAGGAAAAGCAGCTCGCGTTTTTGCTGAACCCTTCGATGGCGAAAAATGCGGTGTTGGAACACTGCTCCTCCGGTTGGAAAGCTGCGGTGGTTGCGACCAGCAAATTATCAAAAGGAAAAATCCCCCCTCCCCATACTGAAAAGCTGTATTTTTGGAAATTTGTGATGCTGATTTGTGGTCACAAATCGTGTCGGTCTTGCGAGAAGGCAAACGCAGAAGGCCACAAGCATTATGCCGGCGGTTTGTGATGCTGCTGGACCTACAGCATGGACTTTTGTCATGCTGAGCGCCCAGGCCAAAACCTCCCCACTCCGGCTTGATATGGAGGGCCTGCAGTCTTCTACTGCAAGACAAGGCTGATTTGTGTACGCAAATCCGGCAGCAGATATTTCGTTTTGATATGGGGCGGGGGGATTTTTCCTTTTGATACAAATCGGCCAATCCTCTGGCGACCGATGTGCACATGCTAGAATGGCTTTTCGACGAGCGCGCGAAGAAATTCCCAAGAGGGCAGAGCGACCACGTGTCGGGGGAGGGGTTGAATGAATCCCTTTTGTCGAAAGACGATTGCACCGTGGCGACGTACCTGAAAATTGCTGGGGTCACAGCGAAGCCGAATTTGGACGTTTGGAGGGCCGCGGTGGACAAGGACTGCAACGTGTGGCCGGCGATGGTGGAAGACGAACAGTTGCTGCGGCAATACAAGGCGAAGGAGAAAGACTCGTCCCCCTCGTACGACAAATTGAAGACTTACGAATGCGAAATCGTGGAGGAGGAAACGATTGATTACACGCTGGCTCCGCAACCGGAGCCCCTGCCGGGAGAGAAGGGCGCGGAGTGTAAGGTGACGCTGCGAAACCAGCAAAACGTTGGAATTTTGTGCCAGCCGGGGCCGAACGGGACTTGGACGCTTAACAATTCGATGGATTCGATGATTCGCCGCAGAATGTGGAACTGTGACGCCGGGGAAGTCAGCGCCGAATGCGCGACGAAGTGTGGCACGGGAGCCGGGAAAATTGACTGCACAGGTAGAAGATGAGGTGCTTTAGTGCATTTTTGATTTTTTGGGGGGTGGGATTTCGATTTTGATGTACACGAGAATATCTCAAACCAGTTTGCTTTCACTTCACATTTTTGTAGTACAACTTGTACATGATTCAGAACCACTACATTTGCATAGCAAGTCACCTGTTTTTTACTATGTAGCATTTTTCATTTCGCATATAGAAGTCTGAGATTCGTCAGAACAACTTTGCACATACAACCACTCAGTTTCGTTTTTCAAAACTTTTTACACATTTCTTTTGATAAAAAGCAACCGTACCTACCCCGAGCCACCACCGACGATTTTCCCAGAGATTCAACCTTTGACCTGTCGTGCAAGAACGACCGGTAATTGTTTCACATAGAAAACCCCGTTTTTTTCGAAATTTCCTTGTGAGATGAGAGCAGCATGATCTTTACTCGGCATCATCATACTTACTATCCGAAGATGTGGCGTCAAATAGGTTAAAGCGCCCCCTGTTGGTATACCCTAACAGCGTTTTAACCCTACTGGCCACAAACTGAAATGGACTTTCCTCAGAAGTATCAATCCAAAAATTATCATCTTCCCTCCACTGAGATGATACTTGTCCCACAACTCGGAAAAATAAACCCCACGATGATGCATCGAATTATCGTCCCCAGCAACTCAAAAGGAAAAAGTAAAACGGCTTTTCGTGCTGCGTTGTAGCGTGGTGCTGCCTTTACTTTCCTGTCTGTTCGTATACGTGTTCTACTGCTTCTGTGAGCATCGTGCTGCAACGAGCGGACGTGCTCTTTTTCGTCGTCCACGAATATCGTTTGCGAGTAATTATTGGTACGATTCAACATGGTTACTTAAATATAAATTTCGTTATGTCAGCTCTGCCAAGTTTTGAGTCACCGCGCACGACACAGATGATCCTGGTATCTTCGTACTCGTGGTCGTGCTGCTAAAAATCGTCTGGTGCTTCAATATCTTTTCGTGCGCAACTACAAGATTTACTAAGGTCGTTCTTGCTCGTTCTTGGAGAAGAGACTGACTGTCATCTCCGAGGATGTTTGTTCCTTACAAGCTGCCATTCTTCACGAGGACCCTGCCTTCGATCACTGCTGTGCTCGTCGTCCACAGACACTGGCATCACAGAATCGTCTCGTTCTCTGCAAGTTCGTTGTAGTATAAAATGAAGAGGAGCCATAATTCCCATCCTCGTGATGTGTCTTCATTCATCGTGCAGCTTTAGTAAATGTGGAGGAATAAATCCAATTTTTTCACACCTAATTCCAAAAATCACAGGAAGGACAAGGAATTTTCCAAATCTCCTGGGAGACGCGGAAAATAGAACTACCTTTAGGCTTTTACCTTAGAAGCCTTGAAATAAAGCACCCTTACACCAAACGTTTCCCCTTCCTCACCCTTTTCAGATTTACTTTCCCCCTTAATTTTTGCACTCTTCAAAAAACTTTGAGCGGAAGTTCCAGTTGGTTCACATATGTTCTCCATCGGAGGCTCCAATTAGAATGACACGACAGGAGCAGAAAAACTTCTCTCTGAGCCACGCTATCTACCCCCCTACACTTGTCAGCACATCACCCATGCTGCGGAGTAGGGCTAGCAGGCAAGGGGGCCGCAATATGACTGCTTCTATCGGTAGCCAAAAGAACCACCTGCTGCAGCTCACCGCACTGCTGAACGCCACTTCCTGCTGTTTAAGAGCGCACGGGCTAATTTCCGCCGATACTAGTACCGCGGTAAAGGTGCAGCAACACCGCGCAACGGTCAAAACCGACAGGGCGGCGGGAACTGGAAGTCGTCTCCGCGGCACGAGCCGCAGGAGCTTTTTGCAGGCCAAGGAGAAAGTGACCGCCGTTCTTGAGAACAAAGAATTGCACCAGGAGCTGCAGCAGCAGCGTCCTCTGTTCTTGCAGCAGAAGGCAGACGAGAAGGCCGCACTACGGGGCCAGGATGAAGTTGTTCCTTTGGTCAATGAAGAGGAAAGAACGGCACAACACGGAGATGAAATTGAGGGGACCGAATGCGAAGATTCCGATGTTGTTGGTCATCTCGTCCCAGATCATCACGCGGGAGACCACGATTGCCGCGAAAAGAAGAACAATAAACGGTCTCCGACAACAACCCACACTTCTGTGCTACCGGGTCGTGAGCTGGACTACAGCACGCTACTGGAGATGAGGACCACTCAAGAATCTACTTCCTCGACAAGCAAGTTCCACCTCGACCAGCAAGAGCAGCTCGAGAACAAGATGACGCTCAAATTAACGCTCCCACCGACCCTGCCCCTAAATCTCCCGAACGACGGGCAAGATTTCCTCCCAGCGAACTGGTGGCAGGCCCGGCATACTGCGGAATTCAGCGAGAAAGAACAAAAATACGAGGCGAAAGTTGGTTGGTTCTTGAACACGTACAACCACCAGTATCTCATCTTCAACCTGGAATCCTTCCCCGCATCACAAGTCCGGTCCGCGATCCGGCAGTACGCAGACTCTATCTGTAAGACCCTCTACATCACCGCCACGGGCGACGGCGGCGGGATGCTTTCGGCGATGCAGGGGTCCGCTGGGACGGTCGGGAACTTTTATCCCAAAGAAATCGCGGGTGGGTTTTTTGGGAAAAATGATTTTACAACTACGCTTTTAGCAGAAGACAACGAGGGAACAAGCAGGGGAGTTTTGGCGGAGATTTTTGGCGATTTGAACAATGGCCCTGTGAAAGATTTACTTGGGTCGGAATTTGTGCCGCTGAACTTGCAGACGTTGGAACACAACCTCGAGTTCCTGGAGTATTACTTCCTCCCCGGCGTCTCCCCCGCCCAAACACAACCGATCAAAATGTCCCGGTGGTTCGACGAAAGTCAATCGCTGTGCAAGGTGAAAAATGGCAGAATCGTGGGGAATTTACATTCCAGTCTGATCGAGTACGATCCAGCAGATGACTCGACTGATGGGATGCCAAGTTCTGTGGCAAATTTTGTCGTGCGGAAGATTGCGTTGTCTTGGTGCAACAAAATCAACACGGGCAAAGATCCGATGAACGGAAATTTGTTTTCCCCCGGAGAAGCTGTCCCGGCGGTGGACGGGAAGGAAAGGCAGGCGCAGGTGCTGCAGAAGGCCTGTTTTGACTTCCCCGGGTGGCTGGGGATGGAGGATTTGAAAGCGTTACTGGAGAGTTATGCGGAGGGGGTTTGTATTGCGGAAGCCGCAGGAGCCTCCTCGTTCGGAACATGCCCGGGGGAACTGGATCCGAACGACCCGTTTGGCAACAGTTCTTTAATCGCGGACATGACCCACACAAACCCAGGCGAATCGCAAAGGATTCGGCTCGCGCCGGGGGACCTGTTCCGGATGGATGCACAAGGGGAGAAATTGACTGACAAGGGGAAGCTGTGCACAAAACTGTCCTCTGGCAGCATCGGTGTGAGCGACTCTTGCGCCCCGGTTTTCACGGAAAGGAACACAGCCCCGAGTACTGAGGAAGAACAGTACAAAGCCACGTGGGCAGCAAGTTTCAAAGACGTCAGCAACCTCGTGTTTTATCACAAACAGTTCACGACGTTGTACGATTACTGCATTTACTACCAAGAGCATCTGGAGCTGAAAAACGGCGCAGCTACTGCATTGAAAGCCACCGGCTGGGACAAGTTTTTCGCGGATGACGAGGCGGGATCGTCGGATAAAAAGCCCACGGAGGACACTTGGACGGTCGAGGATTTGTACGGAAAACGGATTTTGTACGCGTGTGCCCAGCTGCGGCTGAAGTTGGAAGAAATTATTCTGAGCACAAGTAACGCTGGGAACAACTCAGTGCCGTCGGCGAAACAGGAGGCCATGTGTCCAGTTGCCGATCCGATGACGGCGATCATTGACCAGGGTGTGCTGAAACCGGATCATGCCGACGAGGAGCTCAAGTCGGCTGCTTCCCTCCGCCTCCCTACCTTCACGGGCTACCATCCGTTATTCAGCAAAACGACCACGAAACAATGTGACTTTATCCCGAACCAGGACTTCGCGGGCGGCGATTTGTTTTCCATCGAAATGAGCGAAAATTTTTCCCACTTCTTCGCGGAATCGGAAGCCCTCCACAGCTCTGGCGGTGGGGCAGGAAGTGAAGACTCAGTGCAGGCTGAGAACGCGAGAAAGTGCCAGCGGTTGTGCGAGATGGTGCACATCTGCAGTGCGTGGACGTATCATGAAGTGGAGGGTCCTGTTGCCGACGACAATGCCGTCGATTCGGCCCAGCCGCATCACGGCCGCTGCTACGTCAAAAACCGTTCGAAGACGACGTTGCACAACGCTGTGAATCGCTTCACGGGGGAGTGTCAGGGCGGGCCAGATCATTCTAGTGCGGGTGCAGCAGCAGCTGGAACTTCAGGTACAGAATCCGATATTGAAGACACCGCGAAGATCGCAGCCCTCATCGATCCAAAAACCGGCAGTATGAAGTTGCCGAACCCGCTGAAAATCTTGATCCCGAAATTCAGCGATGCAGTAGATGGAGTGCCGTCGTTCGGTGGGGACGTCGCCGTTCCGGAAAGTTTTGTCGGGTGCAATCCCATGGTTTGCGAGGACCAGAACACGTTGCGGGAGAAGAAAATTCTCACCACCGTTCTCCCTTCGAGGGGGATGCTCGCGTCGGGGATGATTTGTGGGAACCAATTCCCGAGCACCATGGAGATTTGTCCGTGCGGAGGCGACGGCATTGGCTCTGGAGGTAGTACAGGCTCCCTATTCCCCTCCGACGGGACGCTACCCTCGCGCATGACGTGGGAGCATTTGTTTACCCAAGCGAGCGACATCACGAAGTCGCCAAAACAAATTTTTGGCGATAACCCGGCAAACTACGTCACCGGAACCGGGTTGAGCAGTGAGTTGGCTTCTGATTTTACCGAAAATGCGGAAATCCAAGCAGTTTTCTACGAGTACAGCCGCTCGGTGTGCCGGCAAATCGGGAAGAACAAAATCCTCGTTTCAGCATCCGACACTACTTCCGATTACCACCTACCCGAAAACGCCCACGTAGAATCCTGGCGCCCGTGGCCCGAGTGCGACCAAATCGGGATTCGCCCGGTGTTTTACCCGACCGGGGTGGGGTATTTTTGGGATCAGTTAGCCGGGGACGAGGGGGAAACGATTGAAATCGACCCCGGGTACAACAGCTGGTTCTCCCAGGGCACCATTTGCCAACCCGGGTGTGCAGAACCTACTTTCAAAACATCAGGCACCTCCGACCGGTTCCACGCCGCACAGCGGAAAACAACAGAAGCGGCGCTGGTGAATCTAGTGCAGAATTTATCAAGGTGAAAAATGCCCCCACCCCCAAATTTGCAGGAATTTGTGATGCGAAGTTTCCAAATGAAAACTTTTTGTCATGCATGAAAGGAGTATGAATCTTTCTGCTGCAGAGTCTAGGCGTATATGGCATCGCTTGCATGACAAGCGCCGCTCTTGCTGGGCTCTTTTGCAATACAAATCTTTGCTGTTGACGGTTGGAAACGTGTGATGCTACTAGATGCAAGAAGGCGAGTGTTTCTTTTGGAAAGGTTTGCAATACAAATGCTCCCAAGTTCTGGGGTGGGGGCATTTTTCACTGTAATAGAATTTCTGCGTCCGAATGGACTACCGGAGGACGAGCTACGCTCGGGGCTGGAAGGGGGAGGCCGCTGATGCTTCCGAAATGCCGACGGATGCTTATGAAACAGCGAAGTCGGAAATTCCGGCTTTAGATGCGGAGTATGAAACGGCGGTTTTCAACGACGCGTATTTGAATCCGTTTCTTCCCTACTCTACCCAGGACCATGACGCCTGGCTCTTCGACTATACTCTGATGTACGACACGATGCAAACCGGGTGCAAGGCCGTTCCCGGCTGGCTCTCCGTTACTGACCTCCAACGTCGGATTATCGCTTACCTCGCCGGGGTTTGCGGGGTGAGAAGTGAGAGTGAGTGCGAATCTAGTGACAAAAAACGACCTACCGCGTTTCCGGGAAATATTGGTCGGAAATCCGGCGTTCCAGCAGCGGATGGAGCGACGGAAAAAGACCTCCAGTGGTTCCCGGGGGGCGAGATTTGCAAACTTGCGGGATCGGAAAGTGATGCGGAAACTTATCTGAGCAGTGAACTCTTAAATTCCGATGTCGAGTTTCTGAAAGGAATCACTTCTACGCAGACCACTTCGGAAGGCGATAACAGTGCTAGCACACCAACTGTGAAGATAAGCCAATGCGTTCCCTCCATTTCCCTCCCAACTTTCCAGGGTCGGGAGGCGTTCACAAACACGTGGCTGGGCGCCGTGGCGCCGAAGATGCATTTATTCGAACTCCACTTCGTCTACACAAGGTTGCAGGAGTACTGCGAACTGGTTTTATCCTTTCCGGAAACGGAGGACTTTTACACAGCGTCTGCTGTCGGCGTGAACAACCCAGGAGGACTGGAAGATGAAATTGCGAGGTTGCAGTATCTGACCCGTATCGTTTTCGGAACCGAAATATCAAGTGCAAAAATGTCTGGGTCTGGAAGAATGCATGTCTGTCATGCTTGTCTGGCATGACTCTTGAATCTGTCATGCACGTTACCCAAGCGCTCCATTTTTCTGTCATGCAGAAACGCAGTCTGTCATGCAGAATAGTCAACACATAGAAGCTCAGAAACTTGTCATCCTTAGCCAGCACTTGTGGCCTCATCATGATACGCCACCCAGCATCACAAGTTTCCAGACCCAGACATTTTTGCATTTGATGCGAAACCCTGGATACAAACCTCGCCTTCCGGTTCGCCGAGCACCGGGAGCGCAGAGCTGGGTGCGTCATGTTGCTTTTCACAGACACGCCTGATGCGGATCTACACGGCAGCGACGTTGATCAGCATCAGCCGAAGGGGTATGTGCAGAAGGAACAGCTGCTCGCCGCAACTGCCGGGTCCGGTTCTGGTGGTGACGGTGACACCACCGAGGGCGGTGTGCAGCTTCCGGGACTGCCGAGAAGAATGACTTGGGAAAATCTGTTCCACCAGGCGGGAAGCATTGCGAGCTCGCCACGCGAAATTTTTGGCGCGGAAGATGAATACGGACAAACGGTCAGTCCGGAGTTGCAAGATTTCACCTCTGTAAGGGATTTATCCGGTATGGTGAAAGAGTACGGGAATACGCTCTGTCAGTCCATCAACTTGAACCGAATCGCATTCACTAACCTAATCCACGATCTCCCCCCCGACGGTACACCAGATCCTATGAGTTCTGTCCCCACCTGCACCGATTCCCGTTTACCGCGGCTCTTTTACCCAGTCGGGATCGCCGGGAACGGGGGGTGGGAAGAGGCGGCGGAAGGCGTTGACGAGGCTCTTTTGAGCACCTGGCCGGATTGGGCGCAAGGCTTGAGACCACCAGGCTCCTCGGCCGCATCAAATGTCCTCCAAATGTGCACCGCGAGCTGCACAGCCGCGTCCTGGTCAGCGGTTGTCGAGGACGACGCGCAGACGCCGCGAGAGAACGTGGAATTTGCGCTGGCGAATTTGGTCCAAAGTTGGTGCGTGCGGCAGGATTACGGCAGAACGAGCTGGGCGTTCGGGTGGAAGAAGAATGGGGGGGACAGCGAGGTCACACCGGCGCAATATTTCGATGGAGGTTTTGATAGTACTTCAGGCGTGACCACGGATTCTTTCCCTGCTGATGCCCTGAACGCGAGGTCCCGCATCCCCCCGGTTGATTCAACTTACGAAACGGGTGTTTACCGGCTCGCAAACCTGCAGCCCTTTGTGCCACTCGATGTTGATGATACTTCTAACCAGGGAGGAGATCAACAGCAGCATCCACCGGTTCTTTTCAACCCTACCATTGTCTATCAAACGCTGCAAACCAGCTGCAAGGCGATTCCCGGGTGGCTGTCGGTATCGGAATTACAACAGCGGATCCAGGCGTATTTGACCGGGGTTTGTGCGCTGCAAGAAACTTTATCAAAAAATGCAAAAATGTCTGGGTCTGGAAGATTCTGACACTTGTCATGCACGTTTTGCATGAGCCATCATGTCTGTGATGCATCCCCTAGCAATACAGATTTTTTGAGGGCTTCTTGATGCGTATTCCGCATGACAAATGCCTTCTCAGCGTAGCAAAAATTGCCTTTCCTTTGGTACTCATGCAATACAAATTTTTTTGGAATCCAAATGCAGCATCACAAGTTGCATTCTTCCAGACCCAGACATTTTTACATTTGATAAACTTCTTGCGAAGAAACGGGTCTCCGGCCTAGGTTTTTCCCAAAAGACACCGCGTACCGAACGACGGATTATATCCGCGACGAGACGACAAGTGCGGCTAAAAACCTCGGCTGGATTTCCAGTGGGAAATTGTGCTCGTCCGATACACACCAAAACGCGAGGGCGAGGTTGGAAACCGCGATTGGGCTGAAAACCGCTCCGTATCAAATGCAAAAATGTCTGGATCTGGAAGCTTGTGATGCTGAACTGTGGTTGACTGAAATGTTACCCAATGCAGCCAAGCATGGCAAGTTTGCACAACGCTCTCTCATGCTCAGTCCGCATGAGAAACTGCGCTTTTGTATGACCAAAGAGGGCGTCTTTTTTGTTAGTCATGCAACATAGATTTTACAGGAGTGTAGGACTAGCATTACAAGTTCCATTTTTCCAGACCCAGACATATTTGCAATCCATACTGCGGACGCGGGAACACCAGCAGGATCATCCCCGGCGGTCACTCCCGCTGTCTTGGCAAATTATGGCATTCCCTCCAGCCCTGACTGTGTGCCCGCGACCTCGTTGATTGATCCAAGTGATTTAACCCACGAGTCCTCCTTCTACAACCAGAAGCACGACGGGAAACTGAGTGAAAAGAAACATCTGTGGGAACTCCATCATGTCTACAACCGGTTGAATGAGTACTGCAATTTGGTTCTCGCGCTACAACCCGAAAACGAGGAATACGAGAATAACGGCGGCTCGGTGTTTGTCAATGATGATCAAATCCGATTCCTTAAGGACATCAATTTCGGCGAGCAATTCGCTTCGTCCATTCCAATGGATTTCGAAACGGGGGAGGAAAGGTTTTTCCGTCAAGATCGACATCGTCAGCGGAGAGCCGGGTGTTTGCTGTTTCGCTACTTGGACGACGGGTCGCCACGGAATCTGGACGGAACTTTCGCCGACAAAAGTGTTTACAGTGGCACTGAAGAGGACAACCACGGAGTAGACCATTTTTCCTTTGCGCTCCTTCCGACGGAGCAAATGCCGAAGGCTTTCGTCGACCCAGCTGACCTGCCGCCCGTCGAAGAGCCAGCCACGACAGCGCCGCCTATCGGCGAGATCCCGCCGCCTGCGGAGCTTGTTTCGGGAACCGGCCGTGTTTTGCCGAATGACATGACGTGGGAGCACTTGTTTCGAAATTCGATTGATTTGCGGCTTTCGCCAAGCGAAGTTTTTTCTAATAACGGAGAGCAGGACGATTTAGCCGGATTGCAAACACTCGACCTGCAAACCGCGTTTTCGGAGTACAGCTCGCAGATCTGTCGGGGAATCAAGAAGCAGTTACTACTCGCTGGGACTTTCTCCGAAACAGCGAATTCGTGCAGCAAGAAAAACCTTCATGAGGTTTTCTATCCGTACCAACTCGGAGGTACTGCGCTGTGGGACGATTGGTTTACGGCGACCGTCCTGGGGAACCAGATTTGCACGGCGGATTGCTTGACCGCCTCGTACGGCTCGGGTTGGGATGCCGTGACGACAGGATTTGTACTAGAAAGCAATCCAATTGTTCCAACGGTAGACACTTTGAAACTCGCGCTCGCGGAGGTAGCGCAGAACTGGTGTCAACGGATGGACTACCTGCGGACACAGAGTTACTGGTCGGAAGAAGGTACTGGTTCAGAACAGACTTCGGTCTACAAGACGATCTTCCAAGCTGGTGGTACACCAACATCTTCAAGCGGTGTTTGGTACGAATCCGGGGTTCACAACGGTCCGGCTGGCCCGGGTTTCGATCGGCAAGATGAAGAATTTCCCTTTTCATCCAGTCAACCGAATGTCGCCAACCTCGATGGATTAACCATCAATTCTGCCTACGACATCCTCCAGTCCTCCTGTATGACCTTCTCAGGCGTCACAATCTCAAACGTTGCAATAGAGTGTGGACTTTGTTTTGCCTCAGCAGCATGACAGAGTCGCAGAGCGTTCTTCTTTCTGCAATACAAGTTGCGCCAGGTTCTAGCTAGTTTTGGAACTGCTCCGGAACTTGTCATGCGCAATCCTGCGGGAGTTGGCTAGATGATGCGGTTTTTGCATCACCGATTTCCATGTCCTGTATTGTAACACTTGGGATTGTAACGTCTGAGCATGTCATATCCTGCCGCGCTCTGCCCGGGTGGCTGTCGACGGAGGAATTGCGGCTCCGGATTCAAGCGTATACCGCTGGGGTGTGTGCTTTCTTAAAAACCCCTCTCGGCTCGAAAACGGGGCTCGCTCCGGGTTCGCAATGGCCCACTTCTTCGGAGGAAGCAGGAGGAGGCACCAGCAGCTCCAGCGAGAACAACGTTTGCGAAACCACTGGTACACGCCCCCAGGTTTTCCCGAACGATGCGGGTTGGCGGGATTTGCACGGACACAAATTGATGTGGTTCGAAAGGGGCATTGTGTGTACGGAAGTGACTGACGGCGCAGGTTACTCAGCGATGGACGTGTGGACGGATCTGTTCAAGAACAAACAAAGCGAAGTAGATGCTGTTGTCCCGGAGATTTTGAAGAACAGCAATTCTGCCTGCGTCCCGACGATTGCGGCGAAATCTACAACTTCCTTACGAGAGTGCACAACTCCCCCTCCTTCTCATTTGTATGGTCGATAAGCAGCAACACAAGCAACCACAGAAATGTGGCTGCCGCATGACAAATCTGTTGCACACGTTATCTGTAGTACAACTCTTTGAGGTTCCAAATGAATTTGGCATGGACAAGGTGCATACAGGTAGGACTTGGATTTGGTATTTTGCATTACAAATTATGAGGGGAAGGGGGATTGTGCACTCTCATATTTCTACGAGAATTTCCACAAACTCACCGGCTCGGCCGATCGCACGAACCCGACGCATTATAATGAGAAGTACGAGCATTTGGAACTCCACTGGACCTACAACCGAATCAAGGAATACTGTGAGTACGAATTATTGGAGAAGAGTACAGCTGCTCCAGAGTTACAAGATTTCCTGAAGGCCGTGAAAGAAAAATCCTCGCCGAAGTCGAATCCCGGTTCTACTGGCAATCCCAAGTGGGAATCCGGTGAGGGGTACCTCGACAACGCGCGGCGGATCGGGTGCAAAATTTTCACGGATTTGGACCGCCCGCGGGACGCAGCGGAGGTGGTTTTTGCTGGTGAAACAAACACGCACCCTACTACAGTTGCGGACCAGGTGAAAAACTTTGTTTCCATCCCCGCTACTGGGGACTACGGGTTGAAAAGTGAAGTCCTCGATCTCGGGGACCCTTCGGATGGCCCTGCTTTCTGTGCGAAGAAGGGGAAAAAATGTGAGGAGCCAGGGTCCTCTTTTGCCGGGGTGTCTCCCTTGAACGGGAGGTGTTATCATCAAGTGATCAAAAGGTCGGACGGAAATGCGGAGGCGCTAGCGAAAGATTGTCTCTTCGACCGGTTTCCGGATGATTTTGGCGAAGAGCTGACCACTTTGTTGCAGGAGAACCGGAATCTACATCGTTTGACCGGGGAGGGGGATGAGAACATCGCTGAAGAAGAGAAGAAAAACCCGTGTTTGGGGCAAGCAGTTTCTGGCCGAAAAATCATCCCTTTACTGGTTTCCGGCGAGCCGGAAACCTTCACGACTTACTTCGGGTCGCGGCCGTTTGACAAAGTCATTGAATCGAAGCACGCGGAGGGGAAACGGGCGACGAAGAAGGAAGTTTGTTTTGGCGGGGCGGCGGCCGCGAGTGATGATTTTTATGTGGTTAATGTTGAGGGAAACTTCAAACTCCCATCCGCTTTCGGCAACTCCGCGGGAAAAGACAATGCGCAGAACACCATGCGGGTGAATCAAATCACCCTCCGCCACAGCTACGGCGAAACGTCCTGCGGCCAGAATACAAAGGACTGCCGCAGTGACAACTGGGCAACCAGGAAGGGGGCTGCGAATGTGTGGATCCTCGCGACAGACAGCGAAAATGATCAAGATGGAGCTACTTCATCGCAACAAGAGTACGTCGCCGCGCCAGCAGGATCCTATTTCCCCGCAGCAGACTCGGATTTTCAACTGTTCTGGACCAAAGACGGGGCGGATTCGGTGTACACAAAATGGGTGACTGGTGGGGAATATCCGGAGGGTAATGAGAATGCTAAAATGCAAAACGCAGGGGAATTTCGCTACCATTGGATGGAACACGCGGAAAACTTACCGTATAAAGTAGAAACCGCTGCCGGTGCACCAGGTGCTGACACCTCTTCTGATGCGAAGAACTACATGTACGCCTATGCGTCCTACGACAAGGAAGCCAACGACAAATTTCCGAACAACCCGAAAGACTTGAATTTCCCGCGGCAGTCCGCGATTGACCTGCAGCTGGAGCGAACGGCGACTCCGGCGGACTTACCTGATTCGATCGCGCGTGACAACTACTTTTACAAGGGGGGCATAACCTACCACCTAGTCCACGGGGAGAATTATTGGCGGAGTGGGGGCACGGATGCCGCGGACAATGTCGGGGAGTCGTGTGTGCACGTGTTGGTTTGCGTGGACGTGAAGGCGCAAATCCCAGCGGGGCAGGTCCTCGCCGTCCCGGCAGCACCCAAAGAGGACGGCCAAGCGTTTATCCTGAGTAAAAACGTACCCACACCAGAGTCAGGATGGGGATTTTGCAACACAAGCCTAGCAGTTTTGTGGGTCACGCATGACAAGTTGCACTATGCAGTGTAGTGCAGGTTAGCAAGTGCAGCCGCATCACAGATTCATCTGCTCATCCTGTTCACAGCACCACAAATTCCAAAACACGATTGGAAATGGCTCTCATGGGGATGCGCATTACAAGTCTTCCTCTCTTTGCAAATCTGCATTACAACTCTGGTGTGGGTACTTTTTTACTCAGGATAGCGTTCTGCCAAGACCGGCCTGCGAAGGGGGAGAGGTGCGTGGACGAATATGATAAACCGAAGTTTGGCGTTTGTATGAAAGGAGAAAGCAGTGCAGTATGCGACTTCAAGCACGTCGACGAAATAGCAGAGTCCGCTCCTTTGAAAGACTTGACGCCAGAAACAGCAATCGCCGCTAGCCCGCCGAGTCAGGGAAATTTGAAGGCGGAAAACCTTTTAAACGGGCAGCAGATAGCCGCGTATGAGCAAAACGGCGCACCATCTGGGGTTTACACGAGCTACAGCGACAAAAACCACTGCGCGTACGTGGAGTTGGATTTGAACGACGGGGATAAAGCTGGAAAGAGCGACGCGTTTGATGTTTCCAACGTGCGAATCCAAATCCCAGTCGAGAACTTCTACCTCCGCCAACTCTTCTTCGCCCGGCCCTGGACGTCGCAGAGTTCTGCTGAAGAGCAGGAGCTGGGAATAACAACCAAGTTCGGGGAACAAAGCCCCTGTCTTCTCCCTGACTGTTTACAAACGGAAGAAGGCAATACCGGGTACACGCTTCCTCCCGGTGCTCACTTCCCGAACGTGCACGAGGGGATCGAAGTTTTCGTCACGAATCACACGGTCGAGTTCGCAGCTCCCTGTAAGAAGCCAAGAGCGGAAGAGGTTGTAACTGGTGCAAGTGCTATGGATGAAAACTCGGGCAGCGGCAGGGAACTTTGTGAAGTTATCAAATTCGACAAGGGGAATGGGCTCGCGAGGGTACGGAAAATGCACAATTACCAGCGGTATCGAATGCAAATATGTCTCGGTCTGGAAGAATGCAACTTGTGATGCTGCATTTGGATTCCAAAAAAATCTGTATTGCATGAACAGCAAAAGAGGTGTATTTTGTGCTACGCGGAGAGGGCATTTCTCATGCGGTATGAGCATCAGAAAGCCCTCGCAAAATCTCTGATGCTAGGGCATGCATCACAGACCTCATGGGTCATGCAAAATCTGCATGGCAAACTCCTGCATTCTTCCAGACCCAGACATTTTTGCAATCCACAACCGGATCCACGACTTCGACAGCGTTTCGGCCGCCGCTGGGGCGGGTGAAGATGTTAGCGGTGCTTTCACCGTGGGTGAGATGGTGATTGACTGCAGCAAGGCTGCTCCGGGGAAATTCGTTGTGGTCCAACTCCCCTTACGGCAGGAGGGGATCACGTCAGGCAGTGGCTCTTCTTCGGCAAGTTCTTTCTTGCAAAAGGCTACAAAATCAAAAACCTCCCTCCGCCCCGCCTACCGCGAACTCGCGATTTTGGGCGTAAAAGTCTTCGGCACCGGTGTTGCTGCGAACCCGATCGGGGGTGGGGATGGCGACTTCGATGGAAACGCATCGGAACTAGAACTTGCCGTCCGGTCTGCAGTGTTCAACTTCTACAATCTCCAGTGCTATGGGAACGGGCTGTTCGCTGCGGAGAGTTGCACCCCGGAGAAGACGAAACTCCTCGCAAATTACGACACCGCTGTGTGCACTTACGAAACCAGAATCCCGTCTGGTTCTTTGAACAAGCTGCACTCGGGTGAGTGTTTTTTCGACATCGAAAAAGCGGAGGAACGGGCTAATATTGCTGACTCGTCCGCGCAACCAAATGACGCACAGCTTTTAACCTCGGTGTTTCAACTCCTAGACCATTGTGGCGACCAGTTTCTGAATGGGAAGGGAACAAACCCGAGGTTCCCGACGAGTTCTACTTTAGTTTCAGCAGCAGCGGATGACAGAAGTTCATCTTCTCTTTCTTCTTCCCAAGTTGTGGCCGGCACCGCCGAACCGCATCCGACCCTACCACAGTCCGCGCACGCGGAAAACCACAACTGCGCTTTATTCGGCCGGAAGCTCGTCGAGATCTGCAGCAAAGTGGACCGGCGGTTTTACGACCAGAACTGGAGCGACGATTTTTTCATCTCCGGGTTCTACGGCGATGCATTCGCGGTGTCCGACAGCGTGATGAGCGGAAGAACAGGAGGGGTCTGTCAAGAAGTTGTGGTGGACAAAATGGACCACAGCTGCGCAACGATAATCAGCGCAGAGGAAGAAGATGATCTGCTGAGCGTTTTGGACGCCGGGTTGACAAGGATTTCCTCCAGTGCAACTACTTCTTTGAACAAGCCCGCCCGGGTGCTTTCGTTATTTCTCTGCGCGTACTCCCGGATGTCAGCTACCGAAGTCGAAGTTGTGGCGAATAGTGAGGAATGGATCATGCCTATCTTGTGTAAAAACGTCCCCACCCCAGAGTTGTCATGCAAATCTGCATGCTCAAAATGTTTGTCATGCGGAGACACATGAGAAGCATTTTCTGGTCGTGTTTTGGAATTTGTAATGCGCCAATCAGCATGATGTACTAGATCTGTGATGCTTCTGAACTACCTCAAACAGCACTACACTGCGACTCCAAATTTGTCATGCAAAACAGCCGAAACTCGTGGACTTGTCTAGCCGATTCCCCATCTTGACTCTGGTATGGGGACGTTTTTACTCAGGATAATGCCTGGATTGCAGGCGGGAGACAGTTGCGAGATTTTGCCCTTGATCGCCGGTGATAAGCTATTTCCCACCCCTGACCTTGAGTACCAGTTTCTCCAAGAACTCGCTACTTCTGGGGGTGTCTTGTGTCAACTGCAAGATTTGTCCGTCAATTTTCGGACCGACCTGGACCTGGTGAAGAACTACGTTCTGGAATACGAAGAGAAAGTGGCAACGGCAGAAAATTACGCGGTTCTGTCCAAAGACCTCCGGACGGATCAAGAGTTGCTGAAGTTGTTTGTCCATTACCAAAACGGCGCAGCTGCATCCTTTGCGAACGTAGACCTGCTCCGTCTCGCCACTTTCACCCTTCGCGCGGACGAGGCGGTCATGCGAGACCTGTTTCTACCAGTGATCGGCTCCTCTCAACCTGCTCCTGTCGACTGCCGAGCAGGGTTTCCCTTCCTCGACAATACCCTCCAGAACGACGTGGATTTCGTCGCGGATATTGTCCGAAGAAAAAATGATGAATGGGAACCAGACGAGGCGTGGCCGCCGTGTGTTAACTTGATTCCGGAGTCCTTGCCTGATTTCACACCGGATGGAAATCCTGGTTTAAGGGACAATGTGGAATTCTTTGAAAAACTACTTTTCCCTGCAGATGCTACCACTAATCATCTCCCAGAATCGACCCGCTGTTTCGACATTTTGGTCCACGCAGAGGATAGTGTGAAGGGGAATGTGGCATTCGCAACCAAGCTCGTCGAAGATTCTTCGCTCGTGAACAGCGTGGAGAAAAGAAGTAGTCCAGAAACGAATTGGCCAGGAGAATCAACTGTCTGCATTGCCTCGATCGTCAACACTTTCCTCAAACCTGGCGATACGGATTTTACGAAAGACCGAGTGATCATGAAGAAGTTGATCCGAACTTCCACTGATTGCTCCGCGTTCAAATACGCAGACCAACAACTTCAATCCGACGACACCTTTCGGACTGAAATCGCCGCGCTGGACCCAAGTAATGAAGGCTGTCAATCGATTTCTCCCGACCAGTCTTTGGAATTTTGGAAATCGAAAATCGAAGCTAACGGCTGTGAGGAATTTGCAAATGCCAGTACGAAACTGAAGAAGACCGACGACGAGGGTCTCGCACCATGGATTCTCGAGTACGACAACGGGAAATGTGCCTTTTTCGCGTTCAGGCACTTCATCTACGGGGACCATACCAGCACGGGGTTTCACTCGATGGTGGAGAAGGTGCTGTCAAAAAAGGGGAACAATCATGCCTGGAATCCCTATGAAGTCGATTTCCCGGGGTATGGCTCTCTACCAGCTCCATTGGACGAGAATATCGTGGAGAATGTTGGGGATGATGAAAGCGACGAACCGTCCGTGGATTTGCTGGAAAAAATTGCCGCGATAACTGATAACAGCAACACGATTGTTCAGCAGCAGAAAGAGTTCTTCATCACGAACAGCGAAACGCTTCTCAGCTGCTATCTCTACCCGTTGCTCCCGTTAGAGGATTTCCGGACGAACAGAATTCTGGCGAGCAAAACTTTCAGCAGCAACGACGGGTGTGGGTTAAACTTTATTTTCGTCGACCATGCTCTGAAATACGATGTTTTGGTAGCGACTGCCGCGGTGCAGTCAACCTGCTACGCCATGCGAGACGTGCCAAGGGCTTTGCAGAATAACGTCGAGGTGTGTAAAGCCGCGGTGACACCACTAAAAGATAGTAGAATCTCGAATGAGTTCAAATATTGCCTCCCCGGATTGTTCGCGACCTCGTTTCAAGACATTTGCAAGTCCAGCTTCGAGTTCGCCGAAACATTATCAAATGCACAAATGTCTGGGTCTGGAAGAATGCCAGACTTTTCATGCAGGTTTTCCATGACCCATGAGGTCTAGTATGAAGGACATAGCATGACAGATTCTGTGAGAGTTGTATCATGCCTATCCAGAAACTGCCTCTCGATTAGGTCAAAAGTGGACAGCTTTTGGCAATCATGCAACACAGATTTCTACATGATTCAGATTTAGCATGACAAGTTGCTGTGTTCCAGACCCGGACGTTTTTACATTTGATAAACACTGGTCACTTACGACTGCCACGCTTTGCGGTATTTGGAGAGCGCGAAACTCGGCGCGACAGCGTATGAAACGGTCGTGCAGGTGGCGCTGGCGCAGCAGGGAGATGATGTTATAACTGCGGAGATAAACATCAACGATGGGAACAAGGACGATGTCGAGCCTGGTGACGAAGAGTTCAAAACGCTCTCTTGTCCGATCGCGGTGAAGAGCCCCCTCGACCCGGCGACAGCGGACCTCGCCACCGGCTTGGACTACCGAAAACTGGGGTCGCCTTTGCAGTTTGTGGAGGGGGAGTTTCTGAGCAAACATGTTGATTTGGTGAAAACGGCTGTTTCTCAGCATTGCTCGGCCGGCTGGAAGGCTGCGGTGCGGGCGACGAAGAACACCAACAGCCCTGTGGCACTAAACGCCGACCTTTTGCAGTGGATCTTCCTAAACCAGGCGAAAACTTTTCCCGGCTACGAAGACGCGCACACTTCTGGAGCAAAATTGGAAGAATCCCTTGTGTCAAAACACGACTGCACCGTCGCCACTTATCTCGAAATCGCGGGGGAAGAAGCGAAATCAGACTTGGAGGTCATGACCGCCGCTGCTGCGGTGGATTGCAACGTGTGGACGAAATTTGCATCGGCAGAACTGCGAAAGAACTACAAGGCGAAGAAACCTAACAACTTCGACCTAGCGTGTATGGGGGTGTCAGGATCGAAATCGACAAAGTCGAAAAATTTGTAATGCGTAAAATGTAGGGCAAGTAAGGCCTGTATTGGGGAGCAGGCAAATGAGACCGATTGTAAGCCTGTTTAGGGGTATGCAATGTGCTGCCAGAGTAGCATGACAGCAGCAGCCGTCTTTGCCCAAACAGCATGACAGACTGGATTTGGGTGCTCCCGAAATTTGTCATGCGCCAAGTACAAACTGAGGCTCCGACTGGTATCGATTTTATGCATCACAAATTTTTCGATTTTGCCAATTTCGATTTTGACATGTCCATAGCGTTGCAACAAAACCCGGATAATTTGACCCTACACTGTACCATCGTGCAGGAGGAAATCATTGTCCAGACACTCGCGCCGATTACGGTGAAATCCTGCGAGGTGTCGTTTGGTAATCCGGATTTGGAAAATTTGTGCACGAACGTGGGAAGCGGTGGAGGGGTTTACAAGTTGAATACCGGTATGTCCGCGCACATTTGGCGCAAGCTATCAGATGTAAAAATGTCTGGGTCTGGAAATTTGTGATGCTAAAATGTGGATGATGGAAACAGTTTCGAACGCAACCTAGCATGACAACTTTCCAGAACGGTTTCTCATAGGTAATCCGCATGAGGAACTGCGTGGTTGCATGTCCAAAAGAGGCTGCGACTTTTGTTGGTTATGCAATATAGATTTCCTAGGTATGGAAAGCCAGCATTACAAGTTCCAACCTTCCAGACCCAGACATTTTTGCACAGGATACAGGCTACAGAACTGCAAAGTCTCGGAGATCAACTGTGACAAGTTGAACCGGTGACTTTTGCAAATTTGATTGATTTGTGATGCAGATTTTTTTGTCAATTTTTTTTTTTCATTCTTCTGAACATACTTACATGATTTTGAGTTACATTTATCATCACGCTTTTTTGGGCTTCACATGCAAGCGGTCGGCAATTTACAAGTTTAGATCTTCAAATAGCAGCTGTTTCAATTCGAAGTAACTTCTAGTACAACATTTCCTAAGTACATAAATTTTCATCCTTAGCACAGCTTTCTTTACTAATTTTGCATGCAGATCAACATGAGCTACCCCAAGAGTAACAAGACAACTCTGCCCAAGTTTCAAAAACGCACACCCACCCGTACTACAGCCTCTCCTTTTTCACTCAATGCCAGCATAAGTCGAAGCCGCTAATGTTTGATGTGGTAGGCTGAAGCTTTCCCGGTTAGTATCCCTAACAAAGTTCTTTCGCTGCTAGCCACAAACAATAATTTTGCTCTTCCCCGCCAATAAAGCAGAACCCTACCACCCCCTGTCTCGTCTTTACCCCGCATTTTTGCATAACAAGTACTACCAGTCTGATACCTTTACAAACAATTTTCCTTCGATTTAATGAGGCTTCGACAAAGATTAGACAAGTTGCTTGAGGACGCCACGAATTCGGTGGCCGTTCTTGGTGCACAGATGTTTCTATCATGGTCATCATCGAGCGATGAAGCGGGTGTTGTGTTCCTGCAGGAGATGTGGAAAAGAGATGAGTTGCGGCGAAAAGTAAACTGGAGTCTCTGTATCATGATCAGAGAGAGCGAGAGCAGGCCCGAGGGAGCTGTTTTTCCTGAGAGGTTGCGCATTGTGCCTCTCTCTGGCTTGATTCTATCTCTCCCGGGAGCTTCGACTCAGCAACTGGAGAACAGCGGCCGACTGGCCGGCTACCACTGTAGCCCCTTCGGGACAAGTGTGCCGAAGTGACAGGGCCGCGCGACATAAAAGCAGGGCGTGGGGCAGGCAGTTGGGTGGTGGAGAATGCCTCGCGGCGAAGGAGGAAGACAATAAGAAGAACGATAAGAAGAATGCCGGCCGGCCCTGTGGAACAAGTCCGAAAGCTGGCCCCCGCCCCGGGCGGCCTCCCTTGAATGACCCGTCGCCCCGCGCGCGTCCCCGCCGCCCGCTTCCTTGGCCGGCTTCATGCGCAGGCGCCGAAGCTGCGGCGGCAAACGTCGCGCAATGGGCCGGCGACTCACGCCGCCCCGCCAGAATTATGGCGGGCTCGTTGTATATTAGGCTTCCCGCGCGCGCCCCCCGCCGCGGCGCAGCTGCGGGCACGGCCGCGCGATTGCCCCGCCCTGTAGCGGCATCGCCTGCATGCGCCTGTGGCGCAGGAGCACGCCTTGGTGTTTTTCCCGTAGCCTTCATGACCGCGGCCCGCCCAATTCCGGAGGCTCTTTTGGGTTGGCGCTTCGTCGTAGCAGCAGCTTGTAAGAAAAAACACACATAGACCCCGCTATTTGCCGCAACGCTGCGCGCCTTGTTTGCCTCTGTGCCCCATCCAGTGTTCGCACTCCAGGTGCAATTGACGCAGCGCAGCGACTGTGTACAGAGGCTTCGACAGAGATAAGACAAGTTGTTTGAGGGCACGACGAAATCGCAGGCCGTGCGGGTTCGTGCAGTGTCAGTGTGGTGCACAGCTCAGGGCTGCTGTACTGTTGTTGTGACACCTCTCAGAAAAAATAAAAATTCGTTTTGCAACCGCCCAGTAAAAGCTTGATCGTGAACAGCTCCTTCGTGATAAAAATCGCGAAGTCTACCTTCACTGATCGTAGCCGCAAGTTTATCTTCTTTGTCGTGTCGTGGCAGAATAAAAACGGGCCGTGCTTCATCTATTGCAACAGCCAGCAAAAGAACTTCTTCGATTCGGTTACAAGGAAGATCTCAATTTTCGTTGAATCAGTTGGGTCGTCGTGATCGAAGTTTGGAACACGTCGTCGTCGGGAAAAATCGGTACAGCAGTACTATTACTTAAAAAGGTAAAAGGACGCTTTTTTCGTACCGCTCTTCCTAGCAGCAGTCTATCACTTTCGCTTGCCAGCTTTTTTTTTAAGGAAAACGAGCTTCTGATTTCTTTTCAGCTCTGGCAGATTCGTAGGATTGGACGCCGATGGTTCCCGCAGCAGTAATCGGCACGTGGTCGTGCTGCGGCGGAGGTGTCGAGGTTGCTGCTTCTGCAATAGCCTGTGTTGAACACGGGTGATTTACTTACCCATCCCTGCTAGATGACAAGAGATTTCTGAAAATCAGAATCACGTCACGACTACATTTTCACCAACCATGGCGGATTTTTGGAAGACCGTGTATGAGAACACCCAGGCGGCCGTGGCGGACTATGTCAAGAAGGCGGGTGGTGATGATAAAGATAAAGCGAAAGATAGTACAAAGAATCGCGTTTTAACAGTCTGGTCAGCGTCGACAGGATACTGTGCCACGGCTTCCGGTGCCGGAAATTATAGCATGACAGGTTCCTCCTGTTCCGATTCCATCGAGGCGAACCCCCCGAGCCCGAAGTCCGATGTTGATGAAGACTGCAGCTTTATTGAGTACTTCCACGCCCAGGTGCCTACCGAATCCGACGTGGAGAATGAGAACCTTGGGTTTGATACAGATGCAGAACAGCATGACAAATCCTCTTCCACCAACGACAATCTGATCCACATTCTCCCAACTTCCAACCCGAATAAACGACTGTCCCGGTCCGGCACCGTTGCTACGGTGGAAATCCGACCCCCGCACGACCCGCTCGAACTACGGAAGCTGATGTTTTTTGCGGACGAAGAAGAATACCACTACATGAAGAGCCGGCAGACGGTGATGACCACACGAGGACCAGCAACTGGGTCGACGTTACGAACAACGATAGAACAGTCTTACGAAGAGCAAAGCACCAGTTCCGGGGGACAGGATAGTTGTCAAAGTTCTCTTGCTGCGACTTCCTCTTCATCCTCTTCGAGCAGTAGTGAGGAAGAAAACACTCACATGAACAACAAGCAGGGCACAGTTACCAATCGCGGACACGACATGTTGTTACCCCACCACCTTTTCCTCGGCCCAAATCATGCTCCTGGCTTTGCATCCTCTTTGTCGCAGGAAATTTTTCGCACCAGCGGTTCTTGCTCCCGGAGGCTGTTAAGTTTGGTGCAGCAATTTGCGAATTTCGTCGCGTTTTGGTGTTACCAGTTGTACGAGTTACCGATCATTCTGTTCACTGAGGCGAAGGAGGTTTCTGCGAGAGATCTGTACAACCGCTGGAAGAAGGAATCCGTTTTACTTCACAGCTGCGTTCTTCCTGTTGTGAGATTTTCGAAAACAGCGGCAATTTTTACCAGTCAAACGGTGATTTCGGCTCCGGAAAAAGTGGCTTGCAGCACCACCGCTCTTGCACGGAAAGTTTTTTCAACCACGACCCAGTTTTTGAAGAATTCCACTTGCTCTCGAACGTGCGTGAAATCCTACGCAGTGTCCTGTTTTTACCGGCAGAAACGGGTGAAACGATATTGTCGAAAACTTATCCAGAAATTCCGAAAAGTGTTTTGCGATTGGGGGACCTTTCTTCGGGATTTTACCGTTGAGGGCACGGACGCGTACGAAGTGTTTCAGAAGTGGCTGGACGACTTGTTTGACACGTTTTTTTTGATGATCGTGCGGTTGCTGATGTTTCAAATCTTCTACTGCATGGTGAACAACTTGTTTGATGATTAGAAGCGCGCGAGGGGGTGTAGTTTACAGCTGGAGCAACAATTGTGATTTCCTGTACTGAAATTTTACTACATCTACATGGTTTTTTTCGAAGAAGGAGAAATAACGCTAAATTTGATTCATAGTACTCATCTTACACTAAAACCGTACACACATTTTATCTAAACAGTTCTACTTTTTCCCGGCCCGAGGTGGCACGCATATTGTCTATTTCCATTGGGAGGTTGCAATTCTACATTTCCTGTATATATCATTTTGAAGGTAGTTCCGGCATTGTTTGTGGAACTGTGGCACGACACGGCTTGAAACCTGTACCTAATTCTTGTGCGCATCTTCACAGATTGGATTACATTTTCACTGCATGAAGGGCAAGGCTTTTTGTCAGCTTTTGGCGAAACTGCGGGATTTTGATGACTCTGTTTTCACTTCTTTGAGTGGCAGGGAGAGGAGCGCGTAGTGAGGATTTGGAGCGGAGGAAAAGGAAAGCGATGTCTACGTCTTCAGAGAAGTTTTCTGAGTTGAGTATGTTGGCGTTTTCTTTTTTGAACAGTTCGCACTGAACCAAACCTGCGGTAAAATAGGCTTGGTAGCCCAAGCCCATGGAACAAACCCGACAAGCTTGCTGCAGCGTCCTCGTTGGCGGTAGGACTATCGGCCGTATGGGTGCTTTGCTTGGTTCGCGATCGGGCACGACCTGCGAACGCCGAGCGCCAGCGGCTTGAGCACATTTTTACGCGTGCCCGCGCTCGCCATGTGGCAAACTGCATAGCGCGCGCGGCCACTTTCATCTTCAGGAACTTCGTAGGGCCATGAAGCGCGTCGGCGACAGTCCAGATTTGCGCGAAGAGTGAAGCCAAAGATGTTGGCTTCCGGGCGATGGCAGAAGCCTGGGAATTCATGAAGGAGAGGGATGCCGGCGGCCGCGCGCATAAGACCCACAGGGCGCAGCAGTTGCTGCGGTTCGAGAGCGTGGCCGCGCTGCACCCTGGCGGGCGCGCCGCGTTTTTTTTATACGAAGCCAGCGCCCGCCCCCTTTGGGGTGTGGCCCCGCCCCCGCGGGCCGGGGCCCGCGGCGCGGTTCCTTCCCGTGCCCGCAGGGCCGGGCCCCCCTTCCCTGCTGCGACTGCCCTCGCCGCCGCGCTTACCGCCGGCTCATGGCGCTTGCCTTGGGTGGACGAAGTGGCGCGCCGCAATGCTCGCGCGCTTGCGCAATTGAACCTGTTCAGCCCCTCCCCCGGGGCCGTGGAGCAAGCGCTCCTTCTTCACACGGAGCTGCTTTGGTTTGCGGTGTGCCCTGTAGTGGCCGCTCTTGTTTTTGTCCTGTCTCAACATCACGTCGCGGATTCATTCTTTTCATTCTCTCGGCAACCCGGACTCGGAGTTGAGCAGAGATTGTTGTTGTGAAAGATGCGGCTGTTCTAGGTGCAAGTCTGTTTTTATTTTGTTCTTTATGGAGCGAAGCAGGACTGGGTGCTATTGCATGAGCGAATGGCATGGAGGAGAGATTAATTGCCGCAGAATAAAGCGCGAAGGAGTTTCTGTGTCACTATCAAAGAGAGAGAGCTGCAGGTCCGAGAGGTTTGTTGTTGCTCAGGGGTCGCGCGTTTCTGCTTTTTTCTGGATTTATTCTTTGTTGCCCGTGACCGATTCAGCAATAGCGCAGCAACATCAGGCAGTCCGCCTGGCGTTGCGGCCTTTTGGTGCCAAGCGCGCCGAAGCGCCGAGGCCGGGCGCAAACGCCCAAGGGTCCCGCGAATGAGGAGCAGACGAAGGGACTCAACTCGCAATGCGTGGAACGAATGCAGAGGCAACGCGAGCGCAGCGACTGGAGCGGCAATCGCCACTGCGCCTCCCTCGCTCTGAAGACGAAGGCTTTCTCCGTGAGCGTCCGGCCCGGTAGTCTAACTAGCTGGCTACGTGGAGGCGCGCGCGCCCTGGGCGCCCTTCTTTCATTCCCCGCCCTCCGCGCGCCCCCGCCGCGGCGGCCGACTTGGTGCGCGGGCGCAGAAGCTGTGGCGGCACACGCTCCGCGAGTGAGATGCCGGCGCCGCGCCCCGCCCCGCCGGAATCAAAATAAATGGCGGGCCCGCTTTCGGGCCGGCCGCCCGCGGCGCAGGTGGCGCGGGGCCGGGCGCGGCTGCGTGATGCATGGGCCCAGCACGCAGCGGAGTTGCGCACGTGGCGCGGGGGCTTGGTCTTTTTTCCTGTGGCCTGCGTGACCGGTGTCCCACTGCGAAGGCCCGGGGGGATGACGGCTCGTCGCCGCAGCAGCTTGTAAGAAAGAAATATACACACATAGTAGAAGCCGCTACTGGCCGCAACGCTGCGTGCCCTGTTTGGGTCTGTGTCCCGGTGTTCGCTTGCCAGTTGTAATTGAAGCAGCGCAGCGACTGTGTCTAGATCGCTCTACATCGGCAATGCACCCAGGTTGCGAATTTCAATATCTGTTTCACTATCCTTCGAGCAGCAACTATTGCTTAGAACCTGGAAGCCTTCATCCGCCCAACGCACTTACCAACACCCCCAAAAAAACAACATGTACCAGTCGTTCGTTCTGCGTTCCCATTCCTCCATCGCGAAATACAATTTTTTCGCGCGGGAGGTTTCTCTCTACAACTTCGTCTTCCTGATCCTCGGCTTCGCGTTTTTCTGGATCCTGTACGACAACGGCCTGTACTCCGGAAACCTTTTCACCACGCTTTCCAGTAGTTTGTTCGGCAGCTTACCAGCCTCGCTGCAAAATTTCGCCGACGTGGATCATTATAGCAGCACGGGTTCTTCTTCCAGTACTTCTGGGTCGCAATTTTTCAGCAAGACGAGATGTCAGCTGCGAGTACAGATTGATGTGCAGCCGGAAACAAAGACCGGGGTAGATCTACAAGGGGAGGAGGCCTTCGGAACGGAGTTCGGAACGCGATTGGTGGCGGCGATACGGAACAATATTGTTTCGCAGGATGCAAAGGGCTTGGCCACTTTTGGTTCCGCGAATACGGAGTTTGGAGTTGTGGATGAAGCTCTTGCCGAGGCAAATTTTAACGCAAACGGCGAGGAAAGTGGCGCCTTTACTACCAGTTGTACCTACACACTTCGCATTCATCATCAGACGGATCATTCGAAGTCGCAGGCCGGGACTACAGATGGTGAAACGAATCCCGAGCATCTTCCATTCAAACTGCAAATCGATCCGGAGGAAACCACATTAGCGACGTTTACACTCCCGTCTAAAGCGCAGCTGGCACAAGTACTACCAGCGAAGCCTCAGGCCGCAACTTCTTCATCTACTACCACACCGGAGGACATTGCACTCAAATTACTGCAAGCTTTGCAGCAACTTTGGTTCGCCCCGTTTGAGAAAACGAAGGACCGCTTAGTGAAATTCTGGGGTCAGGACCCCTACTACGTGTTGCAGCTACTGTTTTTGAAGGGGAAAGAGGACAACTTTGTACTTCCACCAAACGAAGAAAGGGACGACACGATCGTCGAGGGCGGCACACCACTACAGGTTCCCCATACAGAAGCAGCTTTTACCGATAAATCAGACGGGGCAGTGTCATCTCTCATCGAGCAGCTTTTCCACCATTTTTTCGTCCAGCCGCTGTCTCTTCTATTCGAGCTGGACGTCGAAACGCAGAAGGTGTCTGAAGTTGATTTCCACAAACTCTCAAATGAAGGCTCTTTCCTCCGCGAAGCGAGTTCTTGGACCGCCGAGGTGGTCAGTCGGGGGGTGCACAAATTGCCGCATCTGAAACGGTTGGCGACGACGGCGGTTGATGATGGTGTTTTTGCGGTTGACGGAGACGACGGGGAACAAGCGGGGGGAACAGAGCAAGAGGGTGTCGTTGAGGATAAGAACCAAGCGCAAGCGCTGGAAGTACGGGCAAGAAGAGATAATTCTGCAACCACAACTGAACTTGATGACAAAAAAGCGAGAATGTTTTCTGTCGCCGGATGGGGTGTTTTGGCGATGACGGAAGATTTGGACGCGACATTCACGGTTTGGGCCCGGTATTTACGGAAATCGCTCGGCTTGGCGAGTGTGCGAAAGCCGTTTGGGCATTACTACAACAATAGTCGGAATAAAGCAGCGGACAGCGGGGCAGGAGTCTCGTCCGGAAGTACTAGCGAGGTCGCTTTCTCCAAAGTGATTATACAGCTCGTAGATGATGATGGTCCTTCAAAGCCTCCAGAAGGAACGGCAAATAATAAAGATCCCGCAACTTCTTCTCTCCCCCTCAACACCTTCCTCGCCGACCACGAGTTGCTCGCTTTGGCCAGGTATCAAATGTAAAAATGTCTGGGTCTGGAAACTTGTGATGCTGTGTGGCGTATCATGAGGAGGCCGCAAGTGCTGACTCAGCATGACAAGTTTCGGAGCTTCTAGGGGTTGCCTATTCTGCATGACAAACTACGTCTCTGTACTACGTTGAAATAAAGGACACAGATAAAATTTGAAAATTTTGCTACAACGAGTTGAGAATTATTTTTTGCTGCAGCTGCGCCGGCGGTTTGTCCAGGGGACTGAGTGCGCAGATATTGCGCGGGCCAACTAGTTCGGGGGCTGGAGGCAGGTACAGGTAAGTGAGGACGCGCAGCACCACCAGCGGCTGGCTGTTTTCCTGGATTTTTCTGAGTATGCATTTGAAATAGCTAGATTAAAAATGTTTTTTTTGCAGGCGCTTTTCATGCGTATTCATTTAAATTTTTAAAGAATACTTGGCAAAACTAGAAATGTAGATGCTAAAGCATTCTAGGGCCCGAAATGTAAGTAATTTAGCCTGCAGCTAAGGGGGCCAATTCAGATAGTCCGAAGCGTGCGCGACGGGCTGAAGAAGTTTGTTTTTCATCTATTGACTTACTTCAATAAGCTTCTGACTTACAACTTTGAGGATCAACTGGCTCAATTCGAAAAGCCAAAATCTTGTGTCATGTACCTGTTCGCCATAGTGGACGTTCGTCCTGTGTCCCTTACCGATTATTTGCCGTTAGGTCGTGATCGGTAAGGGACACAGGAAAGACGAGTACTCAAACGACACAATCCGACAGAGTACTCGACACGAACCCCGACAGAGAAATGCGCACCTTTTGAAGCACTCATGACGCATTTATAAACGAGCAAAAATTTATTTTTCATCCCCATGGTATGGCCAACTTCTTTTGGAATAGCCCCTTTTGTCCTAAAGAAGAATGAAGGTTATTTCAAAAAATGTTGACCACACCATGGTGAATAAAATTGAACTACTCTATTTTGGGGAGCTAGCTAATGCGCCTGCAGGTTTAGCTAGTTCATCATGCTAAAAACAAAAAGAACAAGCAAGAAGCGGCGGCGCTGCATCCAGTCCAGGACGCCGGTAGCCCGAGGCCCCAGGCCCCGTTGAGCGTCGAGGTTCGGCTCGAAGTAGTCCCGGTTTTCCGCGTCCAGAACTTCCTGCTTCCACCCGCGGCAAAATCTCCGGTGGCTACCCGCTTCCGAAATCCTAAAGCCTAAATCTCGGCTACGCGACTGGTCAACTCGTAGTAGCAAAATTTCAAATTTTTGTCTGTGTCCTCTATTTCAACGTAGTACTCTGCATGACAGAAAAGTGGGGCTCTTTGGTAATGTGCATGACAGATTTAAGGTTATGGCTTGTGTGATAAGGAGGCAGCACGGGACTAGCGAAGCGGCCCGGGTAGCCGACGCGGGAACACAAAGCGGATTTTTATAAAGAGACACCCCGCTCCCTACCGGTCAGTGTTGTTGTGGTCCCGGGAAGACCTAAAACTCGACCCAAAGCAAATCAGTTCAAATCTCAAGTGAAATTTTTTTTTGGCCTGTTGCCACAAATCTCATAAAATTACAATTGTCTCCGCGAGCGCGCCCTGCGGCGCAGCACTCCAATCTGAGTCAAGTTTCAAGTGTACGCCTGCGCGTTTGGCCTGCTGCCACAAGTCTCATCAAATTGCAATTTCTCTGCGAGCGAGCCCTGCGGCGCAGCACTCCAATTCTTTTTTTGGCCTGTTGCCACAAGTCTCATAAAATTGCAATTGTCTCCGCGAGCGCGCCCTGCGGCGCAGCGCTCCAATCTGAGTCAAGTTTCAAGTGTGCGCCTGCGCGTTTGGCCTGCTGCCACAAGTCTCATCAAATTGCAATTTCTCTGCGAGCGCGCCCTGCGGCGCAGCACTCCAATCTGAGGCAGGTTTCAAATGTGCGCCTGTGTGTGCGACCAGCTGCCGCAAGTCCCTTTAAACTGCAACTGTCTCCGCGAGCGCGCCCTGCGGCGCAGAAATCCACGCTGAGTCAAGTTTCAAGAGTACGCCTGCGCCCTAAAATCCAGCTACAAACCCAAAAACTTCAACAGTACCAGCGACAAGGTTGTCAATTATTCTCCCCCTCATAGCTTCACTTACGTTCACAAAGGTCGTGGTCGATTGCTTGGCGCGACCACGTAGTTGCAAACTTCACGCGTCAAGTTTCTCTACGCAGCCTGCTGCCCCGCCCCCTTTCAGCCTGTTTCTAGTGTGAATCATTCTGATTAAGAGCAGTGCCTTTCACAGTTGCAACGTTAGCGCAGCTCCATGCGCGATAAGTCCTTCCAGGGCGGGGGTTTCGCAGACTGTACCTTTGGGGCCGGTCCTTGCACCAGTACAATTTCTCAACTTTTGCCAAGTACTCCGGGACAAGTTGTTCCAGCATACTAGTTTCGCCATTTTCCCGTGGCTTCTCATGTGAGTTAGAGTTTCATTGATGATTTCATCGATCCCTCAGTGCAGTACTTACACAACACGTTGGCGGGGCCTGTGTCTCGACCGACTACTTACGCAAGCTACGGACGTTGCGGATTTTGTCAGCGATGACGCCGCATCGTCGGAAGATTCTAGCACATAATTGCTCGCGGGTTGTTGTGTCTTCTTTTGCCTTGAAGCAGCTACTTTGCTTCACTTTCAGACTACTTCGGCCCTCCAGACGTCGTCGCGCCATCTTGTGTCTCAGGTCCGTTGTCCCGTGCTGCGGCATGGGCGAGCGTGACCACACTTGCTGGTTAGCCGTCTCGTGTCTGAGGTCCCTCACTCGGTGCTGCGGCATGGGGTGCGGGATCACACTTGACGGCGCGACGTCCGAGTGGGTCCACAGTCACAACAAAGAGTCGGGCCCTGGGCTCCCGATTCGTTTTTGCTTTCGGCAGTTGAGTGTTTTGGGAACAAGCTGAAGCTGGTGCGTTGCATTTTGCTTTCTCTTCACCTTCTTCTCTTTTTTTCTTTTTTTGTACTTCTGGGTCTGCGCCCCCTCGTACCAACGGGCCTCTCTTTCTCCGTCATCGGGGTTGTCAGGTATTCGCGGTCTGGCGACCTACGTTCGCTAGTTCGGCCCGTTGTTGTCTCCGACGGTTTCGAGTTATAAAAGTTATGGCTTGTGTGATAAGGAGGCAGCACGGGACTAGCGAAGCGGCCCGGGTAGCCGACGCGGGAACACAAAGCGGATTTTTATAAAGAGACACCCCGCTCCCTACCGGTCAGTGTTGTTGTGGTCCCGGGAAGACCTAAAACTCGACCCAAAGCAAATCAGTTCAAATCTCAAGTGAAATTTTTTCCCGCCCTTCCCTCCCTTTTATTTCTCGTTACTGTTGTCGAGGCAAAACCTTTATCCCGCGGGGTAAGGGAATGGGTTGTCAGGTATTCGCGGCCTGGCGACCTACGTTCGCTAGTTCGGCCCGTTGTTGTCTCCGACGGTTTCGAGTTATAAAAAGTCATGCCAGACAAGCATGACAAACTTGCATTCTTCCAGACCCAGACATTTTTACATTTGATACCAGGGCTTGCAGGGAAATTTACGTGCAGCGGATTCAGGAGCAAGTGAAAAATGCGAACGAGTTCAGCAATGTTCTTCCGGAGGACGTGATGCAGAAACTGGTTTTGGCGGGGAAGAAGATGGAGTTGTTGTTGGCGCGAAGAATTACAACAACATCGGGGAGGAGAGAACATGATGGGAAGATGAACTACAGCACAAGTAGAACAAGTCCGTTTGATGTCACTAGCAGTTCTTGGTCCGAGGAACTGCAACTGCTTCGGCAAATTTTGTTTCTGCTCGATGAAGCGGTTCATGATGAAAAGATGGTTCCGCAGCTGTATTTCAGCTTGGAATTCACGACTGCGGTGTATTTGCCCGTGGTTTTGCCGGCGCTGGTGCCGTTGCTGACTCTGTTGAAGAGGAAACTGGTAATGACGTGAGGCCTTTATGACCTCGAGGGAAAAAGCATTGACATTCTGGCGCACTATTTTCGGAGAAGGCGCAGAAGCGATCTGCGCGATCCGTTTCTCGTTGAAGACCTTTATTCGCTCTTGTTCATATTGATTGCTGGACTGCTCGTTTTAATTTGCGAAGGATGGGAGGGGAGAGCGAGAAAGTGAAAGTCAGTCCGGGAGTGGTTGAAACAGTACTTGGGGAGAAAAAAGCAACACTAACAGGAGAACGAAATACAAGAAAGAGAGAGCCCGCGCGCAGCGGCCAGCGCGCCGGCGCTTTGCTCCGGAAGGCCAGCAGTGGCGCTTTGCCGTTGCGGAACATGGCCGTCCCTCTGCGCGGGCCGCGATCGCAGGGCGCGCGGCCCCTTGACCTTGAGCACGCCAATCACCCGATACTGCTTTTCTTCCGGCGTGGGCCCCCGCCCCGGACCAGAGCAGCGGCGTTCAGCTGGCACAAGTTTCCCGTCCCGAAGCGCCGAACCCTGCGCCGGCTAGCTATACAAGAAGGGCGGCGAAGCCCAGGGGGGCCCTGCGGGGCAGTAATGTGCTTAATATCCCCGGACGCGCACGCGCTCGGGGGCCGTGACTTGCGTCAGGTAGGCGATTGCCTGGCCTGGTGCTCGCAGGCCGCGGGGCTGGTCGCGCCACATCTCCCGGCCGGCCAATCTGGCCGGGGCCTGCTGCTTCGCTGCTTTCTTTGCAAGGGCCGCGCCCCGTTAGGGGCTCCGGCTGTCGTTTGCTTCGGTCGCGCACTCGCGCCGGGCCCTTGTTGTGCGGGTGTTGCGTCTGCTGCGACCTTGCGGGGGTCCTGGCGAGGCCCCTCGCTCGTGCTTGCGATCGTGCAGCCGTATTGCCGCATTAAGGGCGCGCTTGAATTCTGTGTCTCTGGGCAGGGCGTTTGCTATTTCGGATAATTGCCCCTCCGCTGAAAAAGTTTGTTCATGTTTTGGACCTCTCGTGAAGTTTCAAGCTATGTCGAGTCGTTGATTTCAAGTTGAGCGGCTAGTCTTGTCTTTCACAGCGATTTGGAGTTGGGTACTGCTAGGTTGAGGTCGCACAGGCATGAAGCGTTGGAGCGAAGGTCGGTTTGAGTACATCTGTGACAGGACGAATCGTCGCTGCCTTTTCCTCATTAAAGTTCTTTGATGTTTTAGAAAACAGTGTAGGAGGCGATAACGCAAGCGCCTTCAAATTCGAGTAATGTTTTGGGAAACGGCGTAGGGCCCGATAGCGCAAGTGCCTGTAAATTCGCTTGATGTAGTTCTGGAAAACGGGGCATGTAGGGCCCGATAACGCTGGCGCTTTGTTTAAAAAATGCCTATTACCCGGAAGGAGCGGCAGCGCCGGCGCAAGACCCCACAAGACAACCGAAGCGCGCCAATCTCCCCGAGGCGGATGCCGTGCCAGAAGGTCGAAAAAGCCGGGCCCTTGCGTGGCCCGTTTGAAACCAGGCGAGCCCTTGGCGCGCCGCTCGCGGCCGCGCGGCCGGCCGTTTGCTTCCGGCGCGCGCGCGCGCGGGCTTCCGAGCCCGCCTTCGTCTTTTCGCCTGGCCAGACTGGTGAGGGCACCCGCCCCGGCCCTTTTGTCCGCGGCCCCATTTGTGCCCGTGTCGGCTCCCGGGGATCATTGCACACCGCCAGGCCCCCCGCCGCGTGCGGGGCCTGTCCGACCGCCCGGCCAGTCTGGAGGCCGCGCCGAAAGAAGGGCGGGTTGGCGCGGCAAGGCTGCGCCGCCTCTGAACTGTTTCTCTCTGCGGGCTGTGGCCCGTTGCTCCGCTGCGGGCGGCATTATATATTTTCGTTTCTCATGGCTTTCCAAAGGAAAGCGGGAAAACCAGCTGAGGTCCGGGCAAAGATGTTCCTGTATGTTCGTCATTGTGAACCGCTTTTACTGGCTACTTACTTGAACTACTTTTTTTACTTCTCTGCATGGAGTGCTTTCTCACCTACTCAAGACCTCTGAAGGGATTCTTGCATCTGACGCATACACGCTTCTCCTTCTCCTGGAAGATAATATTTGCCATCAGAATTATTATGCGAACCGTAGTGATCTCTCTCCAGTTCAGCAACATGTTCTGATATGACTTTCCTTTTGTTGATCATGAAAACCTCCAGAATACCAAGACCTCCAGTTCCGACATGTTCTTTCTGTGCCTTTTTTTTAAAGATCGCAACTGCTTTTCATTTTTCCTTGTTGTGCTCCAGGCCGACGCAGTACGCAAAGTTACATATTGTTGTAGAGGCACGCGCACGTATCACAGCATATTTAGCATATTGTGAATACCGATACGTATAGCGATAGCTCCCGTTTCTAGTTGAGCGGAGATATTAGAACCTCTACCGAATTGACTGAAAAACAACCTTTTTCTTTTTTACCTTTTTTCCCCAGCAAAGTTCTTACTAGAAAGATCAACTTCTATAACAAGCACGATACCACACGACCCCAACCCTTTCACAAAAATTTCGAAAATGGGCAAACTCGATAGCAGTCTCGACGACCTGATAGCGAAAAACCCGACCAAACCTTCCTTCCCACCCCGCGAAACCAAATCCAACAGCAGTACCGCTACCGCCACCACAGCTTCGGGCAGCCCTCGAAAAAACAGCAAGATGAAGGGCAAAGGGAAACAAGGAGCGAAAAGAACCGGCAGTATAAAAGGTGCTTCATCTTCTATTTCAACCAAGGCTGGCGCAACTACTTCTAAGGGCAAGAAACAACTGGCTGGAACTAAAGCTGCGAAAAAAAAAACCACTACCGGTAGTTCCACATCGGCTCTGACGAATGCAAAAAGAATGCTGAAAACCACGAAGCGGGGCACCATTCTGAAGAAAGCCGCCGTTGCCGCACTGGTGAAGAAGCTCGGGGCGAAAAAGAAGCTGTTGGCCGCGAAGTTTCAGACCAAAGGGAAGGGGAAGACGGGGAAAAAGGGAGCTGCATCTACTACTTCCGGTGGTCTTGTGGGGAAGAAGGGCAACAAGAAAGGAGAGAAGCCCTCCTCTAGTACCAAGGGCGGTAGTACCAGACCAGCGAAGGGCAAGGGAAAACAGCAGGGTAAAAAGCAGTCTTCGAAAGTAGAACAAGCGACAACTACTAGACCTGCAATTAAGCGGACTCTCGTACTGAAGAAGAAACCCACGTCCACTATCGGCAAGATGTCAGCTTTGTCGAAAAAGCGGACACTCGCACAGAAGTTGAAACGCGTACGAGCTACAACGAAAAAGGGCGCGTCTAAGGGCGGAAAGGCGAGACTGGCTGCACGTGCCGCGGTTGTGAAATTTCTGAAAGGACGGAAAAAGGCGACCCTCGTTCGAAAGGCAGGAGCGACGATCAAGAAACCTAAAGGTGGTAGTGCGAAGGGCGGGAAGGTATTGATATGGTTTTTTCCTTGATCCTGCATGACGTAACTTGGAAATGATCGGAACTTGACGCAAATGCAGCACACAAGCCCATTCACATTTTGATTTTTGTCGCAAATTGAATAATTTCATATCTCGAACAACAAAACAGGGCAAAGGCAAGTCTGGCGACGGCACAAGCGGGAAAGGCGATAGTACGAAAGGGAAGAAAGGAAAAAGCAGTGCTTCTACCGGGAACAAAGTGGTCCTCCGTCGGAACACCTGGTATACCTACACGCCTCCATCTTGGGCGAAGGGGAAGGAGAAGGGAAGCGGTAGCAAGGGCGGGTATAACGGTGGTGCAGATAATTGGTCCGCTTCTTACTACGGCACAACGGGAAAGAAAGGTAGCAAAGACAAGTCCTACGGCGGAAAAAGTACCACCTCGAAAGGCAACGACGATTATTCTGCGTATTCCGCTTTTGAGAAGGGCATGATGAAGGGAAAACCGTGGATGAAGGGTAGTTCGAAGAACGGCTACCAAGAAGAACACAACAGTTACAACACCTCCTACACAGTCGATCATTCCGGCTCCTGGAAGGGGAATAAAGGCGGTCAAGAAGCATGGGAAGATGATTGGTACAACTCCAAAGGAAAGGGAAAGGGCTACAGCAAGAACCACGGCCCCTATTCTGGAAAGAAGGACGGAGGTGTTGTAGCGCCGTATTACGGCAAGAAAGACGGTAAGAACGGAAAGGGTGATTACTGGTACGACGGGAAAAAAGGTGGTTACGGAAAGTCGTGGTATAATGGTGGGAAAAATCACGAACAGCCCGAGGATTTTTACAACTATGAGGAAGAAGAACGAGAAGAACCTTACGTCGAAAACTACCGGACTCCACGGCTGAATATGGACTACGAGGACTGGAACGTCGGTTTTTACGAGCGGAAAGGCGGATTTTCCTCGGGCAAGAAGGGAAAAGGGAAGAAAGGCAATAAACGCGGTAAAGACCACGACGAGCACGACTCGTGGGAAGCCGGTCCGCCGAGAGCGAATACTCGGAATCGTTCCCGCAGCCGGTCCTGGAACAACCAGAATCGGTATAACGTTGAGCAGAGTTTTAACAACGACGAGCAAAGTTATTCCGACAATTCTTGGGAACAACCGGAGGTCGTTGACAACCGAGTAGAATCCAGCAGCACTTCGAGACAGCACCCGGTCAGTAGGAACAAGAACACTAGTTCTACCGCCCGTCGTTCCGCTGGCAACAAGATCAACGCTTTGGATGTGATCTCCTCCCACGGTCAAGTCGAAAAGAAAGCCCAGACTGTGGTTTACGGCAACAAGGGCCATCTCCCAACAACCGTCGAGAAGTACCGGGGATTCGGGAAAATGATCCAGATTCACAACTGCCCGACCAACATGTCGCAGGAGGAACTTATGCGGGCGTTTGAGGAAGTTGGGGATGTCGTTACGACGGAAATTGACGAAAACGCGAATTTGTGTTGGGTGGTGTTTGAAAAATCGAAAGACGCCTATGAAGCGGAACACCAATTCGACGGCGGGGAGATTAATGGACGGACGGTGAAAATTGTGGTGATGTAGAATCCGCATGACAACGAACTGCTCTAGACGGTTTGTTCTCAACATCTCTTGGTAGCACGACATCTATAGTGGAGCTGAGCGGACGTACAGCAGGGTTGGCTTTCTGCACATCATGCTCGAGAATAAAGATTTAAAATGGTGGTTATTTTCATCTTTCGAGGAATTTTTTCAGAACAAAATGTTGGTTTAAGGAAGCCAAAAAGCAGTCTTTGAAAATAAACCGTTTATGTGCGACTGCGATGTAGATATGGAAGGCTGTGGACCCTTTACGGCTTTTCATTTTCTTCCTACCTGCGAGCCTGACTGGACGTGGCACAGATGATCATGATGAATACTCACTTTTGAATCATTTTTTTGGGACGAGACAAAGGCAAACCACTTTCAATTGATTCGAACTGACACAACGGCGATCCATGCGTTTTTAACGGCGCAGGGGCTGTCTCCACTTTCGTTTGCGCGAAAGTGACTCGCTGTTCTACAGCGGGTTACATCACCCTGCTGCACCGCTACCGTACTTCGTGGACAAATTTCGTTTTTGAAGATTTGTCTATGTAGCGTGCCTTACGCTTGTAGGGTCCTCAATGTCCGTCGGTGTGGTTGCTTCATCATGACGTTGACGAATACAGCACCAGATTGTCGGCGTTAGTTTCCACTCCACATTGTTTTTAACACGAGCAAAACTTCTGACTGCAACTTCACCCTGTCCTAAGCCAGATTTTTTAACAAGACAAGATGAGTTTTTGAACGCATCACGTACAGGAGCTGCTTGTCGTTTTTGGAACCATCGTTTCACCAGCATTGATTGCAGCGACAAACTGTAGTCGTTTCACAGTACTTGCTGTGCTCCGTCCACGAGACCAAGACACGAGAACCACGAGCACTACGTGAACCCAAGCACCACGTCCCAATGTTCGAAACGGGTAACAGCACCGGTTCAAACTACCAGCCGCCCCGGATGTCGGCGAATCCGCAGCCGGCTGGGAACTCAATAGACGACATTTTCGCGGACATAAGCAGCACTCCTGCCCCTTCCACCAGTACAACTGCGCCGCAAGCGAGCAGAAATGAGCTTGATAATTTTTTCAGCCAGGAGAAAATCTCCACCGCAAGTACAACCGGGACGGTTTCGATGGCGGGGTCGCTCGGAGGCGGGGTATCAACACCGAGTTCATTATCCGGCACCATGACCCCAGTTGTCCCCGCCGGCGGGGCGCAAGAGATGACGGGGTTTGGGTCCGCGCCGCCACCCACGGCGTTGCAGCAGGCCATACCGGAGTTCATAAAAAACGCGAAGCACCCGGTCGTGTGCTGCTTTCACCTGCTCTTCAAGATGCTGTGGTATAAAAGAGTAGATGCTGTTGATTCACTTCCCTTCTAAGGTGTTTCATCGCATGAGAAATGATGTTTCTGAGGATGATTGCGCAATACAAATTCAGTTGACTTGTGATCACATCAATAACAGCCTCTTCGCCTACCTCTTCGGCGGTTACCTGTGGAGCAACACAGTGCTGACCTACATCTTCTGCATCCTATTTTTGGCTTTCGACTTCTGGACGGTATAGCTGGTTGTTGTTTTGAGCGTGAGATGATCTTACCCTGGTTCGCATGACAAATAAGTACCATAAATGCTTGACAACTTTGCATGACAAAGCACTTCTTCTCAAAGGTAAAGAACGTCACCGGACGAAAGCTAGTAGGTCTCCGCTGGTGGAACATCATAAAAGACGACGAAGCCACGGGTGAGGAGGTCAACGAATGGATCTTCGAGTCTTTGCAAGACGAATCACAGCTGGATCCGCTCGACAAAAACGTCTTCTGGCTGGGAACGTATGTTTTTTTTTGGTCTCTTTGTCATGCATAAAGCTGAATGACTTTGGTTTGACTGCGGTCTTTTGTCATGCGCAAAACCAATGATCAAAACTGCGACTACTCTCTTATCGAAACGAAAAAATGAAAACAGGTATAGCTGGGCGTTGATCTGGACGCTTTTCCTCATCCTGAACGTGATCTCCCTGAACCTCAGTTGGGTCGTTTTCCTCGTCGTTGCCAACGTGTTCGCCTGGAGCAATCTGGTCGCGTTTTGGAAGTGTTCCCGGGATATCAAATGCAAAAGTGTCTGGGTCTGGAAGATTGCGAGACTTGTCATGCTTGTCCGGCATGACCAAAAACAAAGTTTGTGATGCGTGTCCAAGAAGAGACCCTTTTGCCTGTCATGCAAAAACGCAGCTTGTCATGCGAAAAACGCAACACAAGGACGCGCAGATATTTCTCGTGCTTGCCTGTGCATTACAGAGCATTCACTAGTCCCAACGCAGCATTACAAGTTTCCAGATCCAAATATTTTTGCAGTTGATACGGGACCAGAAGGACAAGATGCAGAGTTGGGTGGCCGGGGCGATGTTTAAGAACGCAACCGGGTTCGATTTGGGGAGGTTGGTGTGAGATTGGAGGTTGAATTAGTTGATGGCATTGAACAACTCCTTGAAGATTCCCGAATGCGATTGATTTTACTGCGCATGTAGTAGAGCCGCAGAGTGGTGCTACAATACTGTGCTTACAATTGAAAAGCGACACTTGCGACACGGGCCTTCGCCCCATCGAGATAGAAGCTGCAATAACACACGCACAACGAAGGTTCAATACCTTGCTCAGCGAATGAGCAAAATGGGGGGTGTCTGGAAAAGGTGCCCGTGCTGCAGCAGGGTTTTACAACTGCAGTAAGCTCATCTTGTTCATCGGATGCAACGTGTTGTCCTGCGCGAGTGATGTGCGTTATAGTTCCGGTAGAGCGGATGTAAAGAGAGATCAAGCCGCTCAAATGTAGTTCGAGTTTGTGAGGAGAACTACTCCACTCGAGAGATATAGAGCGACGGACAGAGTGGCTTTTTTTGCGTAACACTAGGAGTTGTATGGCGCACCTCGTCATGTTGTAGCTGCGTAGTACTTGCGCCCGGGCCAGCTGGATGGGCTGCAGGCCGGGCGTTTTCTGCTTGCTGCCAACGTCATGCCCTGGCCAGCGCGTGAGCAGAATGGGCGGGCCGCCTTGGTTGCCCGCTGGCTTTCCAGGAGGGTGGGCGGTTGTGTTGGCGCTTCAGCATGGCAAAAGCCGACCGGAGGCGCGAAGGATGTTGCCGCAGTACACAGGCTCCCCTCGTCCTGCATCAAGTGGGCGGCCTTGTCCCTGGACACGGACCCGTACGGGCAGAAGCGCTCATTGGCCAGCTGCCGCGCAAAAGAAAGCGACGGCATTCGCGAATCGCGTCGCAAATGCAAGGGCGCGCCGACCAAACCAAAAGCGCCCGCGCGCCGAAAGGCGCCGGCCGCTCATTTTCTTGCCCGCCCAGGCTACCGGTCCCGGCCGCCTGCCGTGTTGATTGCCTGGGACCGCGCAGCGCCCCAGGGCTTCCGGCAGCTTCCGCCGCTCCATGCATTGCCCCTTGTGCGCGCTCGCTTTCTTTCGCGCCACGTGTGCCAGGCAGCGCGCCGGCTCCGTGTTGCGGCCACTGCTGCAGCCGCGCTTCGTGTTGGCACCGTGCGACCAGCCCCGGGGGCCGAGCGCGCAATAACTTTCGGGCCCCCTTTACAGGCGCGGACGCACCATTCCTGCAGCCGCCCCTCGCTCTGTGCTTCGGGAGTACGTAGTCAAGGGGAAAGCTGTAAGCGATGGGGCAGAAAGGTGAAGATATACAGCTAGTACTTTCGCATATTTGGACTGGGCCCTGTCGGTTTGTTTTGGCCAATATGCAAGATGGCCGCTGATGGCGCCGGCTCGCTGTGTGTTCCGTGACGACCGCTCTCGGCTGAGCCATCCGTCGCAGGCAGCTTTGATGCTAGACATGTACTCTGAGTCGTCCTCTCATGATCTTTCTAACGTGAGAGGCGAGACTGTTAAAGGGTGAGCGGGCAGTGAAGTGGGACGTTGTCACGATGTGAGGGTGAGCGAAGAGTCACAAGTTTTGGGAACGGACTTTGAGCAGGAAAGGCGAGTTGGAGGATTGGACTTTTTCATTCTATACTACTTCATCATTGACATATAGTAGCTTTTTGATTAGCTTCTTTCGTCGTGGCTGCTGGATTGAGAGCGGCGCGCCCGCAGACTGGTGGCCGGGGGGGCAGTCGTTCCGAGGATGCGTGCTCCGGGAAATGGCAGGCGCGGGCCCGCCGCTGGCCGCTCCGAGAGCAGTGGCTGGCGCGGCTGTAGTTTGACCACTGGGGGCCAGGTCGCGGATCAATTTCTTCGAAGATCCAGCGAAGAGGCAACTGCCGCCCTTGCTCTCTTTGATTTATTGGCAGGGGGAAGCGCCTTCAACTGTGGAGCGAAGCCCGGGCCATGCTTGCCGCATTTTTAGCCCCCGGAAAGTGATGCGGCCGCGGCGACATTGCCGCAGGCCGGGCGCGCCGCTTTCTTCGCGGCGGCCGGCGCGCTTTTGCCTGCCGGCCGCGGCGCCCGTCGTACGAAGTCCGCAGCGGGGGCGCGCTCTGCTTGTGTGCCGACCAGGGGGCCTGTCTGCCAGCCCGGGGCCGAGCAGGTGCCCCGTCCTCGGGCACTTTCTTTGTTTGGCGGGCCGCTTCTGTATAGCACAGGCGGGGCGCCGGGAAATATTCCTGTGGCCTTTTTCGCCCAGCGCCCCACTCGCACATGTGGCAGCGCCCCATATATTATGATATGGCGCGGCTGCTGGAGCCCGTGTCCTGGGCGTATCCGGCGGCGTCGGAGGACGAAAGAACACTTTATGGCAACAGCAGTAGACGAACGGCTTGTCGGCAAGGCCCTTGCCGACACGAATGTAGCCGTATTGGTCAAGGTCAGCACCGTGTTCACCTCATATCTAATTGAGACTCGTCGTTTTGCCGGCGAGATTTCCAGAGAGATCCGACATAGATTGTCGTCGTGGAACGTTTTGTGCAAGGATTCGTTCGTAGCAGTCGTATAATTCCTTGGTAGCAGGTCAAGGTAACGGAAGTGCTTAAATATGTATAGTTTTCGAGCGAGTAGATTCGAGCATAAGAGAAATGACTGCGAGTGTGATGATGGATATCTTCTTTGGAGCTGCGGATTTTAGAGAGAGTAAGGCAAACTGGTGGCTCGTGGGTTTCACAGACGTTTCGGCTTTTACAGCAATAATCACCACGTCGCACTGCACCTTTCAAATGAAAACTAGAACTCGTCCGCACACCTGAGAGTGTGCGGATAGATCGCGTACCGAAGAGACAGAGAGCTGCGCAACTTCTGTTGCACCACCAAGATGGCACCAAGAGCGTAATACGTAGAACTAGCATAATTACAAAAAGACCTATAAAAAAGCCAACATGTCGGAAGAACAAGAAAAGCCCCCTACCCCGGGGACGGAGGCGGAGGTCCGAGACCAGCTCGCGGACGGCTTGTCTCGGGAACTACTCTCCAGGAAGCCTTCCTTCCAGTCCGAATCGACGATCCAGGAGATTGCCGTCACCACCCCGATGGACGAGCCGAAATATAACCTAGACGGGACGGAGTTTCCTGGTGAAGATGCAGCTAATGCGCAAGGAGACAAATCTTTTTCTCAATCCGGTTTGGACAATCCAGAAACCGTCCAGGACATCACCGAGCAGGAACAGAAGGACCGTATTGCGGATGAGCAGTCGCAGGTGTTGATGTCATATGGCAGTGCATAACCCCCCCTCCACTACATTTGTATGGGAAGAACAGCAACACAGGCAACAGCAGTTATGTGGCTTCCGCATGACAAATCCGGATATGGATTGTAGTCATGTTTGAGCGGGGTCCAAGACCTGTCATGCGCAAAATGCTTAAAGGAAAGAGGTGGACTCGGTATTTTGCATTACAAATGAGTGCAAGAGGGAGTTGTGCACTCGCATATGTCACTAGAACTGCCCGGGGATGAACAATCTCTAGAGCTGATGAACGAGCAGTACGAGAACAACAATCAGCAGAACACCTACAACAGCGGGGAACTACAGTCGAACTCCTTGCTCCACTTACAACACACGGATTTTACCATTACCGACCACGGGTCGCAGGAAGTGACCGACCACACCGGATCAGTTTCCGCGTTCATCTGTCCACCGAGTACGCTAGACTCCGATAGAAACATATGGAAGTGTCAGGATTGAAATCAACAAAGTTGAAATAATCTGTGATGCACAAAATGCAAGGCACGAAAAGACTGTCTTGCAGGGATTGCAAGTGAGGCCGATTGTGAGCCTGTTTCGGGTTTGGGATGGAGCTGCTAAAGTGGCATGACAAAGGATGCCTTCTTTCGCTAAACAGCATGACAAACTGGATTTTGACGGTGCCGAAATTTGTCATGCGCCGCTTCGAAATTGGGCTTCCAATTGGTATCGATTTTATGCATCACAAATTTTTCAACTTTGACGATTTCAAACCTGACGCTTCCATAATTTTTTTTGTTTTCGGTCCGTGTTTTTGTTGGTTTTTTTTGTATTTTATTTGGTGATTCGTGTTTTTTTATTTTTTTTTTTTTTTTTTTATTTGTGGAATTTGTTTAGTTTTTTGTTGTCCTTTTTTTTGATTTTTTATTTTTTTTAGTTTTGATTTTTGTTTTTGATCATTATTTTATATAATTTTTTTTGTTTTCTGTTGTTTATGTTTGTGTTGATTTTTTTTGTTTTATTTTTTTTTTTTTATATTTTTATTTTGTTTTTTTTGAGGTTTTATTTTTTTTTTTTTTTGATTATTATCTATTTGTGGTACATTTTTTTTTATTAGCTTGTTTTTCTTTTTTTTTTTTTTTTTTTTTATCTTTTATTCTATACTATTTTTTTTTTTTTTATTTTTTTTCTTTGTTGTTTTTTGATTCTTTTTTTTTTTATTTTTCGTTTTTTTTATCTTTTGTTTTTTTTGTTTTGTTCTTTTTTTGTATTTATTTCTTTTTTTTTTTATTTTTTTTTTATTTTTTTCTTTTTTGTTTTTTTTCTTTTATTTCTTTTTTTTTGTTTTTTTTGAAGATTTTTCTTTTTCTTTTTTTTTTGTCGATGTTTTTTTTTTTGTTCATTTTTTTTTTTTTGTTTTTAGGTTCTGTATATTATTTGTTGAAAATATTTTTTTTTTTGTTTATTATCTATTTTCTTTGCTTTGCTTTTTTTTTGATTAATTTTTTTATATTGTTTTTTTTTATTCTTTTTTTATTTTTTTTTTCTTTTTTTTCTTTATTTCTTTTTTTTAATTTTTTTGTTTTTTTTGTTTTTTTTTTTTTTTTGTCTTTGTTTTTTTTGTTATTTTTTTTGTTTATTTCTTTTCTTTTTTCTTTATTTTGTTTTTTTCGTTATTTTTTTTTTTTCTTTTTTTTGTTTTTTTTGTTTCTGTATTTTAATATTTTTTTTTTTTTTTTGTTTTTTTTTTTTAATTTTTATTTTATTTTTAAATTTATTTTTGTTCTTTTTTTTTTTTATTTTTTTTTTTTTTTTTTTTCTTTATTCTTTTTGTTTTTGTTTTATTCTCTTGTTTTATATTTTTTTTTTTGTCTTTTTTATTCTTTTTTCTTTTTATTTTTTTTTCTTTGTTTTTTTTTTTTTGTTTTTTCTTTTTTGTTTATTTTTTTTAGTTTTTTTTTTTTTTTTATTTTTTTTTTTTAATTTCTATATTTTTTTTTTTTTTTTGTTTATTTTTTTTTTTTGTTTTTTTTTTTATTTTTTCTCTTTTATTTCTTTTTTTTTTTTCTTATTGTTGATTTTGTTTCTTTTTTTTTTTACTTTTTATTCTTTTTTTTTTTTAATAATATTTTTATTGTTTTTTTTTTTTGTTTGTATTTTTTTTATTTTTTTTTTTGTTTTGTTTCTTTTTTTTCGTTTTGTTTTTTTATTAGCTTTTTTTTTTTTTTTTTGTTTTATTCTATTTTTTTTTTTTTGTTTCTTATTATTTGTTTTTTTTTTTTTTTTTTTTTTTTTTTTTTTTCTTGTTTTTTTTATATTTTGTTTTTTTTTTTTGTTTGTTTTGTGTTTGTTTTTTTTTTTTTTTTATTTTTTAACTTTTACTTTTATTATTTTTTTATTTCTTTTTTTTTTTTTTTTTTTTTTTTTGTTTTCGTTTTTTTTTCATTCTGTTTTTTTTTTTGGTTTTCTTTGTTTTTCTTTTTTTTTTGTTTTTTTTTTTTTTTTTCTATTATTTTTTTCTTTTTTATATTTATTATATTCTTTTTTAGTTTTGTTTTACTTCTTTTTTTTATTTTTTTATTTTTTTCTTTTTTTTTTTTTTTATTTGTTAATTTTTTTTTTTATATCTTATGCTACTTTGTTTTTTTTTTTTTTTTATTATTATTTTTTTAATATTTATATTTATTTTTCCTTTTTTTTATTTTTCTTTTTTCTTTTTATTTTTTTTTTCTTTCTTATTTTTTTTTATTTTTTTTTTTTGTGTTGTTTTATTATTTGTTGTTTTTATATTGGTTTTTTTTTTTTTTTTTTTTTTTTTTCTTGTTTTTATTTTTTTTTTTTTTGTTTTTCTGATTTAATTCTTTTTTTTTTTATCTTCTTTTTTTTGTTTCTGTTTATTTTTTTTTATTGTTTTTATCTTTTTTTCTAGTTTTTTTTTTGTTTATTTTTTTTTAATCTTTTTTTTTTATATTAATTTTTTTTTTTTTAATTTGTTATGTTGATTGTTCTTTATTTTTTTCTTTTTTTTTTCTTTTTTTTCGTCATTTTCTATTTTTATACTTTTTTTTTCTTTTTTGATTTTTTTTTCTGTTTTTTTTTTTATTTCATATCTATTTTTTTTTTTTTTTTTTTTTTTTTTTTTACTTTTTTTTTTTTTTTTTTCTTTTTTTTTTTTTGCTTGTTTGTTTTTTTTTTTTTTTTTTTTTGCTTTTTGTTTTTTCTTTTTTCTTGCTTTTTTTAATATTTACCTTCTCTTTTTTTTTTATTTTGTTTATTTTTTTTTTTTTTTGGTGCATATGTCTTTTTTTGTTTAGTATTTTTTTATTTTTTTCTTTTTTTTATTTTTTATTTTTTTGTTTTTCTTTTTTTTTTTTTTTTTTGTTTTTTTTTTAAGTCCTTTTTTGTTTTATTTTTTTTGTGCTGCATTTTTTTTCTTTTATGATCTGGCTTTAATAGCTGCTTTTTCTACTTTATTTTTTGTGTTAGTTTTTTTTTTTTTCTTTTATTTTTCGCTTTTTCATTTTTATTTTTTCTTGTTTTATTTTTTTATTTTTTTTTTCTTTTTCCTTTTCGTTATCTTTATTATTTTTTTTTCTTTTTCCTTTTTCGTTTTTTTTTCTTTTAATTCCTATTTTTTTTTGTTTTGGTTTATTTCTCTAGTTTTTTCTTTGTTTTTCTTTTTTGTTCTTTTTTCTTTTGTTTTTTTCTTTTTTTTTTTTTTTGAGTTTTTTTATTTGTATTATTTTTATTGTTTTTTGTTTGTTGTTTATATTTTTTTTTGATTTATTTTAATTTTTGTTTTTTATTTTTCTTTTTTTTTTTTTTTTTTTTTACATATTAATTTTTTTATATATTTTTATTTTTTTTTTTTTCTTTTTTTTTTATCTTATTTTCTTTTTTTTATTTATCTTTTTTTATTTTTTTTTTGCTTTTTTTTTATTTTTTTTTATTTTTTTTTTTTTTTTTTTTTTTTGTTTTTGTTTTTTTTTTTATTTTTTTTCTACAATTTTTGTTTTTGCATGTTTTTTTTTTTTTTTTTTATGTTTTTTCTTTTTTTTTTTATTTTCTTCTTTTTTTTTTGTTTTTTTATTTTTGTTCTTGGTTTTTGTTTTTTTCATTTTTATTTTTTTTTCTTGATTTTTTTTATTTATTTTTATTTTTCTTGTTCTTGATTTTTTTATTTTTTTTTTTTTTTATTTCTTTTTTTTTTTTTTTTCTTTATTTTTTATTTATTTTTTTTTTTTTGCATTTTTGTCTTTTTTTGGTTTTTTTTGTTCTTTTTTTGTATTTGATATTTTTTTTTCTTTTATTTCTTTTTTTTTTTTTCTTTTTTTTTATTTATTTTTTTTTTTTTTTATTTTTTTTTTTTTTTTTTTTGTTTTTGCATTGTGTTTGCTTTTCTATTTTTTTGTTGCGTGTTCTTTTTTTTCTTTCTTTTTTTTTTATTTATTTTTTTTTTTACTTTTTTTTTTTTTCTTTTATTTTTTTTTTTTTCTGCTTTTTTTTGTGTTTTTTAGTGAATTTGTCTGAATTTTAGTTGTTGTTTGTTTAAAATGCGGTCTATTTTTTTTTTTTTTTTGTAGTGTAAATATTTTTTTTAAATTTTTTTTTTTTTGTTTTTTTTTTTTTTTAATATTTTTTTTGTGTTTTTTTTCATTTTTTATCTTTTTATGATATTTTTTTTTTTTTTCTTTTCTTTCTTTTTTTTTTTGTTTTATTTTTTTTTTTTTTTTCTGTTTTGATGTCTTTTTTTTTTTTTTTTTTTTTATATTTTTGATTTATTTTTTATAATTTTGTTTTATTTTTTTTTTTTTAGTTTTTGTCTTTTTTTTTTTTGATTTTTTTTTTTTTTTTTAATATGTATTTTTTTGTTTAATTTTGCTAAATTTTTTTTTTTCTTTTTTTTTTAATATTTTTTTTCATATGCGGTTTTTTTTTATGTTTTTTTTGTTCTTTTTTTTTGGAAAATTTTTTTATATTTATATTTTTGTTTTATTTTTATCTTTTCTTAGTTTTTTTTTTTGTCATTTATATGTTGTTTTTTTTATTTTTCATGTTTTTTTTTTCACTTTATTATTTTTTTAAGTTTTTTTTTTTTGTTATAGTTTTTTTTTTTTGCTGTTTTTTTATCTGTTTGTTTTTTTTTTTCTTTTTTTTTTTTCTTTTTTCTTTTTTCTCTTTCTACCAGCAACGAAGATCATCTTCCCGCAGAAGAGGTTGAAGAGCCGGCCGGTGCGATTTCCAGCTCCGCAGCGTCTTCCGCGGAGGAATCTTGGACGGAACAGATGCAGTCGGAGCTGATTGTGAAGGACGTGATCCGGGACTCGGCTGAAGAAGTTTTCGGGTTATCAGTGGAGAGGACAAAACCAACCGACACGGAAAAGGAATTGACTAAACCGAAAAAAGCGCGGATTGGCGGGGTGATTGAAGAGGAGGAGGAGGTAGTTGAAGAGGAAGTAGAGGGGGATGAAAATTTTAAGCCGGATTTAAGTGCGGAGGTGGCGGAGGAGGTGGTCGATAAAGCGACAGAAAATGCGATTGTGGAGGAAGCGGCTTTGTTGGCACCACCGGAAGATGAACCAGTGGAGGCAGCAGGTAAGATGATAGATAGGAATTTGCGCATTTGACAAAATGAGATTTTCTTGGATCACCTGCATGGCATCAAATCGCAACTTTTCATTGAGCTTAGCCTTTAAATTTCAATACAGAACCCCCCGCCCCGGCTACAGCACCCGAATCTGGTGCACCGACCGTTCCGCCAATCCCTATTGCCTCCGCGTTCCCACCAGCACGGGAGAATTCCGACGAAGCGGCGAACCCTAAAATTGATATTTTCTCAATGCCGATTGATTTTTTTAAAATTTCTGAAAATCGGCCTCCCAATTTTGAGTAACGGCGCACCTAAAAACGTGTGTCTGTAGTTGAAGAGTCAGCAGGATTGCCAGCCAATAAATGGGGGCAGCGATTCAAATGAAAGGACGCAATGCGCGCAAAAAGCGGCAACCTTTTCCGCGTGTTTCGGCTGTCTATGCGATGCAAAGAACTACACTCAAGCAACTGCTGCGCGCGGGGATTCTTGAATTGCTTTCGAGCGCAATCGGTTTTCGCTCACTTTTGACTTGGCCGTCGCGTCGGGTCTCTTGTAGGTTGGCGCCCCGTGAGACGTCGTGAGCGCCGGACTGGCCACGCGAGGCAATCTCGCCAACCTTCCGCATGGGAGGGGCACACTAGAAGGCACTTCGCCACCGAGCGACGCGGTATTCGGGGACGCCACTCGGTTGTGCCGTTGCGTTTGCAGTGTTCGCGATGGCTTCCCGAAGGGGCAGGTGTGGCGTGTGTGGTCTCCGACAAGGCAGTGGAGGGCGTCCTTGCGCCCACGTTTTGCCCCCGAAAAGTGTCTGGATGGTCGGCAAAGCGGCCCAAAAATTGGCTTTTTTTCTCGTCAAAAATGCCCAAAAAGTTGCTCCTCAAAAAGGCCCAAAAGTTGGCTTTTTTGAATTCAATTGCGCGGGTTGGCCCAAAACAGCCAACCCGCGGCGCGGGTTGGCCCAAAACACCCTACCCGCGCCGAAAACACCCAACCCGCGCAATTGAATTCAAAAGTGGCGCTTTTTTTGAACATTTATGAAGTTCAAAAATGGCGCGTTTTTTGATCTGAAAAGGACTCCACTGTGGACACTTCGGAGCGCCTGTGTGGCCATCCAGCCTCTTCGGATGCCCCTTCCGAGGCCCGGAATGCATCTGCGTGGCTTGTCCGAGTGGCTTTTCGCAGTGTAACTCGGCGAAGAAAAGCGCACGCGCTCGGCTTGGGGTGCTTGTTCTTTCTTACTTCCCTTTGATGTTTGCTGAACCTCCAAAGCGGTTTGTTGGCCAAGCAAAGTCACGGAAGGAGCCGCTGCCCATTCCATCGCGACAGCACAGCGGCAAAACAACGCGCCTTGCCCCGTGTGCATTAATGCGAAGGATTTGGAGCTATTGACGTCCCAAACTAATGCCTATCGCTCATCCACCGCCGCCCGGCCGGGTGATTGGGCAGTGGGGTGGATTCGCCATTGTCACGCTCGGTCGGGGTGGGGTGCGAAAAAATAAGTCCTCACTCGTGCCACTTTTCACCCAATCGGACGGGTTCGCAAAGCATATGGCGTCTACTCGTCGTGCTAATTTGCTTCCCCGCTCTGCTCCATTTCCTCTCCCAATTTGGCGCCAAGAATGCAACAAACGCCCGTGGCGCATTTCGAAAAATTTAATTTTCCTCAATCCACATTGAAGAAAATTAAATTTTTTCGCCACTTTCCAATAGGCCTGTTTTGCGTTTTGTCACTCCATATTCCCACCAGCACGGGAGAATTCCGAGGAAGCGGCGAACCCAATTGCCTCCGCGTTCCCACCTATCGAAAGAAAAAAGTTCGTCACAGTCACAATTTTTCATTTTTCGAAAAATTGAAAGGTGAAAAAGAAGAAATCTTCTGATGTGGAGGAAACGCGCGACCTTTTCCCCTTCGACTGCAAGGGCCTTGTATTTTGCAGAACTAGTGGTCTCGACGGCTTGACGGAGCTAAATTCTAGCCATTTCCGGGGCAGACGCGCTGAAGCACACATGCCTCCGCAAGAGCTCCTACGCCTTCCTGGCTACGCAAAAAATTCTTAGCGCAGCTACTGCGCCAAGAACTTTTGCAAAATATGTGCCAGCGATGAGCGGCAACGCATTTACGCGCGCCCCTCTAACGAAATACCCAAAACACGGGGCTGAGTGCGGCACATGTCACTGGGCGGACTAGGGCAGTCGACTACCTTGCCTAAAGGCAGAAGCAACTTACGCAAATGCGCAAAAACCGCAAATCTTTCCGACTGCATGAAGCCGAAAATTGGAATTTTGATTCTTGCGCGCCATAGTCACTCGGAGAAAAACAGGTCAAAAAATTGTTTTGAAACAGAACAAAAACGACAAAAAAGCGGAGCCTTTTTTTGTGAAAAAAGCTCCGAGTGACGAAGCGCTTCAATTTCCAAAAAGCGGCATTTTAGGTGCGGGAAAGCGAAATCATATTCGCCAAAAAAGTTCGTCACTCGGCCAATTTTTCGTTTCGGCGGGGGTCGAAAAAAAACTCGAGCGACCGAAAAAAACTAGGCCGAGTGACTGCGCGAACGAATGTTCAAAAGGCAACTTTTGAAAAAAAAAAGCTGTCGCCGCTTTTTTGAAATTTTGGGCGGTCTGCCCAATGCCAAAAGAGGTCTGGACAGATGTAACCAGGCCCAATCACTTTTGCAGGCCGGCCTTGTGGCGGCCTTTTAGATGTTCAACGGAACGAAGGCGGCCTGCTTTATCAAGGGAGAAGTGGAAGGCCATGGAGGCGCTGCGCGACCACTTGCGCGCTAGGTCCGTGTAATCGAAGACACGCGCTCTGCCCCCTTTCCTGGTAGGTGTCCTTCCCTGTCAAAGGCTGTGGGGCCGCGCAGTGGGTAAGCTTCAGTGAGCTAAGACAACCCGGGCACGCAAAACGCAGCCAGGCCGTGGCTTCAGCATGCCGCGCGAGGCCTGAAGTTTTTAAGCTGGTTGCTTTTTCGGCCATCAAGTCAAATTTTCAATTTGCCCTGATTTTTTTTCAAAAAATGAAAATTAGTGACTGTGACGAACTTTTTTCTTTCAATACCACCACCACGGGAGAATTCCGAGGAAGCGGGGGCGAACCCAAGTGCGAACACGTCCCCTGAGCCGGAAGCGGCACAACCCGCAGCAGACGCGCCTCCGGAGCCGAAGGTGATTATCAACAAGAGGAAAAAGAAGATGAGTAAGGAGGAAAAGTTCCAGCAGATGAAGGATGACACGAAAAAAACGGAAGTGATTGCTATGACCCGCTCAAACGTTACAATCTCAAACGTTACAATAGAATCTGGGTTTTGTATTGCATGATGAGCATGACAGACTCGGACAGCGTTCCACTTTCTGCAATACAAATTTCGCCAGATTGCTGTGCGGATTGGGACTCCAGAACTTGTCATGCGCAATCCTATGGGAGTAAGCTAGATAATGCACTTCTTGCAACACAAATTCCAGACTCTATTGTAACGTTTGAGATTGTAACACCTGAGCAGGTTATAATTGCGTTGATTGAATCGGAAAGAAAACGGTGCGCCGCGGAGGGTTTGTCCATGCACCCAGAAGTCGCGAAACTAATGTTGGAAGTGATCGGAGACCCGCTGGAGGTGCCGGAAGCCATGCGGGTGCAGGAAGCATTTGACATCGGGAAAAAACAAATTTCGCTCGAGCTGTTGAAAGAGGTAGATTGTCAGTTTTTTCTTGCAGAGATTCAGTTCGTCTTGCGCGATTCCTTTATGTGAGAATGGCAATGGTTATGGTTTTGTGATGCAAAAACTGCGTTTACGAAGGATTCAATTACAATTTCCTTATCAAATAATTATCAGCCCTCGACGAGTTCCCATGGCCCAACCGTGACCTCCTCCTCCACCCAACTCTCTTCCTCTATCGCGTCCTTCTACCTACAGCAGAAAGTGAAGGTAAAAACGCACGTGAAACTGGGCTACGATCTGGGTGCGCTCGGGGAGGAGTACCATAAAAACATGGAGGTGTTTATCCAGAAGCAGAAACTGATGAAGCGGGAGAACGCGAAAAAATTGCTTACCCAAGATTACTATGCAATGCAAAAGCATCGTACTAGTATAAATTGCATTACAAATTAGCCCAGCATTACAAATTCAACTTGTAATGCTAATTTACTTTGAGAAAGAGATTTGTCATGCATAACTGCAATTACTACGAGTGCGATACTTTTGCACAGGATAATTACAAGAATAAGGAGAAGGGCATAAGTGACAAAACGGGGAAAATCATCTCCATCCACCATCCGTCGACACTATGAGAGTGCACAACTCCCCCTCCCCCTCATTTGTCATGCAAAACCCTAAATCGAGTCGCTTCCTTGTCGCACTGTTTGCATGACAAATTCCGGCGGCCCAAACAGTACTACACCAGGCACACAAATTTGTCATGCACGAGCTCCACGTGTGGTGGTGTTTGCATTGCTGTTCATGCGATACAAATGAGGGGGAGGGGGGTTGTGCACTCTCATAGACACTGGCGTCGGAACAGGAAAAAGTCGCGGAAAAACACTCCGAAACGATCAAAAACCGAGAGAAGATCCGCGACGCGCAGATGTTTGTGAGCCGGAAGTATTTGCCGGCGGTGTATGAACGGGTGGTGATCGAGAAAGTGATGGAGTATAGGTTTGTTTTTCGTCGTGGTTTTTGATGCATGACAAAGCGCTTGTTTTCGGCTGTTGTTTGTGCATGTATGACAAAGTTCTTGAAATATCACCAAATTCTTGAAAATGAAACAGGACTTCCGGCGGTGCCGTTCCGGGCTTATTCCCCGGGAAAAACGACAATCTGACCAACAAGTACGGCTCCCCATTTCTCCAGATGGACACGCTTCCGGAGCCGAACAACAACCAAAAATCGTCCAACAAGAACAAAACCAGAAAGCAAACCAACCATTCCGGCCCATCATCCACGACCGCGTCCGGTGTCACCACCGCCGCGCAGACCACCATATTCATTGCAAATACGTCTGGGTCTGGAAGGTCAACACAACTTGTGATGCTATCTTTGCACTCTACATAAAATCTGTATTGCATGAACAGCAAAAGGTCCACTTTTTGCTACGCGGAGAGAGACGTTCTCATGCGGTACGAGCATCAGAAAGCCCTCGCAGAATCTGTGATGCTAGGGCATGCATCACAGACATCATGGGTCATGGAAAATATGCATGACAAACCTGGCACTTTTCCAGACCCAGACATATTTGCATTTGATACACCACTGCGGGGTACTACATGGCGAGTTCCGCGGCGACCACCGCGCAGGACGGGCAGGATATGCAAGAAAAAAACCGCGTAAGTGTAACTCTGTAATGCAGAACCTGCAACAGAGTCACGCTTGTCATGCCAGACAACCACGAAGTCCTGTTTTCATGTGTGTTTTCACTTGCAATCCATGCACGACAGGTTTTCTCTTTCATGTAGAGCAAATTTGTGATGCTGTCAGCCAAACAGACTTACGCTAACACAGTTTTTTTCTTGGATACAGGAATTCCGGGAGTCGGATACGTGGAAGAACACAAGAAGGTCTATCGACATCTACGGCGTGAATCCCGAATTCCTCCGTTCCGGCAACATGGCCAGCGAGTTCAACGCGGTGGCGAGTTACTACGATGACATCGCGTATGGGGGTGTCAGGATTGAAATCGACAAAGTTTAAACAACTTGTAATGCATAAAATCGATACCAGTTGGAAGCCCAACTTCCAAGCGGTGCATGACAAATTTTGGCACCGTCTAGAGCCAGTTTGTCATGCTGTTTAGGGACAGAAGCCGTCTTTTGTCATACTACTTTAGTAGCTCTTTCGCAGATCCCAAGCAGGCTGACAGTCGGCCTCACTTGCCACCCCTGCAAGAGAGTCACTTCATGCCTTGCAATTTTATGCATGAGAAATTACTTCAACTTTGTCGATTTGAATTCTGACACTTCCATATCGCGGAAGCCCGGGAGCAGCAAGTTTTGTTCATGTCGCAAACGTATGGATTGCAAAAATGTCTGGGTCTGGAAGGATACAACTTGTGATGCTACTTTTGGAATCTAGATAAAATCTGTATTGCATGAAGAGCAAAAGAGGTGTAATTTGTGCTACGCGGAGAGAGCGTTTCTCATGCGGTATTAGCATCAGAAAGCCCTCGCAAAGTCTCTGATGCTAGGGCATGCATCCCAGACCTCATGGGTCATGTAAAATCTGCATGACAAACTCCTGCACTCTTCCAGACCCAGACATTTTTGCATTTCATAAAACGGCGTTGGCGCAGCAACAGCAGTTGGGTGGGAACAACACGTCCACGCAATCGCAACAACAGCAGAAGGAAATGATGGCGCAGACGTACCATGCGGGGACGGGGCCGTTTTACCAACCACAGAATAATGGAAATAGTAATAATTCCGGCAACAAACTCTACCACCACCGACCACGGGCAGAAACGCAGAACACGAAATTGGCGAAAATTTCTGAAAAACCTCCGGCGACCTTGGACGAGATGGAAGCGGACGTGCGGGGGGATTTCGAGCAGTCCAGGCCGAAGAGGAGATCCGACAGCCGATCTGTTCCGCCGCCCGCAAGTAACCCGGGGGCGGACGGTAGTGGTGCGCCTGGTCCTGCAGAAACCAACGTGAAAATGGGAACGCCGCAGAACACGGTGGAAGATTTCGATATTCCGCAGTACAACTACCCTTTGCCAGATGTCGTTTCCTCCGCCGAGCAGACTTACAAAACCAGCAGTGAAAACGAGGATTTATTGTTGAACGAGCAAAGCAAAAACACAGCAGGTAGTCTCGGGACAGACGAAGATAGGTCGTTGACTGCATCGAGTAGGCCGAAGACGAAGGATAGCATTATCCCACCATCGGTTGTCGCCGCTAGTCCGTACGGTCAGATCGAAGTGTTAAATTTGGACGACATGCAGGAGAAGAAACGGGAGAAGAAAAGGAAAAAAACCGCAGGAGGAACAACTTCTGGCGGAAATACAAATCCGTCTTCGAAAAACAACAGTCTGAACAACACAAAGTCTTCCGGTTTTTCCACCCAGTCTAAAGAGTCGAAAAAATCCTCCGGACAGGGTTCTATTGCGGACATATGCATTGCAAAAATGTCTGGGTCTCCTGGAAGAGTTCGAATTTGTGATGCGAAGTCTACATCATGACAAGATCTGGCATGCATGACTAGCAAAAGGGTCCAGCTCTTCTTACCGAAAGAGGTGATTTGTCATGCGGATTAGGCATTGGGGCACCTGCTCAACAAAGTCTGTAATGCTAGAGCTTGCATGCCAGACGATCAGGGTCAGGCAAAAACTGCATGACAGATCTCACATTCTTGCTCCAGACCCAGACATATTTGCATTTGATAGGGCACCAGTAAGGAACATTCGACCACGAAGCCATTGGCGAGCCCCTACGCGGGGGACCAGGTGGAGATGCTGTTGTCAGGCAGCGGGTCGGACGTGAATTCGAAAAAGAAAACAACTACAACTTCTCCGAAGAGAAAGAAAACAACCGATCCGGCAGCGAAGAAGAAGAAACAGCATCAATCTACCACCTCGAAAGAATCGAAAATGACGGACACTTCAAAACTAGACTCCGAGGAATTTCCGATGCCAAGTGGTTCTGACGATAAAGTTGTCTCCGGTACTGAGGAGGAGTCCGGTTCTGGTACCGCTCCGGCGACAACGAGCGAAACGGAGCAAAATCAAGTAAAACCGGCAGAACAAACCGAACCACTCGACGAGCCCATTGCGTCAGATGATGAACAGTACCAAAACGAGGAGTTTGAGCAGGAGGAAGTTGAGGAAACACCCATGATATGCATTGCAAAAGTGTCTGGATCTGGAAGAGTGCAAGACTTGTCATGCTAAATCTGGACCATGCATGCAAAAATTTGTGTTGCGTAGCTACCATCAAAACAAGCTGTTCATTTTTGACCAGGATGGGAGGGAGTTTTCCATGCAGAATAGGCATGATACACATGTCACAGAATCTGTCATGCCAGGTCCTGCATTCCAGACTTTATGGGTCACGTTGCACCTGCATGACAAGTCGTGAAATCGTCCAGACCCAGGCATATTTGCATTTGATACATGAACAACGAGGGTGACCACACCTTTTCCAAACCAACCACCGCGCAAACGGAATTTCTGGAAAGGAACGTGACAAGTTCCGGATCTACTGCGATTGGTTCCGGAGGGAAATTAGTGTCATCATCTGGGAAGATGAAAGCGGGAACATCGGCGTCGAAAAGCAGCCAAGGTGGGCAGAAGAAAAGCAGCAGCACTTCTAAACCGCCTCGAACATCTTCTTCCCATTTATCCATTTCCACGGCTGGCTCTTCCGAGGGGCAGAAGGAAAATCAGAACCAGGTGGAGCACTTCCCGTTTCCGACCGTAGCGGAGAATGAGATTTTTTCCCCGCAGGACAATGTTCTTGGGTCGGAATCGCCTTTAGGGGCGGCGGTGCAAAATCATGTCGGAATGGACACGAGAACCGGGAAGTTGGAATTGGTAGAGAACCAGGACAAGTTGCAACAAAGATTGCTGCCGTTTGGTGTGAGTGACGACATGACGCCGGGGGAGAAGCCAGCGGCCGTGCCGCCGAGAAGTCGGGGCGCTGTGCCTTCTAGTCGGGAAAGCAGCACGACAAATGCTGGGCGGATGACAACCCCTGCTGCCTCATCCGGGGCGAGGAACCGGCCGTCTACGAAATCATCCTCGGAAAGGAAAGTACCTGGAAGCAGTGGTGGAGCAAATTCTAGGGGAAAAACGCCAGCTGCGTCTTCCTCTTCCCGAGGGAACCCGGGGGCGACAACCTCCTCCCAATCTTCGCAACGGCCGCAGTATCAGATGCAAAAATGTCTGGGTCTGGAAACTTGTAATGCTGAGCGAGTTAGAATGTGGATGCCACACATGATGGCTCAGCATGACAAGTTTCTGAGCTTCTGAGCCTTGCCTATTCCGCATGACAAACTGCGTTTTTGCATCACAGAAAAATAGCGCCTTTGGGTAACGCGCACGACAGACTTAAGAGTCTTGCTAGCCTAGCATGACAAACCTTGCACTTTTCCAGACCCAGACATCTCTGCAATCCATACGCAGCACGGGGGTACAAGGCCGTCGTCCACTGCGAAGCAGCCTTCGCCGCCAGCCTCGAGTCAAAGCACGACGAGGGAGAGAGAGCAGAGGCGAGCAGGGGAACAACAGCCGCGAACAAGCGCACAACAGACAACAAGTACAGCGCAGGTTGCAGCACCTATAACGACGACAACAGCACAGCAAGGAGAATCCGCCACGCCAGAGGAAAATTACTCCGATGATGAATTTGAAGAAGACGACCAATTCATTTTAGAGAACAACATGCCGACCATCTGGGCGGGCGATCCCCAAGCGGCTTCCATGTTCGCACCGAATGATAACGTAGAACAGCAGTCAACTAGACCAAATTCCTCCGCCGCGGGCTCGATGGTGAGTTTTTCTCGGCCGGGGACCCAGCAATCGATGTTCCCGCCAGGAAATCAGCCGGGGACAAGGCCAGGAACGTCGAGCGGAAATGCAGATAACCTCTTCCCATTTGACGAACCGGCGACGGCGACGCAGGCTGGTGCAAATAACGGCATGACTACACAGGGGAATAACAGTACTAACAGCGTCGGCCGGCCGGGAACCTCAGAGTTCCAACATCGCCCTGGCACTTCCTCCTCCGCGTCGATCTCCACTCAGCAAGTGCTTTCCCAGTCGAATTTCAACAACTCCCAGAACCAACAGGTCACTTTCGCCACGGAATTCGCCACCCCAGACCCGTTTGGGAACATTCTGATCCGTCCGGATAGTTCTTCCTACGGGGAAAATGATTCTCTGCGGGACTCGAAATCGTCGAGAAAGAAAAGGAAATCCTCCAGGTCTAGTAAATCCAGGGGCGGAGACCGGGACAGGGAAAACCTCTCTTCCGCCCACCACAGCCGGGAAATCTCGGGCGAGTTATTTGCCGGGGAGTTTTCGGAGTCCCGGCCGAACACGGGGTCGAATTCGATTAGGAGTCATTCTAGGTCTAGCAGACAGTCGAACCGACCGCAGTTGGCGGAGCCGAACGAATTTGACTTTCAGGGGGAATTCGATCCGGAGGAAGACACGGCGCGGAAACAGAGGAAGAGACGGAATAAGGATCGGAGTTTGTAGGGGGTGGAGAATGTGAGTGGAAATTAGGTGGAGGAAAGAAGTGAAGATATGTATGCTTGCTGCTTCGTCAGGGGCAGATGTGATTTTCACACGAATCAATTAGAACTAAACCATTATTTCCGTAAAATCTTCCGCTGCTAACTGAAGAAAACAGTTCTGCAGTGAATTAGTTGCGCGCACCTATGTTGGTAATTTCAGAATCAATTACCGCGAGAAAAATTAGCGATTCGCTTTTTTCCCCGCATGGGAAACTGGCTTGAGATACGAACTAAGCTACTTATGTGAAAATGACGAATATTACAGGTTTCAACTTTGGCAGTTTTATGAGAAAGAAAAATATCGGCGAAAATCAACTCACAACCAATGTTAATGCTGAGAAGAAGACAAGCGCTTCTTCGTCTTCGTACTTGCATCTGTTACAACTTTTTCGTATACAGCAAAGATCAAGATACCTCTATCAGACCTCGCAATAATGACTGACTGTGATATTAACTCGAAGCCTGTTTGTGGGCTTTTTCCCTGTTTCGTAAAGCTAAAATCTTCTCTTCAACGACCTGACTATCTCCTATCTCGAAAATGTTTCAAACTAGCTTTTGCTACCGGTGAACTAAAAAGCAGCTTATTCTACCTGTACAAAAAACCGAGATAAGAATGGACGAGGCTATGAGAGCCAAAGCTACAACGGAATTGAAATGTCTTGTATCTACTCGAAGATGTTGCCTAGTTGCAGGTGATGATGCTAGCGCTACAAAAATGAAACTCCTTGAGCACCGGACTTGTGATGGTGGAAAAGTTGGTGTGGATGCAGTAAGGCTGGCGAGAATGTTTTGTTCTCTCTTGAGGGCGCGGATGATATGATGCCCGCATTTGAAGCTGGTGCAACGATGCTCATATGCAGTCTTGCTCTTGTCGGATTGTTGTTGTTCACGCTACAGCATGACGTTGGTTCAACACTGAGAGAGGAGTGCATGGCTGCGGGTGTTTGTTTGCAGACGCGGCGCGTTGGCGCTGCGTATAGTTTGCAGGCGCCTCGACGACTGATTCACTTTCATGGTTGGGCGATGTCGAAGCCTGTGTGCGGGTGCTCTTGCCCCCAGCCATGAGGGCGCAGGGGGTCTCCGAAATGTTCGCGGGCGGGTTTTCCAGATACTTACCACCGCGCCGCTAATGGGTGCGGGAGGCCGGACACATCCAAGCCACGCACGCCTACGAGGACGCCCGCGCCATCCGGCTCGGCTACAAGCGCAGCAGCCGGCGCACACTTGGGCGCCGGCCTGCCGCGAGTTCGGCGCGCTGGTCCGGGCCCTGCGGCGCGGGGTCGGTGCTAAAGTAGCTGGCTACGTGGTAGCCACCCGCGTGCGCGCCTGCGGCCGCCGCCCCCCGAGCCTGGGCGGGGGCCCGGGCGGCGGGGGCTCTCCAAGTCCTCCGGGGCGAAGGCACCAACAAAACCCCCGGCCGGGGGCGCGGCTGCAGGATGGGACGGCCAGCGGCGAGCAGGGAAAAGCAGGAGGACAGTGGCGGGCCGCGCGCTACCTCGGAGCTTCGCTGGAGAAGAAAACCGATAGGCGCCGGAGGTTCCGCAAGAAGGATGACCCCCGGAACCGCGCGCGCCTCGGAGCATTTGCCGACGCAGACCGGCGGAATGTATGCCGCCGCAGACTGCGAAACGGCGGGGCGCGCGGCTTGGTTGCTGTTCCTTTCGAGGGGGCCGGGCCCCTTCGGTGTTTTTTGGTCGGTGGGCCCTCTGGTCTGCAGGCCCCGGTCGGGCCCGGGCGGGGTGGTTTCACAGCCCCGCCGGGCCTCTTTCGTGGCCCCCGCCCCTCCCGGCTGGGCTTTGTGGTTGCGGGCGAAGAAGGCCCGGGCCCCTCATTGGGGCGTATTTTTGGAGCGAGGCGCGCGCGGCGTATTTGCCCGTCGGCCCGGGCGCGCCCGTTGTGGGGTGTTTGCCCTACCAGCCGCGCCCCTGTTCGCGGGCCTTTGCTTGGCAACCTTCGTGCGGCCGGCCGACTACGTTTTCGCATGTTGCCGGCTGTGTATCATGTGAGGCCGAGTGACGCTCGGCCACGCTGCAGGTGGGCGCAAGTATTGATCTGCCTCTGCCTCCTCTGCGCGAAGCGATGCCAGACCAGCCAGTGGAGGCATGGCCTGGTCCGTTGAATGTCGGACAGCGTAGTTGTTCTCGAGTCTGCTGCTTGCGCGAGTGAGTCTGCTGGTTGCACGAGTGGCGTCTGCGATTGAGGGAAGAAAACGCACTAAACAAGCGCCATGAAGGTCGTGTTGGTGAACAGCAATTGAAAATTGTTTTGGACGAGTAACAATAAGAAGCTTTGTTTGAGCTGGCACCGTCGACCTCGGGCAAAAAACCTACCTGATAAAAGATGCTGCAGCTGTACAAGAACCAAGTCGTGACCCAGGTCTCCAAGGAGCAGATCGACCTGCGGCAGCTGGAGCTCGACTGGTACTGCTCCAACTACGACACCATGGCGGTTTATGCAATACAAATTTTTTCCCGCACACGACGAGCGACGTCAAAAACGCATCACAAATTTCACCAAGTTAGAGCACGCCCCTTGTAGTTTGTCATGCGGAAACCGCATAATCCTGATTGTAATTTCTGCATCGTGCACGGGGCAACATTTGCTGTGGATACGGTTTCGTCCACCATGCTTGCCGGTTTCGCGTACGATCAGCTGACCAACTCCGTCCCGGCGAAGACTACTTCTCTTCAGATGGAATTTGTCTACGTCGTTTTCACGGCGGTCTCACTGGGTTTGGCGTTATCGATCGCAGTCACCTGTATCTTCAGCGTGATCTTCGGGAAGAGTCTGGCGTTGCGGGGGAGCCTGGGGGCGACGTCGGTATACATTTGTTTCTTCGGATAGAATTTGAATTTGTGTTGCGAGTTGTTCACAACAGAGCTCAGTCTGTCATGCAGGATTGGCATGTTGAGCTTGACACAAAATCAAAATCAATATTGCCACATATATTACAAGGTCAACATCGCTGTTGATAACCTTCGCAACGAGCAGAAAGTGCTTTACCTCCAGTTCGTCGCGTGTCTGCTCTGCTACTTGATCAGCCACGTATTGCAAGTCGTCATTCTGCACCCCGCGAAGGAGGACAAGCTGACATCCATCACGCACCGAATGGTTTTACCTCCGATGATCTTCTTCTTTTTATTGATTGTGTACTTCACGATCAGCCTGACCGTGAAGCTGCAAGTCCGCGACTCCGACGCGATCTCCGGCACAATTGCCGCGTTGCGCCCCTACGAAAGAATAGCGGACTTGGATCAGCAGGTATACGAACCATTGTCCGCGCGACGACATCTGCACGAATCGCAAATGGCGGGGGCGGGGAACAGGGATAGCGAGTCTTTGACCAGCATTTTGGAAAATATCTTCGCGCCGAAAGAAGAGCAGAACGGCCCAGTTCAGCCACAGGAGGAACCTGGCACGGCTACATCATCAAACTCTCCGAAAAGACGCCGCGACCGGAACGCGGTAATGCCAACAGACAGCGGGTTAGGTGGTGGCCTATCATCCGGCATGGCCTCCGGCGGCCCGGGGAGCCGGGCGGCGAACTTCGCCAGCCGGCCGGGAGAAGGTAGCAGTGGGAACATGCAGGCGGTGATGCAGCGGGGGAGGGAACAAACGCCGGACGAGCTGCGGGCGGAGATGTACCGGAAGAAATCCGTGCGGGCGAATTACTTTTACGGCGGAGAACAGGAGGAGGATGACGAGGATCACCACCACGACGCGGCGGGGGTGCACGGGAGTTCTACCTTCATGTCGGAACGGGGAAGTTTGAATGTCATGTTCGATCCGCTGGGGTACGGGAAGTAGCTGGGGAAAGGAAATGAAACGGGGGCGGTCTTGATGACGTGATGAAGTTTAAGTAGTTGATTTCTCCCTCCAGATTGACATTGAAAGTGTTTGGTTTTTTTGCGCAGAATTTGGTGAGCAAAGATTTTGAGGCACAGGTCCCCGTCTCGTGACAAGGTTTTTATTCAATTTTGCCGTAGTGCTGGAGCTCTGTTTGTGGTGCTCAACCTGCCTGTCTTGAGTTCGAAGACGAAGAGCGGTTCTTTCTTCTAAGCCATCCTGTCAAGGTGTGTTCTATTGGAACGAGGTGCCAGCGGCTGGCGTGCTCGGGTGTGAGACTGCACCTGCCAAAGCGAGCAGATGCGATTCCGGTGTCGGGGCTGCATGTATGAAATGCCATCAATGGAGAAACTTAAAGACGACGGCGCCAAGCTGTCCGATGTGGAAGGCGTAGCCACCGGACACCCCCGGGGCGCTTTCCACAAAGACGCGCCAGCCGAGAGCGTGGCCAGTTGGAAGACCTGGGGCCGCGCAGGTGGCGGGAGGCGCAAACACTGTGGGGCGACGGAAGGCGTCGCGGGAAAAGCGGGCCGCCCGCCTTATGAATGGCGGCAGGCGCAAGACCCGCGAGCGCGCGGCGCCACCGCTGTGGGGGCGGGCGGCGCAGCAGCTGGCCGCGCAACCCCCTTCCAAGGATGGGCGGAAGAAGGAAAGAAGGGCCCCCGCCCTGCTATGCCCAGCACCGCCATGCCCATGGTGGCCGGCGCGGAGGGACACACGCCGCTGGCGGTCGTTCGGAAGGCTCTGGCGGAGTATACAGGGGGCGCCTTCATTGTTTCGGCGGACGAAGGTGCGCGCCAGGGTCGCCGTTGGTCTGATGGCGCGGCCGGCCTTCGCCACCCTGTTGGCGAATGGCCTGCGACCCGCACGCGCTTACCCTTTCGGCGGGTACCGGGGGGCGCTAGTTGGCGCGCAGGGAATGCAATAGCCCGCGCGCGTTGTAGGCTTGCCCGGCCCGGGGCGCGCCAGGCGCGGGGGCGCGGTGCGGGTCGCCTGGCGCCCGCAAGCCGCGTAGCGCAGCACCTGGGAAAGTACGCGAAGAATTTCGGGCGCCGCGGCCGCGGCAAAGAAGGGATCGAATTAGCTTCGCATCATACAGCCCGGCGGGCGCTCCGCGGCCCGCGTCCCTACACCCACTGCGAAACCGCGGCCCCAACGCGCTCCGCTTCGTTTTTGTTTGCCACCGATCTGCGCAAGCTGCAGCGCGGCCGCCCCCGCGCTCGCTTGGCCGGGCGCCCGGCCCCGGCAGCGCGACGGCCTGCCTCGGGGGCGCTCCTTCGCTCGCGGCATTGGCGGGGTCTGCGCCCAACTCCTTGCGCGCCTTCCCACCCGAAATGGGCCCGCCCGGCGCGGGGCGTGGAAAACGAAGCAGGGGGCGCCCGGCCTTTCCGCGTCGCGCCGCCCGGTCGGGCGTGGAAACTTGTCTGTGGAGCTGGCGCGCCGGCGGGCAAGTAGCACCACGCGGCGCAGCCTAGGGTCTCTTGGGCCGCTGCTTCTTTGTCGGGTCTGCGCCACCTGGTACGCACGGTGACTGAGGCCCCGCACCTTTTGCTCGTGCGATCATTGTATGGACAAGAAACTCCTTCGCCCGTGGCTGCGGCGCAGCTTCGGCTATCACTTCCGCTTTGTCCACCGCCACTTGGCATGGCGTGTTCACCCATTTGTCGTTTTCCGTGTCTACAATTACAATGTGACGCCGTGTTGAATCGGAGCCACAAAGGCTCACTCGTCCCTTTATCGTCAGAATTTGTTACCATTGGTACAGCATCGTGCTGTGCTCTCATCTCGATCGTAGCGAATCTTTCGTACAACTAGCGGCAGCGCAAGTGACTTTCCTTTCGTCCTCAAACTTTCTTCGTCTTCTTGTCGTGCTCTCAGTTTTTGTCCAGTTTTCTCTTGAGCACTCTGTTAGCCAAGTTTGCGTGAATCGCGAGTCATTTTTTTGCAAGTAATGCTGCACTATCCTATAGCCCGCAGGTCCTCTCTTTTTCGTTATTCTACTCCTATAGCTCTAGCTCTCTCATCTGCAACCCAAACTACTTTGACTCACGCCTACTTTTCTCTGTCGTTTTGGTATCAAAGTTGACAACTAAATCAATTTCATTTTAAGCACACTTTTTGCCAGAATTGAATTTTATTCAAAACCTCTTCAAAACGCACTACCTGCCCCATGCGTGCTCGAAGGCCGCGGTTCACTACCCTACTCGCGGCCATTTCCGCAGCGACGCAGGAACAGGCCCTCGCCCTCCAGGCCACCGTCACGAAAACGCGGGAAAGAAGAAGGACAACTACTGCCTCCCGTAGAACAACTGCTGGCACAGCATTATCTTCATCAAAACCCGCCCTCCTTCACGGCCGATCCACAGATACAACAGCACTTTTTTCCGCCTCCTCCGTTCTAGAAACCCAGGACAAGGAGCCGGACCGCTTAGAGAAGACAACCGATGTGGTCAGCGAGAGCCTTCTTCTTACAAATCGGAATGATACAACAACAACAGACGTTCTTCCAGTGGCGGCAGAGGTGGACGAGACGCATGATCAAAAGGCAAAAGCCACGATGTCGCCGCCATCTTTACTCCAGCACGACACCAGCGCAAGGTCATCTTCCCTCCGGCTTTCCAGTAGAGAGTTCCTTCTCACTGATTTCGACACTTTGTTCGAAAAGCCGTTGAACCCCCGCGCATTGGAACAGGAACAAAATCAGGCCCTTGCTGTCGCCGCATCCGCGATAACAGTGGCCCTGCCGGTCCTCGGCTTGGAGGACGTACGTGGCAACCAAAAGGTCCAATACATCCAGAAGATGCGAAACAGTGAAATTGCGGTCGCGGTGAACAACGCCTGGAGCGGGGACTTGGGGAGAAGAATGTACAGCTGGGAACCACAACCGGAGGTCGACACGCTTTTCCTCTGGGCAAGGGATTGCACTGATTTAGGACAAAAAACGGTTGACCAGAAGTCTTTGTCCGGGTTAGAAACGGGTTTTTTCCAAAATGACGAGGATTCAGGGGTTTACTTTCGCGTGAACGAGAAACTTTACGAGGCTGCGACGGGGAGGAATTTCAATCTTCATCTTTCTGGAGGAAAAACTAATGCCTACTGTCTGAAAATCACCGACGATCATGGAGCCGCAGGTAAAAATGCGATGTTGGCCGCGTATCCCTGCGAGAAGGTCGGCAGAAATCTCGAAAAGTCCCAAGTTTACTTTTCCGAGCAGGAGAAAAGGTTAATCGACCGGGAAACGGGCTCTTGCATGATCCCTACTGTGGACGACAACTCGATGAACAGTGTACTACTAGTTGACCGGCGGACGGGTTTCGGGTTTACGAGGCAAGAGACGGCGTCGGAAAGTGATACACCTTGTTCCACTTTCTCCTGGGCGGATAACGATCCGGAGACCAACACTGGCCGGTTGAAGCTCGACAACACCGAAAATCTCTGCCTTTCTGTGCAGCCTTCGCCAGCGTTTTATCGGAACACTTTGACGTTGCACACGAAAGTCCTACCTGTTCCGGGAGAGAGCGAAGCTTTAGACGAAGTTTTTCGACAAATCGGCACAGGAGCTTCAGATGCGGAAGTCGTGATGGACACAAAAAAGAATCGACGGGAGGACCATGCACGGAATGGCAGGACGGTACGGCAGGCGGTGTTGCTTTTGAATTCGGATGATAAAACGACTTTCGATGTAAACCTCACACCCTGCATGCTGGCGGAAATTTTCCAAACGCCCGTTTTGGATATCGACCGGCGAGCCAGACAGGCGGAAGATTTGCTGCCGCCGGTAGTCTTGACGGATTCTGGAACTGGTGAACTGGAGTCTTTGCAGCTTGAAGAATCGACGAGGAAAGCTATCTCGGATGAAATCACCTATCTCTCTTCCGGCGAGAAATGTGGCGATGTGTGCGCCGGGGGAGAGAACAACTTCTCGAGTGGCGTTTGTGCGGCGTGTGAACCAAGGCACTCGTATTTCAGTGGTGGTGGAACAAGCGGAACAACTTCTACGCCCGAAGTAGTAGATGACAGCACGATCCCGAGGGCGTATTGCTGCAAGGATAACGAGTGTCCACATGGGATGATCGGAGGGAAAAACGAGTTTCTTTGTATGGTCCCCTACCCGTCGAACCGCTTACCGTTTGCGGGAATCGGAAGCGGGAGGAAGGTGTGCGGGAAGGAAAAACGGGATTTTTTGAGCAACAAGTTCGAATATTCAGTCGCAGACGCGTGGAACAAGGGAGAAATTATTGCGGAAGATTTGCCCGCGGATTTCTCAGTCTCGATTAAGCCAGCGGACAGCGTTTTCTACCTCGTGCAGCGGCGGTTGCGTGCCGGTTCGGGACACGCCGGTCAGGCGTCTAGTGGTGAGATCTTTCGCGGTCACGCGAAAAACGGTGTTGCTGGTGAAGGTCCTCGTCCGGGCGCCGTGCCACCCCAAAGTGCTGGTGCGAGTGTGGATCAAAACGGAAGTGGCGGAAGGCTGCAGCCGTCGCAGTGGTCTGGCGGTAGTGAAGATGTTGGCACGACTGCGGAGGAGGGCGCGGAGGGCAAGGACCCGGCCTTGAGAACGGTGCCGACGGTCCGAAGCGACCCCGCAGAGTGCTGCTAGGCAGAGGAGCAAATAGTCCGTGTTGTGATCTGATGGTCGCCGCGGGAGGACCCGAAGGTACGCGGTAGCGCGTGGCTCTGGGTGATCTACTAGGCGCAGATGCAGTTGATAGATTTTTTTGCCGACCACTTTCGTCAGGGTTATTCTCGATCGGAATGTGGCAGATGTGAGGAAGTTGTTGCCTCATCTAGGAAAATCCTTGTACTACTTTGTTTTCTACTCTTAGTATCCGCTAACCAGAGTCTCATACATAAACATAACACGCGAAGGGAATTACATTATCCTCATTCCCAAGCATGAATCTGTATCTGATATCACGATGCTAAATCTTCCTTTGAAGAGGATGCTAAATGCTTCCACTGTATTTTGCGATGCTAAATCTTCCTTTGAAGAGGATGAAAGACATGACTCCGTGCGTGCGCAGCCACAGTGTTGTGCCATTTTGTGTTTCGTAAATCAGCTACCGTGTTTGCACAGACCGTTGGTTCTTGTCGGATTCGACATGGTGCCAGAAACTCATTGTAGTTCAGCGAGTGTTTCTAAACTTGCGCTGTGTTCCGCGGAGGACCTTCCTTGCTTGGGGAAATGTCAGTGAGAGCGATTTACAACGGACGTGGGTAGCCTCTGCGCAGTTCTGCCGCCTCGCGCGCTTTCGGGGGGCGCGCTGTTTGGCAGCGGCCCCACCTGCTTTTAACGGTGGCGCCGGCCGGCCCCAGTTTGCCGGCGGCGCCTAGTCCATGGCGACACGAAGGCCGATAACGTTGCCGCCTGTCTTAGCCTCGGAGCGCCACGCCGGCAACCATCTTGGGCCTCGTGCGAGTTTTGGCCGGCCGCGCGTATTGGGGAAGTTGTTTTGTCGGAGACCGGCGGCAACTTCTTCCCCGAAGCGGGTGGCAAGAAGTGTCGACGCCAAGGGGGCCGGCGCGGGGGGGGGCGAGGGCGTCTCCATCGGGCGCCGGGGCGGGCCGGCCGCAGCGTATCGAGGCAGACCCGCTCCGGGCGTGGTCGCGCCGGGTCCCGTTCGATAGCCAGGCACCCCCGGGCGTTAGTTTATTGGGCGGGCCCGGTGAACTGCTCGCCCCCCCTTGGGGGGGCAATGCAGTGCGCCTCGGAGGGGCACCGACCCGGCCGCCTTTTGTTCGGCCGGCCAGTCTGCCCCCCCTGGCTGTCTCGGTGTTGCCCCCCCTCTGGAGGGGGCGGCAGGTCCGGGGGGCGCCGACGGTGGCGGAGGCGGCAGGGAGGGGCGCGGCGGAAAGGGAAGCACGCCGCGCGCCGGTCGAGGCATTTATCGCCGGAAATCGCGCACCTTGGCCGCGCCCCGCAGGGGGCCCAGTATTCTTTCCCCGGTCGGACCGACCCGGGGAAGCGAAGCGCCGCCGCAAATTTGGAGGCGCCCAAGGAAGCGCAGAACGCCGTGGGCGCGCGCCATAAGCTGGCGCGTTGGCGGCCCTAAGGCAGCCCGGTACCCCGGCGCCCTGTTTCGTATCCATTACGCCCAAAGAGGCCGCGGGGTGGGGGAGGGTTACCTGTGACGAGCAAAGCCCAGCCCCGGCCGGCCCGCTTGCCCCCCGCCCTCGCCGGAAGCAAGGGCGGCACGGCGATAGCGTTCGCCCGTGGGCCGTCGCTCGCCCCGTCGCGCGCTCGCTGGTCCTGCTGGGCCAGGTGGCCGCCGTGTCAATGCCGGGCCACGGGCAAGCTCGGCGTGTTTTCATATACGCTCGCCAGAAGCCTGGAGCCGGTCGCGGCTGTGATAAATGTTAGCGGCCCCCTTGCCGCATTTCGTCTTGTCAGTCTGTTGTGTTCGTCAAGACTCAGATCGAGCCTTCGGTCGCATGGTTTTCTTTGCTTTGTCTCATTGCTGCTCAGTTTCCTTTCTTGCTTTTGCGTGATAAGTGGTCTAGGTCTTCTTTTATTCAGCCAAGCCCAGCGCCAAAAAAAAAGAATTTAGCAAAGCGCTGACACTCCACCCTGGTGCCACTTTTGGTCCCTTGTTGTCTGAGAAAACATATGCTTCTAGTATCTTCGAGCTGCCCTTCGGTTTTGTGTAGTTGAATTTTTCGGCAAGGTCTTATACAGCCTTTTTGGTTATTAATTCCTCCGCAAGATTGCCTTGCTGTTGCTGTCTAAATAAATTTCGCTGTCTTTTGCTGCTTGTAACGAAAAATTCCAGTTTCTATGTGTTTCGAATTCTCACCTTTCATCTGTTCAAAATAGGTTTTCGTTTCTCACTTATCGTTTCTGCTGAAAACATAAAAAATCAAGATTTTCGGGTTCTGCAAAACTGCTAAAAAACTGTCTTTCACGATCTTGTGCTAAAAGTTTCTATTTCTTTCTTTTCTGCTAAATTGTTTTTTTTGTTTCCTCGTTTCTCGACTAAGATTTCTACTCTCATTTCTGCCACTAATTAGAGCCGAATGTGTTTTATCTCGCACTCCGGGTAGAATAGACTTCGTTGTTTCCTCTTTGGTTGTTCCCGAAGAACTTCTGTCCTCTGTGGACCCGTGTCATTGCGTCCAGTCTTGCTCTGGTCTTCTAGCTCTACCTGCATCTCCGCGTTCTTTCTGCTCCCTCTGACGCCGCTTCAGTCGTCCGGCTTTGTGAAGCTATGCTGCAAGCGTTCAAAAACGCGCTCTTCTCCTCCTCCAGCGAGGAGAACCATAACGCGGAATCAAACGAGCAGCCGCCCGACGAGGAGGTTCTTCTCATGCAGGAGTGCTTTAATACAGCAAAAACCGAGATGAATAAAGACGACCTGCAAGAGACCGAGGGTCCGGATGAAGATCCGCCCGGGACGTCGATGGGAGCGACCGGACCAACCGGCAATAAGAAAAAGAAAATCAAGAAGAACAAAAACAAAAAGATGAAAGCAACTAATTCTGAGGATGGTCCTGAGCCCGCGGCTGTCCTGGCTGCGCAGACATCTTCGGAGGAAACTGCGTGCGCTGGTGAAATTTCTGGTGCCGGAGGGGATGGTACCAGCAACGCGTCGAAAGTTCAAGATGCGACTACAGTCGTGCCCACAACCAGTCCCCAGGATCGGTCTCCTGAAAAGGATTCTGCGCCAGAAGAAAACAAAACCGCTGTCGTCCCCCCGAGTCTGCGCAACTTTGATCGCTCCTGCATCGCGGAGCAGGGCGGGAATAGCGACAACGAGGACACTCTGATGGTTTCCAACACCAGCCCCTTGAACTGCCAGATCGACCCGAATTGCAGCAACGGACGGGCGATGAACGATAGTGCAGGAGCTTCTTCTGCAGCAGTGACGAATCCCGGGGAGAACAAGCATGGTAAAACGAACAACAACGCAAATTTCAACAGCAAACCTGGCAGTGGCGAAGGTTCTGTGGAGACTTCTACAGACGTGCAAAACAAGCAGAGCGGCGACACCGGTTCGTCGAATGGCAATGGCAATGGGAAGATGAATCAGCACCAGCAAAACAACCGCCGCAAGACGAGCAAAGTGGAAGTAGACATGTCTTCACAGCAGGACTTTTCTGGTCCGACTTCGAATTTGAATGCGGGCATCGCGTATATCAACTCTTGCTCCGGTGGTGGTGGAAATAATGGCCAAATGCAACAATCTTCTGCGGGTACTACCGGTGGCAACATCAAAACGGTTCTGCAAAAGAACGGTATGAACAACGCTACTGGTGATCAGAATGGAGCTTGTGCTGGAGGCTATTACGCCCAGCCGAATGCAAGTTATTGGAACGGGTGTGGTAACCAGTACGGCAATATGAAGGGTTCTACTGTCCCAGGCGGTATGATGACAGGTAATAATATGCAGTACAATCACCAGTGGGTGAACAATAGTAACGCTTACTACGGAAATGAAAACCAGAATCACAAAGGCCGGTCGGGTTGTGGGTCTACTTATGGCAACAACTGTAACCCGAATTACAGTGGCAACAGCGGAACTGGTGCGTCGAAAGGAGCCGCAAATATGAGCGGGATGACAAACAATAACAACCAACACCAGTGGAACAACAATAACAGCAATGGTCCTTCAACCGGCACTGCAAATCACAACTCTTTATCGGCTCGCAAGCGCAGCAACGACAACAAACAAAAGGCCGCTTCCATCGCGGGTTCGAATCCCAATTCCCCCGACATTTCCATCCAGCGCCAAAACCAACAGGGTACCACGATGGGCCTGTGCGGGGTTCGCACCCCCCCGCATAAACGCAGCAATTCCGCTTCGAACCACTCGCAGACCATGAGCAACAGTGAAAAGATGCGACGGTCGAAGACGAATAGCGGGAGTGGTGGAAATCATGGTACCAGCAACGGCGGGGGATCTTACAATCACGGAATGAATAACAGTCGCGGCAACCTTGCTGCAAACGCGAGCTCGAACGCAAGCAGCGTTAATATTAAAACGCCGGATCAGAAGAACCACGACGGGAATAGGAAATCCTCGTCTAAAATAACTTCCAACAACAGCTCCATGACAAAAAGGGAGAGGATTTTCAATAGTCCACCAGGGTTATCTGTTTCGAACAACAGCCCCCCGGCGAACTGTAACGTTTACCCGACGTACGAGCACCAAGATTGCCCGACGAGTTGCCAGAAGGACGATGATATCCAGTTCAAATATGTCTGGGACTGGGAGATTGCGAGATGTGTCATGCTCGTCTGGCATAACGATGACTCTGAACTTTGTATTGCGTGGCCGCGAAGAACTCCTCGCGTCTTTCATGCACAAACGCAGTTTCTCATGCGAAGTACGCAACTCAGAAGCAGAACCACGGAAAAACTTGTCATGCTGGGCAGCGCATCACAGTGTGCTCACTCTTCCCTTTCTTGCATCACAAGTTTCCGCACCCAGACATATTTGCAATGCATAGATGACACACAAGCCTATACCAGCTCCAGTTCCTGTGCGGTAAGCAGTAGCTCTGCGGAGGAGAGTGAGGAATGTAGTGACAGCGGGGTGGAAGTTTTGGGAGAGGAAGAACATCATTCACAGGAGGTTGGCAACTTGCAAGGCGGACAACATCAAATGGGTGGTAGTGCTGCCATTGCCCACCAGCAGCAGGCTGGAGCAGCAATGGATCATACGACGTATGGTCACCATCAGCAGGGTACAGCGATGTTAGCGCAACCACCTGCGCAGGAACAGTGGATTCCGACCTACTATAACCCGGTCAGTGGAGAAATCATGGTGGCTGCAGCACCCCCAGGAGCCGCCGCCGCCGCGCAAATGGGAACAGCAGCTTGTCATGCTATGGAACAACAGCAGCAGCAAGAGCAGCAGCACGAAATCGTTCCCCCGCCGCCACCGCCACCGGCGGATGGACAGGAAGACGCTGGCATCGGAAACAGCAACAGCAAAACTAGAACTTGTGATGCTGGGGGAAATGCGAGTAACGTCAATGGCAACAACCAGATCCAAATCGACAACCACATGCTGAATCTCTCCGCGTTAACCTCTTCGCCAGGCGATAGTTTCACGACCGATCCAACGTTGCAACAGCATCAAGAGCTAGTTGGAAACGATCCGGACAAACTCCAAGCGGAACAGGAGTACGCGCTAGCCGCGGATCAGTTTTGGGCCGGACAAAGCTGGTTGAACGCGTGCGGTTTTGGGCTTCCGTCGATCAACGGAGCGATGATGCCGATGCCGGGAATGTTGGCCGGAGCCAATTCGCAGACGGCTGCCGCGGCGGCGGCGGCCGCGGCTTTGAACTTGCAGAACATGTTCATGCAGATGCAGAGTAACTGCAACGCGGCGTTTGGCGGTGGAAATGCCAACGGGAATGGAACAACAACTTCTGGGGGAACAAGCACTACTGGTTTCGCAGACCCCGCACTCGTGTTTCAGCAGGCACAGCTGTTGTCGCAAATGCAAGCGATGAACAATGGACAGCCGGTGAACATCGCGGCTGCGATGGGAAATGCTGGCACTACAACTGCGGCAGCACACGACGGATCCGGGCAGCAGCAACAGCAACAAGGGGGAAGCACCACTGACCCTCGCGGTTTCATGGACTGGTTGATGAGCAATGCGGCCACTACAGGCAACAATAATTCTGTCGGGCAGCAAAACCAAAACGGCAACAATCCCATGCAGTTTTCCAACGCTATGCAGATGGCGTTTTTGCAGCACATGCAGCAAATGAATATGTTTGGAACTTCTGGAGTGAGTACGCAGCCTGGTTCTATGCAAATGCCCATGACAAGTTCCTACGACGGGGCGACACCGATGACGATGAACGGGATGAACATGCAGAGTGCGATGAACATGAACATTCAGAACGCGATGAACATGTGGCTGATGCAGCAGCAGATGGGGACTAGTGCTACGACTAGCATGACAAATTCCGGCGCTGGTACAACTGCGACTACAATGAGCGCCGGGGCGGCGCCGTGGAATCCGAGCACGAACGGAACGGAAGAGGTAGTGATGCAGCACCAAGAGCACGGAGGTGGGAGCGGAACTTCACAACACCACTACGGTAGTTGTACCGAGTCGCAATGTGGTGGAACTATGTCCAAAACTTCCTCTTCCGCGACCACGAACAGCTCTGTCGGTGGGGGGAAAAACGGAGGTGCAGCGGGGAACAACAACAAACGGAGCTCGAGCAAGGACAGCGGAAATGGCCATGGCAAGCAGAACGGTGCAAACCAGCACCACCTCGGGAAGTCGTACACGCACCAAGGCACTATGTCGAAATACAACAACGGTAATTCGATGTCGAAAGGCGGGTATGGAAACAAGTCCTCCGACAGTATTTCCAGTACCAGCACAGCTCAGCAATTCTCCAAGACAGCCAGTTGCAGCACCAATGTTGGTGGGTACACGTCTTCGCATGTGGCGCAGGGTCAGACGGGTGCTGGAAAGTACGAAGTTTTCAGCCACCAGACGGAGCACACAACTTCCGGGACGATGAACGGGAAGTCCGGTAACAACTCCCGCCCCTTGAGCCCCGAGGATGAAGCGCTGATTGGTGGTGGTGGCCACAGCAGCTCTGTTGCTGGTGGAAAAAAGCATGCCAAATCCCAGGAAATCACTCCGCCCTTGTCGAAAATAACCCCGATCACGGAAACTTCGCATCACGTTTTACCTTCCCCCGCCGCAGGGGATTTGAGTCCCTCCGTCTTGATCAACAACACTTCTGGGGTTTTGAAAAAGGACAACTCGTTACTGTTGTCACCGTGGTTGGAGTCGCCCGACTGTAACGAAAATCAAGGTGAAGTTGAGGAGTTTGAGAAGATGCGCGGTGGGTCTCGTGACGGAGGGAACAATGCGGCTGCGGCAGACAAGAACAACCGCGAGCAAGAGGACAACACGTTCGACCTCTCGGTCACGCAGAATTCTTCTTCGAACAAGGATGAGAAAGAAGATTTGTCCGATATCCGGTCTAATTTGGTTTCTCCGCCGTTGAATTGTGGGGAAATGAACAACAAAATCGAGAACAACAACAATCCGAGCATGACAAACAGCGGGAAGAAGACGTCGACCCTGATGGAAAACAATCAGCAACAGACGGGCAACAAGCAATTTCTAACCCCGATCTCCATGTACCCTGAATGCTTACGGATCTGGCGGTCGTTGATTTACCACTTACGCGACCATTTAGACGACCACGATGTAATCAAAAAGCTGTTTGACCAATACACGGAGTTTTACGACGTGAAGGAATTGATGCAGATGGGAAAAAGCGAAGTTTGTCATGCACAGCAGCAACAGCAGCTCTCGGAACCACAACTTCTACTGCAAAATGGTTGCAACCCGAAAAATAGCAAGCACTCGACTTTCACGCAGAAGGAATACCAGCAGAAGTACCTGCAACTAACCCCGACCCAGAAGGAGTGCTCGCAGAATTTGGATTTCTTGCTGCAGATTTGCGCGGAGTTCCGGCAACTGAAACTCGCGGAATATTTCTACGACAAAATGTCGGATCTGATGCCGAATTTGATGTACACCATGATGCAGGTCTACGCGAGTTGCTCGATGTACTCACCCGCGTGTGAACTGTTTTTCGAGCGGCATCCAGGTATGGACGATTTCTGTTTTGCTCATTGATTCAATTGATGCTCATGCTAGTCTCGCATGACAAACTGCTTTTTTCTACCTTTTTCCGCATTACAGATTCGCATGAACAAATCGAAACTTGAAACAGAGTACCTCCCCTCCCCGCGCAAGAACCAGCACGCGGCTTTTCAGCACTTGCAAACCGGGAATACAGCCAACGCTAATTCCGACAATGCCAACAAGCAGAACACGCCTTCTACATCGCAATTAGGATGCGTTTTGAAATGCTGCGTTGAGCTCGGCCAATATGATGTTGCGGAGAAGTTGTTCTCCAGCTTGGTCTGTTCTGCTACGGACACGAGCGTTTCGGGTGGTTGTACTTCTAATGGCGGTCTTTCTGGTGGAGAAACCAGCACAGAGCAGGAGATCACAACCGGTGCCACTTCTTTGCAGTCCTCTTTGTCCTCCCCCGGGGAGATTGAGACGAGTGCTGGCAGTAGTCCTCAGGTCGACGGGGGCGCCAACGCCATGGTGAATGAAGAAGGCACTGCTCCTGCGGGTGCCTGTTGTCCCAACAACGACGACGACCGCTTAGACAAATCTGTGACTCTCCCGAGTCCGATGGTGATGAACACCAACCCAGGACGGCAAGTGTCGTTGACGGAAACACCAGGGAGTAGCTCCGCCTGCAATACAAGTTCTGGGACAACAAACGTTGAGAACAGCACAACCATGAGCAAACAGTTGGATTTGAAGGATTACATCACCATGATTCGCGGATTCGGCCGGCAAGGGAAATTACAGGAGGCGAAGTCGATTGTGAAATTACTCCGCGAGAACAACGCCGCTGCCTGCCACGCGAATAAAGAAGACACCAGCGAGCAGGGCAAGGAAAATCAAAATGCAGAGGAGATAACCAAGGCGAATGCTTATGCTGCTACCACAACCGGAAACAACAACAGCAACAAAGACACTTCCTCCAATCACTACACTCTCATCCGTCCGGCCTACAACGCGCTGCTCGACACGATCGTCTCGTTAAATCAGCAATTCTGCAACAAGGATAAGAAACGGGAATTGGCGAAGGAGATTCTGGAAGAAATGGAGCAATTCAACCTTTGTGATTTATCAAATGCAAAAATGTCTGGGTCTGGAAGAATACAAACTTGTGATGCGCATTTCAGAACACAGAAAAATCTCTCATGCATGGGGAGCAAAAGCTGTCCACTTTCTGCCACCAAAGTGGGGGATTTGTCATGCGGATTCGGCATTGCGGAAGCTTCTCGAAACCTGTCATGCTTGAGCTTCCATGCCAGACCTTCTGTGTCATGCAAAAACAGCATGACTCTTCCAGACCCAGACATTTTTACATTTGATATGATTCTGTCTCCTACAACACGTATTTGAAGGCGTTTTGCCACACTTTACCCGATGCATTTGATTGTTTGGAGCAATTACGGCAGAAATCCCAGTTCACTCCGGATAGAGTCTCCTACAACTCCATCTTAAACCTTGCGGTCTCGATGGGCGACTCGAGACGTGCCTGGCGGATCATCAACGAGGGCCTTTGTGGGATCAAGTACCCGATCGACCACTACACAGTGACGATCATGTTGAAAACGGTGCGGGTTCAATCGACGAACCACGTGAACGTGAACATCGCGAAGAATAACAAAGCGGCTTTTAAACTGTTGGATAAGATCTGGATCGGGCAGGATGAATTTTTATTGAAAACGGCGATTGATTCCTGCATTCGCGGGAAAGAATACCAACGGTTGAAGCGGATTTTAGAGTGTAACGAGATCAAATTCCCGAACGTGCCGACGTATGGATCTTTGTTGAAGGGCTGGGGAATTTTGAAAAACCTGGAGAACGTGAAGAAGCTCTGGGCGGAGATGGTGACGACGTGTGGTTTGCAGCCGGATGAGATCACTCTTGGGTGTATGATTGACGCGTGCGTGTCGAACAACCAGGTGAACTACGCACTGGAGCTGTTCAATAGCTACAAGACGATCCTGAAACCCAACCCGATTATGTACTCGACGTTGCTGAAGGGGTTTGCGCTGGAACGGCGGGCCAAGGAGGCGCTGGGGTTCGTGCGGGAGAACAACGTATTTCTTTTTTACTTTACGCACTTTTTTTTGTCATGCGCGAATCCGCATGAGCTTGTGTTTTTGCCATGCAAAACTACCAAAAGAAATTGAAATTCTATCAGGTCCTGATGAACGAGGTTTCGTACAACACTTTGATCGACGCCTGCTGCCGGTCAGAGGAGAACATGATGCAAAACGCGGAAGAATTGATCGAGGAAATGCTCAGTAAAAACCTAAAACTCGACATCATCACCTTCGGCACTCTCATCAAAGGCTACATGATGCATGGCCTAGTCGACCACGGGATCCAGATTTACCGCAAGCATTTCTGCAATGAGGAAACGAGAATGTTAAAACCGAACGAGGTGATCTTCAACACGCTTTTAGACGGTTGTGTGAAGAACAACAAATGCGAGCAGGCGCTGGAGTTGTTTAATGAGATGATTTACAACCAGAATTATGCTGGTCAAGAAATAAATGGTGACGCGAATAAAAACGGCAACAACACTACCACCTCCAAACCGACCTGTTGTTTCACCCCGTCGCACTTCACGTTGACGATTGCGATCAAGATGTACGGGAGATTGCAGAAAGTGGATGAGGCGTTGAAATTAGTGGAGCAGTGGCCGGTGTTGTACAACATTTCGCTGAATAACCACGTCTTCACCTGCTTGCTCTCCGCATTGCTGAATAACAAATGGTTCCAGCACGCACTGCAGATTCCGGAATTGATGAAAAAATCTGATGTTGCGCCCGATGCGAGAACCTATGGGACGTTGGCTTTAGGGTTGTTGCGGAACGGAGGAAGTGGGACTAACAACAATTCCAGCACAAACAACAACTGTGGAAATAACCAGATGAATAAGAGCGCGGATGAACAAAACAATCAGCAGAACAATAATACCGACTGGGTCTTGAAGGCGCGGAGCGTTGTCTTACAAGCGTTTCAGGACTATCAACTGTAAAAATGTCTGGGTCTGGAAGATTCTGACACTTGTCATGCACGCTTTGCGTGAGCCCTGATGTCTGTGATGCATGCCCTAGCATCACGGATTTTTTGAGAGCTTCTTGATACCTATTCCGCATGACAAACGCCCTCTCCGCGTAGCAAAAATTACATTCCTTGTGGTACTCATGCAATACAGATTCTTTTTCTGGAATCCAAAAACAGCATGACAAATTGCAAGCTTCCAGACCCAGACATTTTAACATTTGATAAGGACGGACCTGGTGTGGAGTTTGACACCTTGTTCCGGATGTGCAAGCAGGATGAGTATCTGTACAATGAGGTTGTGAAGTCCTGCTGGCCGCAATGTGCGGAGGCCAAGGCGGTGGTCGATCGGGTCGGGCACGCGCTGTACCGCGGCGGGAATCTGCATGGTAATAACGGCCACAATCACCACGGAACTAACAATCAGCATCACCAGAAGCGCAACGGAGGTGGTGGTAATAATGCGCAGAACAATAGTAGTCAAAGCGGTGGGATGAACCGGCAGCAGCAGCAAGGAGTCATGCAGCAGGGGAACAGCAACAGCGGTTCTGGCGATAGTAACAAGAACGGCACGACGGCGAATCAACAGCAGAACAGAGGCACAACCGGTGGAAACATGCATCAGAACAACGGAGCAGGGATGAACAATTACAGTAAGAATGCGAACTGGAACAACGGAAACATGCAGCAGCAGGGAAATGCCACTTACTACAGCAACCAGCAGTACAATCAAATGAATGGCAACGGAAGCTGCAGTCAGGGTAATGGTTCTTATCCCGGTGCGCCGGCCGCGCACCAGTACAACGGCAGCATGATGAACGGCGGCTATGGAGGCTGCAGCGGCCACCAGGGTTCTTACAACAACAGCGCCAATTATTGGGGCGGCGCTCCTGGTTCCTACGCGACTGGAGGCTGTAACTGGGGCCCGCAACATCACCAGAACGGGTCTGCTTCGTGGGGGCAGCAACACGGGATGAACCAGATGCAAGCTGGGTCCATGATGATGAACACCGCGGTCTATGGGAATAACAACACGCACGCCTCTGCGTACAATCAGAGCCAACAGATGAGTACTACGGGAAACATGAACGGCGGTGGAAACATGACTTCCAACAACAACTGGCGTGGTGGTGCAGGGGCGCAACGGAACAACAACGCCGGCGGGACTTCTTCTGCTAAAGGGGGAAGGTAAGGAGTGAAAGTTGATAAAGTACCAGGGAGTCATTGAGGACAAAGACGTGTTGACATCAGGGACTCTTAGTACTTCTGCACGACGACTGACCTCGAGGTTGTGCTACTTGAGATAGCTGTTAGAAAATAAATCGGGCTTCACAAAATTCGAATGGTTTTTTCTCCTTTCCCGTGTAGAAATTTTCTTTCTTCCGTCAATAGAGGTTACAGTGTATATAGCAGCTTCTGCCAATATACAGCCGGTTTCACAGTCAACATCCGTGGTCAAGATCCACGAGCAAATACTTCATCTTCACAAGTCATGTTTAGTCAAACAAGATTTGCATCAATTTCCTCACATCAACGATAAATGTGCTTTGGCAATAATTCACAATTTTTTCAACAAGCGAAAACAAATTTATGGTACTCGTCTTGTATCGGGTAATATCAAGGCTAAGTACTACTCTTCCTCCGTTTCGAGCATTTGTCTTTCAATTTGGTCGAGGTTTAACTTTATTTCCGTAGTTTCTCGATTTTGCTGATGTTTCACTTTATTTCAGTATGCTAAATGTAAACAAAAACAAATTGTAAAAAGAAAACGAGCTCATTTCTTGCCGTACTTGTTCTCTGCCATGGTTGTGTCTACTAAACTGCTTTTTTGCAAAAACGCAAACCCTTCGTCTGCAACAAAAACGCAAAAACTTATTTAGTTCGACAAGTATCTTTCTACAACAACTTCGTTTGATATTCATCCGTTTAGCTTGGCGATTCTTTTTCTTTATCTTTTGAGAATTTTCGTTTCATCTAGCTCGTCTCGTCCCTTGCGAATACTGATAGTTGTAATTGAAAAGTTGAGTTGTACTATTACTTTTTTTGCGATGTAAAAAAATACGATTTTTAGCCTATCCAATCTTTCGTCCCTCTGCCACTGCATCAGCCTATTTCATTCTGGGGATTACAAAGCAGCAACTCTGAAAATTCCGTCGCTATTTGCCGTTTTCTGCTCTAAATTTTGTAGTTTTCTTTCAGTGAATAATTGGATTTGTGTTGCTGGTGCGAGTATCAGGCTGTGCTGGTTGTCCTGCGACTTCTGGTGTCGCATGGTGGTCTCGTTCACTAGTCAACACTAAGACCTATTGTATGAATAGTTGAGAACAAAAAAGCACTTGTGTCGTATAATTTCAAGGTACTAATGATTCCGACCTGCGGTAGTTGCACAGTCTTTTTTTGAGAATTTACAAGGAGATTTGATTTGATCAGCTTCCAAACAGAAGTATCGCAAGAAAGGTACCATATGCAGGCATAGAAGAGTTCGAGTTTTCCAAAGAGCACATAGAATTCAGCATTTCGGTGTAGTTGAACAAAGACGTGAAAAATCGGTTATTTCGTTCCACGTACGGTTTTCTCGTCTGTCTGAGTCTGTCTCGGTACGCAACAAGATAATAGTGTGGCTGCGGGGCCTCACATGAGTATCCCGATCGGTACTCATTTTTCGTACGCAATTTCAACAGAATTCGGTCTCCTACACTCTTCCGCTTTCGGTGCGCTCCTTGCCAGCGGCTTCTCACCTCCTGCCTCGGTTTTGTCGAATTCCTGTGGTCGTAGTTGTCTTCAGTTGTATGTTTCTAAATTGAAAGCAAGCAGTGGTCATTGAATGATTTGTCGCCTCTACTATTCCCGTTTATTCCGCATTGTTTCCCGGTTGTGCATCTGAGTCACCATTTGAACTTCTTCGTCTCCCAGCCCGATATCAGTTGCTCGTCAGGTGCCATTTTCAACTTGCACCAGCTTTATTTCTACCTTAGGTTTACAGTTTTTTCCGTAATTGTTTTCAACGAAAAAGAAAAAATGGTTGCCCTTGCTGCACCAGCGATGCGGCCGCCTCGCCCTTGTGGACCGCCGCGGCAGGGAACATCTTCAGGCAGTGCGATTTCAAAAATTTCTTCCGCGACCCAAAAGTTGAAATGCGCCTCTTCAACATTTCCCCTCGCAGCAACCCAACTCCAGCTAGTACTCAACATCGCCCCGATACTAGTTGCACTACTTGTACGACCAGCCTTAGCCCACGCCGACGTGACTCAGCACCAGCACGCGGAGCAAGGCCACCAGGACACGATCCACGTGGAAGGCGAAGACAGTCAAGGCTTCACCGCGGCGGTGGACATGACCTATTTTTTCGTCATCATCGCCGTGGTATGCATTGCAAATATGTCTGGGTCTGGAAGAGTCGGAACTTGTGATGCGCATTTCACAACACATAAAGATCTCTCATGCACAGGCAGCAAAAATTTCCCACCTTTTGTCACCAAAATGGGGCATTTGTCATGCGGATTCGGCATTGCGGAAGCTTCTCGAGACCTGTGATGCTAGAATTCCCATACCAGACCTTCGGTGCCATGCAAAAGCAGCATGACTCCTCCAGACCCAGACATGTTTGCATTTGATACGTCGTCAGCGTCGCATTCGTGGGGATTTGCATTTGGAAATGGAGGGACGACAAAATCATCCAAGAGCGGTGGGGCACGGGCACGGGTGGAACTAGTACCCGGGTGGTTGACAGTAGAACCACGGGCCCACCGGGAGCTACTTTGGAGCAGATTCAGATCATAGGTGGCGGGCGGGATGCGGATGTAGAACGACGAACTGCGACCGTGTCTGCACCTACTACCCCGGGTGCAGTAGGTTCTACATTTTCTTTGCGTAGTGTTGCGTTCTCGCCGACCTCGCCGATCACAACCCCCGCCGGGTCGACGATAAAGCCGTCCACAATGGAGATATCCCGAGGAAATTAAATACGTATTGCTTACGACGACCCCATAGGCAATCGATCACGTTGGGAACTTACGTACCCAACACAGACCAAGACGCTTTCTTGGTGGAAGTCACGCATATGCAAGTTTCTAGCTAATCGGCAGCACCCTAGTGCGACGCGTTGGCCTTATTTTTTGTGCGGTCAACATGGGCATCGTCACAAGGCCAACATCTGCGTGCTTATCCTGCTTGCAGCTGCTGCTGCATTCTTTATACAAAGGATACAAATCATGCCACAACAGCACAACTAGAATTGCGTATCATTGTTCCAAATTTTCTGCTTCAGATGCGAATCATAAGCATGAGAATTCATTGGGGTAGAAGTTCGTTGTGAGTACTACGTCAACTAGATTTTTCCCCAGGATAGATAAAAACAACCGACGCATCGATGATGTCCAGCCGGTCCGCCATCCTACGCGATGTGTATCAGACTCAACATTCTCATCTTTCCCATCACAACCAGCGCGAGGGCAGTGCGGGTGATGGGGTGATGTTATCGTCCCAAACTACCTCGGGACGAAGGACGAGTCAAAGCGGCGGGCGTCGTGGCCAACAACACGGGAGTAGTAGTCCTCGCTATTGCACGGGACACACTAGTTCTGGACGCCGAACCAGTCAATCAAATTCCTCGGGACTAATGTCACCACGGAGGAATCATGGATCTTCTGCAAACTACCAGCCTCGGCGAGACGAAAAGTCCCACGAGAGGTCGAGCGACTTGAGCGGCCGCACAACCGAGCAGTCCTCGCACGGGGGTGTAACCGAACATCGGCGGCGCGGGTCGACTTCCCTGGGCGTTCACGAAGAACAGGGTGGCGAGGAGGACGTCGCAGCCGTCGTTCCTCTCGAGGGCGGCAGTACCGAAGATCTCAGCGCCTTACCAGCCAGGGCTTCCTTGGTGGCCTTGAGAATTGAGCCGAAGGTGTGAAGAAGAACAAAATGAGGAAGATATTATCCAGGAGTTTTTTTGGTGGCGCTCGGTCGTGGAAGAGCACTTCTATTGATCGCAAGTTTAGATGCATTCATTAGTTGCAATTTCGGTAGAAGATGAACAAGATTGCCGCTTCTCTTTCTAGTTTTGTTTTCTTCGAACTACACGACTGGTGGATGAGGCTAAAAACTCCGAGGCAAGTTAGGTACTTGATTACACAACACCCTTTTGCGAAGCTTCTTGCGAGAAAGAGAAGCAGTTGCTGATGCGTTTGAGTTAACACATGTATTCACTGAGATTTCTCGTTCTACGTGACATGATGTTGTGACGCAACGCACGAAGCCGAAGTCCACATGTATTGCTGAGTGTGATATTGAAGTTGAAGTATTTGCGTTTTTTGAAAGATGAAGCAGCAGAAGTATCATCGTTGGAGAAATTGTCGGCCTTTGTTTGCGGCATTGTTCGACCCAGCCTGCATTTGTGTTCCTCGACTAGATCAAAAAGATTGGCACTGAAGGTTTTGTACGAGGATCCTGCATTGTTTTCGACAAGCGCGGCGTTTTTGATCAAGCCGCGAATGCGTTTTTGTTTTTTCGTTCAAACAGATTTTGCAAAAAAACAAAAACGCAGGGCGCACGACCGGGCGAACGGATACAGGTGGCGCGCCCGGGCCATTCGGGCGCGCCAGTGGTCTGCGACATGGGGGGGCGTGTGTTTTCGGGCCTAGCGCCGCGGCCGGAGCGCCCACCGGAACAGCGCCCGCCAGAGCAGTCACCCGGCGGGAGCTGCCCACCGGGGCAGTGCCCGCCGGCCCGCCCGCGGCCTAGGTGCTTGAATTACTTCCCAGGGGGGGGCCTTGAGCCCTCTTGGGCGGAAGGGCGCCACCAGGTGCCGCCCCCAAAGGACCGGCGGGCCACCTTCTTGGGCCTGGTGCCAGGGAGGAACTTCGCGCGGAACAAAGCGGCGCAAACAAACGTCGGCGGGGCTACGCGGGCCCCTTTCCCTATGCCGCGCGCCCGTCAATATATCAGCAGGCGCCCCAAGCCTGGAGCCGGCGGCGGGGCAACGGCCCGCCCCCGGGGGGATCCGCTGCAAAATCCGTCGCGAAATCGGGGAGGGTGGGCAGCCGATGGAGAAGGAAGCACTTGGGCGAAGCATTGCAGGCAGGCGGCCCTTTGATGGGTTTGCGCGGAGATCCCAGGGGGGATTTCGCTTGGCTCCACATTTGTACGCAGAACATGCCGGCCGAAGGCAGGCGCACGCAGCAGATTGGGCCCCTGTTGTGGAAGGACGGCGGTGGCGAACTGACGCGGGCCGGGGCTGCCGGGCGAATGAAAAGGGCGGGCCCGGCGGGGGGGAAAGCAGAGGGCGGCGCGGTCGAAAAGTGCCGCGCCTACCAAGGCAGGAAGGGGTGCGTTGGTATCATTACCCCAGTGGCCTACGACGGCGCGAGCGGGTTTGTGCCGAGAAGAATGCTGCTGCCGTTCCGTATCGCCGAGCCCGGCCCCCTGTTGTCGCGGTACGACCCCGCGGAGCCCGGGAAGGCCGGCGCGGCGAATTAGCAGCGGGCAGGCCCGGGAAGGGCGCGGCGCACGCAGGTGCTTGGCCACGGGGGAAGCCGGCGCACAGGAGCGCGAGCGATGGCGGTGCGGCTGCGGCAAGGCCGCGGCAGGTTCTTGCCTCCGCCGAGGTCGGCGCCGCCAAAGCCTTAGCCCCAGCCGCTTCCTGGTAAAGGGGCGCATCTCCTCACCTCCCACCCGACCTGAGGCCGATGCAAGATGGGCGCGCTCGGGGTCGAGGATGGTAGCACGGAGTTGATGGGCCGCCTCTACTGCTTCGCACCCGTCGCCGCCCCGGGGCCGCCGCCTGGCTTGAAGAGAAGCGCGGCGCGCGGAGGCCGTGCGCTTTCGGCCCGCGGCCAACTGGGACAAAAGATAGAGCGCGCCGATGGCTGAGGGGCCGCAGCGATGGCGACGATGCCCCGCGTCGGCGCCCACCACCTCCGCCGCCCCCGTTAGCGATGCGCCTGCGGCCCTCGCTGGTTGGTGGTTGGTGTCTCAAATACCAAGGGCAACAAGCGGCCCGACGCTCGCTCGCTTCGCTCGTTTGCGCCGGAGAATCTGCTGCCGGCCGGCGCGCTTTGAGTGATAGATTGATTGATATCCCCTTCGCGCCTCTCAGATAAAGTTAGCGGCGCCGGAGCGGGAGGGGCGTTCTGCCGTAGCCGTTGCCCGTTGCGTTCTGTCTCGCCCACCTGTATGCCCAGGCGCTGTCTGCCTGGGTCTCCAAGTTTCTTGCTGATAGAGGCACCCCTCCCACGACAATCAGCCATGTCTTTCCAGTATCGATTTCTGTTTTCTACCACAAGATTGGTCGTGATGTCAGGTGATCTGAATAAAAAAACAAAACAGCAACTGATACTAAGGTGATCTGTCTCAATATATACTCATAATCGTAGCACTAGCAGAGTCGTTTCCTTCAACCGTAGATGTGCACGATGGATCGGCAGAGCCATAGATCTGGGGAAAGTCATCCTTGTACGACAAGTCGTCGCGTGAAATCGAAAAGGGCGTGTGATAAAGTTTGTCGGTGCCATACTTCGTATTTAGAATAAGAATCTCAGTCGTTTTGTGTGAATATGCCGACTTGGAGAAACAGTTTGGTTTCTCCAAGTCGGCTCCAATTTCGGTATTGGGTCGTAGTAAGTATCACTTTCGTGTGTCGTGGGATCATCATGATTGGTTTGGCAAATAGCTGGTGATGTGCGTCGTGCTACCTGAACTCCCTTCATATGACATTACAAAAACGAACCTGGTTCCAGTGCGGTTTTTTGTTTTGACAATCTAAAGTCAACTTTCCATTTTGAGAAACAACAATTTTTCTAATAAATTCATTATACAACCTTTTGTCTGATACTGATACATCCTCTCGTCGCTTTGACAACTTTTGCGCATCGCAATTGTAAAGTACCTACAAACTTATTCCGCATTTCTCAAGTTTGAGACTTTTTGACCCTATCTTGTTCACAAGTATAATCCCACCTTTTTCACCTTCATCAACCACCCGTTTGACACCTAAAGTCACTACAATGGGATCCGTTTCGTCCTCTTCTGTTATTGACCCGGAGGAGGTCGAGATGCCAATGCCGGCCGTGTGCGAGGAAGACGACTACGGCACGGTTGCAGAGGAAGAGCAAATTTGCGATGCAGTTGGGAACCACGATGCAGCTTTTTCCCCTGCGGCTCCTTTGGCGGACCAAAAGGAAGAAATGGTCGACATGGACCACGACTGCAGCCTGTTACACTCCCAGGCCCTAAACATGGAGCCGGAGCTGCAGTTTGGTGGTACGACTGAGAACGATCCCCGCATCGTTCAGAAAAAGATGTTGACCCCTGCGAAGAGTGGCTCGACGACGTCCCAGAAGAACTCGTCTGCTACTTCCACCGGCGTGGTCTCTGGACATCAAACCGGTCATGATCTCTACTTCGCAGGTTGCCTGGCGGCGCCAAGGGGGAAGATCGACGAAGGGGAAATCACGATGGAAACGACGGATCATGATGCCTCGATCAACACGACGAAGTCCTTTCCCAAATCGAAAAGCTCAGCTGGTGGTCAACAAGAACGTCTGCAAAAGCTGCCCCCCGTCGAAGACGTCGAACACGGTATGAAGGAAGATGGAGAAAATACAATTCTCTACACGACCTACGGTGCTGCCAAGAAGGATCTGCGCGCAAAAGTGCGGACCCGACCGCTGGTCGGAGGAAACAAGATGATCCACGAGCCGTTCCTGCCGTTACAGCGTGGGAGAAACGTAAGCGAGGGCGAGGTGAAATTGTTTTCGGAAGTGATTATGTCGGCGAACACGAAGACTCTGTCGAAAACCTCCACTGCCACGACGGAAAACAAATCTGCCGCCTCTACTGGTTCATCGTCGGTCCTCACGACGGCTTCCTCTAGCTCCTCTGGTTTCTTGTCAACCACCACGAGGAACAACAACTACAGTTCGAAGATGCCCCACCAGCAAATGTTGTACACCGATGATTTGAGCATTTTGGTCCCAGCTTACGCACAAGGCATCTCGTCGCAGAAGGACAACGTTCTTGCACCGCCTACCTTGCTGCACATCCCCCGCGTCGTTTGTGAGGAAAAAGTGGAGCCGTTGTTTCTTGGGGGTTCCTCGACGTCGTCCTCGTCGACCAAAAAACCGCTGCGGCAACCGAAGCAACAGCGACCGGTGTGCCATCCTGGTCCGGTGGATGAACACAAGCGATTGTTCGTGCGACCGAGTAGTGGTACGAATAGAAGTACGTCTACATCAGCGACCCAAACTACATTTCACCGCGGCGGCGAAGATTTCGTTGACAACATGCCGGCGACATTGACAGCCACACTGACAGCGTCGGCTTTTGAAGAATCTTCTGCGTTCGAGAACAACGGCGCTACCGTGGAATTGTTGAGTAAATCCAAGACCACAACGACTTCTACCACTGCGACGGAAGGAACTGCTGCGACGGCGTTTGACCACCACGACACTTCCGCGGCCGATGCGAGGAAAAACGTTTCCTCGGGACAACAAGAAGAATTTTTCAAGCCAGTGGCTCCTGCGAAGAAGAGGTCCAGCACCTGGTTGTCGTGCATCATTGGTGCTGCCGGTGGAAAAACAACAAAGCGGACAGCTGCTCGTCGTGGTACTATTGACAGAACCGATTTCGCACAGTTGAACACCAATGATCCGACCATCAAGCGGATTTCTGTTTCCTCTGAACAGACCCAATCCACTGCCTGGTCGTCGGGAAGCGAGAGGGCGTCGATGGGGTCGAGTAAGAGCACGACTAGTACTGTCTCCAGCTGCTCGACGTCGCCCACGAACCAGCGGGGCAAGGTCAAGTTCTCGCAGGGGTTTAGTTTCGGCTTTGGCAAGATGAAGAAGCAGAATTTATTTCAGTTGCAGAGCAACAGCATGTGTGCACCGGCGGGGATGGAGCGGTGCAAGATCAGCTGCTAATGATTCGCAATGGAACAACAGTCGTCCCAACCGCTTGTTCTGAAGAAGATAATAAAGCGATGGACGAATTGGAATTTTCATTTTGGTAACCGGAAATAAAGCAAGTTTTGAAAGAGATCAGTACCACCATGACAGCAACAGAAGTTTTTGTGACAGAAGATTTTGGCGTAAAGCACGTTTTTGAAGAAGCTCCTGCAAAGGTAGACGACCAGAGCAGCAGCAAGAAGTTTCGCCGCCAGGCATCCAGACAACTGAAGAACAAAGGAATCCATCACCACTGAGACTCCGAGCCACGATTTGGTTTTTTGAATAACAGTGAGTTACCAGCGAAGATACGTCATACTTACCATCCAGTCCCTTACCCATCATCAAACACACCCACAAAGAAGAAGTTCGATGCACGACGTACATGCAAGCGATATTAAGAAGTTTTTCGACATGAAGTAGCACCAGCAGCATCGCCACACCATCACCACCATCCCGACCACCAAATCTTCAGCAGAGGAATCTCATTTGACACAGTTTTGGAGGAAAAGAAGAAGCACCAGAAAAGTTTTTGACGAACCACCAGCACGAAAGCCACCAGCTTCATCCCGACCACATCATTAATACACGCAGTTCATTTTTTGTTGACGCAGTTTTGGAAAGCAGTGAAGAGCCAATTTTTGAAGAAGTGAAGTACAAGTACACTACGACATGAGCTTGAGGATGAAGAAGCAGTTTGACAGTAAAACCGAGGAATCTCCGTTCCAGAAAAGAAAAAACCCTCAAGAGCAAAAAGCAGTCAAAAAAGCGATAAAAGCAAAAAAAAACAAAAAACGATAAGAGCAAAAAAAATTACATATTCAAAAAGTCGAGTAGCAGTGTCCCTAACTGGACACATCAGAACGGTCGTGGAGAAAGGCTTTTGGAGATTGGGTTTTGTTGTTCGAGCACCGGGCGCTGGTTTGAGGGCTGACTCTCTCTTTGAGCAATAACGAACAGCAGGCTGTTGAAGAGTGCTTTGTTTTTCTGTTGGAGGGGAACTGGAGTTGGAGAATTGAGAGCAACTGGAGTGTGCAACTTCATTTGATATTGGCTTGTTGCGTTTGTTTCACCAAAATCAAGCGTTAGCTGACGCTGTTTGTGCCGGGGTTACGCCCGTGCATATCGCGTCCCGAGTAAATTTTGTGCCGGTGGTGCCTAGTAGCACACTCAGGCACCTCGAGCACCGTCCGCGTGGGCCCCGATCTCCGCCGGCCTCTTCGATCGACGTCGTGCAACCTGCGGCAGCCAAAATTTACAGACGGGAACCCGCGGCGCCGTTGCCGTTAAACCCGCCAACGCCGCCGAAAGATGGCGGGCCCGGATTTCATTGAGCGCCCGGCCCCGGCGGGGCCGCCCCCTACTACATACGACTGGCCGGAAAGCCCGCGCGCGCCTGGCCTCGTCCGTCTTCTCTTCGCTGGCTCGGGCGGCGCGCGCCCAGGCCGGCGCGGCCCTTGTCGCTTTTCCCGCACGGGGCGACGCGTGGCTGGTCTCACAGCCCGGTGGCGGGCCTTTTAGGTGACGTCATTTTTGGCGACGCGCCGCCTAGCTGTGCATGGGCACGCAGCCGCAGCACCGCGCGGCCCGTCGCGCCTCCATCCTCTGTTGCCTCTGTTCGGTAACAGCGCGGCCGGGGCTTCCGCTACGGCCGCCGCATGTTATTCTTTGGTGAGGTTTGTAAAGTATTCAGCTGTTTGAGCGTGAATTTTGTGCCGTGGTACTTACGGTTTTTGGCCTCATTTTCTTCGTTCACTCACTAAGCATGAGTGAGTGCTGTGAATTTGAGTTTTTAGCGAGTTTACGCGTAGACCAGGTGAGCGTAGCTGCAGTTGCTGTCAGAGTGTGACGGAGGGATACTCCGACCTGGTGCTCTGGTGGGCGCGATTAAGTGGTGGGCGACAGTTCTATGAGTCGTCCGAAAGTGCTAGAAGTGAGAAGTTTTTGTGGAGCTGAAGAAGGCGCGTTTATTGACGAAAAGGGCAGATGCAAATCTAAAATTAGGACCATTTCTTGTCGGGCAGCCACTGTCTGCAAATCATGGCGTCCTCGTCTAGTATCGGCTCGTCAACTCCAAGTGCAGGACTGGGCCCCGGGCGTGTGTGCGTGTTTTTCTCAATAATTGGGCGAGAGTAGAAGTTCTCGGCGCGCTTTCGACGCGGCCGGCGCCGCTTCGGCTTCTGGCGGGGCTGCGGTGGTGCTTGCGTGCAGTAGGTGCCGACGGTCTTCGCCCGGGCTGTTGGCGCGCTGCCCCGCCCGCCGGGAAGGCGCCAGCGAGCAGCGACTTCCGTGACGTGTGCATGCAGGTCGGAGGAGGCCGGCCGGCCGGCTAGTGGACAAGCCACGCTTATCATCAATCATGGCGATGGTGCAGGCGGCCCGCGCCGTATACCCGTAGCGCCATAGAGCAGGGCGAAGCCGCGGAGACCCGCGGACGCAGCAGACCCGGCCGCGTTTTCGCCCCATTGCAGTATGCCGCCGTCGCGCACTTCCGGCCCGCCGGCCAATGCCTTCCGTTTGCATGCAGCCAGGCAGGGCGAAGGCTTCGGCGCAGCCATTTTGGCGCGGCAGTCGCGCCGCCTGCCAGAATGTTGTCACACATTGGCTGGGGCCCCCTTCTCGGGGCCATTTATTACGGCTGAGCCTGCCTTGGCCGCCGTTGTGGCAGGCGCGGCAACGGTAGCTCGCCGCAGCACTTCGGAAGGCTAAGCTCCTATCCCTCATTGGGCGGCTCTGTTTCTTGTTTATCTCGTGAGGAGGCTTCCTTTCCTGCTCGCTGCAGAGGCGGTTGTTTTTGGCGGTGTTTCTGTCTAGTGGGTGTCGTGGACGGCGGGAGGAGCCGTAAGTAGCAAGCAAGGACCTTCTGCCTTCTGAGTGTGGGAGAGGTGCTCGGAGAATGTGTGGAGCTTGTTGCACGGTTTGTTGGTAAATGAGAACTATGCAAAGGCAATAAATTCGAGTCACCTATATATTGATTACACGCGGGGCCCCACCGATAGCACAAGCACGACATCATCAACCAAGATGCCACCTGTTGCATATTGCATGCCCGGCGGAATGGCGGCGGAAGGGCTCGCGCCGCGTGGCCCCGGTCGGCTTGCGTCCGTAAGTTACGACAGGAAGGGGCCACGGCGTGGCCCGGGTGGATAGGCTTGCGCGCGCAACCGCGCCTGAACTTCGGCGCCCGGCATTTTATCCTGGGCTTCTGCGGGCGCCGCGCTTTGGAATCTCAAGAAGACTTCAGCGAACAGCCCCCCCGAAAGGAGTTTGTCCCGACTCCGGCCCTGCCAGTACTGGGAAACGCGCAAGACTGCGCGGACCGATGGCCGCCCGCAGAGGACAGCCCGCCGGCCGGCGCGGGCAAAGTAAGCCGCAGACGCTTCCGGCGGGCCACGGCCCGCCGTTTCCGCTTCGGCATTTTGGCAGGCCCCGGAAGCCCAGGGCCATCGCCCACAGGCCCGCCGCGGCCGGTCTGCGCTGTTTTCGCCGTCTGGCCCGGCGCCGGGACTGCCGGCTAGGGTTATTGCATTCGCCGCGCCGGCGTGCGGTGGCTGGGTGGTGCCCGTTGTAACAAAAACCAAACAACAGCCGCGCGACCCGCGTTCCGGACCTGGAGTGGCGCGACCAAAAGCGGGCCGAGTTCTGCGATCGCAACGAAGGCCCGACCGTCGGTCGCAGCTCGGTCGACCTTCGTTCCGCGCAGCTGTGGTGGGCGCGGCAGCGGTAGCTCGCCGCAGCACTTTGCATGGCATGGTTGCGCCCCGACTCTTCATGGGTCAGCTCCCCGACTAATTTCTCCTGTGGGGCTCCTTTTCTTGTTGCGTGGGCGGTGGTCTGCGCCGATGTTTCAATTAAGGTTGCGTCGTTGTCGAGGCCGGGAGTCAGTGATGAGAAAGATTGTGTGGGAGGAAGCAAGCCTGCGGTGCTTTTTGAGTGTAAGGGAGATGCTATGGACTTGCGTAGCTAGAGTGCCTGTTTCTCAGATTTTTTTGTTGAGTGACGAGGAATTCCGCAAACTGACAGTATGCAATTGTAAAGTCTGCGGAAAAACATAAACAAGTACTCATTTTGAGATGCGTACCTGTAGAAGTTAGTTGTTCCTGGCGATCAGTCTACTATTATACGATAATCTAGCTACATTAGCTTTAGCACAACGTCAAGCGGGCGGCGCCAACACCAAGATGCCTTCTGTTGCGTATTTCTCGCCGGGGGGCTCTAGCTCCTCCAGCGCTGTTGGTCTCCACACGCTCCGCGCAACTGCACCAGAAAACAATAAACCATCCCCACGTACTAGTACACTGCAACCAACTCCACCAACATCCCCGCTCCCCCCAACTTTCGACCGTCACGACCGGGAAATCACGAAAAACTACAGTCGCAGGCGCTCTGGGGCTGCCTGCCGCAGCCGTGCTGCCATGCAATAATGGCGCCGGAGGTGCTCGTCCTCGTGCCGCGGGGCCCCGGTCGGTTTGTGTCTGCAAGCGACGACAGGCGGGGGGGCCTGAGCCCGGTGGCTTCACTTCGAATCCTTAATGCAACTCTGCCAGGCGGCCAGAGGGAGCGCGGGCCCGCAGCTTTGTGGAGATCGCAGATCGATGTGTGTGAAAAAAGCGCTGGCGCCCCGAGCCCGGGCCCTCCGTTTCCGCTTCCGTTTCGGCGTGCGTGCATCTGTTTAGGCCCCGGATGGAAGCCCGGGGCCATCGCCCACAGGCCTGGCGGGCGGGCCGGCGTTGTTTTCGCCGCCCGCCCGCGTTTTTGCCGGGCCCGTTTGCCGGCGGGCCGCAATTATTTTGCGGCGCGGGCGTGCGGTGGCGCCGGCCGTAAGAACAGCAGCCGCCCCGCGTGGCCCGCGTTCTGGACCAGGAGTGGTGCGGCCCCAAGGGAGCCATGTATATTCTTTCGCAAGGCCCGTCCATCGGTCCCGGTCGGCTTTCCGCGCAGGTGCGGTTGGCGCGGCAGCGCCAGCTCGCCGCAGCACTTTGGATGGTTAGGGACTGGCCCCTCATGGGTAGGCTGCGCTTCTCATTTCTCCGTTGGAGGTTCCCTTTTCCCATCCTCCTGCAGAGGCGGTGGTCTGCGCCGATGTTTCTACTAAGTTTCCGTCGTTGTCGAGGCCGGGAGCTGGTGATGAGAAATATTATACGGGAGTAAGCAACGCTTAGCTGCTTTTTGAGTGTAAGGGAGATTCTATGGACTTGCGTAGCTAGAGTGTGTATCAGATTTTTTGGATGAGTGACAAGAAATAATTCTGCAAACTGACAGCATGCAATTGTAAAGTCTGTGGAAAAAGTATTAGTTCACTTTGAGATGCGCACCTGTACAAGTCAGTTGTTCCTGGTGGCGACCAGGCTACTATACGATAATCTACATTAGCACAACGTCAAGCGGGCGGCACCAACACCAAGATGCCTTCTGTTGCATATTTCCCGCCGGGCATTGGCTCTGCCGGCACCGCGGGGAGTAGCATGCTCCGCCCACCCGAACACCAATCATCACCAAGCCGAGCACAACCAACTCCGGGAAGAACATCCCCGCTCCCCCCAAATTTCGACCGCCACGACCGGGAAATTACGAAAAACTACCATTACGACGCCTTCGTCACGACCAGCGGGTACAAGGTGCCGGCCGGGCTCGCGCATGACCCGCGGGTGATTTCCATCCCGGGGCAGTGGCCCTATCGCGAGGGGGATCGGGAACGGGCACAGAAAAGGTACTATTGCCAAGCGAAACAGGAGAAAGCAGGAACTACAGGTGATGTTGCGCCGAGACAGTTGCTGCAAGCGCCGCCTATCGTCACACCCGCGACCGGTACGCTATTCGCATCTCCCACGAGTCCAGGGAGGCCCTCAGGAGCTGGAGGGAGACCAAGTCGTAATCATTTTCACGGAGCTGCACACGTCAACGACACATCAGCCAATCTTCGCCGGGACCTTTCCACCAACCGGAGCAGCGGCCGTGTTAGCGTTGAGCAACGAGGCCCTGCAGCTGTATCACAACAACAACCGGAATTAGAATTACACATGCAGCCACGCCTTCTCGCGGGGAAGACAACTTTCCTCAAACCGCCGATGTTGCAAAAGGTTGTGTTGGAAACGGGAGGGAATTTGAGCTACGCGAGCACGCCGCGAAGTTCTTTTTCAAGAACTTCAAGCAGGAGGGAAATAAAGCAGTTCTCATCGTCTACTTCACCCGCAGCTGCACGAGTTGTGGCTCCAACATCCACTCCGCGACCAGGAAACAATGCGGAGATGAAAGACCAAAACAATAACTACAAACCACTCTGTCAGCACCTCGATGTTTCCAGAAGTCCAAGTCGAATTTTGGCGGCGGAAAACCAGATCATTTCGCATCTGGAAAAGCAGCACGAGTCGCTGAGACTGACACCCAGGAGCAGTTTGAAGAAAGACAGTAGTGGTTCTGGTGTTTTTTCGAATAAATTTTCATCATCATCGCGGAGGTTGGAAGTGCCCAAGTTGAAATTGAAGCTGACAAGCTGCTTGTCGGAGCAGAAATTTCAGTTTTACTGCGAAGAGAAGGATGTTGTTGAGCCGGTAGGGGAAGAAGCAGTAGCAGCACCTGCAGCAGCTTCGACGACCGGTGTTAGTAACAAGCCTGCATTCAATGTGGACCAGGTAGTAGGCCACCCAGTTGCTACGGCGCATGATGATGAGATACCAGCGGCTGTACCTCCGCGGCTTTCGTCGACGGATAACAAACCAGCCACTTCTTCCAGCTCCAGCACGGACACAGCCACGGTGAAGGAACCGCCAGTTCTTCCAGCTGATGCAGCTGCGGCCGCAGATGAAGATGCTCTCGCATCAGCAGACAAGCCGCGAAGTTCTGCTCCTGCTGTTGAGTCAAGAACATCTTCGCACAGTAAAAGCGCAGCATCTTCAACTTCATCCCCTACTTCTGAGGACACCACGAATGGTACTAAAACCGGGCCAACGACGACCTCTATCGCAACCAGCAAGACAAGTTCCGCTTCTGCGACTTATGACGTGTTGTACGAAGACGAAGAAGAGGCCTATCTTCGAGAAAGCAACACCAGCAACAGGAGTAACGATTGTCGGAGAATCACTTCCGTTACCTCGACGAGAAGCTGCGTTCTTTTGGATAACATCATCGATCCGGAGGTGCACGAGAAAGCGGCTTTAATACAACAGCAAAAAGCACCAGGGCAGATTGGTGTGGATCTGCTTCTGCAAGACGAGCAGACGAAAGGTACAACTAGAGAAGATCAAAATAAGACAGCCGCGACCGGTGAAGTACTTCTAGCACGAGAAATAAACCTCGTCCTGGTCGACCACGAAAACCCAGGGAGAGGACGGGGGAGTGTGTTTGAAGACAAGATTGTTGGAAGCGAAAAGGTTGTGCAGGAGATTAACACAAATGAATCTGGTGAAACAAACCTACAGGAAGAACCGTATTCCACGCACGAGCAGCCCACCACCACCCTTCTCGAACAGGAAACAGACCGCACCAGAGACACCTCCACAATTGCGGTGGTCGGGTCATCGGGGCTTAGATCCAGTTGCGGAGGAGTTTTGCAGGAACACCCTTTCGACGAATCGGTTGTGCTCGAACCAAGTGAAACTAGAAGACGGTCTACCAGCACGAAGCCGAGCACGACGAAAAGCAAGAGCGAAGAAGTAGCTGCTGCTGCGGCAGTTCCAGCTGATGACAACAACAGCAGCAGCAAACTAAGACCCTCTGCCCCCAAACCCATGATCTCGCACAGGATGATGAAGATGTGCTATGAGGGGATGGAGAAAAAGAGTTCCACTTCCGCACCAGCGTCAACCACTTCCTTGAAAAGCATGGAAGACACGACGACTCCTTTGGCGACAGGAGCAGCACCACCGGCACAAGTAGCGGGAATTATGCCGGGAAAAAGTGATGTTCTTCTTCCGACGTCGGATGACAAGTTCTTACCGCTCCGCCAAACTGCCGACGACGGAGACGAAACGGAAGAGGATCCGGCTTTGTTCAAGTTCAAACGATATCCTGTGCAAAAGTATCGCACTCGTACTAATTGCAGTATATGAATGACAAATCTTCTTCTCAAGGTAAAACAGCATGACAAATTCCGTTTCTCATGCTGAGCAAATTTGTAATGCGATCTCTACAACTGTAGTACGATACTTTTGCAATGCATAAGCGACCGGACAGGAAGTGCGCCTTTACACCGACCAGTAGTACATCGTCGTCTTCCACTTTGGGGGTAAACTTCGGTTGTTCTACTAGCATGTTGTCAGCAAGCAAAGAGACTGTGGGACAACAGCAGGGTGCTCTGAATGAAAAAGCCACGGAGGCACGGCCTCTAGCACAAGAGCGCAGCGATGGCGAGGCGGGGAAAGTAGAACGGGGCATTTTCTTAATGGAGAAACAAGAACCAAAGAAACTCACCGTGGCGTTCGCTTTCCCGGAAGACAAAGACGAAAAAGAAGCATTTTTACCCCCTCCTGCAACAGCACCTGATCCAGCGGAGCATGTGCATGATCAAAACGACGAAGCGCCTATCGTGATCGACCAATTTCCCCCCTCCACGGTCCCCGATCCCGTCGACCACAAAGCCATCCTCGCGAAGCAAGCCCAAGCCGCGAAGGCGAAGGCGGTTATAAGCGGTAAAAAACAACTCCTAGATCCGGTGGAATTTGATTTCCTCCGGGCGAAGGGCCGGCAACGGTACGGCACCAGTCGGTACGAGCGGAAGAGCAGCCGGTGGAGCGCAAATTCTTCCGCGCAGGCGAGCACCCCGTTGAGCTCGCCGCGGAGTGAGGGGTCGGAGGAGGGGGGTAGTACGTTGCTGAGCGGTGGGCGTGGAGGTGGTCCTGGGGGTGGTGGGATGAACAAGTTGAAGCTCCCGCACCAACGGGTGATGACCGCGTTTCCGGAGTTTTGATGAAGCAGCTTCTTGGTGCTGGGTCGTTGACGTTGTCGTTCCTGTCGGGAAGTAGAGAGTCGCTGTTACGGGAGATAATGCGGAAGAGATTGTGAAGAAATTTTGTGAAAGTGTACCTGAGCAGCATCAAATACTTTGACGTTTTGTGATGAAGAGAAAAACATGGAGGATTGTTTGTCAACTTTTTCGCCTGGGCTGGGTAATAAACCGTTTCAGATATTATGATTTCAACAAGCAGTACCTACAGTACTGTACGCGAACACGATGAACGATTTTGGACGATTTTGAAACTTGAAGATACGCACCACCGAGGACGACGCAGCCCCTCACTGCAGAACCGGGTTTCTTGTTGTTTCGCTGGACTCCGTGCTGTGCAGTTACCACGACTTCTCCGACTTTGTTCTCTATCTTCTACTGCGACAGACAGCGTAAACAGTGACGGTGTGTGCGTGAACATCAATGCGTAGTTGATGCTTGTTACGACCGCGTGGTTTTTTTTGCGTTTTTTCATTCATTTTCATAATGACATTCCGTGCGTGACAGCGACCGCTGTTCTTCTTCCGATTGAAAAATTGAAATTCACAGCATAGGTTTTGGAGTTGGTTCTACACAGAAGTGTCAATGCTATCATTCCAGTCAGTGTATGATGTTGTCTTCAGCCTATTCTGTATGATTATGCGAAGAAGTTTCAGAAAGACGACGGGAGGACCGCCGTGACGACATAACAAACTACTTGTACAATACGACGAATACTAGCATCGCACTTTCACCAACACCATGCAAGACTCCTCTTCCTTCTGCTGCTGTCCGGGGCTGTCCCGGGGCCGCGCTTCCCTCCAGAAATCGAAGAAGAAGATGCCCGGAATTTCCTCCCTGGCCGTGTCCACCGTGGACATTACGGATGATCACAAAGAAACACATCAAGGCGAACTCCTGCAGAACCAGAACCAAAAAGACCACGCTTACAATTCCCGCCTCACGGAAACCAGAGAGTTCATTCCCGCGGTAGTTACGAATAAGCAGAACTTCAACCAGGAGCGGCCTTCCGCTCTGGGGAACCTGGACGATTACACGCACGAGTACAACCCGAAAGTGCAGGAGCAGTGGCGGTTGCTGGCTTTAACCGTGGCGGCGAGTTTACTGACTTTAGAGGGTACGATCGAGGACAAGCAGAAGGAAGAGCAGGGTGTCATACTCCTCGGGAATAAAACGAAACAGAACAAGAAAATTGCGTCCACGCAAGACATTTTCTTTGAGGACGCGGGGGAGAAAAAATCCTCAAAATCGAAAACGGGGGCGGAACAAAAGAAGTGGTCAAACAAGGGCGTAGAACAAGATGAACAACTACCGGTGTTGCGAGAAGCAGGGAAGGCGGTTCGGCCGTTAGGAGGGATGAAACGGGATGAAGGAATTGAAGATGAATATAGTACAACAAGATTCGACGCTTCAGCGGCGCGGAGAAGCCAGCAGGAGAGCTTGGAAGATGATATCGAGCCGCAAATCATTCCGTCCGGTGGTACGAGTAGTAGGAGCTCTGAATCAGGCGGCAGCAGGGCAAGACACAACTCGAAAAACCGGGCGGGCGCGAGCGGGTCGAAAGGTAACATGTTTGTGCTTTTGCCTATGTTTGTCATGCTTTCTTTGCTTGTCCTTGTGGATGTGGTGTTGGTGCTCTTTTTTCATTTTGCATCCGTCGATATCATTTCATTGCCTTTGCGATGTGTTTATTTGCTTGGGCATACTGAGTACGCTTACGTTTTCGACAATCGATCACAGATCGTGCCGGCAGTGCCGCGAGAACCCCAGGAACGGGGTCGAAGCACCCCCCACCAGCGTCCACCCCCTTAGCCTCTGGCAGAAGCACGGACCACCTGCTGTCCACAGTGCCGCACGGTGTGAACGTGGGCAGCAGCGAGAAACGAACCAGAAGTACGGACTTTGGATACGGCACGAATCTCGGGGGAAATGGTCCCGCATCCTCTTCTTCGCGAAACACCGACCCGCGGGTGGGGAAGCGTGCGAAGTCTACGGACAATAACATGATGACGAGCATCTTTTTGGAAGACGGGGGATTCATGCAGGATGCGTCGAAGGAAAGTTTGACAGCTGGTCCACAGCCGCATTCATCATCAACGTCTTTGCAGCACCAAAACCAGCAGCAATTCGTCCACTTGCATGACCTCCAGAAAAACACCTCCTCCCCGGTATTACAAGAACAAAATAACGCAGTAGATTGGTACAACAACCTGGGACACACGACGCAGACTCTAGGCTACGAACACGGTCGCGGAATGATGCAACAACATCAGGTGCAAGGCCAGAATCTTCAGAATTCCCAGATGGTTCAGATATCGAAGCTACAGGGGGTCATCTCTTCCGGAACTACTTCCGGCGCAGCTTCGAATAGTAGTTCTGCCGCAGGGAATTTAGCGGAGTTAGGAGCAGGTGGTCAGCATCAGCAGCATGGAGTCCAACTGCAGCAAGGAGGTTCATCCACGACAACCACGCCGTTCTTGCAGCAGCAACACCATCCGAGCAGCTTACTTCCACAACCCTCGCATCATCAGGGTGCCATGAGCAGCAGTGCTAGTTCCTACCAGCATCCGCGAGGTGGAGTAGTTCAAATGAGTAACGCGCACCAGATGCAAGCTCAGCAAATGCAGTTTTTGCGCCCGCCGCCGCATAATTTGACCAACGCGATTCACCAGACGGCGGTTGGAGGACAACATCATGTGGTCACCCAAATGCAGCATACGACCACCGATGGTCTAGGTCTTTCGCGCTCGATACATCACATGAGCGTGGCGGCAAATAACACAGGAACAGGGGCAGGGCCCAACACGACAACCGGTATCAGCACCGCGGGCTCCGCCGGGTCTGGCGGCACGAAGTCTGCGAGGCCGATGAGCCGGAGCTTGATGGCGCGGGTCCACCAGGCGAATGCGCAGAATCAACAATCCGGTTTGCAGTCGCCAAACTACAATAGCGCACACGGTGTTGGCAGCGGGGGAGCCATGCAAAACTACAGTCATGTTCGGCCGCGAGTTTACGATGCGGCGAATGCCATCAACGCGGCGGCGCAACAACAGAACAATCAACAGCAGATGCAGAACCAAGGACAGCATGCAGCTCAGGATGCGCAAAACAACCAATCTAGTACCTTCGTCCCCCGAATCAACGAGCGAAGCCGGAAATTAGCACGCAGGCACTGGCGCAGAAAGGAGCAGAAGCAGTTTCGGGAGCTGAGCCAGGACGATGTTTCGCACGAAGACATTTCAGTGGAATACAACACCGCGGGAGCAGCAGGATCTTCTCGTATGTACGCGAACGCGAAAAGTATGAACAAATACGGAATAGGAACGAATTCTGGTGGTGGTGGAGGACCACCGCGCATGAACAACAAGGTATTGCAGCGTCAACCGGAATCTTCTACAACGCTTGAGCTCGCAGTCCGTGGTGGTGATAGGGCGCACAGTTCCCCGCAATTGCAGTTTTCCAACGATAAGGTCACTGTGAATTCCGACATGATCACAGTAGCTGGCGATTTAAGCAGATCCGCCCCAAACGGAGGAGGAGGTGGAACTACATCAAGTAACGTCATCGTCTCGTCTGGGGAGAACCAAATGCTTGTCGAGAAGCAATTGCTAGATCGGACTCGAGGGCTGTCAGAGATAGACCAGTTCTTGGCTAGTCCGACAGAGATAAACAATCAGAGGTCGAAATCGGTCCAGGAACAGCAGCAAAGGGAAAAGTCAGTGTCTGTCAGTGTGGATGTTGACCATCGTGGTAGTACACAACGAAACGCAGGCAATTGTTCCAGGGGCGGCAGTCAGGCGCAGAGTCCGGGATTAATGGGAAGTAATCCGATTTTGGACCATATTGTGAACAACAACAATAAATCCGGGACTACAGCACGGAATTCGGATTCACCCAAACTGATGGCCGCAGAGCATGAGGACAATCAGAATCTTCCTCACCAGCAACCGCGGAAGAACTCCACGGACCTGACCAGCCCGGATTCGTCTCCCTCGCCAATATCAACTTCGCTCATGCAACATCAAAACCCGTTACTAGGTGCAAACGGGCAGCAGAAAACACCGACGATTCCGCCGTTGATCCCGCCGATCAGGAGATCAAACGTTTTATCAAGTGCAAAAGTGTCTGGGTCTGGAAGCATTTCAGAACGTAGAAAAATCTCTCATGCATAGGCAGCAAAAGTTGCCCACTTTCTGTTACCAAAGTGGGGGATTTGTCATGCGGATCCATCATTGCGAACGCTTTTCGAAACGTGTGATGCTAGTGCTTCCATGCCAGACCTTCTGCGTCATGCAAAAACAGCATGAAGAGTCAGACTCTTCCAGACCCAGACACTTTTGCATTTGATACGTTTCGCAATCAGAACCGCAAGTAATTCCGCCGGAGTTGCAGCAGCAGGGGATGAATTTACAAAATTTAGACATGACCGGAACGGCTACTAGCAGCAACGGCCAAAATCACCAACAGTTGCTCAACACAGCACTCACTTGGCCGCAATCGTGTAAATCTGCACCAGGAGATGGTGCCGGGGGACACGTTTCATCTTCAAATCAAAACGGCATGATGAAAAGGAGCCTGCTGTGTGTGGTGGAGCAAACTTCGGACTCAGATTCAAACCGCTCGGAGTCGCCGGAGTTTTTGCGGAAGAAGCTACCGTCGGGTGTCCATCATCAAAACGGGAGTAGCACAGCAACTGCGGGGGAGAATAATTCCATCGGGCAACAACAGTACCAGACCGTGCAAAGAGCAAACAGCTCGTCACAAGAACGTACAACAGCAGTCGGTCCGAGCTCTGTGCAACAGCAGTATATTCAGCACCGTGGAGGAGGAAATACAAATACTGCGACTGGCTCCAGTTCCTCATCTGCCCCGCCAGGCAGTAAGCCGATGCTCTCCAGCATCGATGCGGCTTTTCAGGAAAAGAGAAAGGTCAGTCACAGCAGAAACAAGAAACCTGTATCAGGCGCAGTGCCGGCGCCAACGAACAATTTAACAGGTTCTCTGAAAAGTAGCAGTAAGACCTCGATGCACCAGATGCAACAGAGCAGCACAGGCGGAGCAACTACATCAAGTGCTCCGATGGACACGTTTGGCTCGTACCCCGGCATCCCCTTCAGCGGATTGGGGTCGAGTCACATTTCCAACCCGCGCAATGTGAAGATCGCGCCGCCGGATAGTAACGCGGGATTCGTCGGCTTATCATCGTCTACTTCCACGATGCAGCAGCAGCAGTATAATCCGCAGGTGCTGGTCCCGACACCTGGTAGCGGCGCAGGAGGTCCGATACGGCAGAACAGCACAGGGAACAATGGGAAATCGCTAGCGCAAGTGCAAGCACCAAATGGGTATTTGAATCCTGCGGTGGATTTGAACCTGAATGACAACTTGCTCATCTCTCCCTGTCCCCAGGATGAAGACGTCCGCTCTAGCTGCGACTCTGTATTACACCAGATGCTCGGGCACATTGGAGGGATCAGTCCTTTCTTAGAGGCGGGACCTGGAGATGCTGCTGGTGCCGAAGCTGAACGGGAAGAGGTTCGTGGAGAGCAAGAGCAGCGTATCAAAAAGAAAAAAACCCCCTCCCCATATCGAAAACGAAACGTGTGATGCAGTATTTGAGTACACAGATCGCATTTGTCTTGCTGGAGAGGACTGCAGACCCATATCAAGCCTGAATAGAGAGGCTTTGACTTAGGCGCTCAGCATGAAAAGCGTCCGTGATGTTGGCTCAACAGCATGACAAACCGGCTCCATAATGGGACGGAAGCTGCTGCCCTTGTCTTCTTGCAACACACACGTGATTTGTGACCTCAAATCAGCAACACAAATTTTCGAAAACCTACCTCTTTAATATGGGGAGGGGGGATTTTTCCTTGCGATACAGCAGTCCGATATTAGAGCCGCACACGTGTTTGACCGACGAGGGACAGACCAGGGCGCAGCTGGGACGAGAACGACTACTGAGGAGCAAGAGGACACAACAACTACAACAGGTCAGTTTTTGATGAAAAAAGGCAGCAGCAATATGAAAGCCACCACAACCTCGCCGAGCAAATCTTCCAAATCACCGCATTCAGATAGAAACGACGCAGACGCGAACCATTCCCCCGGCTTTCCCCAGTCGCCCATCCCGAAGATCGCGGCAGTGGAGGAGAAAGGAACAATAATGCATCACGCGCTGCAGGAGCAAGAGGTCTCAAAGCCGCCAGCAGCTGCAGAGGGGTATAAAACGCCCCCACCGTCCAGTGAAAAGAAGAGGAGAAAAAGCGAAGAGGTAGAAGTTCTTCATCCGAGGTCGCCGGTTGTTGGCGCAGCTGCTCCTGCGCCCGTTGGAGCTCCAGGAGGCGCTGCCGGTTCAGATTTGCAGGACAAGGACTTGGTCTCGCTGTCCATGAATAGAAGCCGGGACGAACAAGACGACGATGCGGAGCTGTTCAAAAAGTACTACTTTAACACCTGGAACAAAGACAGTACTTCTGCGGCGAAGAAACAAGAGCTCTCTGTGTTAGAGCGAAGCATGTCCCACGACAGCAGGAGCAGTTCGGATGAGGGAAAAATGCAAAAAAGTACTTCTGCGATGCAGAAAAATCATGCCAGGCACAATCCAGACAACATGGAATCCAGTAGTGACGACGGGTCCACCAGTCCTGAAAATAGCAAATCCCTCGTTCTTATCCTGTGCAAAAGTATCGTACTCGTATTGATTGCAAATACGCATGACAAATCTTCTTCCGAAGGTGAAACAGCATGACAAATTGCATTTTTTGTTCTACAAAAATTTGTCATGTAATTCCTACTTAGTGCGATACTTTTGCAATGCATAGTTGTGTCTGGCCATGGAAGGTCGCAACCAGGTCATCTTCAAGCGAGGGAGCAAAAAACCTCCATGACTGCCGCCCTCTCAACAGGAGATCTTCACGCGAGAGGACCGCCAGCGGCTCAAGCGCAAGGTCCTGGTGCGGGAGATGAAAATGTTAAAACCTCAACTACATCATCTTTCAAGCGCCGGAGACGATCCAGGTTCTCGAATGACCCCTTTCGTCGCTTAGGCTACGCACTTGGCCCACGTGCGGGGCAGCCGATTGAGAAGGAGAAACTCGGACCGCGGATTATGGTGTCTTCTGCCAAACCGAGTCCGACGTCGCCAGATTTTGATGCCGGAGAAGTGAATAAAGATGACGGCCTTAATTCTGGTGATGTTTACCCCGCGAAGGGGAGTATTTCGAATAGTTTGATCAAGAACCGAACCTCGATCATGACCTACGGGAGGACGACAACACAAACTGCACGAATGACGTTGAGGTCAAGGGCAGCAGGAGGGGGGAGTGGTACAGCTGGTGCAGCTTTTGGGCCGGCGCCCTTTAGTGGAGGAACAAGAAGTGCCAGCAACAATAGAACCGCAAAGAAAGTAGTATCAGCATCTTCACTCGTCTCAGCGAAGCGGAATTCCATCTCCCCGACGAAGACCGTGCAAAAATCGTTGAAAGCCAGAACGAATATCGCCCGCGCAGGTGTTACAATGTCAAGTGTATATATTACAGTGAAATCCGGATTTTGAAGATGTCTTGCATAAACAGCATAAACAGCAGAAGCAGTATACCGAGCGTTGAGCTGTTCGCAATACAATCTTCGCCGGACGCCGATTTTGCTGCGTGTTTGGGACGTTGGAATTTGTGATGCGAACAACTCCTGGCAGAGCACTAGACCAGGTCATGCACTTTTTGCATCACAAAGAAAGGTCGTCCGCATTCAGTGTACCAGTTGAGATTTTTACAACACCTGAGTGGGCTATACAGAAGTCGAAGGAAATTTTAGACTCCGCGAAGGCGTTTCTCGCAGTGCACCATGGGGATTTTTTATCGCAAGAAAAAACTGTTTCACTGTAAACTTGTGATGCATGAAATGGAACGCGAATGCATTTGTCTTGCTACACACGCAAAAAAATAGATTTTTAGCTGTGTTTTCCCTTAGGAAGCTTGCATGGCAAATTTTCTCTGTCATGTAGAGCAAACTTGTGAAGATGCAAAATCTGCAAAATCCTTACAGTGAAACACTTTTTTCGTGCGATATTTTTCTCTGTCGAACCTGGTGGCTACGCATCAGAAGAGTACTAGCGCGAGTATCCTGAAAGAAAACGACGCTGGCAGGTCATATTAGAATTTGTGATGCAAAAATACTCAAATACGCAACTGCAACACAGGAAACAGATTTGACCTGCCAGCTTGTTTTTCTGGGATAGCCAGAGGGGGAGGAGGAGGTGGGGGGCAGCAGCAGGCGTACTATCGATAGAACACAAGGTGGTCTTGGTAAATTTATTGCAGCGTGACGACCACGACAATTAAAGAGTGATAGTCTTTGACGATATAGATTACCTAAACCGATGAAAAGATAAACAGGCGACATATGGGTTCTTGTCATATCAAATCCTACATTAAGCAAGAGGAAGCAAAGTAGCGATGTGGTTCAAAATCAACAGAACATACCACAACTGGACGTATCCAACGCACAAGTGTTCACAGCTACTCCTACTACAGCACAGACGCGAGGATGAACAGGAGATTTCTCTTTAGGATCAACTTGAGCACGCGACGAGTACTGATGTAGCCCTTGTTCCGGTAGAAGTCTCAGTTTCTTGCTTTGCAATGCCCATTGTGTGCGAAAGCGACCGCGAATTAAACGGTGCCAGACAGCGACTCAATACTTCCCTTCAGATTTCATGAACGTCTATCTATGTATACGGTATTTGATGAGCATGTAGATCTTTTTGAGCCTGCCATCTAGTAGTAGACAATTCTCTACCCGATGTCCATGTCCTGAACAACAGAAGAGAACTCTTTTCCCATCATGATGACATCACACAACTTTAGCCAAATTCCGATGGATTTTAGGGACATAGAAATCCGACACCTGTAGGTGTGCATTTTGTCAGGACTTTTTCAATAAAACCCACTTCAAATAAATAAGCACCTGATATAAAATCGACAAGCGACACACGAGCGACGACAACCGAAGATGAATCTGTTTCGCTTTTGCGGCGATATGCTCCACCTGGCGAGCATATTGCTGCTGCTGTGGAAGATTCACAAGAACAAGTCCTGCGTGGTATCACGAGGAAAAATCCACCCTCCCCATATCAAAAACAAGTTTCTGATGCTGGATTTGCGTATACAAATCAGGTTTGTCTTGCAGTAGATGACAGCAGGCTCCTGCCAAGCCTGAGTAGAGAGCTTTTGGCCTAGGCGCTTAGCATGAGAAACGTCTACGCTGTAGGCCCAACAGCATCACAAACCGCCTGCATAATGCAGCAGAGCCTGTGGAGTTGTCTTGTTGCAAGACAAACGTGATTTGTGGTCTCAAATCAGCAAGACAAATTTTCGGAAACATACCTTTTCGATATGGGGAGGGGGGATTTTTCCTCTCAATACGTGGGCGTGAGTTGCCGGATGCAGGAGATGTACATGCTGGTCTTCGGGTTTCGGTACTTGGACCTGCTGTACGAGTTCATTTCCCTGTACAACAGTTGTATGAAAATCTTCTTCCTCATCTCCACCGGATACTTGATCTACCTAATGCGGTACAAACCACCGGTGAACCAAACCTACGACCGCACGGTGGATTCCTTCAAGTACGAGCTCTACTTCCTCGGCCCGGCGCTGCTGCTCGGGGTGTTGACCTGTGAAGAATACGCCATCACGGAAGTGCTGTGGTCGACGTCGATCTACCTGGAAGCAGTGGCGATTACCCCGCAGCTGGTGCTGTTGGCGAAAATGAGGGAGGTGGAGAACTTGACGAGTCATTTCGTCGCGGCGATGGGGCTCTACCGGGCGTTTTACATCCTGAACTGGATTTACAAGTACCTGGTCGACCAGACCTTCGACCCGGTGGCGATTTTGGGGGGAGTGGTGCAGACGATTTTGTACTGTGACTTCTTCTATGCATTGCAAATATGTCTGGGTTTTGAAGGATGCAATGTTTGTCATGCAGAGTTTGCATGACGATGACTCCTGAAGTCTGTGATGCAGACCCTAGCATCACAGATTTTGTGAGGGCTTCCTCATGCCTATACCGCATTAGAAATGCCCTCTGTACGTGGCAAAAACTGGTCCTCTTCTGCTGTTCATGCAATACAGATTTTCGTAGTATCCAAATGCAGTATCACAAGTTGCAACCTTCTAGAGCCAGACATATTTGCATTTGATATCTTCTACTATTACGCGATGGCCAAGTGGTACGGGAACCGGTTGGTCCTGCCGATGGGACCGACGTAAGGAACAAGCCAAGGTGTCTACTGGAGTTATTTCAACACTTCTTAACGCGGACTTTTGCTTTTCGACTGTCGGCGGGTTAATCTTTTCGACGGATGAGTAGGATTTTTTCAGTATCGAAGAACACGGGAGCTGCACGTGGTAGAAGGCGGCGAAAAAATTCGGATTTTTTACAGTAGGTACCATAGCCGGTACTACACCTGGTGCAAGCAGATTGTGAATGTATTCGATTGATGCGCGCAAGAAGGTTTGAAAAACTGCTCATGACTTTGTGTTGGTACAACGAACAACTTCTACTACGATCGCAAGATGACGAGGACCGTCACGGGAACAGGAGAATACTGAATACAACAACCGCAGAAGTACTACAGAAAAGATCGAATTATAACCCTCGCGAGTTTTGAAAACTCGGTGTGAAAACGCAAGAGTAACGTGGTTATTCGTTTTTGATGTTGATTGTTGTTTCATCGGAGAGAGAATTCTAATAGCGAAGTGAGAGTAGTAGTAGTAGCTTATACTTGCGTCGGTTTCAATTTTATTCAATAAAATCATTTCGTCTTTCAATTCGAAGCTTCGCTTTCGAATCCGAGCAATAGCAATTCGGTAATTTCGTTTTTGCAGATCAGCTACGCGTGACGAGCGTGAGATTTCTCGTTTGTTCCGGTCTGATGTAGTGCCGTCCTCTCGGTCTTCTTGATTGTGTTTGTTATTTGCAGACCAGTGCCGAGAGAGATAAGAAAGTAGGCAGCACAGGTCGTGAAGAAGAGACACAGAGAGACGAGGGCCGCGACAAGGTTTACGACGTATTTTTTGCTCTTGATGTAGAGGAATTCTAGTTTCCCTCGTCACAGCACGATGTTTAATCAAATTTTCCAGGACCTTGTCTCCTTTCCTGAATACCCCTTGATTTCCAACTTCCTATTCCGCCCCATTGATAAAACCCATTCTTAATACAAAAATCGGCAAAATCTCTAGCCAATTGCCCATGGCACTGCGGGCACTAGATCGGTTGCGGCCATGAGGGAAGGTCTGTGAAAGCTACTTATTTCTAGTATTACCTAAAGCTACAAGCTGAAGCTACTTCACGCCTGCACGGGCAAAAAGTTGTAGTAACAGAAATCGCCATGGCGGCCCTGGCGCACGCGATTCCCGGGGAGGGGAACGACGTGATATTGCCCTACCATGTATCGCAAGAGAAAAGTGTTACAGTTACACATTGTGTTGCAGGCCAAGCAAGACAGACAAGCTCTGTGATGCCGGATATGCATAGGAGCCTCGTTTCATAGGTGTTTTCCCGTAGGATTTCTGCATTACAAGTTTTCTCTCTCATGCAGAGAAATTTGCGTTGCTGAATTGACTACAAATGTGTAACTGTAACACTTTTTTCCTTGGATACCATGGCGTGGTGGATTACTCCTTCAAGGAATTGAAAGCCGTGGTGGATGTAGGGAACGAAATGCCAAGAAATTCCGATGTCTTGGGCATAGAGGCGAAGTTGAAGGTACTATAATTTGGATAGAGTTTTACGACGTTTTTGAAGTAGAAAATGCTCGTCTTTGTCATGCAAAAAACCGAATCCGACTACGATTTTCACTTCTGTGATGCACAACATTCATTGTGGTTGTCACCTATCGATTCAGGAGCGGTTCCGGGAAACAGCAGTGGACGCGGCGGTGGCCGCGAAACTGGGTTCCCCAAAAAGGTTGATCAATAAGAAGCAGATCATCGGACTCAGGCTAAACAACAACCACTTGACGGACCTGCACGAGATAAACAAGCAACTCGCCATAATACCCAAGAGCCCAATACCAAAACCAGGTACAGAAATTACAGCGTACTTTTGATGCAGATCTTGCAAGAAGCGTATGGCATGAGTGATTTTTTTTGATGTGATGCATAAATTTGTCCAATACAAAAAAAACAGAATTGTCGCTGATGTGGCTTGACGTCAGCTTCAACCAGCTGACTACGGTGGACAAGAGCTTGCTGACCTTGGAGAACCTGAAGTCACTGTATAAGTAATTTTTTTTTGTCTTCGTTCAACTTCATGGGCGGCGCGCAACACAGATAGGTTCATGCACGAATGCATTCAATAAATCAAATCAGCCACTGTGATGAAAATTACGAAGAAAAATACCATCACAGATACATGCACGGCAACAAGATCGGAAATCTAGCGCAGATGGAGAAATTAAAATCCCTGCACTGCCTCGAAAAATTAACGACAAACGGCAACCCGTTCGAGGCAAAGAAGTTTTACCGGCAATTCATCGTCGGCTGCGTACCGCAGTTACGGAGTCTGGATCACACGAGTATATTAAACGTTAGTTTACTCTTCTGCTCGATTGAGTTTGTCATGCATAGTGTTCATTATACAGTTTTGTGTTTTGATTTCTCATGCGAAATAAATGCTCAACATGCACATGCTATACAAACCCCTGCAAAAAATAAAACAGGTGTGACCAAAGACGAGCTTGGGCGGGGTATCCGATTCTACGCGAATTACGTGGTACAGCGCGAGGAGGCTAGAATAGCGAAGAAAGAGGCAGCAGAGGCGAACTACTAGATTGATGAAAAAATGCCATACAAGAATTCCACGAGAGCTGTTCGAAGCAGCAGCAGCAACAGGACAAGTTGAAATGCACAATTGAGAGCACGACGAATTTTCTCAAAGTATAGTACCGTACCAACATCTATATCGGCACAATTGAGTTTAAATCAGAACACCACGCAAAGTGATTTGTTACCACAGGATGCTGAAGTGATGTTGACCGAATCAAATCTAGTGGCAAATAACTTTTCGATGAGAACAAACCTCTACACAGTAAGGTAACCTAACCTAATATCGCGGGCTCAGCGGCGTCTAGTTGTTTTCACTGTACATATAAGAGCCACCTTGTAGGAAAATGCTTTGTAGAAAATGCAACAGAAACAAAACCTTCTCTTCCTTGGGTGGTGGTGAATTCACCACACCTGAGACGAGGAAGACGATTGAACTTGTGCTACGTTTCCGAGGAACACCCTGTACCATAAGTCAGACAAATCACGAACCAGAATGCGACCTCGCGTTTGAGGTTGCAAGTGCGACAACCTCGTTGTTTTCGGGCGCCTCGTGTTCGCCGGCCACAAATGAAATGACCTTGATAGCGCCTCGGGCTCGCCGGCCCCAAAGGAAAATCTGCGTCGATTACGAGTTCAATAAAGGATCCTGATGTATGTTGAGTATGATCCCTGCAAGAACTACCACTACGACTAATTCAGTGCACTGATGTCAACCTGAAGCGTCGCTTATTGAGACTTGTGGATTATGAAATCGATGTCAAGCGTGTTGCAGTGGGAGGCTTTTGGCTCAAGGTATTGTGTCGTGACTTGTTATGCCCAGTCCCATTTCACCCTTCGCGCGGCATGGCGGGTGCGAAATTCGCATTGTAGCCCTTTAGTTTTCCGTCGGGAGTAGGGCTCTGCAGCAAGGCCTGCTGCGCGATATTAATCCGCGCCCCATACCATGGTGGCATATTTTATTCTGGGTGGTACGCTGCAGATCTGTTCTGTAGTTGATGTCTTTGGAGGCTCGCCGACCCTGATCGCCGGAGCCCACCCGGCGATGTGAAGCGCCATGATTTGGATCCGACGAACAAGGGTGGGTTAGGTTGTCTGTTTTCCAAAAAGTTCTAACCCCCGCTAGTGGGTGGGCACTAGCGGGGGTTAGGGTCAGACGAATGTAACCCACCTTTGTTCATCCTAGAACAAATGAACAAGGGTGGGTTACATTCGTCCGAAGCTAACCCCCGCTAGTGCCCACCCACTAGCGGGGGTTAGACCTTTTTGAAAAAAAGCAGATGTAACCCACCCTTGTTCGTCCATGTCAAAGGAAGCAGAAAGTAAGCAGCCTGCTGAAGTCAGCAGCCGGGATGCCAGCCCCGGCGGATATGATCGGGAACGACCATGCTTCTGAAGTGCAAATATTTTTGTAGAACTTTATTCGCCACGGAGTGGTCGTCTCTTAGCAGGTATCTTTCTCTTTGCTTTTGGTATTAAGATGTGGGCCCAGCAGGACTTCTAGCAACAAAGAGAGAGAGGTGGCTGGTTGGGTGGTCGGTTGGTCGAGTGTTGCCCTTCGCTCGCAATGGAGTAGTGCAAACAAAAGGACAGGGCAGCTGTTGCAGAAGCTGACCCAGAGCCAGCAGTCGACCCCGGCACTTCAAGGCGCCGCGGGCTCTGCAGCGCTGGGAGGCCCTGTGGCGGATGAGTAGAGGCATGCCCGAAGAGGTGGATTGCCGGGCACCTATTCTCTTTCAGATTGATTCATTCAGCGCGCCCGGAATATCTTTTTCGATGCCCTTCCGCGCGCCATTTTTTTTGAGGCAGGCAGGCGCTGCGTGCGTGAGCGTGCTTTGTAGACTGCCCGGCGTTGTGTTATGCATGTGCCTACTAGACACTATCGTAGAAGAAGGCACTTTGGCACTTAAAGCGCCCTCTTCTATGAATGTGGCGGCTCGGGGGGCACTAAAACAGGCGCAGCCGCAAAAACAGGCCCAGAAACAGCTACAGAAACAGGCGGAAAATCAGGCACGCAAAAAGGTGCAAAAACAGGCACAAACGCAAGTGATGCGGGCTAGGCGCACCAAGCCCAAAAAGAAGACAATTGTGACCCCGTGCTTAAATTCCGGTAGTCGAAGTATGATCCCTGCAAGAACTACCACTACGACGGCTTGGCTGCACCTTCACTTGAGTACACTGTACTTACGTACTGCACGAGCACGACACGCGGCTGGAGATTTTTTTTGCAGCTAGTTTCTTTTCGTTCTGTAGTTATGGTTGCCCAAGTAGCCGCTAGCAGTATACTAGAGATTGTAAAGACGTTTTGTTCTTGCCTTCCGTTCTCATTTTTCATTCCACCTTAGCGACCATAATTCCGCTGTAACTCCAGCAATAAGATCAACAGTGACAAGATGGCTCAGGTTCCGTTTTCCTCGTCCTTTTTCTCTTAGAGATGCTGGAGCATTATAGCTACCACTCTGTGCAGCGCACTGACAGGATTTATGTCGCTTGTTGTACTATCGGGTTCTTCTTTCAAGGTGGATCGTCGATTGCTCGGCAGAGTCCTGACGTGGGCATAACAACTACCGCACATCACAACGCCAGCGACTGAATTGTCGTGCCGCGTACAATATGAACTGCAAAAGTATCGTACTCGTATAAATGCATTACAAATTTTCTCAGCATGAGAAATAAAATTTGTCATGCTGATTTGCCTTGAGAAAAATATTTGTAATGCAAGAGTTGCATTTTTACGAATGCGATACTTTTGCACAGGATATACAACCGAACTTGGTATGGATCCCAGCCGCTTGATCCATGGTTTGGTAACCAAGCAAGAATTCATCCCGGAACTGACGCTGAAGCAAATATTATCGCAAGAAAAATGTGCTACAGTTACACATTCTGTTGCAGGCCAAGCAAGACAGACACGCTCTGCCATGCCGGATATGCATAGGAGCCTCGTTTGATAGGTGTTTTCCCGTAGGATTTCTGCATTACAAGTTTTCTCTCTCCTGCAGGGAAATTTGTGTTGCTGAATTCACTACAAATGTGTAACTGTAACACTTTTTTCGTGGGATAAATATGCCGCCAAGTCAAAGTTTCTCTCCTCGAGGAGAACACGGTGGTACCCGTTTGGGTATAGAATTTGAATTGCTTCTGTTCGCTGCAATTATCGCATGACAAATTTTTCTCTCGACCTGGTGGTCAGCATGAGAAACCATGACTATTCACGAAAAAAAAAATCGCAATAAAACAGTGCCACAAGGCCCACGTGGTGATCGCCGGCGACATCCACGGGCAGTTATCTTCAAGAAAAAATACCCCCTCCCCATATCAAAACGGAAATCTGTGACGCAGATTTGTGGCCAGAAATCAGCTCTGTCATGTCAGAAGGCAAAAGATGCTGACTGTGTGCTGGCCGGCGTGGGAAAGCCTTGCATATTCAGCATGATAGGTGGCAACTGGAAGTGGGAAACAGCATGACAAATTGCCTGCAATTCAGGCCATGCCTGCGTCCCTTGCCTTCTAGCAATACAAGCCGATTTGTGTACTCAAATACAGCATCACAAATTTCGCTTTCGATATGGGGAGGGGGCGTTTTTCCTTTTGATAGCAGTTTTACGACCTCTTAGAGCTGTTCAAACGTGCGGGCGAAGACATCGACAACATACACAAGAATTTGAACAACCAGTATGTTTTCCTGGGTGACTACGTGGATAGAGGGTACAACAGCGTCGAGACCTTCCAATTATTGATCCTTTTGAAGTTGAAGTACCGGAGTCAAATCACTTTACTTCGTGGGAACCACGAGTTATGGATGTGTCAGGATTGAAATCGACAAAGTTGAAATAACTTGTAATGCATAAAATGGATGAAAGTTGTAACCCAGTTGCCAAGTGGCGCATGACAAATTTGGGTAGAGCCGAAATCCAGTTTGTCATGCTGTTTGGGTAAGGAAGACGCCTTTTGTCATGCTACTTTAGCAGGTCAGTGTCTGCCCCTAACAGGCTTACAATCTGCCTCACTTGCCTACTCCGCAAGACAGGCACTTTGTGGGCTGCATTTTCTGCATGGCAAACTATTTCAACTTTGTCGATTTCGATCCTGAGACCCCCATACGAGTCCAGGCAGATCACGCAAGTCTACGGCTTTTTCGACGAATGTGTGCGGAAATATGGAAACGCGAATATCAAAAGGAAAAATCCCCCCTCCCCGTATCAAAACGAAGTTTCTGATGCTGGATTTACGTACACAAATCAGATTTGTGTTGCTGGAGACGACTGCAGGCCCTTATCGAGCCTGGGGAGAGAGGTTTTTGCCTAGGCGCTTAGCATGAAAAACGTCCGCACTGTAGGCCCAACAGCATGACAAACTGCCTGCATAATGCGGCGGAGCCTGTGGAGTTGCCTTCTTGCAACACAGACGCGATTTGAAGTCACAAATCAGCAACACAAATTTTCGAAAACGCACCTCGTCAATATAGGGAGGGGGGATTATTCATTTTGATAGCGAACGTCTGGCGCTACTGCGTGGAACTCTTCGACTATCTCTGTATCGCGGCGACCGTTGAGGATAAAATTTTCTGCGTCCACGGGGGGTTAGCGCCGGACTTGAAGTTGATTGACCAAATCCGGACGATACAAAGGGTGTGCGAAATCCCGCACGAGGGCGCATTTGGGGATTTAGTGTGGTATAAAGTTTTGACATAGAAAGATCGATGAAGGTTTCATGGATAACTAAGTAGCTCATCGTTGTGTCGTGCTGACCATGAGAAGAGTATGAGCTTCGCATAGCTGCTGTCGCATTACAAACTTCATTATGCAAAAATAAAAGGTCTGACCCCGACGCTGGTGTGACTGGATGGCAGCGCAACCCTCGGTATGGATTGCAAATATGTCTGGGTCTGGAAACTTGTATGTAATGCTGAATGTATAATGATTGACTATGCCTTTAAGTGCAGCACAGCATGACAAACTTTTCAAACGGTCTGTCATGCGCAGGACGCAGTACAAACTGCGTTTTTGCATGACGACAGTGTGGCGCTTCTTTTGCTGCTTATGCAATGCAGTTTTCTTTTGGAGTGCGAAACACGCAGTACAGGTTCAATCTTTCCAGACCCAGACATATTTGCAATGCATACTCGGGGCGCCGGCTGGGTCTTCGGCGCGGAGCCCGCCCGAGATTGGAACCACTTATTAAATGCAAAAATGTCTGGGTCTGGAAGAATGCAAGACTTGCCATGCATATTTCTCATGACCCATGATGCCTGTAATGCATGCCCTGGCATCACAGGTTTTTTGAGGGATTCTTGATGCCCATTCCGCATGACAAATGCCCTCTCCGCACAGCAAAAATTACACTCTGTTTGCTGCTCATGCAACACAAATTTTGTAGACATCGAAACGCAGCATCACAAGTTGCATTCTTCCAGACCCAGACATTTTTACATTTGATACCACTTGAACGGTGTGGATATCATCGCGCGGGCACACCAGTTGGTTCAGGAGGGCTTCCGTTACATGTTCGAACGGAATGTTTTTTCATCTTCAAATGGCGGAACTACTATCGCGCATCAACCTGGACGAGACCACTTCCCGGATAATTTTGGGTTTATCGCAGACAGCCGGCATCAGCAGAGTAGCAGCGGCGCTGCTTCTTCGATGTTCACTTTCGGTATGGACGAAACAGCAGTGGTAGAGTACCATAACATGCATTCGTCTGAGGAACAACTACAGGGTGAAGCAGACAATGATTTCGGGTTTGGCAATAGTGCAAGTACTAGTCCCCAGCGACGCTACCTCTACAATGAACACGTCGAAGACGGGGCAGCTGCGTCATCTGGCGGGTCTTTGTTTTCCACAACGGGAGGATCGTCCACGCATAGCGACGACCCATTCTCCTTTGACAACGACGTAAATCAATTCGGAACTGGCCGGAAATCAGCAAATTTCGAGGACAGCGATCCGTTTCTGTTGCAGACAGGCTTTGGAAGTGGTGGCTCGCGTGATCCATCAAATAGGTTCGGCATAACTTCGGAAAATAGCAGCTCCCCCCGACGACCCGGGAAAAGAAAGAACCACCAGATAAACTCGTCGCATCATCAAAACTTCGATGTGATATCAAATGCCAATAGCTCGTCTGGGTCGGGAAACTTGTGATGCTAGTTGGTGAATCATGAGGGGCACAGTGCGATACGCAGCTGCGCATGACAAGTTTTTGAGCTCCTAAGATTTGTTTCGCTTTCTGCATGGCAATCTGCATTTTTGCATGACAGGCAAGAGGCTTCTTTCCTGATCCTGCAATACAGATTTAAGGGGCATGTGAGACACCACGCATGACAAACTTGCACTCTTCCAGACCTAGAGCGATATTTGCAATGCATATGTGACCAAGGATTACGACTTGGTAACGGTTTGGTCCGCGCCGAATTACTGTTTATCAAGTGCAAAAATGTCTGGGTCTGGAAGAACACAAACTTGTGATGCGCATTTCAGAACACAGAAAAATCTCTCATGCGTAGGCTGCACAAGCTGCCCACTTTCTGTCACCAAAGTGGGGGATTTGTCATGCGGATTCGGCATTGCGAACGCTTTTCGAAACCTGTGATGCTAGAGCTTCCATGCCAGACCTTCTGTGTCATGCAAAAACAGCATGACCATTCCAGACCCAGACACTTTTGCATTTGATACTGTTACAGGTGCGGCAATGTTGCGTCGATTCTGATGATAAACGAAAAGAGGGAAAGGAGGTTTGAAATCTTTCTCGAGGTCGAGCAAAGCGCAAAAGCAACACCGCCCCGAAACTTGGTGCCGTATTTCATTTGAATGAAGTTCGTGCTGGTAGTAGAGATTTTCTTTTCACTATCGCTTTTCATTCTTCTAGGCGCCTTTTGATACAGTATGAAGGTGGTCACCGAAAGTAGCTGCATAGGGATCAAAGACGACAATTGCGACGCGCTCCATGCAAAGTTTTTAGACAGTGGCCGAGCGATAACGATGTTCATGAGCAAATGCGGCCGCAATAAAGCGTGCATAAAGATAAAACAATTTTTTGAAATACTTGTTTGTTATCTCATAGATTTACGAGGATCCCGATGTCGCAATTCTGCCCAATCCTATCTTCAAGAGCTAAGCCAAGACCACTTCGCTTCCACAATCAAGCCTGAACGAAGATCACGCCGCGTATGCAACTGGACGATCTGAGTTTTCAATTTTGGCAAACGTTCAAACCGCAATCTCACTATTGATACCTAGCGTTTCTCAACTATTTTTTTTTTTGCGAATGAAATTCGAACTATTCTTCACCCTCTTTATTCACAGCGACAGAATGGCGACGGGCTTAGTAGTTGACATTTCACAGCCGTGTGTAGAAGTACAGTAGTTTAGAAGTTTCACCCCAAGTAGTAACGCAACAGTACTCAGAATTCCACACGCTCTACTTACTTATGTTCCTGTTTCTCTTTTGAATATCTTCAAATGCACAGCGCGCAGCGAAAGTTCACTCAAGGGAAAAATGCGACTCATATAAAGAAAATGCACCTGTCCCGCACCACGACCGCCCCCAGCGAGAGTCACAGCTCCCTGCTCTACTCCGATCGATTCCACCCACGATCACCATTTGATCGTAGCAATAATCGAGCCCAGCCCTGACCGAACGACGACGGCAGACCCGCGGAGCGTCTACAACTTTTGTGGGCCAAGCAACGAAGTACTACGAGAGAACTAGTTGCGTTCCTTGTTTGTAGCAACAAGACAACTTCTTCTCCCCCGCCGCCCAACATGGAGTCCGTCTCCGGTCGTTTCACCGACCGGTTCCAGAGGGCGATCGACAAGCTGCTGAAGGACAAAAACCTCGACCAAACGTTGAAGCATCTGTTGCGGGACACGATTTTGAAAGAAGTGTTGAATAAAAATCCAAAGTACGACTCCGCGGTGACTTTCTGGGAGGATTTGGACAAATTCTTCGCAAACGCGTTGAAAACCCACGCGAAGGATGCGGAAAGCTACCGGAAGTTGCAGCACGTGAAGGACAACGTGCTGGAGAATCTGCAGGTAAGTAAAAAAATAGAGCTTGGTGGTCGCTCCTCGCTAGTTATGTGATTGATGCACTGCAAGTAGTTCTCTCGTCCTGCATTTGCGTACTTACATAAGTTTGATGTTCTATAAGCATCACAACACAACTCTATGATGCACTTCCAGCAATACAAACACCACATTTACTACATCAGGTCAAATTCTTCACGGGCGAGACCCTACAAAACCTGCAAGAGCAGTCGGGGGAGATGCGCGCGGAGATCATCGAAGCGTGGATAGAAGACGGTTTGGATGACGGGGGCTTGCAGTCCGGCGTGAAAGTTCTAGCGAACGTGTTGTCAAACGAAAATGTGAAGGACAACATGAATCGCGAGCAGGTACAGCAGGTGATAAAAGCACTGGAGGCACACGCGGATAAATTTCCCACTGGGGTGGCAGGTATTATAGACCATTTACTTTCTACTTGTCGAAAGTTGTACAACTCGTTTGCAGCACCAATAGATACTAACAAAAGACATAGTCCTCGTGCTCTTCACGTTCATTCTTCTCTACTACGAGACCCCTTGTGTGCTACCAGTGAAAAATGAAAAAAAAATCAGGCATCATCCATACCTTCGCGGGCTCGTCCACAAAGCTGGACGATGACGACGAGCAGGAAGACAGCGAGGGCCCCCGGGACAACGAGGACAGAAACGACCAGAGTGTAGTTGCCTCTGGTATGAAAAACGGGTCTACTGCTGCGTCAAATGCGAAAGGCGCGAAGGGAGGAATGATACCTGGGAAGAAAGGTGCGGTAGGGGATCCTAAGGGTATGAAATCCGCCGGTGCGCAGCTCCCGAATGCCGCAGGGATAGTGACAGGGAAGGGCGGAGGTATCAACTGTTTATTTTTACCGATTCATGTTTAAGTTTATTGGCACTTGAAGTAGAGTTTTTACTTTTAGCATGAAGTACGTGTGATCTTTGGTGCGCGTAGTTATGCAGCATTATGCGTGTTATGCACGATGCGTTCGTGGTTAGTATTGTTATTGTGGTTTATCCATCATGAGGAGATCCTAAAGATAAAGATAAACAAATGCAAATCACAGGCTCCCATCCCCAAGCAATACCTGTCCCCGGGCAGCCACCAGGACCTCTGAATCCAGGTCAGCAAGGCTTCGGAAGTCAGCAACAAGGGTTCAACATGCAGAACGGCGCAGCACAAAGCAACCAGCAGCCTAGAGGGTCCCCACGGGAACCCGACAAGCCCCTTTCCGCGGAAGAAATCGCAAGGCAAAACCTCCTTCAACTCAGACGAGACGGCGGCCAAGTGATAAAGTCCGGCGACGACCAATTTCTGCAAAAAATCAAGAAGCAGCAGTCCGCGCTGCAGCAAAATCTTTGGGGCGCGCAGGTGATTTCCTACCAAAAAGCGGAAGAACAGGAGCAGAAGGAGAAGGAAGAGGGGAAAACTACCGCGCCACGATATCAACTGCAAAAGTGTCTGGGTCTGGAAACTTGTGATGCTAAAATGTGCATGATGGAAACGCTTCCGAATGCAGACCAGCATGACAACTTTCCGGAGCACTTTCTCATGGGCAGCCCGCATGAGAAACTGCGTCTTTGCATGACAAAAATGGCTGTCGCGTTTGTCGGTTATGCAATACAGATTTCCCAGGAATGTAAAGCTAGCATTACAAGTTCCAACTTTCCAGACCCAGACATATTTGCATTTCATACACGACCGACGATCACCATCCCGGGAATAACGAAGAACGCAACCGCGAAGGTCCAACTGAGGAAGCTGAAAAACAACGGGGCCATGAAAGCAATCACGCTAGACGCGTCGAAAGTGCAGAAGAATGATTTGGTGAAGTGTAAGAAAATTTTACACGCAAAGCTGGAGGAGAATCAGGGCATGACGAAGGCGGAAGAGCTGTCGGAGTTATTCCGGACGAAAGCGCTGAACATCGGGACGGTGAACACGGACTGCAAAACGATAATACCGGTGCTGGACCCGAACTTGGTGATGTACGCACCCACGACCGTGTTTCTCTCCGCCCCGGAATACCTGCCGTATTTGGAAGTTTTGTTTGTCATGCGTATTTTTATTAAGGGTGCTTGACGGAACAAATTTGTAAGTAACTACTTATGTGCAGGAACAACGCACTCGAATTTTTCGTAGCATGAAAAATCTATCCCAAAAATAAAATCTATCAGGCATCTCCGCTCCTCACAACAAGCCGCGATCCGGAAAGTTCCGGTTGATGTCATCCGCGAAATTGAGGAGGCGTTGAGAACTTTTTTGAAGCAGAAGGAGGAAGACGATAAAGCTGACATGGAACATCAAAACGGGCATCAGGCTCAGCATGACAACTCGACTCAACCATTTTCCTTCCCGGGCATAGAAATTTCGATCCTGAAGGAGAAACTTGACTGGCGCGACGACTATCCCACAGAAACAAGATGGCAGGTCACATTTGTAATGCAAAAATAAACACACAAGAAAATCTGTATTGCGTATCCCAAACAGCATGCTAGGAGGCCGCCCATGACAGATTTTTCTGTGTATTTGTTTTTGCATTACAAATACGCCCTGCCAGCTTTTTTCTGTGGGATAACGACAGCATGCGGACCAAGATGTTCGGGAAACTAGAAGAAGCGCTGTCGAATAACCGAATACCGCAAATTATCAACGGTAAAAATGTCTGGGTCTGGAAGATTGCGAGATTTGTCATGCATATTTCGGATCACGCAAATGGCGTCTGATGCAGGCAAAAGCATCACAGGTTTTGAGCACGCCTCATGATGCCTCTCCTGCATGAGAAACTTCCTTCTTGCGTGCCAAGAAATGGACAGCTTTTGGCGCTCATGCATCACAAATTTTTGTGTGTTCCAGAGTTTGCATCACAAGTTCCAACCCTTCCAGACCCAGACATTTTTACATTTGATACAAATTTTCTACCAGCCCAACACGGTGTTTCTCAAGGACACGCTCAGGCCCATGATTTGCCACTCGTTTGCGGATTCGCAAAAACCCGTCGCGGTTTTCTTGAACGAGCAGCGCGGCGGTTCGAGTAGTTCCACTGCGCCGAGAAACAATACTTCTAGCGACAATGCGAATATTAAATCAGGAACATCAAATATCGTGAAGAAAGGAACCGGCTACAACGACGTCCCAGACAGGGCGGAGGGCCAGTCCGGACCGATAAGAAATGGCACGACGAAAAGATTATCCACCGCGGACGACGACAAGAAAGCCGCGCAAGAAGGGACGAGAAATGCGATTACCGCGGAAATCGACCCCGCTGCGCACTTCGACTTCGTCGCCGGGAAAAATTTGGACGGGAAATTGCAGGTCCAGCAGCTCTCGTTGAATCTCTATTCGGAAGCGAGCAAGAACGCACACTTACAGCCGTTATTCTTCGTGCCCTGCTTCGAGGAGCTGTGTTTGCTGATCTTACGGAAGATCAAGGAGCCGTTCAACAAGGGGAAGCTGTTCGACAGACTGGTGTTGCCTTTGATTCTCCAATGCAAGTACCGGGTGTCCGACGTCAATTACGCGTTGCAGAAAGAGATCTTCTGGTCTTACGACGGCCCCTGCGAGATATTGTTCAGAACCTTTGAGGGCCAGCAGCAGCACCCGGATCCCATGCCGGAGTCCGCTTTACCGGCGTATCTGAGTCAGCAGATCCTCCGGGAAATCAAACAATCCGGGGCCAGTATCAAGGTGTCCATGATCACCCAGAAGTTAAATTGGAACCGGAAATCGGAATTGAACAAGGCCCACGGCATGTTCAAGAACGTCTTGCAGAAAATGCAGCCGGTCTTCTACGACCCGTATAGATTATACCTCAAATCGACGATAGACCCCCTCGTGGAGTGGCCCTCTTCCCGCGCGGGGAGACTCTTCGTGCCCAACTCGACCGTTAACGAACGGGAAAACGGGTGCAAGGAACAGATTTTGGATATGGGATTCTCAATTGTTACACTCTCAGCTGTTACTTGATTTTGTGATGCAAGAATGGCAACAGGGAAAGGCCGGATCTTGCAACCCTTGCATTACAAATTCGGCACAGATTCCCATGTTGTTTAGCCCTTCCAAAATTCGTCATGCGCAGTAGCTTCACCATGGGGACGCTGATGTTCATTTTGCATGACAAATCATGTAACAGTTGAGAGTGTAACACTTGAGAGCGCCATATTGGAATACAGCAAACGAGCGGAACATTCTGGCGACATGTCAAGTGAGATCGTTTTGAAGCGGCAGATCATCGGGTGGGTTATGGCGCGGGGTGGGAAAGTTTTCAAACAGGAGTTGGAGGAGTTCTTACAGAGAATAAACGTCCCGGATTTGCAAACCGCGTTTTCCCCCCCGTACGACCTGCAGAAGCTACTGATCAACATGGAAAGCCGGTGTTTTTTGCGAAGGAAAGAAACGAAAGTTTTCGTGGATAACACGAAGTTCCAAAATCTGGTGAAAACGGACCAAGAGGTGCAAAATTTATTGTCTTCCGACAGCAACAGCGACAACGAGCAGCAAAAGGCGATCACGGCGGGGAAAATTTCGAAGGAGGTGAAAGTTGGTATTTTGGAGATCTTGCAGGAAAACGGGGGGACGTTGACGATAGAGGAGTTGTTGGAGAAAACGGTGGAGAAAAACATTTTAGAAAAACAATTAACCACCGAAATGATCGCGTTCACTCTAGAGCGGATGGAGGAAGTGCTGTACAAACCCGGAATCGTGTATTTACAGGCGGCACTCGACTCAGTGGTCGAAGACTACCCGGGGTTTACCTGCAAACACCTCCATTGGGGGTCGCCGGCGGTTGTAAGTTCGTCTGCTGAAGCAGGAACGGCAGGCACTGCAAATAAAGTCGTGGCTTCAGGAGCACCAGAGCCTTCTTCTGGTGCAACTACAACTGCCGGACAGCAGCAGCAGCAGAATGCGTCCTTGAAACGCCGGTCGGGTGAAGAGAACGAAGAAACCCATGCAGGCGCAGCTAAGCAAGCGAAGAAAACTACTACCGAAGGAGAGAAGGAAAATTCAGAGGATCTTGGCCTGGGGATCCAAATCCGCATTGTTGGGACGACAACTGCGACGATGCCGGGGAGTGTCGTGCGGAAGCCACAAATGCAGCAACAAAGATTATCAACATCAGCGGTCGCACCACCATCGTCCTCCTCGAGAAAAAACCTCCCCGCCGGGTTGCCCGAGTGGGTGCGGGAGGGGTCTTTAGTGACCTACCAAGAAAGAGAACACGACGAGGTTGGGGATCAGCATCAATCTTCGGCTAACAAACAGCGGTTCCCCGCAGTGATAATAGACACACAAGTTGCAGCCGACAATGCTGATGAAAATAACGGAGTGTCAGCAGTACAACAAACCGCTTTGTTGACCTCGTCTGATGCGTCGTTCCGTGTCAGAATACGCTTGCTGCAACATGACCAGGACAATAACAATAGTCCCCTGACATCAGAAAAGACCTGTGCGGTTTCCGAGCTCCTTCCCCAAATCCCCCAGAAAAACGACAAAGTTTTGATCGTTTCGGGCCAGAACCGGCACCAGATTGGCACGTTGATCTCCTTTATGCATTGCAAATATGTCTGGGTCTGGGAGATTGCGAGATTTGTCATGCTTGTCTGGCATGACTCTGAACTCTGTGTTGCATGGCCGCGAAGAGCTCCTCCTCCGTGTCATGCAAAAACGCAGTTTCTCATGCGGAGTACGCAACTCAGACTCATGGAAAAAACTTGTCATGCTTGGCAGCGCATTATAGTGAGTTCACTACTCCCTTTCCTGCATCACAAGTTTCCAGACCCAGACACTTTTGCATTTGATCTCCTTAGAGAGGGGAACGCAGCAGAACGCGACAACGGTGGGGATCGTGGAGTTGTTAGGAAAGAGGTACGTCACGCTACCAATACAGCACTTCGTCGCGTACTACAATTACGCGGAGGGATGAGCTGCTGCAGTTCCTCTGTTGTAGCGGGGCAGCTGTGAAATGATGAGTTTCAAAGCAAGTTGCACTAGTACACACACGACAGGAAGTTTGAATTTCTGAGACAGTTTTTTTAGTAGTATTCAAGATCATCTGCGGTAGAAGTAGAAGAGCTGCTCAAGAAGCCAGGAGCGGTAGGCACGAGCATGCTGAAAACATTCTGGATCGCAAGACAGAACATTTCGAAATCGACAAGCATAGGACTCGTTCTGGTGGTACAAGGAATTCGGTGAGTGTAGTGAGCGCTTGCAGCGCACTGCGATGTCCGACATTTTCACAAGCGACAAAAGAAATTTCAGAAGGGCCCGGCTCAACTGGAGCTTCCCCACCTCTAAATGGCTTGTCTTGTTGACTGCAGGCAAGACACAACAACAACTCTAGCCCCGTTCGTAACTTTTGGTCGTTGCAGAATCTGTTCACTCATGTGCATGGTCTCGGTCGCGGCTGAGAATCTGAATTTTGTGAACAACAGCACGTACTTAGTTCTCCGGACCTGGTGGAGAACCGCTCTTTTTGGAAATCAAGGCAAGACCATGAGAAGCAGATCTTTGAAAATCATGAAAGCAAGGAAAATGAAAATCTGAGTTCGCAGAAAAAAATTCTGCCCTCGGTCCTAAGCTTCTTTGTCGAAACGATCCGGATCGGAAATGTCTGAAATTACCTTGAAGATCGCGCATCGGTAGTTTCTCTCCTAGACAATTACAACCCTCGGTCATTTGTGAAAATACTCCTCGCATCTTCCTTGCTGACAACCTGAAAGAAATTGCTTGATCGTGTCATTCTGTTCGAAATGCAGTTCCAGTTCGACGAGGCTAGCGGGACGGAAGACAGCAACAAGTGCCGAAATCTTACTGGTATTGAATCAAAGTATCCTCATCCACCTCTTCAAGCTACAGGAGCTAGAATCGTCTGGGAGTGTTTGCTTCCGTGACAAGTTGCATCTTGTTGCTGCTTATCTTTATTTATCATCTCCACGACCCCTAAATCGACATTGGATTATGATTATCCTCTTCATTTCTACGTAATTTTCAAGCCATGACGAGCCCTCTCTTTGAGTAAAAGTATACTATGTACTATCATTTTCATTTTATTCTGTATATTGTTGAGAGGATCTTCAAAAATTTCACACTTCAAAAATTCAGACCATTGACAAGTATATTGCTACTGTGCAAAAATACAAATTTCCGCCTGGGAAGATTTTCACGGTCATATTATCAAATTCACAACCTTGGCCTTGCCTAAGATGACCGTTGCCGGATTATCATTTCTGCGCGTAGTACACCTCACCTGTACCTTATTTCTAGCCACCGGCGGCAACGGCCGCGCATCGGGATCGGCTCCCTCGCAACAACCTCTGCCAGGCCAACCGGATGGTGTGCCCGGTGTCGGGCAAATGAGCCGCGACGGCGATTTTTTAGAGCCCCTTGCGGAGACGAGGGCGACTATTGAACCGGCTCATCTTCCGGAAGGACGCAGCACTAGCTCTACCGCACCCGCTCCTCGGGATGCAGGAGGAAAACAGCAGGGGGTGCTGTCTGGCACCACGACCACGCCGGAGACCAGACAGGCACGACAGATGATTGCTGCAGCACGGAAGAAAGCCGAACGGGATTGGGGTGGCGCGATGGTATCGAGGATGAAGGATACTAGAGCGATGACGGACAAAAGATCAGCTTATTACGCCAAACTCGGTGTCGAGGGAACTCGAACTGGAATACAAACACCCGTTATTGCGCCTCCCTCTCGGGGCCTCTATACTAGCACAATTCCGTGGCGAGTAGAACAGGTCCGTCGTGCGCACCGCGAGCCCTTCGAAGTCGTCCGTTCCGGAATCGAGCGCACCCCTCGCAACCTCAACACCCTCACCTCCCTGCAGGAAGACGCAACGAAGTTATGGTGGCGACGAAACACCAACGTAGACCTTGCCTCCACGACAAACCTGGCAAAAATTGCATGGGATAAAGCCGAGAAGGATTGGGGTGGCGCGATGGTGTTGAGCATGAACTTTCGCGGGGATGAACTGGACCTTGATTTGGAAGACGGCAGTAGAAGAGCTCAGAGAACAAGTACCACTACTGCAGTCTGGACGAGGAGCGCGCGAGAGGAGCGAGACCGGAAGGAGAGATCCATGAAAAAAGCGTTCCGGAAGGTGCGAAAGGAGCAGTCTGATATCGTGATGCAACCGCTTCGTGAGGAGGCAGCGGGAGCTGAGCGACGAGATGAGGCTCGACCAGCACTTCCCGATTACGTCGTGGATCAGCTGATTTACCTGGCTGCAGCATTGGGCCTCGATCCGGTAGAAGGCTCATCTACCGACGCGGAGGCTTGTTCTGGCACCCGGTGCATCAGCGGGCTGCTTTCGCGTATCTTGTACAAAGCTCGCACTGTCGGGAACACCCTGTGGCCGCTGGTTTGGTCGGCGATCACGGGATATCAAAGGTAAATATGTCTGGGTCTGGAAGTGAATGCAAGGATTGTCATGCTTGGCTAGCATGACAACTCCCAAGGCTGCCATGTACTTTACCCAAGAGTCTCGCGGCTTTTCTGTCATGCGGAAACGCAGTTTCTCATATAAAATAGACTACAACTTTCAATTCAGAAACTTGCCATCCTAGGCCGTCAATTGCGGCACCTCATGATTCGCCAACCAGCATCCAAGCCCAGGCATATTTGCATTTGATACGGGACTGGCGAACAAGCTCGTAAGGAAGGCCTTCGCAGGAGTGGAAATGACAAACGCCCAACAGCTGCGGTCCCGGGTACAAATCAACGCGGTGCTCAGGCTCGAACCTCCAAAGTATGCGGAAAATCTCATTGCAAAGGCTGAAGCGCTTGAACAAAGGGGCGTCAGACCGGTATTGAATAACGCCGGGAACAGCCCGCCGGACGCCCAAGAACAATACGACCGAAACAACGTTCAGAACGAAGATGTAGGAGTGCAGGGAGTCGCAATGTTGTTGGCAAGAGACAACAGAATGGCCACGGCGCTTGGTCCCGTACGAAACTACTCCCCGAGGGATATGGACGCTGTCTTGGTTTCGCGCCGCGTGTACGACCGGGCCTATTGGCATGTGGATAGCTGCCCGGTGAGAGAGCTGCCCACGACCCGCGCCCGAGTGAGAGAGGCTCCTCCGTCCCCGAGCCGCGCCACGGTGGCGCTGTTCGGCTTGGGCGAGCTCTTCGCCCCCCGGATTGTGGGGGAGAATAGCAGGTACAACGAGGATATCAAATGTAAAAATGTCTGGGTCTGGAAGAATGAGCGATTTGTCATGCAGCTTTTCCAGGACCCATGAGGTCTGGAATGCAGGACCTAGCATGACAGATTTTTTGAGGTCTCTATCATCCCTTTCCTGCATGAGAAACTCCCTCTCAACTTGGTCAAAAGCGGACAGCTTTTCGTACTCACGCAACACAGATTTTTGCATCCTTCAGATTTAGCATGACAAGTTCTAACCTTCCAGACCCAGACATTTTTACATTTGATAGAGGAAAAGGGCTTCGGTGCCGCGGCACGACCACGGGCAGCAAAAGCAGTCGTACCAGCATTGCAGGGCGGTGGTCGACCAGCATTGCAGGACCGGCCGAAATACACGATCCGGCAGAAGGAGCGCAACAAAGTTGTCCAGCACTTCCTGCAACAGTTGGCAACACAAACTTATCCCCAGGTGGAGACGGTCATCAAGGCGTTCGATGCCACGGAGGCGGTGATCTACCGCAGCGGGGAGAAGCACGGCGCCTGGCACCGTTATGCAAGAAAAAAACTATGTGAGTGTAAGTCCGTGATGCAAAAAATGCAAAACTGTCACACTTGTGATGCTGGATGTGCCTCATAGGCTACTTCCATACGTGCTTTCACATACTAATTGCGCGTGACAGGTTTCCCCTGTATATGCAAAACGAATTTGTGATGCTGCTCTTCCTACAAAGTTACACTTACACAGCTTTTTTCCTGGATAACCGTACGCAGGAGGATAATGGGAAAGCACGGCTGGTGCTGGAAGTCGAGTTAGTACAATGAGATAAAGTGTTGTAATAACCGAAGATGAAGATGAAGAATCGTCCGAGTACTATAAGTAGGTATGTTTTATGATTTCATGTATTATCTTATAATGGCTAGTATCTGCAGATGAGGAACTGCAACAAGTAGAGAAGGTGGAGAAATCGATGGTCGTTTCCCCTCTTGGAGCTCAGGAGGCTTGCCCTGACAACTTCTCCCAATTTGCTGTAAAACGGCACCACCTTCAGAAGCCTTCCTTGGCGCAGTGTGTAAAATTGAGTAGTGGAATGAGCTTAGGAGTATTCAGTGGCCTACTTGTAAAATTTAACTACATGATATGGTTGTCTGGTGTACCAGGCCACGAACTTGAAGATGCGGTCAGCATCTTTTCGAGCCCTGTCGTGATGTAAGTCAGTAGGTTTGTGCACATCTTCATATAGTTAGACATTCGTAAATTTTTTGACGTTTGGCCGACACATAATTTACACGAGTAAAGGAGAAAAATTCTCCACCATTCATTGTCCCCCAGTTTTAAAAGCGGCTATCATCAACCCATTACGAACGAAGCAGCTTCGCCCTGAAGGCGAAAAAGTTTTGTATGGATATGTTGTACTCAAGTGAGTATAATTCCACCATGGCAGCTGTACGATATAGTTCTTGCCGAACAGGACTGCGGCGTGCACAGTCGCTAACGTGGAGGCTTTGCATTTACAAAGTCTTTTAAGTAGCATCACAACTTTTCCTTGTGTTGCAGAAACACGAAGGGAAATCACGTATGAAGTTTAGCTGTGGTGTGTTTTTACTCATGACAGGCATTTTTTGTATTGCAAAAATGCCCATGAGTGATCGTGACGAGCTTTTTTCTTTTGATACGGCCAGTTTACGGTGCACTACCGCATGAAGGACTGCTACTCATCGAAGAGCGCCTATGGGGGTGTCAGGATCGAAATCGACAAAATCGAAAAATTTGTGATGCATAAAATGCGGGGCACGCGAGGCCTGTATTGGGGAGCAGGCAAATGAGACCGATTGTGAGCCTGTTTAGGGGTGGTCGTATGAAATGTGTTGCCAGAGTAGCATGACAGGAGCAGGTGGTCCCGAACAGCATGACAGACTGGATTTTGGTGGTTCCGAAATTTGTCATGCGCCACTTGGAAACTAAGGCTCCAACTGGCATCGATTTTGTGCATCACAAGTTTTTCGATTGTGTCGATTTCGATTCTGACACTTCCACAGCGCCGGGAGCAGCTTCGGTCTCGTGAAGGGCTTGCAACTGGTGTCTGGGACGCCCGCAACCAAGCGGCCCAGCGGGGACGACGAGACAGTGTTTACGCTGAAGAGGCAATTCCCGGACCGGGTGTTACCGGAGGAGGAGACGCTGATGGCAGACGCCGGTACAACCCTGGTGGAAGACGAGTTGCAACTACCCTTCGGAAAGGACGAGAAGCGGCCCGACGAGATCGCGGCCTGGGCTGCGGGTCCATCTGCTGATTATTCTTACTCCTTGTGGGCGGAACCAAACTACGAGCGGCGCGTGAACCCCAGCGCGAAAATATCAAAGTGAAAAACCCCTCCTCCCCATGTTGAAGCGGGGATTTCTGTTGCTGAATTTGTGTACACAAATCAGCTCTGTCTTGCAGTGAGGCACTGCAGGCAGAGCCGAGGCCTGCGTAGGAGTGTTTTGGTGTAGGTGCTTCGCATACTGCAGAGGCTTGCCATGTAGCCGCAACAGCATTACAAACCGCCTGCATCAAGATCCGGCGGATTCTTTGGCTTTGCCGTCTTGCATGAGAGACAGGACTTGTGGCCACAAATCAGCATCGCAAATCTATTTTCGAAGCGTACCTTTTCAGTATGGGGAGGCGGGGGAATTTTTCCTCACAATAGAAAACGGACACGTTGAACGAGCTCCCGAGCAACGCTGCTATCAAAAGGAAAAATACCCCCTCCCCATATCGAAAAGGAAATTTGTGATGCTGGATTTGCGTACACAAATCAGATTTGTCTTGCAGTAGAGGAGTGCAGGCATGTGCCAACCCTGGGCAGCGAGGTGTTGACATAGGCGCCTGGCATTACAAGTGTCCACGCCGTAGGCCCAACAGCATCACAAATCGCCTGCATAATGCGGCGGAGCCTGTGGAGTTGCCTACTGGCAAGACAGACCCGACTTGTGGTCACAAATCAGCATTGCAAATTTTCTGTGGCTTCCTTTTTGTTATGGGGAGGGGGGATTTTTCCTTACGATAGCTGCACTGTTATCCTTTGTAAAAACGCGCCCACGACCCCATAGTCAAGATGTGAAATCTGCTAGACAAATCACCCAGCTTTGCTTGCTGCAGCTGCGCATGAAAGGTTTGGCCTTGGTGTAGTGTAGTTCTGTTTAGCTAGTAGCTCCAGCAGCATCACAGATCTCGCCTATAATCATGCGAGTTCGAGCGTCACAAATTCCACAACGTGACGAAGAATGAAACGCGTCTCATGGGGCTCCGCATGAGAAAGATTTTTCCCATGCAGATTTGCATGACAACTTTGGGGTGGGGACGTTTTTGCATAGGATGACTGTCCGCTTTGGTGCATTCCGACACGGGACTACAGGACGAACAGCACCACTGCACGGACTACAGCCTCTTTCTGGGCCACGAGTGGCTCACCGCTACGCAGTATGAACTGCAAAAGTACCGTACTCGTATAAATGCATTACAAATTTCCTCAGCATGAGGAATGAAATTTGTAATGCGGACGAGCCTTAAAAAAAAATTTGTAATGCATGATTGCAATACGAGTGCGATACTTTTGCACAGGATACGCAGGGCAGGAAAGAGGCGGCGTTCGCCGCCCGCCACACCCTGAAGCGATCGTACCTATGAAATGCAAAAATGTCTGGGTCTGGGAGATTGCAAGATTTGTCATGCTTGTCTGGCATGACCATCAAGCTTGTGATGCGTGTCCAAGAAGAGACCCTTTTTCCTGTCGTGCAAAAACGCAGTTTGTCATGCGAAAATCGCAACACAAAGAAGCGCAGATATTTCTCATGCTTGGCTGTGCATTACAGAGCATTCACTATTCCCAGCGCAGCATTACAAGTTTCCAGACCCAGACATTTTTGCATTTGATAGCACCAGGTCCTGAGCAACTACAAGATCAACCCCCACTATCCGGGAAAAAAAGTGTGTAAGTCTAAGTGTAACCCTAACCTTCTTGGAGGAACAGCATCACAAATTTGCTCTGTATGACAGAGAAATAGACCTCTCATGCGTAGCTAGTATCAGTGAAAACACTTAAGTACTACGAGAAGAACCTCTGATGCATGTCCAGCATGACAAGTGTACGCATCTACTTGCATCCCCTGCAACACAAATTTTTAATACACTTACGCCGTTTTTTTCTTGCATACCCACCGGGCCGACTTTCTGCAGACCCCGGACGGGGTGCACCGGGATTTCCTGAATGAGGCGATCAACTTCTGTTACTATTCCGAAAGCTCAGCCAGCTACCCCTTTTGGGAGTGGAAAAGCTACGACGGCTTCCCGGTGCCCCTCACCAAACTGCGCGTTTGGAACACCAACCAGGCGGGGGATCGAGACTTTCTGAAGCCGTTTTACCTATTAACTGCAAATATGTCTATGGGTCTGGAAACTTGTGATGCTGGTTGGCGAATCCTGACGACGCCATAAGTGACGGCTCAGCATGACAAGTTTCTGACTTGCTAGGTGTTGGGTATAATTCTGCATGACAAACCGCCTTTCGGCATGACAGAAAAGTGGGACTACTTTTGGGCAACGAGCATGACAGACCTTGGAGTCATGCTACCGGAGCATGACAGACCTTCCATTCTTCCAGATGACCCAGACATTTTTGCAATCCATATTACCTCCTGATTGACAACGGAATCTTCTTGGGGAGTTTTGACCCAAGCAGCGCGCTATCAAATGTAAAAATGTCTGGGTCTGGGAAAATGCAACTTGTGATGCTGCATTTGGATTCCAGAAAAATCTGTATTGCATGAGTACCAAAAGGAATGCAATTTTTGCTACGCGGAGAGGGCATTTGTCATGCGGAATAGGCATCAAGAAGCTCTCAAAAAATCTGTGATGCTAGGGCATGCATCACAGACATCAGGGCTCGTGCAAAACGTGCATGACAAGTGTCAGAACCTTCCAGACCCAGACATTTTTACAGTTGATATCGGGACGGCCGTTGCCAATCGCAACGTGGCGGAAGCAGGGGCTGAACTGTCGACGTGTATCAAATGCAAATATGTCTGGGTCTGGAAGAATCCAACTTGTCATGGATTCTAAAAAAATTAGTGTTGCATGACCAGCAAGAAAGGTCCAGTTTGTGCTACGCGGAGAGGGCATTTGTCATGCGTAATTAGCATCAAGAAGCTCTCAAAAAATCTGTGATGCTAGCACCAGCATCACAGACCTCACGGGTCATGCAAAATCTGCATGACAAGCCCCGACTCTTCCAGACCCAGACGTTTTTGCATTTGATAACCTGCTCGTGGGTGCGATCCAAGGCTGCGAGGCGCGCCACGAACCCCGAGATTGTGTACCAGGTCGATATAGTTCTTGCCGAACAGGACTGCGGCGTGCACAGTGCAGGGTGAGCCTGAGCACATCGGAGCAGATGATGGCAATACCCAAAAAAAACCACGAGCATTCTTGTTGCCATGGAAAACCAAGTAGTAGTCAGTATGGAAGTCTGCCTGCCCAGGCGTATGCGTATCCGGAACTAAAAAAATGAACCCAACCTTTTTCACGATCTGCTTCTATGCGGGTTGTTGACTCTGGGTCTCGCAGCTCTCGTCTGCGTCACCTCGCGTCTGTTCTCATCTTCAAATTATGGAGAGAAGTTTTGAATTCGTTTTCTCTTTCGTGCGAGTGAAGATGGTAGAGCGAGATTCTGCAAGGCAGAATCTATCATGAGATTTGTGGTTTGTAGTTTATTTCGTAGCAAGCGAGTTCATAGCGATTTTGTTCGATATGTACTGCAGCGCCGACGTGACGAGTTGTAGCTGGATGGTGAAGCTGTCTTCGGCATTCGTATCACGTGAAACAAGAGCAATACGAAAGGCAAAAATGAACCGAAGCCGCACTAGGTGCCCTCTCTTGAAAAAAAATCATATCGTAAAACAGCAACACCACCACCTCCAAGGGGGATAAGCATCCAAAAACAAAAAGAACCATGAAGCAACTCGAAGTTGTGAAGCTGCACAAGCTTTCGGCGGACCTTTTGATTCCCAGTCAGCAGAGCTTCTACGTTCGCGTCTGGGTCACGAGGAGCGATAAAGAGAAGCAGAGGGTGGTGTTCTACGATTCCGCGGTAGCGGGAGTGGTGGATGATGAGACTGTGGATGCGCCGGAAGTGCAATTTGTATTGCACGCGGAAGATAAGGAGGGAGAGGGTGGTGGTGAACGAGGAGAAGATCACCACGAGGTAGAAGACCACCCCTTCATTGTCTCTGACATCGACGTGAGTACAACTACCGCTGCAAGTAGCGCATCGTCTTCCTCTTCCACTTCCTCCCCACCCCCTCCGCCGGTCCGGTTCAGTATCCACCGGAAAGAGTACGCGGACCGCGAGAAACCAAACGACGTGCAAAAAGATACCTGTGTCGGCGTGGCGCAGCTGTTCTTGCACACGATCGAGGACCGCGACAGCACGGCGGTGCGCGGGTTGGCGCTGAAAGCCGTGAAGGATCCAAACGGGGCACTGTCGCCGGGGGAGTTGCAGGTATAGTGCGGTTGATGTTTATTCTGAGGAGGAACAGATTGATACTTGCGCTCCCTCGTGCTACGTTTGTTCGCATTTATAAAAATTGCAATCGTCCTCGTCCTTGTCCGTGCGCTCCACCTTCTAAGAGATATCGCATGGCCGCAACGTGATGTGTTAACAGAAGTGTGTCAACCGAATTTGCAACATCAGATTCGTCTGCTACCCGAGTCGGACGATGAGGCGTCAGCTGGGGAGGAACCAGGGCGGGGGTCCGCTGACGCCGGAATTTCTAAATCGGAATCTGGACCAGCATCCACTACACGACCAGGGGAATCACGACCCGGAAGCCTGGTTCAGGTAACAGAACGAGACAGCAAAGCAACAATTCCGAAGCAGCAGGCCGGTAATACTGGCGTCGGAGACGGCGGGGGAGCAGTAGAGATGATCAGTGGAGGCGCAATAGCACCGAGTAACGACACTCCGAGTGGTGCGCAAGCACAGCGCGCGACCGTGGAGAAGACTCGAACTCCAGCAGTTCAGCCACAAACAGGACCGACCGCAGCTTCCCCGGCGGCACCAAAAAATGTGAGGACTACTACAGCAGGATCCACCTCTTCTGGATCGCAGGCAATTTCTGCAGAGCGTTCTAGCAAGACAAACACCGCCGGGGGTGATAAAAGCAATTCCAACGGGGCAAAAAGAATGCCCGTCGCATACGACCATGAGTACCGGAGTGGGGATATCGTGGTCGTAAACGCCGTGGCTGTGGACGACCAGGTGAGGAACAACAGGAGCGGGTCTTCAGGAAGGGCCGGGAGAAAAAAATCCTCTCCACGAAGGAGACGGCAGAAGAGCGAGCCGATGTCAACAAGCGAAAGTACCAGCAGCAGTTCTTCCAGCGAGGAAAGCGATAAAGATTCCAAGAAGAAAAAGTCTGCTTCCAAAAGGAAAAAGAAAAAGAAAAAGAACCGAGAGAAGTACAACTCGGCTTCGCCGAGTTCGATTAACATAAACCTGATCGGGCAACAAATCATCCGGGGGAGCCCGACCGGGAGACGGATTGTCAGTCCGGTAGGGCGCGGGGGGGCTCCGATGCGATTGATGAGCGAAGGACAACATGTCGAGGATGAGGAGGACGAAAGTTTCGATACGTGAAAAATTTCTTCTGTAGGATAATTAGGTGACAGCCATTCTGCCCGTAATACCGTTTCCAACTTTACTTCCGTTCGTTTCAAGGCGAAGAAATACTACACCGTTAAGCTGCAAGTGCAAAATGGAACAGTTACTGGTAACGAGTTGTTCTCCTGACTGTCTTCCACTTTCGGTCCGCAAAGTCGTGATGCTTGCTGGGGAAGATCAAGATGCTGATGAAGATCTGCGGTTCTTGAATTGCATACTTGATGATCCTCGTCCTGCACCCACCATCGAGGTTTCGATCCGAAGCTTTTTTCAACGCGATCGCGGTTTTCTTTAAGCATCTTCATCTACTGCTCGCAAGAGATAACTACCTACACTGGCGCTTCACGAGCAGCACAACGAGTAAACTGAGCCGGCCAAAGTTTCGACTTTTTTGTTTTTGCCGCCCAGGCCCACAAAGAAGATCCTTAAATGGAGCGATATTTCTTTGACCGCTTGAAAGTGGTGATCGTGATGCATGGATTTCGCGAGAAAAGAAGTAGAAGTTCTTTTGTATCTTTCCAGCAAGAAGAAGTAGGAGTAACTGCGCGATCAGCCAAAAATCATGAAGCGCTCCTCCACCAGTTCCAACCACTCGCGGGGGTCCTCTCCCGGGGGGCCGCGCAGAAACAATCTGCTAGCCGCTGCGGTCGGAGCAGGAAGATCTTCGGGCGATGGTGCCGATGAGAATGCCGATATAGACGGCGCACCAGGCGGAGCTGCAGCCTCTTCCTCCAGCTCTAGTCGCCGGTTGTTCCCCCGACCGAGGATTTCCGTACCTGAGAATGATGGGGAAAATCACGAGTATTTACCACCAGTGGCCGACGACGACGATCAACAAGCAGACGATATTAACGACGGTGGCCTCCTTCTCTGTCTCACCGCCGGGTCTTCTGGAACCTCCTCCGCTAGTTCCTTTACCTATTCCGGCACTTCTACCGACGAGGAAAGAGTCTCTGCCGCTCCCCCTCCCACCCCAAAAAAGCCGCAAGAGCAGAAGTACACCGAAGCGGTGTTGAGCTGGATATCGTTGTTATTCCTGATCGCGATCAACTACGAGACGCTGCGGATTATGAAATGCAAAAGCATCGTACTCGTAGTATTGCAATACAAATTAGCTCAGCATGACAAATGGAATTTGTCATGCTGATTTAGCTTGAAAAAGAAATTTGTAATGCATAAATGCAACTCATAGATACGAGTACGATACTTTTGCAGTTCATACGGATCAACGAGAAGCAAATGTACGCGCCGTTGATTAACGACATGGTGACGGATATGGAAGCGTCAGGATTGAAATCGTCAAAGTTGAAATAATTTCTCATGCAAAAATTGCAAGGCATGAAGTGCCTCTCTTGCAGGGACGGCAAGTGAGGCCGATTGTCAGCCTGTTTGGGGTCTGCGGTAGAGCTGCTGAAGTAGCATGACAAAAGATGCCTTCTGTCCCAAAACAGCATGACAAAGTGGATTTAGACGTGGCCGAAATTTGTCATGCACCGCTCGAAAATTGGGCTTCCAACTGGTATCGATTTTATGCATTACAAGTATTTCAACTTTGTCGATTTCAAACCTGACACTCCCATAACGGAGCTGTACAACCTGGAATCCAGTTCCTTAGATCTGCTTCGGTATCCTGTGCAAAAGTATCGTACTCGTAGTAATCGCAGTCATGCATTACAAATCTCCCTCTTAACCTAAATCCGCATTACAAAATCCATTTTTCATGCTGAGGGAATTTGTCATGCGATTTATACTAGTACGATGCTAATGCTTTTGCATTGCATATTCGGGACTTTCGCTCGAAAAACCTACAGGAGGACCTGCGACTGCTAAAACACAACCAAATTATGCTGCGGACCGCCGCCAGCTTCAGTACGAGTGCAGCAGAAGATAATCTTTATGCCGATAGTGGTTCTGCTGTTGGTGGTGGTGCTGCTGACCACGGAGGTACTACAAATACCAAACTACAGAATGACCGAGACAGAGAAAAGGAAAAGAAAGAACATCTCCTAATCTCCTCCCCGGCGGTGTATTACGGTTTGCGCTACGTGGAGTTGAGAATCCTGCCGAACAGCCTAATCAGCTCCTCCACGCATAATTGGATAACTACCGCGTCGTACGCGAACCCAGCTTATAATACGCAAAGTTCATCCTACTCGTCTGCTTCACAGCTGCAACCGGTGCTATCGCCCCAACCCCCGCAATTGGATCAAGGTGTGCTCCTCCACCACGCGCGAAGATCCTTGTCGCAGTTCATGCTGCAGATGGAGCTGTATTTCCGGTTTTCTCTTTTACCCGAGCAATTTTTCACGGTTTTGTTCGAGAAAGTGCACCCGGAGTTTTTACCCGAATTCGTGGAATTGCTGGAGCCACTGGAATATCCTGTGCAAAAGTATCGCAGTCGTAGTGCAATCATGCATTACAAATCTTTTTCTTACGGTAAATCCGCATTACAGATTTTATCTCTCATGCTGAGGAAATTTATAATGCATTTACTATACGAGTGCGGTACTTTTGCTTTTGCAGTTCATATGGAAACTTACCATCGATTGTTGGATAAGAGAGATTTGAACACGGTCTTCGCTTGGATTAGGAGGAAAGTGGAATTGGGGGAGGTGGAGGAGAAAAGTGCTTTGCCAAAAACGTATAGCGAAGCCGCGTTCACGATTGAGAAAATCAAACCGCATCTGATGCTGCATTTGTTGAAGTGATAGGTCGTCTCGCGGGATCGAAATATCTATGCCTACTAGAAGGAACTGGAGGTGGCTGTAAGTAGGGACGAATTACCTTGGAAGCTGTCACGGTCCACGTGCTCACTCCTTGTTGGCACGCTAGCGTTTTAGCGTCTTCGTTGTTCTTTTGGAAATAGTGGACACGTAGAGGCGATGAGATGAAAACGAAAACGAATAGAAAGAGAGAATTGCCAAGTGGGCAGAGATTGCTGTACGAGAGATTCTCACGTGCAAAAAGAGAAGATAGCTGTGGTCATAAAAATCGTTCGCTGCATGAAGAACCGATTTGAGAGGATCTGGAATTTTCGTACCGGCCAGAATAACTGTGAGGGCTGAACCTCGGAGCAGTTGGTGTTCTTGCGTTACACTGCAGTTTTTTCTGCAATCACACAGAGATAGAAATTGCGGTGACTGGTGCAGCATTTTTGTCCTCGCAGCTAAACATCAAGATGGACGCCGTCCTGCCCTCCGGCTTCGATCCGGAGCAGCAGAACCAAAAGGTCCACTACGAAATCACCCAGCGGGTCGTCGACGTGGCCTCGGTTCTATGAGAGTGCACAACTCCCCCTCCCCTTGCCCTTCATTTGTATGGCATGAACAGCAACACAGAGACCAGTCCAAATGAAGCCTTTGCATGACAAGTTGATGTGCCTAGCGTAGTACTGTTTGGGCTTCCGAGATTTGTCATGCAAACCGTGCCACAGCGCAACGATAGGGCTTCGGATTTTGCATTACAAATGAGGGGAAGGGACGAGAGTTGTGCACTTTCATAGGTTCACGCCGAGCTCGCGAAGGACATCCTGCCTCTCAAGGGCGTGAAACGCCTCTATGGGGTTCTCAAATCGGTTACCTACTCAACTGTTACATGATTTGTCATGCAAAACTACCATAAGCCGCCGGATGATCAGGCGACTTCGCATGACAAATCTCCGAAGGGCTAAACAGCATCTGAATCTGTGCCAAATCTGTGATGCGAAAGCTGCAAACTTGCCACCTTGACTCTTGCTGTTCTTGCATTGCAAATTCATGTAACAGTTGAGAATGTAACGATTTGAGAACGCCATAGCCTCGTGTCCGACCGTCTCCGCAACCGTCTCGCCGCGCCGTCCGATCGAATTTCATCCCAGCAATCCAGGAACGCTTCTTACGGCGCAGTTTTGAAGAAGAGCAACAATCATCTTCCCAGTACGGTCCAGCGCATCCAAGCTTTATCTACGATAGCGGATCATAACGCTGCTGAGGACGGCGGGTTATTTGTGCCTAGTAGTTCTGGTGCAGCAGCAGTTGGCTCTCCGCGCGCTCTCCATACCAGATTCACGGAGCAACATCTGCTTCATGATGGCGACAACTCTACTTTCCACCCCGATCCACACTATGACCGGGCGCAGAGCACGGTGCAAGAAAGAAGTGCGGGGGCGACTGCTGCTGCTGCTGGTGGTGTCATGATCCACCAGCAAGCTCCTGAAGGGGAAGCGATGGAAGTAGAGTTAGAGGCCGTCAGTGTGACCAGTGGTACGAACAACCACAATACCAGTCCGGAAGGAGAGCAGAATCCTCCCGAGTCTTCGTCTAAGAAAGTGACGATATCCGCAGGCGGGCCGGAGGTGAAGGAAATTTCATCGCCAGGGGTTGATGTCGCGGATGACGCGGGCGTTGGTACTATCGATGAGGAGGAGGATTACCACGGGGGATTTTCCGATATGGCGAGCAGCTTACGCTCGCGGTACCACGGGTCGGGGGTGATGTTGAACCGGGTCAGGAATTCTTTAAGCCAGGACGAAAATAAGCGAGTGATACAACATCATAATGCTGGTGCAAAAGATAACACAAAGATGAACAGTCCCTTCCTCGAGGTACCTGGAGCAGGTGGAGAGCAGAACAAGGGTACCCGTGCGACCGATCAAGATCTTCGGCCAACAAGCAGTAGTAACACAAGCGAAACTGCAAAGAGCAAGTCTTTCGGTAGCAGACTTCTGAACAAAGTGACCACGACTTTTTTCGGGGGACGTCGAAGTGATGATAATCCTTCAAAACCGAGAAGAAACGCGGTGAAAGTGAGCACGAAGATGCACAACTTCGCGTTTCAGGAAGCGTCCGCAAAAATCAAGCGCTTAGCAGAATCGGCTTATTCCAAGGGGCACTACAAACTCGCGGAGCTCGCGTTGATTCAGCAACGGCACCAGTGGGCGAACGCGAGCATGATTTTCATTCAAACACCCGGGATTTTCTCCTACAGTACCTCCGCGGACGAATTCCGGCACGGGGTGCAGATTTTGTGGAAGTACTTGCGGAGGCGGCTCTTCGCGGTGGTTTACTCCGACGTAGTCGGGTTCTGCTGCTTCTGGTTTTGCTGCGGGTTTTGCAGGAGAAGAAAGGACTCAACAAACAGCAAACCCGTAACACCTACACAGAATGACGGAAAAACGAGTCATTTTGACATGAACGTGGATCTGCCCCTTACTGGCGACGAGAAGGCGGAAAATTCTTACCGTGGTACTAGCGGGATGCAAAACACCAACCGAGTGGAGCAAGATAAGGATTCCTTCGCGGCTTTCCAAGATTTTTTCGATGGGGTGACGAATGTTGATGCGAATCGCAAGGAAAGGATGCCGGAGTACAACAAGTACGGCACGAAATTGAAGTCCAACGAAGCTGACCGCTACAAACGGTCGCGGAAAGCGAAAATGCACAACATTCCCTACCAGTCCGAAGCGACAGAGCATTTAGCGAATGTCTTACTCATGACGGCCGTTTGCGTCTCCTTCGCGCTAGTTTCGACGGGGTGCGCGATTACTTCTCGGACGGATTCGACGGTGTACACGATTTGCGAGGAGGGGCACAACTTCAGCAAGAATCATGTACCGAAAATATTGATGCCGACTTTACCAGTTTTTCTCCTCGTTTATGTTCTCGGTCTTTCCTTTTCCCACTTTTGGGACGTGTGGCGGCAGGCGGCGCGGATTGGAGAGGAGTTCACGGAGACTTTAACCCAGTTTTTGACTTTGACACTGCACGAGCGGAACATGGTATCGCGAGAAAAAAGTGTTTCACTGTAACGATTTTGCAAGTTTTGCATCACAAGTCTGTCCTACATGACAGAAAGAATTTGCCATGCGAGTTTCCTAAGGGAAAACACGGCGAAAAAGACACCGTCTTGCATGTGGAGCAGCACAAGCACTCCAGAGATGCATTTTTTTTTGCGATACATGGTGGCGAAGTACCGAAAGAAAGTGGTTGTCACGGAGAAAAAATCCGAAAAGACCGAAGGGGACAACAGGAGCCCGAGCATGTTCCAGCGATTCAGCAGGGGCCAAGCCAGTGTGAAAACGGAAGCAGGGATGAAACAAGACGTTCCAACATCTTCCGCTACAGCTTCGTCCGACGGAACTACAGGTGGAGCAGCTACGAATACTAAAATGCAGGAAACGAAATCGAAAGAAGAGGTGATTCAGCTGGCGTTTCCATATCAAAGAGAAAAATCCCCCTCCCCATATCAAAATGGAATTTCTGATGCTGGATTTGCGTACACAAATCAGGCTTGTCTTGCAATAGAGGACTGCAGGCTCGTATCACCGCCGTGGTGGAGAGGTTTTGGCCTAGTAGGCGCTCGGCATGACAAAAGTCCATGCTGTAGGCCCAACAGCATCACAAACCGCCTGCATAATGCGGGGGGCCTTCTGGGTTTGCCTTCTTGCAAGACAGACACGATTTGTGACCACAAAGCAGCATCACAAATTTCCAACAGTATACGTCTTCAGTATGGGGAGGGGGGATCTTTCCTTACGATATTCCAACTTCTGTGGTTTTCTCCGCGGTGGAGCTTGCGCGGTACTTGTCCGTGGTTCTCGTCTTTCTCTTCTACAGTCTAAACCCGGTCACCTACAACATTGAGCACTACATTCCGTTCATTTGTCAACGATACGGCACGCAGCTGCGGGGATTGCTAACCGAGTCGGAGTGGAATACCTTCATCGTGCCGCAGATTTTGATATCCTGTGCAACAGTATCGTACTCGTATTGCAGTCATGCATTACAAATCTTGTTCTCAACGTAAATCTGCATTACAGATTTTATTTCGCATGCTGAGGAAATTTGTAATGCATTTATACGAGTACGATACTTTTGCAATGCATATTTGAAGTCCAAAAGCCGGAAATTCGTCATCCACGAAAACACGTTCCACGGGAAAATCTCCGACTATGTGGACGCACAGGCGTTTGGCAGGAAGATGATGAGCTACGCGACCGAGATGGCCTTGGACGTCATTCTCCACAGCCGCGCACTTGGTTACGTCGCGGACGCGCCAATTGCAGCTTTCAACATCAAGACCTGGCAGGATATTGTGTCCTCGAAGAACCAAATGGTGGCGAGGCAAATGAAATTGATGCCGCACATGCTCCACCGGACCTTGTGGCTGATGATGCTGGTGGTGTTTTTCGTGGAATTCATCGAGAAATCCACGTTTCTCGGCATCCGGATGCGGCAAATCCTCCATTCGCCGGGGAACAACGTTTTAGAGGTTGGAAAACTCCGGTCACCACTCTCCCCCCCGGCGACGTCGGAATCTGCTTTGGTGGATTTATCGGCGCCGAGCGTGACGTTTGATGACGATTGGAGCCAGGACTACGGGCGGAAAATTGCGTGCGCAGTTTTGGGCGTTTTTGCCGGGTTGATGTACGTGATTCTGTGCACCTTTTTCCACCGATTGATGGGCCTGGCCGTGGACATGTTGGACCCGATCGCCGCGGATCCGGATTCTGTCCCGGTGTTGCCGATCATTGACGAGTTGGTACAGGGCATGTACGACCGGGTGATTCGACGAATCGTGACGGTGACTTTACGACACGCGGCGTTCCTCCATTCGGTGGAGGAGCGGGAACAGGAAAAGGAGTTGTTAAAACGGTTCGACAGTAACCAACTCGCGTCCCCGACTTCCGGCGAACAAACTAGTGACCCTATTACAGTGAAAAGTGCCCCCCACCCCCAAAGTTGCAAAAATTTGTGATGCGAAGTGTCCAAATGAAAACTTTTTGTCATGCATGAAAGGAGTATGAATCTTTCTGATGCAGATTCTAGTCGTGTTTTGCATCGCTTGCATGACAAGCACCGCTCTTGCTGGGATCTTTTGCAATACAAACTTTTGCTATTCACACTCGGAAATCTGTGATGCTGATACATGCAAGAGGGCGAGTGTTTCATTTGGAAAGGTTTGCAATACAAATGCTTTCAAGTTCGGGGGTGGGGGCATTTTTCATTGTAATAGACCCGTTCGATTTCAAGGACGAAACGCAAACTTCGAAACAGATCATCATATCAAATGCAAAAATGTCTGGGTCTGGAAGAATGCAGCCTGTGATGCTGCATTTGAATTCCAAAAAAATCTGTATTGCTATTGCATGAGCAGCAAAGGGAACGCATTTTTTGCTACGCGGAGAGGGCATTTGTCATGCCGAATAGGCATCAAGAAGCCCTCAAAAAATCTGTGATGCTAGGGCATGCATCACAGACATCATGGCTCACGCAACACGTGCATGGCAAGTCTAAGAATCTTCCAGACCCAGACACTTTTACAGTTGATACATCACGCCCCGGCATAACATGTTCCACCACCGGGATTCCATCGTCCTATCCACAGTAATTTTCCCGTACACGTACAAATACGGTCTCTGCATGACAAAACGGGCTTCGCTCCTAGTTTTGCATGACAAGTGTTCACAACGCTCCAAATCACTGAAATTTGTGATGCATCTTGTACATGTGCGGGAAATTTGTATTGCATACCTCCACGGGAGATTCACCATCTTCGCACAGCAACGGAACATCCGGGAGGGCGAGTTTGATCATTTCAGCCAGACGCCGTATGACAGTGCACAATTTTCCCTCCCCCTCATTTGTCATGCAAAAGCCCGATTCCAGTTGCTACCTTGCGGCACCGCGTGCATGACAAATTTCGAACTCCAAGCAGTGCTACACTCGGCGCATGAACTTGTCATGCACGGGGTCCACCTGTACTGATGTTTGTCATGCTGTTGATGCCATACAAATGAGGGAGAGTCGTGGGGGTTGTGCACTTTCATACGCCCCAGAGCTCGCACACCAGTTTACGAAAGAAATTGCTGATGAAACAACAGGACCTGCACATGTGGTCTCCGTCGAATCCGCAAGTGTTTTCATCTAGCGGGAGTCAGGAGAATCTGCTGGGAGGACAGCAGGAACAAACCAGCAAGAACGCAGCAGTACATCAACCAGCGCCGCGCGGTAATGAGCGGGAATACGGTACGCTTATGACGATGAACGACGCTGTAGGCGATGTCGTGGAGGCGGAGAGACAGGCGGTGATGATGATCTTGCCCTATTTGGATAGAATTGATCCGGAAGTGGTGGCGTGGTGTCAAGATATCTTGACGGGACACGGGGAAGATTGAGTTGTGGGGGATGGAAATAGTGTCATTTTTTCATCTCCTCAGTGTAGATACTGAACTGGATATTTGGTTTCCGCGAGTATTTCGCCGCCGACAAATTTGCTTTCAGAACAAAGCTGGAGTATACTTTGACTTTTTCTTTAGACCAGTACTTGAACGAAACAAAACTGAACTAGAAAACCTGTGAGAATATTATGCGACGCTCCTAAGGCGGAAACGCACGGCCAAAGCAGCCGGCTGCCAGCTTAAGAGCTCGGAAGAAAAGGCGATGTTGTATTTCACGTTTTTTTCACCTTCACGGTGCCATTGCAGAACTTCTTTCCTATTATGATCGCCATGGGCTTTACCGTTACACTAGTGTTGCTTTCGCTTTCGATTAGCGTCTTTCCAAGAAATTATGCAGCTTGTATTGCCACAGCGAAAAACAGAAATTTAGAACAAAAAAAAACTGCTTCTGACATTGGCGGTGATAGAGTGAGTGCGTGGGTTGGCAATATTTATACTTAAGGGAGACCACTGAAAAAATTGAATGACGCAAGGAAGAAGTTGTACTTTATCGCAAGCCAGGAGCCTGGTTTTTCCATCTAATTGACAAAAAGAGGCTCCACCTCGCAACATCTATGGAAGCGATGTTGACATCAGCTCTTCGCGGCACAAGTGCTCCATGCTGTCGAGGATGTTCCTTTACGCGTACTAAGCGGACAGCGCACTAGCCCCATGTAGTTGACCAGGATCCTCAGTCGTATTTTACAGATTTCATTCATCCTTATTCCAGCACTAGACACAGTACAACTCTCCTAGCCTAAGAGCTAGACATCCGTCAAGCGAAGTAGCACTTACGTACTCTAGTAGGGCAGCGCACTAGAGGAGAGAAGCAAAGCGTCCGTTCAATGCAGCGAGCATTATTTTTCCATCAATCATGGTGTTGTCAAACACTACTACTAGCCGTAGTTGACCTTGACACATTCAACATCACTTGAGAACAAGGCAACTACTACGCGTGTGCTGTCACTCGGCAAGGCAACTTTCTGTGAAAAAGATCTCACGTGCGTACGGATCCTTTCAAGCTCATCATGGCACTTTCAACACAACTAACACTTTTCCATTCCACAAGACCTCCGCGTCATTTCTGATAGCTGTGTATTGTTAGATAGAGGTTGTGCTATCCTCCATTTGTGAGGAGTGGTCAAGCCTGTACCTGTTAAACACCATAGGCTACTCTCGTCGCTGTCTATCGCGATGTTGAACACGACGTTTTAGGAGTGCTACAGGCGAAAGCACGGAGGAGCACATGAAGCGAAAAAACAACTGACAGCGACTTCTTCCAGATGAGAACTACTTAGTCCATAAGTTGTTTTTCGAAAAAGAAGTAAGTACATGTTTGATCAAAAGTACATTGTCCTACGATAATCTTGTTCATAGGTCAATTCACTTTGAGCAGCATATTTTTACGGCAACAGAAAGATAGCAAGAGCTCAGCAGTTCATTCTCTTCTGACTGCAAAGTCGTTTTTCGTCGTGTAAATTTGTAACACCCGGCCGCCGCGCCTCACTTCTAGGAAAAAGGTTTCTTTGATGTTGATAGTCGAAACAAGAAAGTGTAGTCTAGTTTTCGTCAAAGAAGTAGGGAAGTAGGTGAAGCAGTTCTTTTCCCTTGTCGCAGGCAAAACGACTGCGCGTTTGAGAATTCTGGCCGAAACGCCTTCGTTCTCACCGCGTTGCCGTTCTGTGCGTTTGTTACCACAGCAATGCAGACTTTCCCTATATTCTTCAAGTATTTCTCGTACACAAAATCGGAAAAATAAGAGGACCAAATACTGTCAACTCGTTGTTTCGACTCTGTTCCTATCCCTCACCGGCACGTGACTTTTTGCTTTAGTCATAGTACACTCTGTTCTGTTACTTCTTGTTGTTCAAGTTAGCAAGCCTCTACCCAGTCTGCTGCCAAAGGAGTCTCTTTCGTTCTTTCACCTCCCGTGAAACAATCGGAAGTTGCGCCCTGGGTTCTTACGGACTGCAATCAAAACGCACCTTCATCACGTTCACCTTGTTTTATTTCGTACCCAAATAAGTAAGTAAGTATCCAGCTCGGTTTATACGAAAGAGAAAGAAAGTAAGTCAGTGTTGTGAACTTAAATAGCGCGCGTACTTTACAAAGAAGAAATCACTGTACACTAATCACTGCGACCGTCTTCACGTGATTCTGATCCAATCATACGTAGAAGATATCGCACGAAAATACCGTACACACGACAAGGACTTTATACAAAAATAAACCATGCCGCCAAAGGGCAGCAAGAAAAGTGTCGCCCGCGCCGCTAAAAGTGCTGGCGACGGGCGGAAAAGTAGTTGTGATGCCGCTGGAGCAGGTGGTACAACAACTCGTGGGGTCGCTGGAGCAGCAGGTAGTTGTAGGCCCTAAAAAATCCATCTCTACGCCCATCTTTTCAAAATTTGCCCTATCGGTTTGCCGCCATTTTGTTGCATTCCCATACATAAAGCCTCTCGAGCAGCTCGACCGCCGATCCTGGCTGGCCATATTGCCTGACAGATTTTCCGGGTCTTGTTTTTCTTTTTGCAGCTTGGTGGAGGATTGTGGTAGGAGTTGCGAGGCCAACTAGTCACGCACATCTCCGCGACATGCAGAAACAAGAACAAAACCGGGAGAATGCATTCACTCGGCCGAGAGAGAAGCTGAAAAGATGCAGCCACGCAAAGTGCTCATCTTTTCAACTTTGCAAGCTATCAAATTTTGAAAAGATGCTCTTTCTGCATCTTTTCAAATTTTGATAAGTGGCTGCTCACTTTCCAAATTTTGAAAAGATGCTGAAGGAAGCATCTTTTCAAAATTTGACAACCCGAACAACGGAAGTATCAAATTTTGAAAAGATGCTCTTTCTGCATCTTTTCAAATTTTGATAAGTGGCTGCTCACTCTCCAAATTTTGAAAAGATGCTGAAGGAGACATCTTTTCAAAATTTGACAACCTCAACAACGCAAGCACTTGCTCTGTTAAGGTTGTCAAATTTTGAAAAGATGTTTCCTTCAGCATCTTTTCAAAATTTGCAAACCTTTTTGACAACCCCTTCGATGAGGTTAAAAAGGAGCTCATTAACTTGAGCTATTCCCCACGGTATGGTGGATTTTGATAAACCTTTTTGGCAACCCCTTTGATGAACCTAGACAGAGAATCGCTGACGAGAGTCCAAGGCTTTAACTTGCGCTCCAGCTGGCGGGTCGCCAGATGGTAAGCAAAGCCGTGCCTCTGGCGACACCTGTTTGCTTGCCTCTTTTGTGGCTCCGAAGATTGCGAAGATGCACCCTCAGCAAGTTTGCGAATTTTGAAAGGCACGGAGAAGAATAGGCTGCTCACCCTTTCCGCGGCTGTCGAAATTTGAAAAGATGCGCTGGTAGCATCTTTTCAAATTTTGGAAGCCACAGAAGACTGAGCTGACCTCCCTCTGCGTGGTTTCTCAAATTTGAAAAGATGCTCCCTCGGCATCTTTTCAAATCCTGAAAACCACAGAACAGCCAGCTGCCCTCCTCGTCTGCGGCATGTCAAATTTGAAAAGATGCTCCTTCAGCATCTTCTCGAATCTTGGCAACCTCAGGACAGAAAACGGATCGGCTCTTCTGCGGCTTCGAAGATTGAAAAGATGCTTCTTTAGCATCTTTTCAAATTTTGAAAACCACAGACGAGTAAGCCGACCCCGTCTTCTGCGGCTTCAAAAATTGAAAAGATGCTCCTTCAGCATCTTTTCAAATTTTAAAAAGCACAGAAGAGCAGGCGACCCTCCTCTTTAGCGCCTTTTGAAATTCGAAGAGATGTTCCTTCAGCATCTTTTCAAATCCTGGAAACCACAGAAGAGTAAACTGCTCGGGTCTCTTGTGGCTTCGTTATGGAAAAGATGCTCCATACAGCCCCGGGCCTCGGGGCAGAAATAGAACAGCCCGGCTTGGCGCGTTTGCAAAGGCGGACGCGCAGCCGCCATCGAAGAGGCGCTGCGCGATAATCGGCGAGGGCGCCGAGCAATCAACTGGCCAAAATTTGAAAAGATGGGCGAAAAGGTGGATATTTTAGGGCCTTCAAAAGTAGTTGTGATGCCGCTGGAGCAGCAGGTGGTACAACAACTCGTGGGCGCCCGAGGAAGAGCGGCGCGGGTGTGGACGGTCCCGTCAGAAATCCCAGTGGCCGTGGGAAAAGTAAGAGCCGACCACCGCTTCTTCTGGCAGAGTCGTCTTCTGATGTTGTTGACCACGAAAGTAAAGACGGTAGTGCGGGTGTTGACCACGCCGGAGGGAAGGGGCGCGGTCGGAAATCAACTACCCTTGGCCGCGCGACTGGAGGTGCTGGTGGTGATGCAGCCGGGGGGAAAAAAGCGGTGGTGGATGTTGTTGGTACTAGTGCAGCCGGCGCAGCCGCTTCTTCTTCTACATCCTTACAGGTCGGTGACAAGCAAGTAGAGAAAACGACGACACAACAAGGAGGCCAAGAACTAATGGCGCGACAAGGTGGAACAACAACGGGAACAGCAGCTACAGCCAAGGATGATGATCGCGCGAACAAGGGAAATAATATGAACAGCCAGGCTCTTGGAAATAAATCCACGGTTCTTTCTCCTCCTGTTCCTCCGGCAAAAAATCTTCCTGGTCCACCTACCGCGCAACAAGAATCATCATGGGCACAAAAGATGAAGATGAGGTTCTGGGGGCAAAATCCTTCTCCTGACGCGAAATCGAAGTCGTTATCTGCTGCACAAAGACCGCTTGCTGCTCTTCCCCCCGCAGCTGGAAATATTAAAGGAGGAGCTTCAGCTTCTTCGTTTTCAAGAGTACAACAACACGTCCCGAAGATGTTGAAACCATCAGCAGCAACATCCGCTGGTCAACAACGTGCACAGTCATCAAAAAATCTCCCAGCGCAGACGTTGCTCCCACCGGAACTTCTGAGGAATCAGGATTTATTTTCCGCCGATTTTCATCTCGACGACCACGATGGGGATGCGAACATCCTCAACGACGGTGGAAAAAAGAAAAATACAAAGAACAGTACTACCAAAAGTGCAAATTCAAAAAAACCTGTATACACCGGCAGGCCGCGGGGCCGGCCGCGGAAGCATCCGTTGCCGGATCATCTTCATGCGGGGGTGGGAGCAGGACGGGGGGTCAAGATGAAGGGGGGAAAAAGCAATGCCAAGACATTTTCTTCGTCTTCTTCGAAACCGAAAGCCGCTAAAGGTTGTAGTACCAAGGGAAATAATAAAACACGCACGGGTAACAAGAACAATATTTTTGCCGCCGGTTCTGGCACAACTTCTGTCGCACCGCCACCACAACTGGAACAAAGTCGTCCAAGCTCGCAATTAGTACATCAACTAGAGCACGAGAACCTCGAGGACAACTTTGAATCCACCACCGAACAGCGGTACCAACGACTGAACCTGGAAAACCGCAACCGGGCGCATTTTGAAGAAAAAGAGCAGAAGCAGATGGTGAAGAAGCCGGTGCAATTTCGGTGGACGGACAAACAGAAGATGATGGCGAAGGCACGCATGCACGAAAAGTTTTGGTACAAGATGATATATCCCCTGCATTGGCTCCACGGTCGGTGGCGCTCGACGCGGGTGAACACCATCTACGAGTGCGGTCTGGACGACACTTTAGACCCCACCGAGTACCAGCTCTTGCGAAACAAATTTTTCTACACCGCGGTGAGCCCGCGGAACGTCCGCGTGAACGGGATTCAGAAGCACGACTGCCCGTTAACTATCCTGTGTAAAAGCGTCCCCACCTTCATAAGTCAAGTTGGTAAGTCTGCAGCACAAATCTCCAAGTTTTGGCAGTTGCGCATGACAAGTTTCCATCTGCAGTGTAAATGCTGGCTTGCACGGGCACCCGCATGAGAAACCCAGCTTCTCATTCTGTTTACAGCATTACAAAGTCCAAAACACGATTGGAAATGCCTCTTATGGAGATGCGCATTACAAATTTTCCTGTCATTGCGCATTTGCATGACAACTCTGGGGTTGGGACGTTTTTGCTGAGGATATTAACGGTGGATAGTTTCGGCTTTCTCCACTACAACGACTGGGTCTTGGTCCACGCGTACAATCCCGAGTGTCCGATTGCTGTCCGGAAAAAGTTTTACACTGCGATGTTCGACTTGTATCAAAAAAAGCGCAACGAGATGCAGCGAGTGAAAGATCTCGAGGAAAGAAAGTTTCGGGAGTGGCAAGAGGAGCGGAATCGGATGAAAAAACCAGTGTCTCCGGCGGAAACAGGGGGTGCGCCCGTGTCTCCAGAGCAGAAAGAACAGCATCAAGGTACAACTTTAACTGCTACAACTTCTTCTTCTGCAGAGCCCGTCGTGGTGCCGGCGGCGGAGAATAAAGCGGCGCCCGCAGACAAGAAACGAAGTGATCCTGCTCCTGTCACAACAACTGCAGAAGCAAGTCGCGCACCCGTAGCAGGAGCAGGTCCTGTCCTTGCCACGACTGATCAGGGCCGCGATATTAAGCCTATTGTAGAATCAACATCGGACGATCGTGCGGGTCAGGATCCGGAACAAGAGGAGAATACAAATACGGAGAAGGTCACGTCCACGAATAATAACGAGAAACCTTCCGTGGCACTAAGCGGCAATGGAACATCACTTGCGACGTCGGCGGTTAAGAACAAGACCAGCGATACTAGTACAACATCAAACGCCAACCAAAAGGAAAAAGTGGCAACCACTAGTACAACCAAGAAACAGCACGACTCGCCCCAGTCCACGACGGTCGGATTGACTCCCGGTGGCGGGGAAAATAATGAAACTGGAGCTCCTGCAGGAGCTGCGGGAACTACAGCAGCAGCAAACGCGGGTAGTAGCACCACGACTACTGCAAGTACCCACCCGACGTCGGGCGGCCAGGGTGCGACCTCCCATTCTGCTTTATTTCCCGCGGTTGTACCACCTGGACCTGTGCCGCCAAAAGCAAAATCCGCTCCAGCTGCGGCATCGCTGGCACCTCCTCAGGGCGTCCCTTTCAACGCTCCAGACGACCGCACGGGCTTGGAAACCATTCTCGCGAACCGGAATCAGATGCAGGTCTGGCGCCCGTCCAAGCTGCTCTGGATGCACGTATCGCTCTTTAACGAGGCGTATGAACTGCAAAAGTATCGTACTCGTATAAATGCATGTCAAATTTCCTCAGCATGAGAATTAAGATTTGTAATGCGGATTTACCTTGAAAAAAAAAATGCAAGAATTGCATTTATACGAATACGATACTTGTGCACAGGATAAGGCGATCCAGGAGGCCTTGGACCTGGACGATTTCGACAAGAAAACCTCGGAGAGCATCTTCCTCGCCCGGATGGATAAAATTTTCCAGAGAAACGTCCGGAAGTGCGCACAGACGAACCAGTTTGCGGAGCGAAACGCCCGGGTCGCGGTGTGGGAATCGCTAGTGCCGGACGAGTCGCCGGCGAATTTTGTGCTACAAGGGGCCACGCTGTTCGATTTAAGGCAGATTGTGCTGGACCACGCGGAGATCAACGGCATGCTGGATAAGGACAACGGGAGTTACGACAAATTTTGGTCAGAGGAAAACCAACAGTTCTCCTCTCTTTTCTCCCTGCTTTGTCACCCGAAGAAGGATTACAGTAAGCCGAAGCTGGCGCAGTTGAAAATCAACCCGGTGGATCCGAAGGAGTTTAACGAATCCTTGCGAAACATGAAAGACGCGCACGGTTGGTTCCGGACGGCGGGCAGCATCGGGCAAATGATTCGGTTTGTTCGGGAGGAACACGTGCGAAACCAGCTGAAACGGCTGGGACTGGTGAATAGTACTTCTAACGCAGGAGTGGTGCCAGGAGCAGCAACAGCATCAGGTTGTACTATGCCAGGGGCCGATCATCATGGGAAAAATGTCAAAGCGAAAAACAAAAAACAACCAGGTTCAACAACATTATCGTCCTCTTCTGCAACATCTAAAAGCTGCAGCCCCGCTCCTGTGGACAATACGATGAAGAGGAAGATGACACGCCACGACCACGAACACATGTTCTTCTACGGACACTGGGATGGAAATAACAAAAACTACGGACAGTTGAAAAAGGAAATCCTGGATAATGTCGAGGCGGATAAGCAGGGGGGTAGTTGTAAGTCTGCCTGTGGCGTCGAAAAGGAAAACCAGGACAACGTCTTTCAATCTTACCACAGCGTGATAGAGAAAGACGACGCTCTCGTGAAAGGTTTGAAAGCAAAGTACAGGATGTTGAAGAGCATTCTCAACAAAAGCGGGAAGATGACCAAGAACCAGAGTACTGTTCTGGGTTTTGTTGGTGCGGCGGTTCCACTACCCCCGATGAAAATGGCCAGCACCTCGTCCAGTTCTACGACGGCGGATGGTGGTTGTCATTTGGTAAACAGCACTGGCAGCTCTAGCAGCAGCTTCTCCAGTAATTTGTTCCCTTCGACTACATCTAGTGTGGCGCAGCAAGAAGTACTGCCAGGGAACAACACACGCCTTGTTACTCCAACATCTTCCAGTATTTTGGTCAGCAGTATCGTGGCGGCCCCCATCACCTCCGCGCCGTCGAGCTTCTTGCCAGAAACTGCGACAGCAGGAGCGTCGAACAAACGAAGCAGGGAAGTTCTGATTCGTTGTGGTGTTGAGACCGACGACCATGATACCGGCGACGCGATGGACGTGGACCTCGAGGGGGATCACGAAAACAAGAAGGCTCCGAAACTTTATGGTCCTCTTTCATCTTCTTCTTCCTCTTCCGCGACTGCGAACGAAGTTCCAGCTGCAGAACCTTCACTCTTGCCGAACGATGGCGCGACTGTGGATCATCATGGCAACAGCACGGGGGCAGCTCCTGCGCAGAATATCAATAAATATGATCCGCCAACAGTCACTTTGGAAAAACCGATGAAGCGACGTGGGCGGCCGCCGAAGGTGGCGAAGGTTGAAGAGAAGACTAGCAATGTGGTCAAATCTGCGCAGGAAACGACAGGAGTTGCACCTCCAGGTGCGCAACCAGCACCAAAAGCGGCCGTAGTAGTACCAGCGCCACCTCCTTCTCCAAAGGAAATTATCCCGGTCGTGGTTCCACCGAAGCGAGGCCGGGGTCGGCCACCGAAGCAGAACAAGGGTCATGTTCCGGTCGTCAACCCAAATCATGGTCTAGCAGTTGCAGAACGACAAAAGAATCTTTTGTCACTTGTTGGAGCTGCATCAGCTGCCCGGGCTGCTGCCGGGGCGAAAACAGTTGCTTTTCCGGCGCCCGTTAATAGTACTGGTGGTCCGACAACAAATACAACATCTTGGCAGCAGCAGTTGCAGAATTTCTACTACAACCGAGCACTCCACCCTCCAGGATCGCTGTCCCTATCTACTATACGGCAAGAAGTGCGATTGGCGTATGGCCCGATTTCTACTAGTAAAAATCTTACTAGTAAAGAAAAGCTGAAAATTTTTACTAGTAAGAAGTGTTACTATTAAATTTAACGGGACAGGAAAGCAAAAATTCTACTAGTAGAACGGGGACGGGCTACTAGTAGAGCGCGTACTAGTAGAAATCTGGGCAAAACCCAAAGCGCGAACGCCGAGGCCTCTGCGGGCGCCGAGGTGGTCTGAAACAAGCGCACCCAGATCGCGCGTTGTCCCGCAAAAAAGCCTCGCTGCGAGCCTGCGGCGCGCCGCTTGTGCGTGTTGCCGGCTTCCCTTGCCCCTTGCGAAGAAACTCGCAGCGGGCAGGCCGCCGCCGTGCTCTCGGGTGGGTGGCGGTGCGGGGTGCGGGGGACGGTGTGGGGCGCTTTGCAGAAGGGAGGGAGGTCCGGGAGAGGCGAATGTTGGCCCTTGGGGCAGTGGGGGCGCGGCGCGGGTTATTGCAATTGCGTGCGCGGCCCTTGGCGCTGCCAACGGAGGCGCAGGGGCAGGGGGCCAGAGTAATATTGGCTGCGCGAGTGCAGCAAGGGACGGTGCGGGTATTCCTGCCTTTCGGAAGGGCAGGCCGCCCCTTTTCTCCAGCCCCGCTCGCCTTTCATGCGCATCGCGGGCTCCCACTCCCGCCGCGGTGGGTGGGCCGCTGCGCATGGCTGGCCCGTCCCTTCGCGTAAGTAGGGTCTCTTATGCCGCGGCCACTTTCCCGTGGGTGTCCAGCAAAATGCACATAGTAGCTCGCCCACCTTGGGGGGTACTCGCAAAGTGCAAACCGGCCAGAAGGCTCGTCGCCCCCCCTCCATCGAGGTGGGCCAGGGGGCGTCGGGCGTGAGGCTCTAGTGGTCGCCGGCGCCCAGGGACAAACCCGCTTGGGGTACGCGTATCGCCTCCTGCCCCTTCCCCGCGAGGAATGCAACCTTCCTAGTATGAAATCGGGCCCATCGCGTCCTTGTCTCCTCCATACCTCTCCGGCGGTCGCGGAGCGACCGCCCGTGCTAGATACAAGAACAGAGCACTCCACCCTCCAGGATCGCTGTTTCTGGAAAACTTCGGCCTACCAGCAATTCTGGACGTCGAGGCGGATAAAGATACCAAGCAGGAGGGATTGAAATCGTCAAAGTTGTAATAGTTTGTCATGCATAAAATGCAGCCCACAGAGTGCCTCTCCTGCAGAGGAGGCAAGTGAGGCAGATTGTAAGCCTGTTGAGGGGTAAGTAGAAACTGAGCTGCTAAAGTAGCATGACAAAAGGCGCCTTCCTTACCCAAACAGCATGACAGACTGTTTTTTTTTGTCTACCCAAATTTGTCATGCGCCAGTTGGAAACTGGGTTAGGTTAATACAACTTTCATCCGTTTTATGCATTGCAAGTTATTATTTCAACTTTGTCGATTTAAATCCTGACACATCCATACCTCATTTCCGCTACCGCGCAGAGCAACGCGGAAAAGCAGCACCAGCTGGAACAGGAAAAGCACGCAAAGGCCGAGAAGAAGACCAATTTGGCGATGGCGGTGCCCGTATCAAATGCAAGAATGTCTGGGTCTGGAAGAATGCACGATTTGCCATGCTGGTCTGGCACGACCAAAAAGTTTGTGATGCGTGATGTCCAAGAAGAGAACCCTTTGCCTGTCATGCAAAAACGCAGCTTGTCATGGGAAAAACGCAAGAACACAAAGAAGCGCAGATATTTCTCATGCTTGGCTGTGCATTACACAGAGCATTCACCATTCCCAACGCAGCATTGCAAGTTTCCAGACCCAGACATATTTGCTGTTGAAAAATGAAATTCTGGACTACAACAGAGCACTCCACCCTCCAGGATCGCTGTTTCTGGAAAACTTCGGCCTACCAGCAATTCTGGACGTCGAGGCGGATAAAGATACCAAGCAGGAGGGATTGAAATCGTCAAAGTTGTAATAGTTTGTCATGCATAAAATGCAGCCCACAGAGTGCCTCTCCTGCAGAGGAGGCAAGTGAGGCAGATTGTAAGCCTGTTGAGGGGTAAGTAGAAACTGAGCTGCTAAAGTAGCATGACAAAAGGCGCCTTCCTTACCCAAACAGCATGACAGACTGTTTTTTTTTGTCTACCCAAATTTGTCATGCGCCAGTTGGAAACTGGGTTAGGTTAATACAACTTTCATCCGTTTTATGCATTGCAAGTTATTATTTCAACTTTGTCGATTTAAATCCTGACACATCCATACCTCATTTCCGCTACCGCGCAGAGCAACGCGGAAAAGCAGCACCAGCTGGAACAGGAAAAGCACGCAAAGGCCGAGAAGAAGACCAATTTGGCGATGGCGGTGCCCGTATCAAATGCAAGAATGTCTGGGTCTGGAAGAATGCACGATTTGCCATGCTGGTCTGGCACGACCAAAAAGTTTGTGATGCGTGATGTCCAAGAAGAGAACCCTTTGCCTGTCATGCAAAAACGCAGCTTGTCATGGGAAAAACGCAAGAACACAAAGAAGCGCAGATATTTCTCATGCTTGGCTGTGCATTACACAGAGCATTCACCATTCCCAACGCAGCATTGCAAGTTTCCAGACCCAGACATATTTGCTGTTGAAAAATGAAATTCTGGACTACAACAGAGCACTCCACCCTCCAGGATCGCTGTTTCTGGAAAACTTTGGCCTACCAGCAATCACGGGACAACCTGCGACTTCAACAACAAACACGGCCTTGGCTGTTGCAGCCGCAAGTGGAAGTACTTGTTCTACCGGTGCGCAGAAGATGACAAGTCTATTCCTGTCATCTGGGAGTCAACAGCATAAGCAACTACCGGGGGTAGTCGATCAACCGATGAATAACACGTTGAAAAACAAGAACAAACCCGGGGTAAACGACATACTCTCCGAAGAATTGAAACAGAAAGTTTCATCCCCGAATTTCACCGACGAGTCTTTTTTTGTTGACCTGCATTCCGTATGCAATGCAAAAGCATCGTACTAGTATAAATTGCATTACAAATAATTAGCCCAGCACTACAAATCAAATTTGTAATGCTGTTTCACCTTGAAAAAGGGATTTGTAATGCATAAATGCGATTACTACGAGTACGATACTTTTGCACAGAATATTCCGGTGGGGTCGTGAAGAAACGCGACACGCAGTTTCCGTTTTTGGAGAACCGGCACTACGCGGGGATTTTGCAGCACGGGAACGCCTATCCTGTGCCAAAGTATCGTACTCGTAGCAATTGCATTCATGCATTACAAATCTAGGCGTTAAGGGAAATCCGCATTACAAATTTTATTTTTCATGCTGAGGAAATTTGTCATGCGTTTTTTTTACGAGTACGATACTTTTGCACAGGATAACGCCATCTGGTTCCAGGCCGATACGACCAAGGATCGAGCCGACATGGCGGAGTTTATTGCGAAGTTGGAACGATTATCCTGTGCAAAAGTATCGTACTCGTATAAATGCGAATCTTGCATTACAAATCTTGCTCCCAAGGCAAATCTGCATTACAAATTTCATTTCTCATGCTGAGGAAATTTGTCATGCGATTTATACTAGTACGATGCTTTTGCATTTCATAACGATCTCAAGAATCTTCGACGGCTTCCGGCAACGGCGAAGAGGTACTGAAGGGTGTTGCGGCGAAAGAGATGAAGGAGGTCAAAAAGAATGAAGAAAATGCAGATGAAAATGAAACAAATGAAGTTTTTCCGGCGCCTGAGAAGAAGCCGGAAGTAGGTATCACCAGAACTACCCCGACCGTAACCAAGAACGGCCCAAATACAACATCCGATTGCATCAACAACAAAGCTCCTGCCGCCGCAGCTGCGCCATCTCTTCAGAAAGCAACACCCCACGACAGCTCTTCATCGACCACCGAGAAGGTTGAGCAATTCATTGAGGATGAAAACGGCGAGTTTCAGCTCGTGAAAGTGAATCCGCAGACGCTGGCGAACTCGAGAAATACTAACCAGGTGTCTCGTCGTGGTCCTGTGGAGGTGTCGGGAGTTTCATCTTCTTTCATTTCAACATCATCATCTTTCGGAATGCTGAACAAGATGAGGAAGCAGCAGAACAATGATGAACACGGGAAACAGAAACAAAACGTCCTCGCGCCGTCTGAGATGAACAAGAAAAAGAGCGGCACTCCGGAAATAAATCAAGTGGCTTCTTCGTCTTCTTGTTCAGCTTCCCAGGCTAGAAAAATTTTCCTTCAGCAAGAAAACCACGACGTGTTCTTCGCTCCGGGCTTGCATTCCGGAAACACGACGCTTTCTAGCTCGGGGGGGAAAATTATTGGAGGATGTTCTAGCGTGGAACTGCATCAATTTATTGCGGAAAACTACGAGAATGTCGTGCAACAGGAGTACCACATCACGCAGGACTTTCTGCGGCAAAAAATCTACAAGTTAGAAGAGCCGGCGGTTGTCCATAGTTCTGCCTCAACATCTAGTACAACTGGTACTACTACGGATAAAAGTGAAAAGGAAAAGCAAAATCTTAACCCAATTGTAGTTCCTACCACCGAGCGGCAACAGCAGAATCTGCTTCTCGAAGCTGCGAAAATGAATCAAACGCTGAACCACGCAAACGACCAGGCCGTGCTCCTGGAAAAAAAGCCAATGTTGGATGCCAGTGCCTTTCACGCGAAGAATCATTTACAACTCTCCTTCGGCAAGAGAAATCACGCGCAAAACAGGAACGCTTTTTGGGAACAACCGACGGAGCAGTTGAAGGAGCAGTTGGGGCAGAAGAAGGTGAAGCCGACGGCGCGGATCTCGCACGTGTTGGATTCACAGCTGTACACCATGGAACAACTGTTAGCCATGCAGGCGAATTTCGGACTCAGTCTGCTGAAGCAGGCTTACGATCTGATCTGCAACCAATTTATCCGGCAACAGGGGAATTTTCGTGACGAATTTTCCCTAATCGCGCTGAAACAAAACATATCACATGCAAATGTGTCCGGGTCTCGGTCTGGAAGAGTGCAAGTTTGTCATGCTTGTCTTGCATGACTCTCAAATCTGTGATGCATGAGCAGGAAAGGGCCTCTTGCCTGTCATGCAAAAACGCAGTTTGTCATGCGAAAGACGAAACACACAGCAGCGCAAAAACTTGTCATGCTGGGCTGCATATTGTAGGGTGTTCACAATTCGTAGATTTGCATCACAAGTCTCCGGACCCAAACATATTTGCAATGCATAAAACAACTCCGACCGGGTGCAAACCGCGGCGGTGTGCATCGACACGAAATCGACGAAGGATCCTGAGTACGCACCGCAAAAGTATCGTGCTCGTAGCAACTACGGTCATGCATTACAAATATTTTTCTTAAGGTAAATCCGCATTACAACTTTCATTCCTACCGCTAAGGACATTGATTTGTCATGCAATTTTTACTACGTGCGGTACTTTTGTAATGCATACAGCGCAGCGGATCTTCATGATCTGCTTCTTCGTTACCAAGTTCCACTACCGGAGTTCCAATGCGGGCTCGAAATTGGTGGAGATGTTGGTGAAACGGCTGAACCTCGAGTCGCATATGCGTTGCAAGTATGTCTGGGTCTGGAAGAATGAGTGCTAACTTGCAATGCGCATTCCAGATCACACAAAAGTTTGTCATGCATGGAGAGCAATGAATATAAAATATGAAGTTGCTCATCTCTTCTTCTTGCCACCGAAAGAGGTGGACATTTGTCATGCGGGTTGGGCATAGAAACGCGACATGCTTTCCAGAACCTGTAATGCGAGCGCTTGCATGCCAGACCGTCTGCGTGAAAGAAAAACACCATGACAAACGTCGGCACTCATCTAGACCCAGACCTGGTTGCATTCCATTTCGCACTTGATCGACCAAAATCTCCCAGCATATGAGATTAACCGCAGGGTGATGGAATTTGAGCGTGGGGAAAAACTGAAGAAAATGAAGGAAAAGAGGCGACAGGAAAAGAGTAAAGCAGCCGCGGCGATGACGGTACAACTATCGTCGGCAGAAGGTGGTGGAGGTGGAGACAACAAGCAGCGGGATGCAGCCGTAGCCGACAACGGTGGTAAAAATAAGGATGTTCAGGACAACAAGGACAACCAGCTGAAAAGCGCTCTTGGTACTGGGCATCAAGTGGACCTACTGTCTGATGGAAATACCACCAAGAATACGACGAAGACCGTCCAAAAGAACAGCACGGAAAATCCACGACCGCAACAAGTACAACCACAGAAGAACGATGACGAAGATGAGGACGCTCTCCAGCCGGTCCGCAAGCGGCCGCGACGCGACTGCGTCCTTGAGCAGGAGCAAGAAAACAGTAAGAACCACAACCGCGCGACAGCGGGAAAGAACAGCAACCTGAGCGGGGCAGCTCCCGCTGGTGGAGGTAGTAGTGCTAGTAGAACCGGGCTGGATGTCAATAACAAGAAAGTGAACAAAAAAGACACGACTCATTGCTCCGAGAATGTCGATTCTGACGACGAGTCGGACCTCCCCCGCCGCCGCTTCAACTTCGTGCGAAAACTGATGACCGATGAATACCAGCGTCGGGAGGCGATTTACCAGCGACAGATGCGGGAATTGGGGAAGCCGAAGCACGTCCGGATTGTCACCGTGTGTGCGGCGTCTGAGGAAAAGAAGGAAGTCAATTCGGTGTGCAATTTCTGGAAGAATTTGGGTTTCACCTTGGAACAGCCGGACGACATACCCTATCATGAAATCCCGATCCGCGCGTGCCGGGTGTTTGAGTTCGATTACAAAAAGGCTTATGGAGGAATGTTTAAGGACTATTTACCCTGAAGGAGATGAATGGAAACTAGAACTATGGTACAACTTCCAGGCAGCTTCGACGTTGACGATGATTTTTTTCACGTATTAAAAAGATAAAGGTAAAGCTAAAAGATGACAAAAATATGAAAGTCGCATAAACTTTTTCTTCTTTTCCGCCATAGCTGGAACACGACAAAAATCTGTATCTACAGTATCCTAAACAAGCGGCAACGCGACTGTATTTTTATAGGCAAAAAAGTATATTCTTTCATCTGACAGAAAGACAAAGACTACGTAGCGAAGAATGTTGTTGACAAAACCTACATAGTACTCATAGCTCATTCTCACGTAAAATGTATTGCGATTACACACGACATTTAAATTTGAATTTCATCCAGCAAAGAACACGAAATCTTCTTGCGTTTTCAAAAAAGAACCTAGCGACATCATTTTTACGAATGTTTTTTTCTCCACCAACAAATTTTAATTTTGCGAAAACAAATTATCGTACTACCTCAATCAAGAAAGCTAAAACTACACGGAATATTACGGAAATTACAGATTTACAATACAGCTTTTATACAAGACAAGCGCAGAAAAACAGAAAAACAAAAAGCGACCGACTTCATCTCTCCAACTACACACAGCACTCTAAAATAAATCAAAAATTGCAGAAATGGTAAGATTTTCAAGCTGATGCAGCACTTCGCTCAACTTCTACTACTATAGCTTTGCTATTGCTGGTGACGTCACGGCTAACCTTCCTCGATTTTTTAACTTGCACAGGCAAATGAGGGCTCGGGGTCGATGGGGGCGCCCACGGTTTGACGGTGGTCGTGTACTAGTACTATTGGTAGAGGGGTGAAAGATTCTTTCTGCAGCGTGAAGACACTTCTCCCCGAATGTCACTTCTGCTTGTGAAGCAGTACATTGGTCCATTGTAGTTGGCCACGCAACAATCCTTACACAACTAGGCTCCTCCTTTTTTCATATAGACAGGAATTACAACTTAAGGGGCGGAGTAGACACGACCTCAGGAAGTAGGTTCTGTTGTTGTTAAAAAGGAAAAGATGGAACAAATAGGGGCAGCTCCTGCAGCTACAGAAGTACGGACAAGATTAATGCCAAAACTACAACTTCTTGTCGCGACGCTGAAAATTCATCTTGAAGCTCTACCATTTTTGCACTAAAAAAAGAAAAAAAGCAAAAAAAATCCAGATTCACCACTTCATAGAAGTACTACGAACGGGAACGCCCACGTGGCGATATAGGATGAATTATCGACAGCTTTCGGCTTTCTCGGATGAGAAGCCTTGTTCGGAAGGATCAGTCGCTTGCCACAAAGCGTGCGTTCGTTTGTCAACTGGCTTTATGTCCGTGTCAAAGATCTTTGACGCAGGATGACGCCTACGATCGTTGCCCTTGATTTCCAATGCGGCGATATATCACCGACGAAACGAGGAGAAGGCCACCGATCTAGATGGTGCGCGGCGAACGTTCTTAGTCCTGTATGAAATCCCCAGCCATTAAAACACTGCCAAAGCTGGGCGCCATCGAGGCGCGCAGGTAATGCGGGCTAGCGGTAAGCTCTAGGGCGCGCAGCCTTTTCCATGGCATAACGACGCAGGGAAGCCATGACATCCTCCCGGGGGGTGTCTGGTGTGCCACCGGGTACACAAGCACCGCGCCGGGCGCACTCGGTCGGCCTGTGTGTCGGAGTGGAGCCCCCATTCATTGCAGCCGCGTCATGATAGCGGACGGGACCCCCGCCAACCAATAGGGGCCTCACTCCTTCGAAGGCGAGGCACGCTCGCGGCGTAGCGCGGCGGCCCCGGCGCCCTTGCCCATAAGTCTCTGCGCCGAGGAGGATGGGCAGGCAGGGCCCGCCTGGTGTGCCGCGCTGGCCCGGCCCGCCCGCGAAAACGCGCAGGCCTGTGCTGGCTTCCTGTGTGTTCGGCCCCAGTTGGCCGGCGCCGGGCTTGCGAGCGGGTGGAAGCCCACAGGCGGGGGCGGCGGGTCGCGGTGTTGCTTGCACCGAGTTGGACCCCGGGCAGCTTGTCCCCCCACTGAAGCAGTGGGCCGGCCCCAGGGTGCCGGAGAAGGGCAGAACGCACTGCAGGCGCGCAGCGTTTTGATGAGGGGCGAGGGGCTGTGGGACAATGCCGCGGCCGGAATCGACCGACAAGCGGGCTGGAGACGTTGCGGGGGCGCCTGAACTGGTATCAGTGCCACCCCGAGCACCTAGGCGGAGCCGCGGAAAAGACTGACCCAAGCAAGGGGAGCGCGCGGGCGGGGCGGCCCCCAGTCGACTACCGCGACCGTGACGGCCTGCCGCTGCCCCGCCGCCGCAACGAAGCGTCGGCGGTGGTATTGACACACAAGGCAGCCCCGCCATGTTGGCGCGGGTAAGGCGATGGCCCTTTGACGTGGGTAGCGCGGGTAGCGCAAGCGCGCGCCAGGCTAGCGGCCCCGCGCGCTCTGCCGCCCGGCGTGTCCCGGGCGGGCCGGCCGTGCGCCGCCCGATTGCGGTAGGAAGGCACTGCCGCTAGGTCGGCGCAGATGGTCCATGCCCTGCCGGGCCTCCCCGCCCCGTCTATCTTCCGTTCGCGACCGCGCCGGGCCACCAGTCAGCAGGACTTCCTTGGCTGCCGTGCCGCGCAGGTCCCGCCCTTCGCCTGCGGTCTCTGCGCTGCGGCGCGTTGTATCCTCACGAACACAAATGCTTGCGAGAGCAAGAAGTACTGTGCCAAGTTTTGTTGTTCCGTGTGAAGATCACAAGCGTGCTCTATACAAGCGACCTGACAAACGGCAGCGACATTCAAATTTTTTCAGCTTTATCTGATTTCGCCCACAGAAGTTCAAATTTGCATGCAAATTTCCATAATATCAATCTTACGCAGTAGCAGATCTCCATTTATCACCGATTTTTTTTGTTAGCTTGCAGCGTTGTTTTGGTTTTCCTATTTTAATTCTTCGAACAGAACAAGATCAACATGGACAGAAATAAAAGGCAGTTCGAAATCCGTCTCTAGGAACTACATCTTGCTATATCCATCGCGCTCTTTTATTTTTCCTTCAGGTTCCTCTCTATTTTCATTGCTATCACAGGACAAGAAGTTCTTGTCAAGAACTATGCTATCTTAAAAAGAAGTTTCGTGATGTGCAGAAGACAAGGCCGTTTGAATACTACGAAATGAAAATTAGTTTGTCAAGTAATTCGTTCCCGGATGTTGTTGATTAGTGTAGAAAGAACCACGGATAGATTTATTCTCTCGCGAAAGCAGCATGCTTAGTTTTACCAGGCTAGATCAGTACAGCGAAGTGTTGATATTCAGGTGTGCCAATCATGAAAAAATGAAAACCGAAATAGTTGAAATTTTTTCAACATCCTGCCGCCCCAGCTATCTGAGAAATAAAAGGCGGAGCAGCAGTAGCAGCTGGCTGAAGTAGGGGGTCGCGCCAGGGCTCCAAACCGCGCAGCAGGAGACGAGCAACGACACAGACGGGAAAAAGCCATTGGCACTACAACTCGCCTCCAACATGGCAACGGCCTCAAGAAGCACGCGTTTGCGCCAGGACCGGCGCTCCTGGACCATAGCGACCGGCACGGCCATGATGCTCGTTCTTTCGCTGGCGGCTCAGCCTTACACGGACCTATTATTTGCGGCCGCGGTGGTGATGGTGCCCCTAAGGAACGCGAAAATGGTCTGTTTGAGCGGGCGCAGGGCTGGTGATGCTGGTCATGATGTGTTGCCGAGGCACCAAATAACACGACAACCTGTTTCTGCCGCACAAGAACCTGATACAACTAGACCACTGTGGTCTTCCTTTGTGCTGACGTCCTTCGCTTCTGACCTGTATAAGGCCATGCAGCGGACCGACGGGGAGCAAATCAAAAACCCCTTCACGACCATGATGAAAAGAAATCATATTCACAATGAGAAATACGAATATCGGGTGCCAAAGCTGATTTTCTTTTTTCGCCATTACGACTCTTGGGAGAACGGAATTCTTCGCATCGTGCTGAACAACTGGAAACCGCGGAAAAATATTGGAGATTGCGCCTCTACTACTTCGACAGGAAAGAAGAACACGAAGCTAAAGAACAAGTCCTCTTCTACTACACCCACTCCTTCAATTGGTGTTCATCAGAAACAAAAGTTTCTGCTGATGGACTTGATCAAGGTCCTCCATTTGCAGTCACGGCAGATTTCTGTGAAGACGTCGGGAGTCGCTACCACCCCTTCAGCAACACCAACAAGTGCCGAAGAAGCTACAGGACGAGGACCAACATCGGCTGCACAAGGTACCTAATTCATTCCCAATCTAGACAACAAACTCGAGACATCACATTCTAAGCATCACAGATAGGACTAGGTCGCGCAGCATTACTTGGCGCGAACCTCGTGAGGGCCGGAATGGGCTAACCACCTCTGTGGCCCCATTTTTGTTCTCCCGTGGCCAGCCCTCGCCTACAAAAATGGTGAACCCGGGGGAGCCGGACTAAGGACACAGCCAGTACCGACGCCAATGCCCACGCCGATGGCGATACGCAATGTGGAACGGAGGACTGCGCGTGTGCGTGTTTGTTCGACAAACGCGCGCGCGTTATTGCTGACTACCTGTCTTTATGTTTACACACTAGCAAGGCACATCCTGACGTCTATGACGCGAATGTATATGATTTAGCGGGCGCGTAGCCCCTCTCTCCGGCGACGCAATGGCCCGCCACTGCCCGCTAGCGACCTCTGTTGGGGAGGGTCCGGGACTTGTTGCAGCCTCTGTTGCACCCGGCGCTGTTACCTCTCTGTGCAGTGCTGGAGCACAGTTCGACCCACGTCTGTGGGCGGACAAGTGCGACGCCCCGCAGCCACCTCTGTGGCGCGGGCGTTGCGGTGCGGTCCCTGTTGCGCGCCCCGCGACTGTATTTAGTTGTACACAGGACGCTGCGAAGCAGCGCAGATGCACTTTGATACAGATCCGGAGTCCGCCACTGTGAAGGGTGTGACCTTGTGAAACATACGAACAGAGGAAGAAAGCGGTGAGCCCTTGGGGCGCCAGCACTGCGGAGATTTGGGAAGGAGTTTGTGTTCGCGCCATGATAAGCAAAATGCTACCCAAATCACATCATGGATCAGGTACCAACAGGGCGGAAGCAACAGGACGAGGACCAACATCGGCTGCAATTGAGTGTTCCAGCTGCGACCCGGCGTCTTCTGTGTCTGTATCATCAACGAGCTTGACCACACCTAGCGCAGGAAGTAGTTTTTCAGCAGGACCTGCTCAATTAGCGCCACCTGCTACAACCGACAACTCGTCCTCCTTCCCCGTCCTGAGCAACAACGGCGAGCCGCAGCTGAGGGCGTATTTGCTGCGAAAGGTGCAAAAGCTGTTCGCGGACTCCGGAAATCCGGTCAGTGAGCGGGATATGGCGGCGAAGCGGTTGAAGTTGGTGGAGTACCACCCGGACAACTTCGCGTTGCACTACGTGAAGGAAGGAGGGCGAGGGAGCAGCGATGGAGCTCATAGTTCTTCGCTGGAAGTAGTAGACAAGGACACTGGAAGAGAAGCAGCAAGAAGTGCAGTACAGCAATCAAGCACAACAACTCCATTGACAACTACTCCAGCGGCAAGTAGTTCAAGTTCCGCTAGTCCTGTCGTCTCTAGTCGCGGTCAGAACAACCAGGAGTTGTTCTCTCAGGGTTGTACTACTGCTGCAACAGCAACCGCGTCGACCTGCATGACCCCCGAAGAACGGGAAGATCATGCGGAAGGAGCGCAAGAATTGAAGGCGCGCTTGCTGCTGACGTTTATGGACTTTTTCTCCACAGGAGCTCCTGCAGATTCTTGTTCAGAGGACGATTTTGCTCTGGAACAACATGAAAGGCGGGATGACCGCGATCTTCTGCTTCCGGAGGCGGACGCTGCTAGGACAAGAACAGGAGAGCCGCGAGACGACGAACGACCCATAGCACTCCACGCGGATGACGACGAGATGGAGATGGGCACTGCTTCTAACCTCAGCTTCCGCGGACGGACCAACATCATACAGCACGAGTTGATGTACGTAGCCTGGCTTGCGGGCCTGCTAATCCCGAAGGTAGATGTGGTGGTCAAGAACGACGGCTCCGGGAGGGCACAAGAACAGCATGCAACTCCGGATGCGGCTGCCCCCGGCATTGTAGGAGACCCCTACAGGTCGAATTTTCTCGCGGAGCTAGCCAAATACGAGCAACGTGCCGAAGAGGAGTCCAACGTCGCCGGGGGAAAAATTACACCTCCTGCTACTCAACAGCAGCAGCAGGCGCGGGTGGCCGCAAGGGTCCGGGAGCTGCAGGAAACGCTAGAGCGAATCGCAGACGATGCGGAAAGACAGGGAAGTAGAAATAGTGCTGGTAAAAACTACGAAGCGGTCGACCACAGTGGAAAGTTCAGAGAACACCGGGTGATGATAGAAGATCACTGGGATAGCATCGAGGAAATGATGGGCCCGGATGGCGCCCTGACGGAGTACTTCCTCACGGCTCTGCTGAATAAAAAGCGGGCACCGGAAAAGCTCCAGCTCCTGGTGATCACGTGCCAAATGACCCTTGCGACCGTCACGAAATGGGTGCGGGGATGGCAGTATGCAGTGCAAAAACGTCGTTAACTAAAGTACTGGCATTTTTTGGCATCGCAAATTTGCTTAGCGTGGTGACAAATGCAATTTGTCATGTTGAATGATTTACCTGAGGAACGACTGAGTAGATGAGAAGAGCTGCATGCATATCTGCAATCAGTCCGAGGACTACTAACTTGCGATGCTTTTGCGTTGCATAGGCAGCGTCTCTTCCCGCAGGAACTAGATGAAGGGGATTTCGAATTCCTTTCGGACGAGGGGCTGGAAGAGGTTGTGGTGCCTGAAGACAGTATCTCTCAACAAGATAGTTGTGGAGAATCATCTCCATCAGCTGATGACGCCGCCAGTTTCTCCATGGATTCCGGGGACGAGGAGCTTTCTGGCATGGGTCGCCAAGAAGATGCACTAGACCAACGAACCGAACGAGATCAAGAAGAACCTGTAGATGAAGTACTATGTCCCGCCTGGTCGTCGCGCCAGCGGCGGCTGAAAAGAGATAGAGAGCGACAGAAAAGCGCAGAAAATAGTACCAGGTTCAAGCAGTACTTCTTCCGCGAAGTAGAAGTCGCTGGGGTGAAAAACAGCAAAATCCGCCGAAGGAAAGGCCGCTCATCGTCAGGGGTGGAACTACAACAAAACGAGAAAACCAACTCAAGCTGCTCCGACGCAGACTCCTCTCGTCCTTCAGTCTTCTCGGAAGTGGACTACACATCGGAACAAGATGTCGCGTTCTTATCAGGGCCACGCCGTGCTTCGGAGGACGACGTCGAGGATTATCAGGACTTGCACAAAATGAAAATAAACGCTGATGGGACCACTGCAAGCAGTGCAGCTGGCGCAAGAACGATCAAATCCACTTCGCGATCGCGATCCCGCAGCAGTAGAAGGAGGAGTGCAAGTGCTAGAAGTCGAACAGAACAAATGAAAGAAAGACCAGAATCTGCTACACCTGAGAAACTAGCACGAAAGAACAGAAAAAGACAGTGGAAAAATAGTTCATCATCTTCCCCGAAGTCGAAGACCAACAGGAGACGTGTGGCACCTCCACAGAAGAAGATCAAGCGTGTTCCTCTGCAAAAGCGGTTTGTGAAGGTGACACTGAATGAGAACACGGAGGTGATTTTCCTCCTCACCGAGTCCAGCATTCATTGGGGCAGCTTCGAAGTAGGAAATGGTTCTTGTGCACTTCGTGAAGTAGATCGGAGATGGGGCGGTGCCCGGCGGCAAGAACTACGTGGCGCTTCCACCGGTCCGGCTGCAGTACAACTAGAGGAGGCCCAGGTCGTGCGTAACAGGAGTTCCCCGGAAGTAGATCACCTGCGGGTCGCGCCATCCTGTCGCCGACCACGCTCGCAACCAGAAGCTGCCCACGACGACCCTGCGCCAGTGCATTTTTATGGAGGTGCACGAAGTTGTGAATCTACCTCTCCTTGCGCCCCTTTTCCATACGCGCGTAGTTCTTGTCACGTCTTGTCCCTCGCCCCGCACGGAGATGAACATCGGGCTTTTCTACCCGCTCCAAGAGAACCAGGATCTTCGTGCCATGCACCTCAACACCCCCGGCGAAAAAACACAAAAAAGGGGGGGCCGCGACGAGAAGATGATCCCAGTCTTGTGCCACTTCTGGCTGCCACGAGGAAAGAAATCGGTCATCCAAACCCGCTGCAATTGGAAACGGAAACAATTCTCTCCTGGCTTAGGGGTGGGGACGAGTTTAACTGAAATTTCCACTTGTGAACTATGTATAAGAAACAGAAAGTACTTTTATTATTTTGCCGCGTATCAGTCGCGCGTATGCGTAATAGTACTAAAACTGAAAATTTAAATTTGTAGAGTCTACTGCGTAGGCGTAGTATCTTTCACGACAGCATAATTGACAAAATGCACACTGTATTTCGCGTAGATGTATTGTTTTCTTGCAGGTGCAGGGTTTCGGTTTGTACTTACCAACAGGAAGCAGAATCGATGTTGCAGTAGAGCAAGGACGCTCATGGGCTCGGAAGCCATCACCTGCAAGACCAAGACCCTATGTGCACGACGAACTGTTCATGATTGAGAAATGGAAAAAATCGAACCATGCACCAACTTGTTTCTGGAAAGACGTTTATATCTATGTTGTGATCTGTGCAATAGATGAATTGGAATTGCATTTTCAGGACTCTACGCCCTCGTGTTCGCAGCCGTTGCCGTGGCAACGCAGCTCCGGAAGATGGTGGCACAATCATTCCAGTTCTTGTTCAGCGCTCTCTCGTCAACGAGTCTACTAGTTGTGTCTTCAGTCTTCCGTTTTTTATTTCCAGCGACGCTGGTGGCAGCTTCCCTTGAACCTCGAATACTAGAAGTAGCTGTAGCAACTGCTACTTCAAGCCTTGTGTCGCTTGTTGTCCGAAGCTGCATCAACCATATTTTGCATCTAGATATTTTTGAGCGAGCTGCGCGAAACGATCAAGAATCAACATCGATAAGTTTTATCCTCTGCATTCAGCAGCAATAAAGGTCCGTATTAGTATAGTAGACAACACATCAGACACAGAGCCACATTATCATACAGACCACAGCCACCTTATTTCGTTGCTCTGCCCCGCATGATTTTGATGTATCCCCACTAAATACATCTACAGGCAACCTCAACATGTTGTTGTGCTCGTGAGGTATTTCCTTTGAATCCCATTCATGATCATTCTTTTGCCATTTTATATTCAAAGTTATTGGAAATTTGATATCCATTTTAGAGGGTAGCAAGTTACTCACATCTACATTTGTGTGGTTTTTTTTTGTGACCCTACTACGTAGAGCGTTACGAAAAAGTGGTGGTATTGTTACAACAACAGGTCGATATATTCGAATCGTATACATAGGTAGTAGTTCTTGTACAGACACTCTGGCGCCAGCCCCACGTCTCATGTTGCTCGCACGATAATTTTGATATCAGGCGCCAGCACTTCATTTTCACATGGTAAAAAAAACCGGAAGAATTAATCTCCGCAGGAGCGGAAAACAAGCACCAGCAGCGTGATAGCACTCTCGGCGGGGGTGGCCCTTGATTTGATGACCACTCGGGACAACAATTTTTCAACATCTGTAGTTGCCTGGTCGAAGTTCTTCGATACCAGTGCTGCATCCGTCAATGGCTTTGGCAAAAAGCCACCGCGAACTACTCGTGGTAGAGAAGCAGGGACAAAGAACTGCGACAGGTGGCTTACAATTACAACGGCCTGTATCGATTCTTGTGTGCGACCACAAGTTTCAGTTTCAGTTTCATCGATCAGCAACACAGAACAACTCCCGCCCGCGCCGAACTACGAGACGCGTGCTGGTCACCGTTGGCGGTAGCAATTGATAATTGGCTCTACTTTACGGCGAGAAGCTGAATGATTAGCGCCAGCCTACGGTAGCCCGAGAGTCATCTGACTAAAGCCTGATAAGTCATTTACGTTCACAAGAACCTGTCGCTGAACGAAGATGGATTGGTATGGCGAGGCTGCTGGCGGTGGCGCAGGAGCAGCAGCTTCCACGACCGCCTCCTCGGGCAAGGCCAACAAAGCCGGGGCCGGTGGCGGAGCAGCGGGGTGGACATCAAGTAGTAGTGCCGCTGCACCTGCCGGAACAACATCCACCACGGACGACCCTGTGTATAACCAGTGGGCTTCTGAGGCGGCTGCGTGGGCGACCGCGCAAGGCTTGGCCATGAACCCCTCTGGCCCTGCCGCCGCGGCGGTTGCCGCACAGCAGGCCGCGGCAGCGGCGAGTAGTAGTGGTACCGGTACGAGCACCAGTGCTTCGGGGCCTGTAAGTGGTGCCAGCTCAGGTGCGGCGAGTAGCAGCACAACTACTGGAGGTGGAGCGGCTGCTGCGACAAATAACGCAACCAACAATAAGGAGACCAGTGGTACAAGTGCGAGCAAAGCAGACCAAACTACTTCCGGAACGGGACCGACGCATGCAACGGGCGGTAAAAACAACAACACAACAAAGGGCGGCGGCAAGGGGAGCAAGAAGGGTTCGAAAAAACCGCCAACGGGCACGGCAATCAATTTTCACATTCCGGAGGGGGAGGCGCTGCCGATCGACGCGTTCAAAAGACGCATCGTTCGCCATTTTTTAAGGCACCGAATCACCTGCATTCAGGGGGATACAGGTATAAAAACTTGCTATGCGGTATTGATAGTGAAGGTGTAGGTCTTCACCGCAAATAGATTGTCAATGTGCACAGCATGCCGTCAACCACATGAACCGAATCAAAAAATCCACACGACAGGTTGCGGTAAGTCCACCCGGGTCCCGGTGTATCTGAAGGAGATGTGGGACGCCGGACTGATGCATAACCCGCGGTTGCTCTCCCAGTACGAAGAGCAGACCGGGCTGGCCCACACGAATTCCGCGGACCCCAACTCCGCCAGCGTATCAAATGTAAAAGTGTCTGGGTCTGGAAAAGTTCAAACTTGTCATGCAGATTTTCCATGACCCGCGAAGTCTGGAATGCGGGACTTAGCATGACAGACTCTGCGAGGTCTCTGCCATGCCTATCCTGCATGAGAAACTCCCCTCCAACTTGGTCAAAAGTGGACAGCTTTCGGCACTCATGCAACACAGATTTTTGCATGCTTCAGATTTACCATGACAAGTTGGATTCTTCCAGACCCAGACACTTTTACAATCCATACAGCGCCGACCCGGACAATTTAGACCCGTTGATGCATTCCTCTTCCGGCACGTTTGGGTCCGCAGTCGCCGGCACGCCGGGCATCGCGAACCCCATCGAGGTATCAAATGCAAAAATGTCTGGATCTGGAAGATTCTGAGACTTGTCATGCACGTTTTGCATGAGTCATGATGTCTGGTGTGATGCATACCCTAGCAATACAGATTTTTTGAGGGCTTCTTGATGCGTATTCCGCATGACAGATGCCTTCTCAGCGTAGCAAGAATTGCATTTCCTTTGGTACTAATGCAATACAGATTTTTTTGGAATCCAAATGCAGCATCACAAGTTGCATTCTTCCAGACCCAGACATTTTTACATTTGATACGAGGCCATCAACGACACGGTGGACAAGCACGCCATGATGTCGGTCCCCCCGCGGCTTAAAGTGCTGGTCACGCAGCCCAGGCGGATTGCGTGCATTTCTTTAGCGAAGCGGGTGGCGTCCGTACTGGGGGAGGAGCTCGGGAACTCCGTCGGGTACCAAATCAGCGGAGACACGGCGGTGAAGAAGCACACCCAGATTGTCTTCGTCACCACAGGGTATTTATTACAGGTAGTCGTGAACAACCCAGAGCGGCTCAACGACTACTCGCACATCGTCCTGGACGAAGTGCACGAGCGCGACATTGACGCGGACCTGGTGAATCTGGTCGTGAAATTACAAATGCAATCCGCGCAGTTCCGGTTAGTTATCATGTCCGCCACCTTGCAGGGCGACCTGTTCGGCCGCTACTTCTGCGGGGGCAGAAGACGCGTGAACCCGATTCAGGTCGGGGCCAAGCGGTTTGACGTGGAGGAGGTACACTTGGACGAACTGCACGACCGGTACACGTTCTCGCCGGAGTCGACAGACGCGATTAGGAACGGGACTTACCAGTTCAAGGACTTCCGGTCTATGGGCGGTGGGGGAGGTGCTGGAAACAACAACAATTACCTCCAAAACACCGCAGCAGCCGCTCAGGATCCGAACCAGCAGCTCAGCGCTTATTCGGCGAACCTGCAGGCGCAGTTGAACAACTCTCTGGGGTATGGGAATAATAATCAACAGCAACCCGAATCGTCTCTGCTCGACCAAAACAGCGATACGGAAGACGAGGCAGAAACTTCCGCGATGAATGCCGGGAGCGGGAACGCGACGAACCACGCGACCCAGGGCGTGAATTTGAACAAGTTCGGAAAATTCGGCAAGTTCAGCAACCACCGGGGGCAGAGAATGCCGCACGCCACGATCACGAAGGATTTTGAGTTGGTTGTGAAGGAGATTATCATGCAGTCGGCCAAGGGCGGCGAGGGGATTTTGGTGTTTCTGCCGGGTATAGGCGAAATTACGGAGTTGCACGACCAATTACTCCCATTGGAACAAATTGGCGGAGGCAATCACAATAACGCGGGGATGCGGTATGATCAAACACTCCTGATTTTAGACACGATAGCGTTTGTTTTGTTTTGGATACTTAAACTCCTGTCGTACTAGTCGTTGCGTACTAGACACCATACCATTTTCCTGCATTGGAAGATGAGCTACATATTACGCGCGGAGCACTCATACTCAACTGGGTTGTTTCAAAAAGCTTGCAACGCGAACGCATGAAAAATTTCTTCTACACTTCTGTTTAGCATGACAAATTCTTCTTCATCAGGTACCGCATTTTCGTCCTGCACTCCTTGATTCCGAAAGACGAGCAGGAGTCCGCTGTTTTTTCCCTATCCAGTGCGAAAGTTGGATCGTGCTCCGGGGCATTGAAATCCTGCATGAGCAGAGATCTTTCGTCTATAAGTGACCTCCCAGCATTACAAATTGCAATTCGACTTTTCTTCACCAACAACTCGAAAATAAAATTTGTATTGCATTTTGTGCTATTACTAGCTGACACAACTTTTGCACTGCATACTCCCCCCCGGACAGCAACAGTTGCCACGTGATTCTCGCCAGTAACATTGCCGAATCCTCGCTGACGATCCCAAATATCCGGTTCGTCATTGACTTCGGGTTGCGCCGCCAGCTCATTTACGATTCCCGGCGGCACATGAGCTGTTTGTCCACCACCTGGGTCTCGCAGGCGTCGGTGAAGCAGCGCATGGGACGCACAGGGCGTGTCTTCGCCGGGACGAACATCAGGCTGTACACACGGGGGTTCTACGAGCAACTGCCGGAATTTGACGCACCCGAGATGGAGACCGCACCTTTAGAGAAGTTGTACGTCAACGTGAAATTCCTGGCCGCGAAACTCTATGCTATGTAAAAACGGTTCCACCCCGTAGTTGCCATGCAGAATTGCATCTACAGAAATATCTGTGATGCGCATTTACATATAGAGAAATTGAATCTGTAATCGGTTTCTGATATTTGTAATGCTGTAAACAGGATGAGGAGAGGTCTTTGTGATGCGCCTGTCCTTTCCAAACAGGACTATACTACAGACGGAAACTTGTCATGCAGAACTTCCAAAGCCTGGAGACTTGTGTTGCAGATTATTCAACTTGACTATCTGGTGGGAGCGTTTTTACCCAGAATAAACTCCCCCCCTTCCCCATCCCGGACGACCCGAACAACCCGACCAGCGGGATCCCGGTGGCACGGAAGCTGAAGCCCCGGGAGCTGCTCCGGTTAACGGCGCAGCCGCCAGATACGAGCGCGCTGGAACGGTCGATTGCTACTCTCGTCGAGATGGGCGCGTTGACCTCGAACAACGAGGAGGCGGAGCTGTCCCTCCTCGGGCATCTCATGCTCACACTCCCCCTGGACATCTACCTCTGCCGTCTGGTGGTGTACGGGGCTTTGTTCGGGTGTATAGGTGATGCGATTGTCATCGCCTCTGCTTTATCGACGCAAGACCCTTTCACGCTCCCGACGCATTTGGTGATCAAGGACCAAACGGAGTACGCGCAGGCGATTAAACGGTCCTACTTATCCCGGAAGCACTTCGACGCGGGCCAGTACTCGGAACCGCTGATGCTCCGGAATCTTTTCGTCCAGTGGATGGCGGATTTTTACCTCTTCAAGCAGAAGCAGTTCTCCCACAGAAGGGGGTACGTGCAGGAAAACCACCGCGCGAGCTTCACGAAATTCTCCCAAAACTTTTCCCGCCATTACGCTGTGGTGCCGAAGCGGTGCGTACATTTGTGTATGAACGTGCTGGACACGGCCACCCGGTTCAAGAAGTTCGTGCACCGCGATTCGCAGCTGCATGACGACATTAATAAATTGATTTGCCTTCTCAGTCCGTACTACTACGAGGAAGCCAAGCCCTCGGAACTGTTCAACACCCCATCACACATTTTAAAGTCCCTTCTGCTCGCGTCGTTCTCGCCGAACTTACTGATCGGCAACACGAAGATCCGGGACACGGAAAACCCAAAAAGGAAGAAGCCCGGGCCGCACAGCCAGCCGGAAAATTTGAACGCGAAAGAGCAGTTGCTGCAGGACATGTTGTTTAAGGGGTTGGACTAGCAAATGCAAAAATGTCTGGGTCTGGAAGAATGCACCTTGTGATGCTGCATTTGAATTCCAAAAAAATCTGCATTGCATGAGCAGCAAAGGGAACGCGATTTTTGCTACGCGGAAAGGGCATTTGTCATGCGGAATGGGCATCAAGATGCCCTCAAAACATCTGTGATGCTAGGGCATGCATCACAGACATCATGGCTCATGCAAAACGTGCACCACAAGTCTAAGAACCTTCCAGACCCAGACATATTTGCATTTGATATAGACCCGCGCCGGGCGGTTCAGATGGTGATGGAGATTCCGAAGGACATTGAGAGCCGGGAGACGATGAAAGAGGATTTACAGCAAACCTTCGCCGAGATGATGAGTTGCAACCCGCGGGACATTATCATCTACCTGGAGCCCGACTGGAAAAAGCTGTACATCGAGTTTAAAACGGACTCCCAAGTCAACACCCCAGACGAAGATTGCTACCCCCCGGCCGCGGGCGACCCGAGTGTCATGGCTGCAGAAGGGGATGCGGCCGGGGCCGGCGGGGTTGGCGGGGATTTATACGCCGGAGCAATGGGCGGATACTATGCACAGTATTGAATGTGGATGTCTTTGTGTCTTTGGTTTTTGGATCTGTGATGCTGAACACGCGTGAACTTCTGGCAAGTATTGTGTACAAGAACGTTACGGTGTCCATCATGATGTCGTGCAGCTTCTGATTGACTATGTGAATCTGTCATGCAGACATATCACATGACCACCATTTATTGATTGTTTAACTCCTCCAAATCAGGAATTCTGCTCGGGACAATGGGATTTTTCCACAGCTCACGACCATTTGCCAGATGGAGACGGGCAAGCTTTCGGACATCCAGACTCTGCCGCTCGGCGCGCAATTGATCGACATGTTCGGGTCCGGCAGGTTTAAATTCCATGCCAAGTTAGTCGAAGCGACTTTTCAGTACGAGGACCGGTACAATGAGAACAAGCAAAACGCGGTGATTCCCCTCGGTAACGCCCCGACCACCGCGGCGGCCCCCGGACTCGGCCCGAATCCGGCTTCTGCCGTAACGGCGTCCAAGGAGCAGGCGAACACGGCGAGCAACAATTGGGTGGACGAATTTTACAACGAGGCCCCGGATTACTACAATTACCGGAACAATTGGGGGGAAGCGGACGGCGCGGTGGACGGGGGAAATAACATGGGCGGTATGGGGGGACACCACAACAGCAACGACATTTACTTGAACTTTTTCAAGCCGATTTCGCCGTTCGAAATTTGCTGGGACGTGTACTCGAATGAAAACATGCTGACGACGGAGAATTACGAAGAGCTGCGCGGCGAGGAATACGGAAAAGCGGTCGCACTGCAGGAAGGCGGGAAAAAGGCAAAGAAGAAGGACGTGGTAGGAGTTGTAAATCGTTTTTGTGAATGAATAAAGATGCTTTTCATTTGTGGTTGTGATGCAAAGTTGTACTCGCTTCTACATGAAATCACCATTAGCCAAGTGTTTTTTCATTGATGCATAGATTCCTTCTTGTCCTGACCCTGAGAAAGAACCCCATTATCCATGTCGCTCAACATCTTATCTATCAGGTTCGTCTGATGGAGCAAATGCAGCGCAAGAAGATCAAGCCGATCAAGGGGAACTGCACCTGGCGTAACGCGCTCGGCGCCATGACCTCGTGTAACCTCACCAAAATGGAGCCCGAACTCACGGAGTACTTGGACGAGCAGCAGTTCTCGTCCAATCGCCGGCCCAGGTGGCAGCTCCCCGCGATCCAACCCCCGATTCCAAACGAGATTATCGCCTGCTACACGAGTCAGCAGGGCGCGTCGGACAATTTTCAGGGAGCGAATGCGCAGACCGGGCAAAACGCGATCCAGAATGTGTGGCTGGACGGGGTGACGGTGTTGAGCTGCAATTTCTACGACAAAACGCTGGGGGAGTCAGTGTCGAACTCGGAACCGAACGAGTCGGCGACCGACAATCCAGCGAATGTGGAATCTTTATACGCGACCGTGCTGATGCTCTGCTTCTGCCCCAGCAACTACGCGGTAAGTACTTGTTACAAGGGAGGTGGTGTTTTGTCATGCTGAAAATAGTACACGCATTTGCTGATCGTATTTCACAATTTGGCTGTCCGCATGACAAATTTTTGTCCGAAGTTAAGAAATGACCTCGCAAATAATCATCAGGTGAACGTGTCCGGTAGTTTCGATACCGGCCGTATTTCCAAGATCGAGATCGGATCCCACGCCCCGCTCCGCTGCTCGACCCCAGACAAAACCACCCACTTGCACATAAAGGACATTGAGCGGGTGAACCGGTTGCGAAAAATCATCTCCGACGCTTTTCTCGGCCGCGACACCAACAACCAGGACGCGCTGAACAACTTAGTTGGGGGCATGACGAAGAAGAAAAAGAAGCAGAAAATTGTGAACCAATACGGTGAGGAAGTGCCGTACAACGAGCAGAATGACCAGGGGGGCTATTTAGACGCGTACGGGAACCAACGCGGTGGTGGGCAAGGAGGCTACGGTGTCAACAACTACGTCGTGCCGACCGAGTCGAACGACAGCGAGGTTGCGGGGTTGGAGGTCCCCATGCTGGTGGATTCCCCGAACGTCCGGAAGTCGTTGGAAGAGTTGTTAAGCTCCATCGGACAGGGCCCCAAGTATTGCCCCGAGATGCCGGACGAAATGGACTTTTCCTTCAAAAATCTGGATATTCACAACCTGAAACACTACTACGACTTCAGTCTCTACAATGCGGATCTGCAGCCGTCCATCGTGACCGGGGTCACGCATGGGTTTGATATTCCAACGAAGGTATAGTCTGCATTGCAAAATTATATGTCTCGGTGTGGATTTGCCATGCTCTTGCTCATGCGAAATTTGAAAGGCAGCGAGATCTGTAATGCAGGAATACGAATGAACATGAAGTGAAGACTTCACAACAAAAAAGGTAAAACGCGCCTCCAGCAAGGCCGCCGCAGAGCCCACTCAACCCGTAGCAAGCCAGTTCGGCGGGGTGGCCCAGGTTGCGCAGAAGCAGCCGAAACCGACCTTGTCCAAAATTCCGCCCACTTCCGCGGAATCACTGATTGAATCGGAATATTTCCAGAAACTGTTCGTGAAGCCCTACCACAAAAACCCGTTGTACAACTGTCCCAAACTTCCGATCAAGACCATCCAATACCCCAATCCGGACTATTACCCCGACGCCGCCTGGTGGGGCTACGGCGCGAACAGCATCTACGCGAATCCGTATTTGACGTATGTGAACGACCCACAGAACTCCCTCGATAACTTCCGACTATTAAAGCCCGCGGTCTCCCTGGAAGCGATCCGGAACATACGGATTGCGGTTTTGCGGGAGCAGCGCGGAGCGGACTACTACGCGAACCAGATGGGCGGAGTGAATAACATGGGGCGGAAGGGTGGCGGGGCGAACGCCGGGCTAATTGACAACGGCGGGAAAGGCCCGCCGGGGACGAAGCTGAACCCGAACCAGCTGAAGATTTCCACCGCGAATCCCAGGTACGCGGACAGCTTACGGAAACAAATCGCCGGATTCGACCTGGAGCCGACCCAGATCTCCACGAAGGCGAAGCAAGCAGCCGGTCTCGGCGGTCCGGCGGTGCAATTACCGTCGACTCTACCCGGCGGGTACGCCGCAATGACGTCCACTGGGCACGCACCAGGAACTACTGCTAGTGCCGGGGGACCTCCCTCCGGCGGGTTGAAACCGATCCCGAAGAACGCGCAGGGACTCGCAAACCACGTGCTGTCACAAAACCACGGAGCCATGTCGCTTTCGATATGCATTGCAAAAGTATCGTGCTCGTACTAGATTGCGGCTATGCATTGCAAATCTTCTTGTTAAGGTAAAACAGCATGACATCAAACTCCATTTCTCATGCAGAGCGGATTTGTGTTGCAATATCCTAGTACCAGTTGTACTAGTACTTACGATACTTTTGTGATGCATAATCGAATCAGGGCAACATCAACAACCCTCTGTCCGCCATCAATCCGACGCAGACAGGTGGGTTTGGCAACATGGCCAACATCGGACAGTCCAATGCGAATTCCACCTGCATTCAGCAAAACGCGCTCGCGCAGCAGGTGCAGTCGTGCTACAAAACGTTCGTGAAGAAGATCGACAACGCGGGCGGGGAGGATTACGTGAAGGGCAGACTGTATGGAAGCGTCACGATTGAAATCGTCAAAGTTGAAATAGTTTGTGATGCATAAAATGCAACGCAGAGATTGCCTCTATTGCAGAGGACGCAAGGGAGGGAAATTGTAGTGCTGGCAAGGGTCGAGAATTGGGCTGCTGACTAGCATCACAGAGGGGAGTCCCTTTGCCCTGAACAGCATGAAAAACTGGCTTCCGGTACGGACAAAATTTGTCATGCACCGACTAGAAACTGCGTGTCCAACTGGTATCCATTTTATGCATGGCAAACTATTTCAACTTTGTCGATTTCAAACCTGACGCTTCCATAGACTGATCAAGGAAATCGACGTGGAGAATTGGGATGAGGCGTCGGACGAGGATAATTTAGCGGATAACCTCGACGAGGACCAAACGCCGGCTAACACCAGTGAAAAAAATGATTTCGATTCGGAGGCGACGCCACAGAATCTGGATAAGGATAATCACCTCAACGTCTCGTTGCAGCAGAGTCAAACCGGTGCGGGATCGAACCAATCGTCACCCAACAAACCGCCGGGGTTGACCGCAACTGCCTCCGGTGGCAACGTTCTAGCGGGAAAAAAAGGACCCCCAGCTGCAGGAAGTGGCGTTGTTTCATCTGCGGGTAAGGGAGCTGGTGCTGGCGGAGCAGGGCTGATGTCCGGGAAAAAAGGCGGACCTGCTCCAGGTGTCCTTGGAGCTCCGGGGAAATCAAAGGGAGCAGTGAATCAGCAAATTGACCTGGTGGGAGCTGCTGCTGGTGGTAATATGCAACATCATCATGTAGCTGCAGGTGGCCCACCTCCGGGAATTTCAGCTTTGCCGGCGGACTCAGTCTTGAACACGACAAATGAGGACGACGATTCCTCGGATGACGAAGAAGACACGCACGTCATTCTCAACCACAACCCGATGAAGGGCGCCAACACTTCCACCGGCGGGCTGTACCAGGGGTACGGGAATGCGTATGGCCACCCAACCAGCCACCATTCCTGGGGCAAAAACGCGTCGACCCGACCCGGTCCGGGGAAGAACGCGTGGGGAGCTGGTGCAAGTGTGCACCAGCAGTACCCGGGGCCCCCGCCGAGCGGCGCGAGCTCCATGAAAGGAGGAGAGCAACAAGCGTACGGTGGGACGAAAGGAGGTGCTGGGATGAACAAGGGAGCGGCAGGCGGGGACCCGTGGGCAACGGCACCGACGGGAGGGAAGAAAGGTGCTGCAAACAACAACGCATCCACCTGGGGTGCTCCGCTTGGTGGAGCTGCTGCTGCTGCTGCTGCACAGCAAGGCCAGCACCACAACTGGGACCAGTGGTCCGAAGGTGGCGGGCAGGGCCAGTGGGGAACGGCTGCTGCCGGTGGCTGGGGAGCGGCGTCTGGAGCTGTGCAAAACGGGGGGACTGGTAGCAAAAAGGGTTCCATCAACGCCCCTCCGGGGATGGGACCGCCCAGTCAGCCGAGCAGTAAGCAAACGACGGCACAAAACACCACATCCGTATGCATTGCAAAAGTATCGCACTCGCAGTAATTGCATTTATGCATTACAAATTGCTTTCTTAAGCACAACCCGCATGACCAATTCCCTTCTGCTTCCTTGTGGTGAGCAAATTTGTAATGCAGTCACTACTAATACGATACTTTTGTAATGCATACTCTGCTTCCTCCGACAACTGGGGCGCGGTGGCGCAACGCGCGGCGACGGCCAACGCCTCGGGCGGATGGGGTGCGTCAACTGGTGGCTGGGGCGCGGCAAACAGTTCCTCTGCCACTCAGAACGGTGGAACGGGTACTACTTCATCGGGGAAGAAGGGGAAGGGAAAGAAAGGACAACAACAGCACAACCAGAACCACAATTCCGCATCTACAACTGCTGCAGCCGGCGCGCAGCACGGCGCCACCCCCGCACCCCCGACGCAGCAACCGCCGATGGCCCCGGGTTTGGAGGGGTACGGACATGAACACCAGCACAGTGCCGAACACACCACGTACGACCACTACGGAAATCCCATTGTCGCTTCCCACCACCACACTGCCGCTGCGGCCGCAGCCGCGGCTGCGCACCACGGCTACGCCACGGCGGCTGCGCACCACGGGGCGGAACACCATCATGCTGGCAGCTTGGAGGACCACGTTGGGGCAGGGGAGGAGGAAGACTGGGACCCGACGCAACCCTGGGGCGCGGCCGCAGCAGCAGCCGCAACCGCGGCGCACGGGCACCACGGTGGTTACTACGCGGCCAAGTCGTCCCAAGTGTATGGGCAATATGCCGCTGCCGCGGCGCACCAGGCCCACGCGGTCGCCGCGCACCAGCAGCAGCTCGCAGCGAACATGCACGCGGCCGGCGGCGGCAAGTTTGGCGCAGCTGCAGCCGGGGCGCACGCGGCGAGCGGGGTGAGTAAGATGCGGAACAACTACCCCTCTAGTGCCGCTCATTACGGCGCAGGAGCCGGGAAGGGCGGAAACAGCAGTAGTACCTCTGCGGCTGCCGCGGCGGCAGCGGCGGCCCACTGGGGAACCACAGCGGCAGCGGCTCACCACGCGGCGCACGCGGAAGGCGAGGCTGCCGCGCCGTATCACGACCCGATGCAGTACTGGGGCGCGGCGGATCAAGCTGCGGATCCCTGGAGCACCGCTGCGGCGGCGGCGGTCGTGCCACCGACGGTGCCGGCGCACGGGGGTGGTGCGGGGCATCACTCGACCTTCAAGTCCTCGGAAAACTCGTCGAAGAATTCGCAACAATCGCTGGATCCCAACGCCCCCATTCCGGAGGGATGGAAGGCGGCACAGGACCCGAAAACGGGGAGAACGTATTACTGGAACGTGCGGACAAAGGAAACGCAGTGGAAAAAACCCGCACCGGAAGCGGTGGGAGCGGAGACGCAGAGTGGAAGCAAGGTATAGGATTTTGGTGATCCATGGTCTTAGTCGGTGTGACTGTGAGGAGGCATATACTGATGTGCATCTACTCTATACGATCACTTCGATTCTTTGACGCATTATAAATTTCTAAATTTTGGAATGTAAGTCTCTGTAGTATGTTTTCCTGCATGTTAACAAAATCCCTCTCGTCTCTATCAGATGACCGCCGCTGCCGCCGAGTTTGTTCCGGGTGGGGCCGCGGCCTCCGCCGCCGCAGCTACTAGTACTGAAGCGGCCGGTGCAAAAGCCGGTGCTGCTGCGGGGTACGACGAGTGGGGCGCGGCGCAAGACTGGACTAGTGCGTACAGTAACGCGGCGTACGCGGTCTACGGGGGGCACCAACCGTACGCGACAATCAATCCGGAGTACACGATGTGAGGATTGATTCAAGATGATATTTTCGAAGAATTTTGATTTTAGAGGAACTGAAGAAACAAGAGCCGATAAGGATAAACACCTTGTCGCACGAAAAACGAGGAGGCTCTCGCAGAAAAACAAAAATCATCGGGTGTTGTGGTGCGAGAATCGGGGCAAGAGCAAATCTAAAAAACTGGGTTTTTTTTGAAGAAGAAGATGACGACTTTATGTCACAATCTGCAGGCTAAACCTAAAGCTGAGAACGAACCGTTTCTTATTCTTTCGCACTACAGCACTCAGCATTACGAAACCTCATATTTTCATCTGGACTGTAGGTCTAAAAGTAAAGACGCTTCTGAGCCAAAGCGTGCCAAGACCCCCGCATGACAAGGTTTCATTGTCCATGTGGTTGGCGCGCTGGTTTTTACGGAGGCTCTTTTTGCTTTTATTTCTGCTTTCCAAACTACAACTATTACGCTCTGACTCTGTGTACTTCTCACCACTTGTTTTTAAGAACAGGAATCTATTCCTCGTTCAATTTCCCATAGCTTTGCTGTGATTTGCTCCTCTCAGGAATGGAAAACAGCAAGTTAATACGGGGACAAAATTACAGCACGTTGTAACATAATCGACGGCCACTTTTATCTGCGATTGCGCTCTGCTATGGAGTGTGAGAGCAGATGGCAGCGTTGTCGGATATTATACAAGTTGCTGCGACCACCACAGCACAACCCCAATCCCTTTTACAAGTTCGATATTTTTCACGTATTCAAGACCGAAATAGATACCGAAAAAAGATGTATTGCTTGATACAGCTGCTCGCGCCACGTATTCCAATTTCTATTTGATTATACTCTGGCTACTTGTTGAACAAAATTAAATTTCCATTGACTTGACAATTTCTACCGATGTTTTCATCATCCACGAGGAAATTATATGCAAAACTCGATATGGATATTATCTAGCATGAGCTGCAAGGAGCTCTGCAACTTGTACCTAATTTTTTACCGCCAAACCTGTGGTCTTTACGGCCACAGCAAGTTCTGTACTGATTGTTTCAGAAGATGAGGATGTTTATGAATATCTCAGGTTGCTGGTACAGCCCGTTCTTTGATGATACTAGGGCAGATACAGGTTTATTTCGAGAAGATTTGATTACTTTTTTTCATTATTCATGGTCCGGTTTAGCGCATGAGGTTGTTATTGGAAGTAATATGGTGAAATTCACGATTTTACTTCTCGAACACCGGAAGCGAGGTGATCACTCTCTTGTCATAAGCTGCTGCTTCTAATTCTATCCAAGCAACGGCGGTTCCTTGTGACCCTGTTCAGTTGTTTTCTCATCTACTCGACAGGTCTGACCGTGGCTGACGACCTCAAAAAAGCACGCCACAAAAAAAAACCAAAACCGATCACTCTGCTTCACACTTTACTTCTTTCTATGATTACTTTTACTTTGATAACTAATTACACTGACTACTTTGTTGTATGGGTCTTTTTACCATCTCGGAGTTCGACCATAAAATTGTTGCTTCGCCTGTCTGTCTACAGCAGTATCAATCTCAGTTATCTTTCGACGACAAATTATTACACAACACTTGACCGGAGAAGCTGCGTGCTGTGACCGGAACTACATGTTGACTCAAGAACCTATTCAGCTGATTTTTATTTCAATCGAGAACCGAAAAAGCGAAAAAAGAAAAACCTTGAAGGGACCAGGGGCTCCTGCAGTCGTCGAAATGAAGAAACTGTAACTAATCTTCATCTTCGAATGCTGAGGCATCGATCAGAGTGTTCCACACACACCAGTGCCAGAACGAGCGAAACCAAATTGTGAAGCGAGCTGCTGACGAAATGGGCAAGCTCGGGATTGATTAAAGGCTGGCGATTGGGGGGCTTTCGACGTTTTCCACTACGCGCGCCCTGCGTATCTCAATGCGCCCAAGGGTAACGAGGCGCCCGCGCAGTGTGGGGGCCAAGGATCGGCCGCCCAACCATTGGGGCCGTCCTCCATTCCGTGCCTGCGCGCTTGCCCGGGCGGCCTCCACGGCGGTGGCAGGGTGCTGCGCGCGGACAAGCTGGCGCCCGCAAGATTTGGCGGGGCGCCGCGCCTTTCTTTGCGGCCCTGCGCGCTATTGTTGGCATGGGCAGCCGCGGGACACATGCCGCGCAGCGTTTTGCGGAAGCAAAGGGGCGGCCCGCCGCGGAAGGGCGTCGCCCGCCAGGGAGCCGGGCCGACGCGACCCCGGCCTACGCCGGCCCGCCCTCTCTGTGTTTGTGCAGACCGCGGCGCCCCGGCGGTACAGGGGGGGGCGGGGCCGCGGCTGACAAGGTTCCGAATCTTGCGCCCCGCGCGGCAGGTCGACAAAGGGCGAAGGAATTCGATCCCGAAGCGCGCGCATTGCGTGGCGCACTACTTGCGCGGGGCGTGGTGCGCCGAGGCTGCGAAAGTTCCAGCTCCCGCCCGACTCCCCTCGATAGAAGGGGGGGCGGTTCCTTCTGCCTCCCTGTGACGGCCGGGCGGCGCCGCCCCAAACCATTGCAGCCCCCGCCCGGGCGGGGCGCGAGCGGCTGGGCGCTGTGGCGCCTTCGCCCCCCCTTGCGAGGGAGCGCCCGCGCCCCCCCTCCTGGCCGGTTGGGCGCGCCGGCCAATGAATGAATCGGCCCGCCGCCCCTCCGGTGGAAGCAAGAAAGATGGGCAGCCAGAAGGCCGGGAGCAAGAGAGCGTCGGGCACCTTCCCGAGGCCCCGCGGTTTTTTGTGGGCCTCGCTCTGGATGGTCGTTCTGGTCTGGATACTGTCTGGCGGCCCCTCCTTTCCCCTCGGCATTGAATTATGTATTTCGTTTCTGTGTGCCTGCGCTGCCGGTTGCTGGTGCTTGGTATGCCAGTCTTGCCGCCGCCCCTCAAACATTGCCCGGGCCTCCCGCCCCAGGTTTCCCCGATCTGCTTGCCGCGGGGCTTATAGTGGTCGAAGGATATGTGTATGCCAGGGATGTGCCTTGTGTCACAGACTCGCTGCGGTGTTATTTTGATGCGCAGCCACCCAGGGAGCATTGCGTGGATGCATGAGGTCGGCGTGTCTGCTTGGGTGCGAATGTTCGTTGGGTTTTTCCTTCTTCCAATGAGTGTAGTATTCCGGAAAACGAAAAGTCAGAAGAAGTGTTCGCTTTTCCTGAAACAGCAACTAAGAATTGCCAATTGCTTGCAGGCGAAGGCGCCTGAGTACTTTCTCATTGCAAGTAGGCTTACCCTAGTTGTTGCGTTGCTGTAAAAATGGAGGGTCCGCCCGCGGTCGCAGCACGATTCCCTCTTGCCTCTCCGCCGGTTCTAGCCACGGGCCACCTCGTCAGCTACCGAGAAAACATTGCTGCGTCGACGACGAAAGACCACTACAACCCCCACCCGTCTCCAGATGAGCAGACGGAAAAGACCAAAAGCAGTCAAGACGACGAACCGTCCGCGGCTTGCTCCAGTAGTTCTTGTTCTTCCTCGTCATCTTCGGCAGCAGCCGCGGTCGAGACAACCACTTCGGACGAGCAAAATAACGAGCAGCAGCAAGGCTTTCCACCGACAGTTGTGAACCCTGATGAACCTTCTTCGCAAGCACTTCTGCAGTCACGCTCAACCACCTCCTATCCCGTCCCCGACGATGATGAGTTGAACAATTTGGGGCTGTTGAAACAGGTCGGCCGGAGCGCTTCGATTTCAGAAAGAAGCCGGAATGCAGCTGTTGCTGCGCCGCCATCTGGCTCTGCTGCCAGTTGTACAAGCGAGCAACCCGCTTCATCGGCCTCACCGGGTGGCGATGGTGCACTTGAAAGAAAAGCTGCTCCGGTGGATCTGGATGTTGTTCAGGTAGAAGTGTTGAACATGGATCCAATCAATGGTTTGCGTTTTGTCCTTTCAATCATGATTGCACACGAAGTATAGCTATTTATTCTGCCGGAAACGAATCGTCTGCGCCAATAAAACGAAATAGAAATGCATGAATTTCAGTGTGTATGTCTTACCCCATTTTTCATCTTGTACACGACACAAGAACACATTGATATCAGGTTCCAGCAAAAGCCCCCAAGCCAATTCTCCGTCGAGCAGTAGCAGGCCAACAAGCTCTATTCCAAGAAAAGGCGGAATTACTACACGAGAAGCATTTAGACGTGTTTAAGTACGCATCGCAAACTATCGTACACTAGTACTAATGGCATGACAAATATCGTCAGAATGCAAAATGGAATTAATATTTACATTGCTTGACTTCCGGGTTCTGGTAACGCATACCCCCGGCGACAGGTGACCTCGACAGGTGACCGCGACAGGTGACCGCGACAGGTGACCGCGACAGGTGACCGCGACAGGTGACCATCACAGGTGGGCACGACAGGTGGCCGCGACAGGTGAGGGCCATTCCCCCACTAGCGTTTCGCGCACTAAGTCACTATGCGCGCGCCTGGTGTGAGGCGAGGGGCGGACGCTGTCCGCCCCGATGGCGAACACCCCTCCCCCACTAGCGTTTCGCGCACTAAGTCACTATGCGCGCGCCTGGTGTGAGGCGAGGGGCGGACGCTGTCCGCCCCGATGGCGAACACCCTTCCCCCACTAGCGCCACTAGGGACGGGCACAAGGCCCCAGCGTGGGGACCCTGTCCCCACGCGTGGGTCTTGTTTGTCATGCGGATTTATCTTCAGACAGAACTTTTGTAATGCATGAGGGCAATTAGAAGTACGAGCACGATAGTATTTTTGCGATGTATATCAAGAAGCAAGTCCGGATCTCCTCCAAAGTTTCCTACCAATCCGCACCTTCGCCCGTCCCCGGGAGCTGCAGTAGTCCGGATGTCCACAGTCCGACCTGGCGCACTACTTCCGCGCTGTTTTTCCGGAATTCCATGCTTTTTGGCGCGGCCAGGAGTCCCAACATGGGCACAGCGGACAGTGCTGCGGTGGCTGCGGCAACGCGCGTGGCACAACCCTCGAAAGGCTTGACAACTTCTTTTACGGCTGGGTCTGGTGCGGAAAAAGGATCGGCTTTTACTGCTGGACCAGCTTGGATTGGCGTCCCGGGGCTAAGATTAGGCTTGTCATCCTCGCCAGTGGAAGGAGCATCTGAAGAACTACCAGCGGAGATGAACAATCCACCAGCCCCTGCACACGGCTCTGCCACGACGAACAGCAGTTCATCAGCTGGAACACAGTGGGACGTGCAGGATTTCGCGAGCTGGCTGTACAGTGCAGGTTCAGCTACATCGGGAAAAAATGTTGAGGGGAATGTAAATGTATCAGCAAGTAGATCGCAGGATCGCGCCCTTGAGAAACGAAGCTTTTTTCCAGCACAACAGCAATCACAAAAAAATCGCCCATCATCGCCAGCGTGGCACGGGAACAACCTCAATCTTCACAACCAGCAGCCACCGCAGCAGCAACCCCGTGGCTCACCTTTTCCGGCCGTCTGGCGGCAGGATAATTACGGACAGCCAATGTGTCATCGTGGTGGTGGTGGTTCTATATGGCAATACCAAAATTACAACTTTCAACCTCCTTACCGGCAAATGAACTTGCAACGCCAGCAGTACAACTACAACAGATTTGCGACAGCGCTTGGGTGGAACACTACCAGACGGGCAGGTGGAACGTCCTCTGTACCGCTCAGCAACCATATTAACTTTCACCACCACAACCCCCATCCCCGACTCCTCCGCCCGCACCTCTTCGCGAATCCAAATACGGGGAATGCTTCAGCTGCCAGCACGCCAGTGAAGAAAAACCAGTCGCCTACGAAAAATGAGATCGGCGTTCTTGGACAACAGCAACAGCAACTACAGGCAGTGTCAACAGGTGGGCGAAAGAAGAAAAACAAGAAGTACTTGGTGACGATCGATGGGGAGGTGCATGGCATGGTGGAGGAGGATGAGGATGATCCGATGGGGGAGGTTGTAGAATAGGGGGGTTGAGTCGTGGTTAAAATCATTGCATACTAAATGTCACCACTTCCAACTGTACTTTTAGCTGAACATCATGACAGCTCTAGTTTTTTTTTGTCTCGCATTCTCGCTAGCAGCTGAAAGGCAAATTTTCAGAAGCACGTCTTAGCTCCGAGAATGGAAACTCAAGCTTTGGGAGTGAGTAGTCGTTTCTTCACAATGTTTCACCCATTTTGTTTGTCTATCACATCCATTTCATTTTCTTTATCTTTTGTGTGATATTTTCTAGGTTTGAGGTCGTGGAAGGTCAAATTTCTTCCGACCTGCGCATTGCAAAATGAAGACAGCCTGTATGATGAACGATTTTCAACATGGTAGCCGCAGCTGTCACAGATGAAGCCAGAGTTTTTTGGAATTTGATTGCGTTGACTTTGAAGTTTGCTTCGATTCCGTGGTGCACCGTAGTTACGTATGGCGCTCCTTTGCGCATTTACTGCTGATGGCAGGATTCGTTTTTTTGCCTTCTGCAGGGTGGGTCATTGCGCAATGCAGCTGTGTTTCCATTTGTGATTTGTCTTTATCAGCACTCACTTCGGCTTCTGCAAAGAAACTATCGCAGAACACTTTGAGTCTTTGTCTTGTGCTATATCCATCGCTCAATGTCGGACAGCATCAGCAACATCTTCACCGGGACAGAGTTGTACTTAGAAAGAAAAAGCATATCGTCCATTTGATCGTAAAGTAGTAGCAGTAGCAGCAACAAGTACAAGATGTAAATACCCCCCGCCCGCATCCTCCGAGCCGCCAGAAGTTTTCTTTTCAGGGAACACACTGACTCCTCCGGCCTTTCTCGATGTCCAACACCCCCAACAGTGCAGCCAAACCGGAGGAGCTGGATCATTTTGCAGACGTGTTGCAGCTTCTGGAGAGAAAATGGGCCGGCATTCCTCACGAGGCTCGTGTCAGGTTGACGGCGGTCAATGAGGACGCCGCGGTCCGAGACGAGGCCATGACGGAATTTAAGAACGCCTGGGCGGCTGCCAGACAAGGCACTTGCGCAGACGGAAAACTGTCGAAGACGGAGTTCAACCACTTCACCCAGACGCACCTGGGCAACATCAAACGGCGCATCGGGTGGGCGCCGGAATACACTGTCGGGGACAGCAGTAAAATCTGGGATGCGATCCAAGCACTGAACCCTGCGGAAAACGATGTTGGCCTTGCTGGCTATGGAAGGTATCATGCCTGTATGAAGACGGTCGTACACTGAAAAGGGGGCTGCTCTAGGCCCGAAAAAAAATCCAGGAACTTTGGAGGACGGCTTATATATGATGAAACGAAAATAAACACAATAAAAAAGATACCCGTGAGTGGCCTTATGTAGTGATGGTTAGTCTCTCAGTCTTCTCAAGCCTGTCGATTTTTTTGCTGATGTAGGAACAGAGTTTTCGTAGTATTCCAGAATCTGCGATGAGGGACAACGCCAAATAAAACATATGCTCACGTCGTCTTGCTACTTCATGGTGTTGATGATGCTAAGCGATTTGTTCTTTCTTTATTGCTGGGCTTGTCGGTGTGTTTTTTTTTCGCAACGAAATGGAGAGGGAGACAGAAGCAGTTTATTTGGCCTACTAAATGCACTGCGACCGAGCGAACGCAAAAAGGGCGGATGAGAGTGCAGGAAGCGGAGCGAGGGCGAGGGCGAGCCCCCGGCGCCTCTGGTTTGCCAAAAGTAAGTCAGCGCGAAAACTATTGCTGTAGCTGATAGAGATAGATGAGATGGACGAGATGGGGCGCGCGGCCAGGACCGGGGGGTTTTGTTTCTTTGCGCGCGCGGTGGGCGGATAGTTAGCCCGGCGGCGGCCTCGGCCCTAGCAGTATCAAGCGGCCGCCCCCCCACCCCCCGGGCCCAGGTTCAGCCGGTCTGGGGCTACAGTGCGAAGCATGGGGCGCATTGAGTGGGCGTGGGGCCCTCGCCTCGATTGGGATGCCACTGGCAAGAGCAAAACCGAGACCGCGTGGCCCATCCCGCACGAAGGAACATGGCCCACAAGTCTTGGGGGCGGAGCGTGCCGCGCTGCGTGTTTTTGTTTTCCCTCGCCGAGCTTTTGGCAAGCGCGCGGGCATTGGGGATGTGGCCCGGGCCCCTCCCCACCCCCGCCCGGCCGTCCGGCTTCTTCGTCCGTCGGTCCGCCCCGGCCGGCCGGGCGCGTGAGCGCCCCCCACCTAGCGAGGCCCTTGCGCGCCGCTGGTGTCCCCTCTTCCTTCGCCCTTCGTTGCCGGCCCGCGCCCGCGTGGGTGAGGCTAAGGCCGGAGTTTCCGGAAGCGCAGGCCGGATTTTCCGGAAGAGGCAGGGGCGTGGTGAAGGGTTGTGCCTCGCGGGCGCGCGTCTTCCGACCGTAGCCAGCCCTTTTTCTCCTCTGGGTGGATGGGTGCCTTTCTTTGGGCGCGATGGCAAAGTAGTGCCCTGTTGCCATTGGTTTGTGTATTCAGACATAGATGGCCGCGGCCCCTGCGCGCCGAGCCTTTTTCTGGCGAGCATTTTTGACATCGGCACTTTAATGCACCATGACGCGACTCCTGAATGTAAAAGCGCGGCTGTTGTCTTCGTTGATGTTAGTTTCGCGAGAGCGCAGCCTCAATAACCCTTTGAGTAGTTTCAAAAAGCAAAAGCAAGTAGAAGTGCTGCACGAGAGCAAGATCATGCTAATTAATAACAGTGAGTTGTAAAAATATTTTTTCTAAATATTAGGATGCAATAAAAAATAAACACCACCTCCACCACGTGGCAACTTGTCGCCTTAGCAGCCCCAGAGAGGAGAGAGACCACCCCACCTGTTCTTGTGTCTGAAGGGACCGCCTACTCACCACAACTCGCAGAAAGTATAACCAAGGTTGGTCTTTAGAGAGAGTATCCAGTCCAACAAAATTATGAACAGCGGAGCAGGTCCATCTCCCTACGCTGCCTTCAGCGCTCCCCGCTCCCGGATGCTGATTGGCGGAGCGACAACTCCGGAAATAGCCGCCAAGGCAGTGGCGAAGAATGAGGCGCAGAAGAAGCACTTCAAGAACAAGCTCGGGCTTTTCGCCCAGGAGAACCCTTCCAGGCCGCTCAGTATTCCGGAGCTGAAGCGTCCACGCAAGGCGTTGATCGTTCCGGATGTGAAAGTAGGACTCGCGCCCAGCGTGAAGTCACCGGCTAAGGGGGGGCAGAATAAAGTGCGCGGCTTTGGGCCCAAAGACTTCCGCCCGGCGCTCATGCGGTAAGTGTTGCCATTTGAGAAGGCTCCGGCGGCGCCCCGCCCGCCGGCTCCGGCGGCGGGTGCGCGGGAAGGAGACCAGCGCGCCGCCCGCGCTAGTCTGTGGGCGCGCGGGCCATGCCGGCGCCCCGTGCCAGCGGGGGCCCCGCCCTTTGGCTGCTGCCCCCGCGCGCGCCGCTGCGTATGTATGCATAGCTCCTGGAGTGTGTGGCGCGCCCTGCCCCTTGGGCGTGTTGGACGGGCCCCATGCATCAATTTGTGCCCACCGAGCGGGCCCAAACGTTACGTCTGGGCGCGCCCATGTGAAGGTTGCCGCCTCTGAAGGCCCCCGCCCCCGCGCATTATTTGTGCGTGGTTGGGTGGTGTTGAGCCAGCTTCAGGTCAGGGCGCGTGGCATCAAGGCGTGTGTGTGAGCTCGTTGCCTGTCGGTGGCCGGCTCCCTGACTGTTTAGTGTGTGTCGTTGTAGTTGCACAACCACAAAGAAAGGGGCGAAGAAGTCGCCGACCGAGTATTTCCGGGCGCTTAACCTCCCACATGTTTGTCGATGCCTGGGTGTTCTTTTGGCGGTGGGGGGTCTTGGAACTATATTGACCGCGGCTCCACCTTGCCCTTGGGAGTAGACAGGACAGATTTCTCGTCGACGAGCGTAATAGAGCCTGCGTAGTTCGAGCGTCTCCTCTAGGAAATGCAAGCGTGTTGATTTGAGTCGTCGTGAGAAGCTGCGAGCGCTATTCCATTGAGCTCTTTTTGACGTGACAGGAAAAAATAAAAAAGCTTCATTCTGATAGCTGGTCCACCAATACGAATCAGGTGCGCCGGATTTTGTGAAAGCATTCCAGCAAGAACGGACTCATACGCAGTTGTGTTGAGCTTATGTCATAACCAATTTGAATCTATCAGGAGCTTGCAGCATAATTCATCTTGAGAACTGTATAATAGAGGCATTTTATTGTTGTGTCGTCTTCAGAAGTCAACGTCAAGATGTTCCAGCCCCAGATCATTCTGCCGCCCTCGTGGCCCTCCATCCTTCCAACGGCGACCACACAGCTGCAACAGCAACTCCCACACGTGTCTCTTTCTGACCTGGTGAAAACGGCGGTGCGGCAGAATCGCCACGCCCACGTTTCCAGATCCGCACAGCTGACGAACCGTGTGGCCCAGGCCGCCGCTGATTTACCGCATCTGCCGGTTGCGGTTGTGGGTAACGCGTTTCCGGGGATACGAGTGGGCGAAATCAAGTACTACATTTTTGTAGTGCATGCTCGTTTCATCTTGCATCAACTCCAAAACTAGACTCAGTCAAAAAGATTTCCTGCTGCCAAAAAGTTTTCGTTCGGCAGTAAGACTTGTACGAGCAACAATATTTACCACTCAGGTCAAAGGAGCATGAGCAAAATGGGATCGACGATAAAGGGCATCATGCGGGTCGTCGTGGAACTACTGGCAACTACCACGTGAACAAATACGGCGATTTTTTCTACCGCCGCATTGTGAACGACGACGAGTACGCGGACGCGCGAGAGGACAACGAATTGCATTTCGACTACGACATCAGGCATCCCGACTATCAAGCTGAACTTGATTGGGAAAAGGAAGCCAACATCTCAGCTCCGTTTGGTTACGAATGCCGATATATCTTCATGCAGACGATGGACCAGGAGGCGCTGTTCCGGTATTGTTGCTCTTTTGTAGTCTCTCATGAGACGACGTGGGATCCGGCATGTGTTTGGAGAGTATGACAAATAGGATCAACAGGTGCGAATGTGAATGAAAATCCAATGAACGAATGTCATTTCAATCTCAATGTACTTAAAACTCTGCATGACAATTCATGAAAAAATATTTTCTGAGGTGGAAAGAAGAACTAGAAGCCGAACTCGCAGGCCGGTCGGTGCGACGCGAGATTTCTGCTGGACGAGAGCAGTTGCCAGATAAGTATTTCTCGAAATACTTTTTTTTTGAGGCGCTTGCTTGAAAACTCAAAATAAGCGTGTCACTGTCTCGACTTTTTCGTCTGTCATGCGCACAGCCACAGGAGCGGAATGATTGTGATGCATAATGGCATAAGCATTGCCGCAAACTTCACGACAGGGAGACCCTGCTCGACGAAATCATAGCGATGATCGTACCGGCCGAGGAGTTATGCGTTGCAAATATGTCTGGGTCTGGAAGACGAAGAATGCAAGTTTGTCATGCTTGTCTGGCATGAGTGTTGAATCTGTGATGCATGAGGATGAGCAGGAGCAAGGCCTCTTGCCTGTCATGCAAAAACGCAGTTCGCCATGCCGCGGAAATAAACATCGCAGCTCAAAAACTTGTCATGCTTGGCTCGTATTGCAGTGCGCCCACTTTTCACAGATTCGCATCACAACTGTCCAGACCCAGACATATTTGCAATGCATAGGAGTTGCAGCGCGACAAGGACGGATACTTTATCGAAGGAAAAAGCCTACCTTTCTTTCCCGTGTCCCCAAAAGCAAGTTTGTGTTGCTGAAGTTTCTCCAACGGCACCACAAACCAACAGAACACGGAGCATGATCTTTGCATATAGCACACTAATTTGTCTTCCGTTGTCTTGTGAGAAGCCTACCGCCGAGCAGGCGTCTGGCATAGTAGGTCGTCGGAGGTTCAGGCCACGCCGGAGTGACCCTGGCAAACAAATCCAGGCACAGCACAAGGGCGCTCTTGGGTACTTATCATGGGTCGTTTTTTCCTCGTGATACTCGACTGCCCCAGCCCAGAGACTAGAGCAGCGATGGAAGAGGAGGACGCAAACCAGCGCGGACTGTTTCGCTAGACCTACGACTAATCTGGGTCCTGGGTGCCTGGTTGAAGGTGGGGCCAATTTGGGATGTGGTTGAAGTTTGGTTAGCAAAGAGTTGTTTTGTATTGTGTACGATACGGTATCTGAAGAAGAAGATCCTGATTCTGCTAAATCAAGCTTAAACCGACTGCAGAACTGGTATGGAATCCAAGTACTTAAGAAAGTGTAATGAACTTCATCTACGAAACGTTCTGCAACTGCACGATTGAATGGGTTTAAGAGACAGACAGATTTTGACTTGTGCGGGTAGTTTTACTGCTCATCCTGAGCTAAATTTTGGACCGGTCGTACTAACACGAACTCGTTTTACTTGTCTACCGTGTTTGCAAGCAATTGCAACGCTTGCCCAAAAATGAACTTCGAATTTCTGTGCCCGGATTTCCGAAGAGAGTGGAAGCGAAATGAATTTCCGTTTTGTTGTTTTACAACATGAACTTCTGCCAGTGTCTGCACTGTAGGTGTGCCCGCAGATATAGTACTCCTGCTTGTTGCCTGGAAGAGCTGTGGCGAAGTGTGCTGTTCCTGGCAGCAACGAAAGATCTTAGTCCTGATGTTGTGTTGTAGGCGTATGCCGACGTCTCTTCGGTTCTGCAACAAGTGTGGCAAAAGTAAATAAAGTGAAAAGTCTTTTGAAAGCAAAGAAAGATCAACGCGACTTCTCTCGCTGCTATTTCGTAGGCCAAAACCAGTCCTCTCGGTCTCCGTGCTTGTATGATGGTAGCGCTAGAGGCATCATGTACATTTCTGTGTCGTCTAGAAACCGCAGTTTTTTGCCTTATTTGTATTTCATCGTGAACATTGTAGCCGAAAAAAAACTTCTGTGTAGCTGATGCTGATCTTGGCTCGAAACGTACATTAAGCTGAATCGAAAACCATGTCTACCTGCGACAAATTCAAATTGCACCATTCAAAGTGAAGGAAAGCCGTATGCAAGCATGTCTTCAAATACTTAATCGTGATTCGTGAACGAGAACAAAAGTCGTGGGAAAAAGTCGTATGCCTTTTCAAATTTGGAAGTGTCGCGCTATGGTCTTCAAATCGTGGTTATCTAAAGGGGTCGTAGTCGTACTACGCAAATGTTGCTCATTCAAGCCTTTTTCGTGTGTACCGGTCGGTCCTTGCTTTTTCGTTTTTGAGACCTTTGTTTCAGAGGTCATGACGAAGATATACATCACGTGAGCTCTACCTCTATCTCTACGTCACCTGCCAATCGCAACTTTTCTTTTCTCAGGCCGAGCTGCCTCTATGTCATGTTTTTTTGAGAATTTTTTGTCGTTTTTTTCCGAATTGGATTTGGATGCATGAGTATGGGGAAGTATGACAGTACCGGTTTCCATCTTTTTCACGGATCAACAGGAATTTACCGCACATAATACCTAACTTTCACAACTTTCCGTTTTTCTAGAAAAAAAATTTGCAGAATCAGAATGAGGTTTACTACTTGGGTTGCTTCAGCGCCGACCGTGCTACAACTGTGGGCGGAACACCGCCACCACTACTCGAACCAAGCAGACCTCCGGGGTGCGCGCAGGAGAGGCCTTTCTTTTCAACTTCACAGCGCAGCTCCGTCGGGAAAAGCGGTCCCTTGGCAAAAGATCAATAGAAACATACTAAAATACTACGTTCCCGGCCTCGAATTGGAATTTGTTGCGCGACAAGGAATGACCGCGCCCCTGTTTATGATGACCGCGCCCAACACGATGATGCGGCGTCTTAAACAAGTGGAGCTAGGGGAAAACAATGAAAGCGTCAGACGGGCAGCGCGAACGTTTGGCAGCGGCAGTGGGGCGGCTGGACTGAGCCACGTAAGAATATTTTTCGTCTCCAGGTCGCGCGTAACATTTCTTTTTCCAAATTTTTCCTCATGGTCATGTATGTAGCCCCGTACAGTAGAAGCCTCGTAGAAAATTCGAATTTCAAACTTTTTCCTGAGAGTTTCCCGTCAAAGTTCCCATGAAGTTTTGCAAAGTTCATTCTCACCCGATGTAGTTCCATCGAAAATTCGAAATTAAAATTTCAAATTTTTCGAACCCAAGAGTACCCCAGTTGACATTCGTCCCCTGAAGTTTTGCAAAATTCATTCCTACCCACAGTAGCCCCGTAGAAGCTTCGAACTTCAAACTTCAAACTTCCCCCACCCGAGCCTGCACCAGTGAAAATTGCCCTCCGATGTTGCAAAGCTCGTTGTTGCCCATGGTCAGTAGCCCCGTAGAAATTTTGCAAAGTTTTTCAAGATTCTGGTTCCTTTGTGGAGAAAGCCTACCCTTTGCTGTGTTACCCATTGCGAAAGCCTGACTGTATTACCCGTGGTAGTTTGCTGGTAGAAAAATTTCAAATTTCCCCTTCGGCCTACCCTCTAGAATTGCATTACCCCTTCCCTATTCCCGCTCCCGTGAAAGTTTTGTTTCTAGTTTTGCTTTTGGTTTTGTGTTTGTACCGGGACGGAGCCGAGGTGGGTGTTTGAGTGTCAGTCTATCGAAGCAAAAATTTGGGTCAAGCCGAAGCGCAGTGAATCCCCATGTTGACAGTTTTGTAGGTTTTATTGTAGCTTCTACCCAGATCGCATGTTGTAGGTTTTACTTTCTGAGGCTGTGTCTAGTAGCTCTTGCTGTTTTTTCTGGAGCGTATGCACAGCAAAATATCATCTAGACATAGGTGATGTTGTGCACTTTGGCTTGCCTCGGGTTTTTGGTTCCATAGAGCCTGAAACGGGATGGGAAGCGATCGTGGCGTGCCTTCTAGCGGAATCCGACCGTTGCAGAGCGAGTCTATATCCTAGCAAAATTTTGAGCAAGGCTGAATAAGGCGTGGCACCTTCTGATCATTTGGGTAGGATGAGGTAGAATTTGTATTGCTACTTTCGGACTTGGACTTCATGCAGCGTGATTTCACGAAAAGGAACTTGTTGCCGCGTGATTTCACGAAAAGGAACGTGCCATAGCACCAGCCTGGTTCAAAGTTTTGCTTTCATAAAGCGTACGTGGCAAGCCGACAGCGGAGAAAGAAGCTTCCCCAAGCCCTGACAACCCCTTTCAAAGTTTCCTCCATCGTGTGCCCCTTTTTCTAAAATTTCGTCTCTTCCCCGAGAAGTGGTCCCCGTATGAAACTTCAAATTTCCAATTTTCCCCACCCCGGTCTACCCCACTGAAAGTTCTGACTACCCCGATCAAAGTTTCCCCCATCGTGTGCCCCGTTTTCTAAAATTTCGTCCCTTCCCCGAGTACCCCCGTATGAAATTTCAAATTTCAAACTTCCCCCACCCCGGTCTACAGCACTGAAAGTTCTGACTACCCCGATCACAAGTTTCCCCCATCGCGTGCCCCGTTTTCTAAAATTTCGTCTCTTCCCCGAGTACCCCCGAGACTTCAAGTTTCAAATTGCCCCCACTCCGGTCTACACCACTGAAAGTTCTGGCTACCCCGATTAAAGTTTCCCCCATAGTGTGTCCCGTTTTCGAAAATTCTGTCTTTCCCCGGGTACCAGTGTGAAACTTGAAATTTCGAATTTTTCCCAGCCCCGTCTACCCCACTGAAAGTTTTGACTACCCCTCCTAAATTTCTCCCCATCGTCCGTGTGCCCCGTTATCAAAAACTTTGGCTCTACCCGAGTAGTACCACAGTGCGCAATTTCTTTGAAATTTCAAATTTCCCCCACCCCAGTCTACCCCGCTGAAGAAAGTTTCCCTGAAGTTTTCCAAAATTCATTTCTACCCAGCATAGTAGCCCCGTAGACACTTTAGTTTTCAAACTTTCCCCACCTGAGCCTGCACCAGTGAAAATTTTTTCCCCAGACCTTGCAAAGTTCGTTGTTGCCAATCGAAAGTAGCCCCGTAGAAATTTTGCAATTTTTTTCAAGATTCTGCTTCTAGTGATGAAAGCCTAAGCGCCCGTTGCTGTCCTACCCATTTTGAAAGTCCGACTTTATTACCCGTGCTGGCTTACTGGCAGAAAAATTAAAATTTCAAATTTTCCGTCCCGGGCTACACTCTGGAATTGCAGCATTACCCTTTCCCTATTCCCGCCTCCTTGAAAGTTTTGTTTTCATTTTTGGGTTTTTACCGGGACGGAGTTGAGGCGGGTGTTCGGGCGTTAGTCTATCGAAGCAAAAATTTTGGCTCAAGCCAAAGCGCAGTGAATTGCATGACAGGTCTGTCTAGATTTTATTGCAGTTTCTGCGCAGGCTGTGTGTTCATGTTGTAGGTATTAAGTAGTACTTTCTGATGGTGTTTCTAGTAGCTGTTGCTGTTTTTTCTGGAAAATATCATGCACAGCAAGATATCATATGCATATTCGTGTTGCTCACTTTGGCTTGCCTCGGGTTTTTGCTTCCATAGAGCCTGATACGGGATGGGAAGCGATCGCGGCGTGCCTTCTAGCGGAAGCCGACTGTTGCAGTGCGAGTCTATCCTAGCAAAAAATTGAGCAAGACTGAATAAGGCGTGGCACCTTCTGATCATTTGGGTAGGATGAGGTAGAATTTCTATTGCTACTTTCGGACTTGGACTTCATGCAGCGTGATTTCACGAAAAGGAACTTGTTGCAGCGTGATTTCACGAAAAGGAAAGTGCCATAGCAACAGCCTGGCTCAAAGTTTTGCTTTCATAAAGCGTACGTGGCAAGCCGGCAGCGGAGAAAGAAGCTTCCCCAAGCCCTGACAACCCCTTTCAAAGTTTCCTCCATCGTGTGCCCCTTTTTCTAAAATTTCGTCTCTTCCCCGAGAAGTGGTCCCCGTATGAAACTTCAAATTTCCAATTTTCCCCACCCCGGTCTACCCCACTGAAAGTTCTGACTACCCCGATCAAAGTTTCCCCCATCGTGTGCCCCGTTTTCCAAAATTTCGTCCCTTCCCCGAGTACCCCCGTATGAAAGTTCAAATTTTAAATTTCCCCCACCCCGGTCTACCCCACTGAAAGTTCTGACTACCCCGATCACAAGTTTCCCCCATCGTGTGCCCCGTTTTCTAAAATTTCGTTCCTTCCCCGAGTACCCCCGTATGAAATTTCAAATTTCAAACTCCCCCCACCCCGGTCTACAGCACTGAAAGTTCTGACTACCCCGATCACAAGTTTCCCCCATCGCGTGCCCCGTTTTCTAAAATTTCGTCTCTTTCCCGAGTACCCCTGTATGAAAATTCAAGTTTCAAACTTTCACCACCCCGGTCTACCTCACTGAAAGTCCTGCCTACCTCAATTCAAGTTTCCCCCATCGTGTGTCCCGTTTTCAAAAATTTCGTCTTTCCCCGGGTACCAGTGTGAAACGTGAAATTTCAAATTTTTCCCATCCCCGTCTACCCCGCTGAAAGTTTTGACTACCCCTCTTAAACTTTCCCCCATCGTCCGTGTGCCCCGTTTTCAAAAGCTTCGTCTCTACCCGAGTAGTACCGCAGTGCGAAATTGGCTTGAAATTTGAAATTTCCCCCACCCCAGTCTACCCCGCTGAAGAAAGTTTCCCTGAAGTTTTGCAAAATTCATTTCTACCCACAGTAGCCCCGTAGACACTTTAGTTTTCAAACTTTCCCCACCTGAGCCTGCACCAGTGAAAATTTTTTCCTCTCGACCTTGCAAAGTTCGTTGTTGCCCATCGAAAGTAGCCCCGTAGAAATTTTGCAAATTTTTTCAAGATTCTGCTCCTAGTGATGAAAGCCTAAGTGCCAATTGCTGTGCTACCCATTTGGAAAGTCCGACTTCATTACCCGTGCTGGCTTACTGGCTGAAAAATCAAAATTTCAAATTTCCCCTCCCGGTCTACCCTCTGGTATTGTAGCATTACCCTTTCGCTATTCCCGCCCCCTTGAAAGTTTTGTTTCCATTTTTGTGTTTTTACCGGGACGGAGCCGCGGTGGGTGTTCGGACGTCAGTCTATCAAAGCAAAAATTTTGATTCAAGCCAAAGCGCAGTGAATTGCATGACAAGTCTGTCTAGATTTCATTGCAGTTTCTACGCAGGTTGTGTGTTCATGTTGTATGTCTTAAGTAGTACTTTCTGATGGTGTTTTGAGTAGCTGTTGCTGTTTTTTCTGAGGAAAATATGCACAGCGAGATATCATATGCATAGTCGTGTTGCTCACTTTGGCTTGCCTCGGTTTTTTTGCTTCCATAGAGCCTGAAACGGGATGGGAAGCGATCGCGGCGTGCCTTCATCTAGCGGAAGCCGACTGTTGCAGCGCGAGTCTATCCTAGCAAAATTTTAAGCCAGGCTGAGCAAGGTGTTGCACCTTCTGATCATTCGGGTAGGATGATGTAGAATTTGTATTGCTACTTTCGGACGACTTCATGATGAGGTAGGAACTTGTTGCAGCGTGATTTCAGAAAAAAGGAGCGTGCCATAGCACCAGCCTGCCTCAAAGTTTTGCTTTCATAAAGCGTTGCACGTGGCAAGCGGACGGTGGAGAAAGAAGACCCCCCCCGACCCTGGCAACCCCTTTTCAAGTTTCCCCCATTGTGTGCCATGTTTTCTAAAATTTCGTCTTTTCCCCGAGGATCCCCGCATGAAAGTTCAAATTCCAAATTTGCCCCACCCCGGTCTACCCCACTGAAAGTTCTGACTACCCCTTTTAATGTTTCCCCCATCGTGTGCCCCGTTTTCTAAAATTTCGTCTTTTCCCCGAGGACCCCCGCATGAAAGTTCAAATTTCAAACTTTCCCCACCCCGGTCTACCCAACTGAAAGTTCTGACTACCCCGATCAAAGTTTCCCCCATCGTGTGCCCCGTTTTCTAAAATTTCGTTTCTTCCCCGAGTACCCCTGAGACTTCAAGTTGCAAATTTTCCCCACACCGGTCTACGCCACTGAAAGTTCTGACTACCCCAACTAAAGTTTCCCCCATCGTATGCCCCGTTTTCAAAAATTTCGTCTCTTCGTCCCCGTAGCTGGCAGAAAAATTTCAAATTTCCCCTCCCGGTGTACCCTCTGGAATTGCAGCATTACCCTTTTCCTAGTCCCGCCCCCTTGAAGGTTTTGTTTTCAGTTTTGTGTTTTTACCGGGACGGAGCCGCGGTGGGTGGTCGGACGTCAGTCTATCGAAGCAAAAATTTCGACTCAAGCCAAAGCGCAGTCAATTGCATGACAGGGCTGTCTAGATTTTATTGCAGTTTCTACGCAGGCTGTGTGTTCATGTTGTAGGTCTTAAGTAGTACTTTCTGATGGTGTTTCTAGGTAGTAGCTGTTGCTGTTAGCAAGATATCATATGCATATTCGTGTTGCTCACTTTGGCTTGCCTCGGGTTTTTGCTTCCATAGAGCCTGAAACGGGATGGGAAGCGATCGCGGCGTGCCTTCTAGCGGAAGCCGACTGCTGCAGCGCGAGTCTATCCTAGCAAAAGTTTGAGCCAGGCTGAATAAGGTGTGGCGCCTTCTGATCATTTGGGTAGGATGAGGTAAAATTTGTATTGTTATTTTCGGACTTGGACTTCATGACGAGGTAGGAACTTGTTGCAGCGTGATTTCACGAAAAGGAGCGTGCCATAGCATCAGCCTGGCTCAAAGTTTTGCTTTCATAAAGCGTATGTGGCAAGCCGCGGAGAAAGAAGCTTCCCCAACCCCTGACTACCCCGATCGAAGTTCCCCCATCGTGTGCCCCGTTTACTACAATTTCGTCTCGTCCCCGAGTACCCCCGTATGAAATTTCAAATTTCAAACTTTCCCCACCCCGGTCTACCCCACTGAAAGTTCTGACTACCCCGATCACAAGGCTCCCCCATCGTGTGCCCCGTTTTCTAAAATTTCGTCTTTCCCCCGGTACCAGTGTGAAACTTGTTGAAATTCCAAATTTCTCCCACCCCCGTCTACCCCACTGAAATTTTTGACTACCCCTCTCAAGCTTTCCCCCATCGTCCGTGTGCCCCGTTTTCAAAAACTTCGTCTCTACCCGAGTAGTACCGCAGTGCGAAATTGGTTTGAAGTTTGAAACTTCCCCCACCCCAGTCTACCCCGCTGAAGAAAGTTTCCCTGAAGTTTCCCAAAATTCATTTCTACCCACAGTAGCGCCGTAGACACTTTCGTTTTCAAACTTTCCCCGCCTGAGCCTGCACCAGTGAAAATTTTTACTTCCAGACCTCGGAAAGTTTGTTGTTGCCCATCGAAAGTAGCCCCGTAGAAATTTTGCAAATTTTTCAAGATTTTGCTGCTCCTATGTGATGAAAGCCTACGCGCCCGTTGCTGTGCTACCCATTTTGCAAGTTCACCGCTATTACCCGTGCTGGCTTACTGGCAGAAAAATTTAATATTTTCCCTCGCGGTCTACGCTCTGGAATGGCAGCATTCCCCTTTCGCTATTCCCGCCCCCTTGAAAGTTTTGTTTCCATTTTTGTGTTTTTACCGGGACGGAGCCGCGGTGGGTGTTCGGACGTCAGTCTATC